GGCCGCCTCCCCGGCTGCCTTGCATACATTCTTGATTCGTAACAATATAATAGTAAGCTTTATTATATTGTATACTACTATAGTATTTAAGTGTAACTACTAGCTACTTTATATTAAAATAGATTTAATAAAAATTACCTTTAAAGTATAAATAAGTAAATATAAAGAATAATTAAAGAGAATAAATAGTATATTTAGTTAAAAGGACTTATATTTACTATTATATTTTAGTCTATAAGATCTTATAGAGTTTAAAATATATTAAAGTATTATATACCTCTACTATTAGCTTTAAAAAAGATAAAGATAAAAAAGAAGTAAATAAGGCTATAGTCTAACTCTAATATCCTCTTAATTTCTTAAAAAGGTTAAAGCTTATTAAGAAATAAAATGAATACTTTAAACTAGTTAATACCCTTTAAGCTTAAGGTTAATTAACTACTTATTTTTACTAGATTAATAAAATAAACACTTAGAAGCTAAAAGAAATTCCTAATTATAAAATATTATTAGTTATAAGTAATTTATTTTAAAAGAATATAAATATAACTTAATTAATCTTTAATCTCCTGGGACTAACGGAATTTCAGACTTAGAGCAATCTGCTCCGATGAAGGGATGGTACCAATCACAAAAAAGCACCCAGGATGGAAAGTGCAATTTCAAATACTTGGCATCGGAAGAATTGCCGCAAACGAGTATCAAGCAGAGGGAAAACAGGTGCAAGATATCGAGAGACTGGTCCATAGGCTTTGTATATCTGGATAACTCCGTATATCTCAGCAGCGACGACAAAGCAGGTTTGAAAGAATTTCATGATGAAGTAACGTATAAAGACGGGGCGAAAAATTTGCTTGCGTCGACAGCCGATGATTCAAGAAAGAATCAGAAAAGAAAATGTAGAATGAGGCATCTTGTGAAGGATATCGCATTTCCTCGCTTGCTACAAACTTTTGGAAGGTATGCTCCTCCAGTTGCGCTGCCAGCTGGCGACTCTACGGCTGAGGAAGGTACAGGCACGGTGCCATCAATTGAACGACAAGAGAAACAATTGAAGGGTGGAATGAGCTAAAATGGACTGTACCGGTACATTAAAAAAGGAACCGGCGCCGAATCAAGCACAATTTGTTTTGTGGCGGCGTCAATCGATGCAGAGACTCGGGATGTAAAATGAAGTAAGGATGGGACGTCTGCGAGGCATTGCTTTCGCTCGCTACACCGATGCCTCAGAATCTGATAACAGTTCTGGAAGAGTTTCAATGTAATTTCGCGAAAGAAAATCATGACAAAGTTAAAGACTGTTGGGAACCGTGTCGGGGGGCTTGTGAAAACGATGTTACATAGTAGTGTGGATGTAGCGCCAAAAACATTAAGATCCAGTAGATAAAGAACCGCAATGAAGAACGAAACGGGACCCCGAGTTCTCTGTTATCTATGGTCGTATGTGCTGGTTGTTGGTCAATTACGTCATATAACGTCTGTTTAGTGAAACTCAGCCATGTGAATGAATAAGAAAACAATTGACCAGAAAGACGCTCGGCGCTATTTATTTGAATCCTTCTCTTGAAAATTTTCTCTCCGCTTCGCCGTTTGCCTTTTTTGCTCTCTTCGCTCGATGCCTGCTAGAGAAGAAAGCGACCGTCTCAGTGGTGCCGGTTTCATGAGAGGAAAGGTACGCAGCATACTCAAGGTATAAAATATAGGGGAAACAAATCTGTTAGTATTAAGATAAGCTTATAGTGCTAGACATGACTATTGGTAGAGACTTTAGTAGTTGAAACATTTCACCCCATTGTGGCCAAAAGACATTGACATTACTCATTATACATCTATTAATCCTCCATCTATATTCCCAAGAAACTTTGACAAAAACGCCGAGACATGAAATCCTAATCCGTATTTATGCCATACCACCAACACCGGCGGCCTGCTTCAGCTTGGTCCAGCGAGTAAAGAGACCGATCGTGGTGGCCACACCAGTGGCAGCAATGCAGAGGGCAAAGACGACCTTGAGGCCATGCATGTATCCATCGATGACGATCGGGATCTGGTCGGCAGGGAAGGCATGTCGGATGTTGGTGGCGCCCGTGAGGATGAGCGTCGCCTTGTCAATCTCCGGCGCACGCTGCAGAACGTAGCTCACCATCTGGTTCAAGAAGGCCGACTGGGCGGCGGAGACGAGGAACGCGCCGCCGAGGCCCTGGAAGAACAGCAGCATGCCCGTCGCCGAGGCCAGGTCCTGGGGCTCGACGGTGCCCTGGACGGCGATCATGGGCAGCTGGAACGCGACGCCCCAGCCGGCGCCCGCCACGATCTGGTAGCCGATCCAGGCGCCCGTGGACGAGGTCACGCTGAGGAGGAAAAGCAGGCCGGCGCCGACGGTGGCCACGGCGCCGCCGCCGATCAGCAGGAACTGGTAGTACCCCGTGGCGGAGACGAGACCGCCGCTGGCGATGGTGCCGATGGTGACGGCGATGATGAAGGGCAGGTTGCGCACGCCGCTCATGGTCGGGCTCGCGCCGTGCACCGACTGGAAGTACACGGGGATGTAGTAGATGGCCGCGAAGAAGCCGCCCGCGAAGATGAAGCTGTACGCCATGGCCACCACCAGCGTGCGGTTCCTGACCAGGTGCGGCGAGACCATCGACCGCTCCCCCTGGAAGTACTGCAGCACCACCCAGGCGCCGACGATGGCGACGAAGCCGACCAGCAGGCCGACCACCGTGGAGGAGCCCCAGGTGTGCGCGGTGCCGCCGTACTGCACCGCCAGGATGTACGTGACCGTCGCACCCATCATGAGCACCACGCCGAGCGGGTCCGTCTGCAGGATCTTCTCGCGCAGCGGGGCCTTCTCGGGGACGGCCGCGCGGGGCGTCTGGAAGAAGAGGAAGATGACGGCGGCGGAGACGGCGCCGATGGGCAGGTTGATGTAGAAGCACCAGCGCCAGGAGACGCTGTCGGTGAAGGCGCCGCCGAGGAGCGGGCCGATGACGCTGGCGAGGCCGTACGAGGCGCCGAGGATGCCGGTGAAGGCGGGCCGCTTCTTGGGCGGCGCGGAGAAGGCGATGATGGTGTAGGCGCCGGCGCCGAGACCCGCGGCGCCGAGGCCGGCGATGGCGCGGCCGGTGATGAGCGCCTCGGCGTTGGGCGCGGCGCCGCAGATGACGGAGCCGAGCTCGAAGATGAAGATGGCGACGAGGAAGGAGGCCTTGAGCGGGAAGTACTTGTAGATCTTGCCCCAGGTCGACTGGAAGGCGCCGACGGTCATGAAGAAAGCGGCGCCGTACCAGCCAACCTTGTCCAGGCCCTTGAACTCTTCGGTGATTTTGGGGATGGCGGTGGCGACGATGGTCTAGGGATCAGAATGTTAGTAGGGTATTGATGGCATGGGAGGAATGTGGAAGGCCTACCATGTCGAGGGCGAGGAGGAAGATGGCGAGGACGAGAGCGACGACGATGAAGATGAGTTTGGTGCCGGACGGGTATTCTTCTTCACTGGGCTGGTCGGGTTGTGTCTTGGCAGCCTCGGTGTCGGATTCCGTCTTGCCGCCTAAGGAGCTGCTGTCGGGGATCTGCTTCTCGAGGGCATGATCTTCGCCGGCGAGGGTTGGTGTGGTCGAGGTCGCCCAGCCAGGTTCGCGAGGCACCTCGAGGGTGTTTCGTGTCGATGTCATGTTGTGGCAATGGTGAGTGTGGATGTTGTTCGAGACGTGATATCAAGAGTATACTCTAAAGGGCTGTTCTTCTTTGCCCAAGTTTGATTGCGATGGATCTTATACAAAGATGTCGGTGGGATCTCGGGGACTTTAATACACACACACATACGGAGAGAGTAACTCCAACTCCATCAGACAACAAAGAGGCTCCATCCGTCCCAAGTCACAGGCATAACGCGGAGCGCAGTTTCTGACCAATTTAGTCAAGGGGATAACAATAAAAAAATGTAGCTTGTTGACCCGGTGTGAGGTCGGACGCTTGCGAACCCGAGCACCGTGCTAAAGTCCATGTAAGTCCGCCACTACCAGCCAACACACCAAGATGATGCACGGTGAGCGGGGCCGCAAGAAGGGAGACTCTGTATGACTTGTATGACTGGTTTTGCCCTATTCTGCACCGTCTCTAGGAATAAGCTCCGCTGATTGGCGCTGGTCAAGTCCAGTCCACATGATAACGCGTTATGCCGGGCTGTGGCGTCAGCACGCTATAGGTAAGGCTAGCTGGCGATGGCTGCTTTGGGAACGAGGCGAGACAAGGCAAAGAAAGCTGGATGGATCATGGATGTGATAACACGTGGATTTGCTTTGAAATCTCTCCGCAGCCAATCTAGTCTTCCTGGCTGTTGGGCATATACGTCCATCGAGCTGCGAACGACTTACATGCACATTGCAGTCACTTTCTCAGCGGTCGCATTTGCCGACATTGAGTCTACCGTCACAATGATTACTATGATGTACCAAGAATATATGCTCCATGTCACCTTAGTTCCACGAGTTTCATATTGCCCAAATAACATGAGCTACCCCTAGTTACCCGTCAGCCTTAACAAAGTATGCAGCTACAACGATAACACTGTCCTTGACTGGTGGAACAGGCAGTGGAGAGCCCGTGTTAACCTGCCGGACCTTGCGGACATTGGGCTGAGTAATCTACAGCAGTCCTTACACAACCCATTGCGACGCGACCGCTGGTTGGAGAATGACAGAGCCTCACGGAGGTTGCCCAAGGCGGATCCGAGCAAGGGCCCGAGTTAGATCGAAGGTTTCAGTGAGGTCGCCGGGTGACGCGCCCGAGACCTTGACCAACGAACGCATGTCGCAATCCACAGCTGGCTGTTCGCGGTCATGGCTAGTTAGCTAGGACAAGCGTCGCTCCGCAACTCTACCGCCGCCGTTGCGGACTTGCTTAGCAATTTGTTCAGGGATGATTACAGTAGCTGCTGAAGTCAAGGGTGTTGACGGTTCAAATTTCGCCGCGGCAGAGCAAATTTCGAACGAGAATGGACGTGAGGCAACACAAAAGAAGTCTCCGAGATGGGAGCTTTGGGAAGCCCTGATCAACTAGTGCATATTGCTACCCGGGAGGGCCAAATCAGGCTGCTAGTTGCTGCCGGTACTTTTTAAGCTCGTTATCTCCAGGCTGGCTCCGACTGCCTGCGAGCCGCCAGCGTTGGACGTCTAGGCCGCACAGAGGTAGGAACAAGTTGCAGCCTTGATGTAGAGTCCAGAGAAGCTGGTCGTCGCGAAATCCGGTCAGCAGCCAATAGACCAAATCGGAGGAGTGGGGGTCAATTTCACCAGCACCACCAACCACTTCGTCCCATGATATGTTCTTTTTTTTTTTTTAATCCTTCCAATCTCTCGCCCCTTTCGAATTGCCGTGGACATGCCCAAGAGGCCGTTTCTCGGCCCGCATCGCTGCAGAACCGGCCGGAACCCGCTCTTGGCACTCGACCGGTCAGGTCACGGTCCGGTCCGGAAGCTGCCGTCCCCATCCCTGTTCTTGGCTGCCACGCTGCTTCATCTGTACGCTGGCACACCGGTCAAGTGTCCTTCTTCCCTGTACTACGTGCTCTGCCCGGAACTGTATCGGCCTCCATGCATCTACACGTGGCGTCGGTTGAGCTTCATTGCCTCAAAGCGGCTAGGCTGTGGACCGTATAAGTGGAATGCGCATGGAGGACTGCGTCCGAACAATGGACCAAGACAGAGGGGTATTGGGGTTGCGAGAGTGATGAACGGATGGTTGGGCTTCTGTTTGGATTTTGAGAAATTATTCTGCTCAAAAACATCCAACTTGCTCCTCTCCTGGTCATTGTGATACCGGCTTCATCCACGACAGCCTCAGACATCATGGGTTCCACCATGTACGCCGAGGAGCGGCATATTGCCTCGCTTGCCGTCCAACATGCTTCGTTGCTCACCAAATCTGTCATGCGATCGATAAAACACGTGTCCAAAAAAGATTCCACCCCGGTCACGGTTGCCGATTTTGCCGTGCAAGCCCTTCTCATCAGCACCCTCAGCCAGGCATTTCCGGCCGATAACTTCCTCGGCGAGGAGAGCGCCGCCGCCCTCCGGGAAGACGCCGTCCTATGCCAGCAAGTATGGGAGCTTGTCTCTTCGTCTCAGAAGAGCCTCCTCCAGGACGAAAAAGGTCGCACCACCACGGCCCTGGTGCCACCCTCGTCGCCGGAACAGATGCTGGAGTTGATTGACCGTGGCGGCCTGGGAACCGGTGGCCGACAAGGCCGGACGTGGATCATGGATCCGATCGACGGCACGGCGACCTTTATTGAGGGCGGCCAGTACGCCGTCGCCGTCGCCCTCGTCGAGGATGGCAGAGAAGTCCTCGGCGTAGTGGGCTGCCCGAACCTCGCGCTCGACCTGCCCCGTCTCGAAAGCGTGCCCGCCGACGATGACGGCCACGGCTTCGTCGCCTCCGCCGTCCGAGGCGACCACGGTGTCCTCGTGCAGCCGATACGCCCCTCCGGCGAGCTTCCTCCCGGACAATTCATCCCATCCCGCCGCCTGTCGTCGCAGCCCACCGCCGACTTAAACTTTGTGGACTCGGTGCTCGGCGAGGAGTATCAGTTGCGGCAGGCCAAGAAGCTGGCAACCGGTCTCGGCTGCGCGTCCTTCCCGACGACGGAGATTTGGTCAACCCAGGTCCGGCTTGTCGTCATGGCCCTGGCCGGTCGCGACAACATGGTGCAGGTCCGCCTTCCACGACCGTACAGCGGCGGCGAGGAGGATCCGGAGAACTACATCTGGGACTATGCGGGCGCGCACGTGATCCTGCTCGAGTCCGGCGGTGTCGCGTCTGATTTGAATGGCAAGGAGATTGATTTCGGGACGGGCAGGCGGCTGTCGGGCAACTGGGGATTGATCGCTGCGTCTCGTCCTGAATTGCAAGCTCGGCTTCTCGGTCAGGCGAGGGAGTTTTGCGCGGGAGAAGCGGTAAAAGGTTAGAGCAGTCAAGTCCGGGGATAACGAGGAGTCGCAGTGAGGATGCGGCTGATCAAGATGCGTGGGTGATGACGTGCAGTGCTGCACACGTCAATGCCATCATGCCAGGGTATAGATCCTGGATGATTGTTCCGGGGCCGGTGAGAGACATTTTTTCAGTAATTTTCGTAAATTGAGTGATGGCAATTGATCGTAATAAAAAAAAAAGAAGCAAGGAGCTTCAATGAGTTTCTTTTTCTAAACTCCTGTGATGTGCAATTGTTCAGTACGGCCTTTTTGATGTGTGGACCCACGCCTATCCCATCCCCAAAACTCCGCGGCAGATATCGTCACGATCATCCTTCACCTCTTCCAACTCGCCGCAGCAAGGAGAGCTAATGGGTCATGTGGTATGAATTGGCACGTATAAATTCACCAATTCCCCCACTGGCCTGATTTCCACGACTTTTCTCTCCTCTCTCCTCTTCCGTCCTCCTCCCCCGCCCGCCATCACGACCTCTGCCGAAACCATGTTTGCCGCCCTCGGCCGCCCTCAACTCGCGGCACGCGTGCCTCCCACCACCGCCGCGGCCGCTCCTCGAATATTCGCCCAATCCGCCTGCTCCACGCCCTCCTCCTCCTCCTCCTCCTCCTCCCGCGTCGAAAAACTCCCCTCCTCGTCCATCCCCGTCCTGCGCACCGTCGACGCCGTCCGCCGCTGGCGCCGACCACACACCCTCGCCCAGCAGACCGTTGGCCTCGTGCCCACCATGGGCGCGCTGCACGCCGGCCACCTCGCGCTCGTCCGCGCCGCCGCGCGCGAGTGCCACCACGTCGTCGTCAGCGTCTTCCTCAACCCGGCACAGTTCGGCGAGCGCGAGGACCTGGCCTCGTACCCATCCACCTGGGCCGCCGACGCCGCCGCGCTCGCCCGCCTCGACCGCGAGGAGCTCGCCGCCGACGGCGCCAACCTCGGCCGCCTCTCCGCCGTCTTCGCCCCGCCCCCCACCGAGATGTACCCGTCCGGCCCGCCCGGCCAGGCCGTCGACAGCAAGGGCAGCTTCGTCACCATCACCCCCGTCGGCGAGGTGCTCGAGGGCGCCAGCCGGCCGACGTTCTTCCGCGGCGTGGCCACCGTCTGCATGAAGCTGTTCAACATTGTCCAGCCGGACCGCGTCTACTTTGGGCAAAAGGACGTCCAGCAGACGGTGGTGGTGCGCCGCATGGTGAGCGACTTTGCGGTGCCCACGAAAGTGGTCGTGTGCCCGACGGAGCGCGCAGAGGACGGGTTGGCGCTTAGCTCGCGCAACGTGTACCTGGGCACGCGCCGTCGCAGGGTCGCCGTCGTGCTAAACCGCGCGCTCGTCGCGGCGGCCAACTCGTACGGCGGGGGCAACCTGCGGCGCGAGGCCGTCCTCGGCACCGCGCGCGAGGTCGTGGCCGCCGTCGTGCAGGCGCAGGCCCGGCTGGCGCCCACCCAGCGCGTGCTGTTCGAGGTCGACTACATTTCCCTCGCGGACCCGGACACGCTCCAGGAGGTGGACGTGATCGATCCGGAGCGAGGGGCGGTGCTCAGCGGCGCAATCAAGATGCTGCCGCTGGAGGAGGCCGTCCCTGGCGAGGATGTCGGCCATGCCGGGGGCCCGGCCGTGAGGTTAATAGACAATCTCATCCTGGAGCCTATAAAAGCATAGATTTATATAGAGAGGTGATGTCACTGGTGAAGTACCAGCAGATTAGACCATTGTGAACCTATAGTTGGGGTTGATTACGACTAGCGAACACCGGCTGTTATACGCTGTCTTTTCAAGGCTATTTTTTCTTCAGATCTTTCTTCTTTCTTAATTCTTTGCCACTCTGTTTGAATCAAACAAGTTGTGTCGCAGTGGGCACGTTGCACACATGTGGGCTGCCTGTGAGGTGGAATCTGCACGTTGTCGCAGGATGCTATGTACTGTCGCTAGCCACATCTCATCCTATAACTATATGCCCTCTTGAAAAGTCCGGGACCGAATACAAGTCCGTGTTCAGAAACTTATATCAGTAGCCATGAGGTACTACCCAAGTTAGAGGCCCCCAACCCCCACCCCTGGTTTTCCAATCTTACCACAACTATTATTATTATTAGTAGGTACTGTAGATAGGTAGTGGGTAACAAAGCGCAGACGCTTTCAATATGGTCAAAATATACAAACCAAAAATTATTAGCTTGTACTTTGCAAACTTTATAGAATCGCTATACAGTCATTGCTAGTAGTAATAGGCACGTTATTAGGTAGCAGATACAGGTCCCAGGAGGCTATGTAGGTAGTACCTGTAAGCTTCTGGATTGCCAGAGTCTTGCTCCTCTTTTTTCTCGCATCTGATGATTCCATGAACTACTAGTCCCCGTTGCGATGGTCCTGGGGGCTATGGTGAAGCTTTGTATCCGTATTTTAGATGATTGCAATGACGGATCATTTTATCTGCAGTTTGTAAGCGCCAGAAAGTAGTCATCTGAGGGGTCCAATCGGTAAGACTAGTGTAGTTAGAGGGAGGGATCGCGGGGGGTGGGCGAGTGGGGGCGGGTACAGTTGTATAGGGTAAACTGATTAGGGGTGTTGGTATATACATAAGTACCTACATAGACTGAACGTCGAGAATCAGATCGCAGAGGCGAGCCCGGAAGCCGGAGCTCACCGCACAAGAATTTTACGCCTGAGGATTTTGAAAAGCACAATATGCGGGGCAACTACTAGATCATGGTGGACGGCAAGGTATACGATGCGACCAGCGTACTGGGGTGGCATCCCGGAGGAGCTGCTGCCATCTTGTCTCATGCTGGCGCTGGCTGTGCTTTCAAGCTGGCTGAGAATGAGAACAAGGCGATATCATAAGTGACCGCTCACCACGGAGTGGCAGAAGCGCCGGGAACACTCGGAAATGGCCGTAAGCCTGCCATCCTTCGCTCCAGTTTGCTGCAGATCCGTCATGCAGGGGCCCTTTGAAAAGGCTAGACTCACTCAGCCTCGAGTAATAATAATAAATGCTGATGATGATTCCCCACGGCGTCATCTATATCCAACGGTTCCACTAGACGCATGCTTCCGTCGCAAATCGAATGCAAGAGGCTCAGGATGGCAAAGCACGTCTTCATAGCAGTTGTATCACTTGCAAGTCCAGCAGTTTATTTGAGCATAGAACCGGTGCTCTCGGACGACATACACCTCCACACAAGAGTTCCTAAATCACGGCGGGTTACTTCGAACAACCGTTCAGAATCAATCAGGCTGCAGGGGTGTCATATAACCTGCTCCGGAGAGGATCCCGAAAGGCCGAAGCGGTGCGCCGTACGACGCCCACCCATGCAGCCACAAGCTCTTTGACGGGTGTTGGACGGTGCGATGGTGAAAGGCACGCGTTTCGGCCGTTCAAGCAAGGTCCTTTAGCAAGTACCTGTATCTATAGAAGTCGGGAGCGCCACATAATCAGTGTTTCCATCAATCAGCTCAGCGCCAGGTTCATGTCCACCCGGCTGGCCGGCCGTAGACTCTGCCCTGCCTGCATCGTGGCACCGCACCCGTTTCCCCTCTATCTGAGTTCGAAATCCCAAACGCAAGTCTTTGCTTTCACAGACTCTGCAGAGCGACAGAATTCATTCAACCGCTGACAAGGTGACTAAAGGCTTTTTCTTCTACCCGCAAAATTCACCAGCCTTCGCTGTCCTACGGTTCAGAATGGCTACTCCAAAAGAGGCTCAGGAGGTAGTCACGAAGCTTACCAAGAAGTATGGGTACTTGCGGCCGGAATTGCTGGAGAAGCTGGGCGAATTGAACGCTGAGTATCTTGAGGAGCTTGAAGAATACAAAGCAACGACGGAGAAGGCCATTTCACACTCTATTAAAACGTGAGCACTCGAGCCTTGCAGTTCGCATGTCAACTACCAACTAACCATCTGCAGCCTTGCACGCACCGTCTATGATAGCAATGCTCGGTTCATTTTTGAGCTGTTGCAGAACGCAGACGACAACAAGTTTACTGAGGCAGCCAAGAAAAGGCGAGCGCCAGGCATCACCTTCAAGCTATGGCCCGACAAGATCATCATTGACTGCAATGAGGATGGCTTTACCACAAAGGATCTCGAAGCAATCTGCTCCATAGGCCAGAGTTCCAAAACCATCTCGCACGGATACATTGGCGCCAAGGGCATCGGTTTCAAGTCAGTCTTCATGGTGGCCTCAAAGGTGCACATTCAGTCAGGCCATTTCTCGTTCGAGTTTCTTCACCGGAGAGAAGATCCCGGCATCGGAATGGTGAGGCCATTCTGGAAGACACCAGACCAGACGCTTGATGGCCCAATGACACGGATGACACTCTGGCTGCATAGCGATGGAGATGCGGCGGAAACAGCCCATCAGCGAGATGTCATTGACCGCCAGTTCAAAGATCTTGAGGTGGCTTGCCTCCTATTCCTCAGAAATTTGAGAGAAATTACAGTCGAACGGTACGATGACTCAGACGTCCTCGCCGAGTCGCGAAAGTTTACCAAGAGTGGCCCAATTGGCCGCCATCGAGTAGCCCTTGAAACAACGACTCGCAAGTCTTTCGGACGCGAAATCAGTTCTCGCCGAACCTACCACGTTACTCGGCTAGAAGCCACCAATTTACCTCACAGCAGCAACAGGTCCCTGACTTCATCCGAAGAGAACCTGAGGATGGCTGGACAAGCTGAGGTTGTGCTGGCATTTCCGCTTACTGAAGAGACCCCCACTCAAGGATCCCGACCCATCACGGACAAAGTACAGCATCTCTTTGCCTTTTTACCGTTGAGACAAGATTCCAGATTCAAGGTAGGCAGTTATTATACTCTCTTACTCGGCCGTTCATGTTCTTGTAAGCTGACGCGCGTGGCAGTTTTTGATCCACTCCGACTTTGACACAAATGCCAGCCGCCAAGACGTTCTCGTTGATTCTCAAAGAAACATCAGTCTCCTTGATTGGATTGCCAAAACCTTTGTACTTGCCGCGGGGCAGTTCTCAGCGCAGCAGTTCACCTCGTTGTCCTACGAATGGCCCTTGTTTCTTCCGGAGAGCTCTACTTGGGGGGGTTTCTGGTCGACTCTCGAACAAAAGATTCACCGAGGGATCAGGAACACACCGTTGTTCAGGTCACGAAGTCATAACACCTTGCGGAGATTGCATGAACTCTGCGAAGTTCCAGGTTACGGGCGTCTGGCAAATGGCGAACCTGTTCTGGAGGATGCGACTGAGGATATATACCTCTCCAAACACTACTCATTTGAGGTCAGACGCAGGCTGAGAGAGCCACAATATGGCCTTGAGACGTTAAACTATCACAAGTTTCTTGAAATATTACGGAAAGATCTTGCTTCCGATCACTCTGAAATGCGCAACGCAGATCCTGGCCGCAGTACAGATGTTCGTGCCGAATGGCATTCAGTGGTTGCCAAAGCGATCATCGACGCTGGACGGACCAACGATATACACAATCTTGAGCTACTACCTTTACGGAACGGCAGATGGGTAACGGGCAGAGATATGCCTGTTTATTTGCCGACCGTTGGCAACATTCCAATTCCGTTAGGACTCGGGTTGCGGGTCCTTGAGCCCTCCGCGGTGGCCAACGATGCTCGAAAGGGGCTTTTTCTGACATTGGGGGCTACAGAAGCGTCAGCCAACACTGTGAGAGCTTCTATATTGATTGAGTTCTTGATAATAAGCCTTTTTAACCCTCTTGACCATCTTCGCTTCTTGTACCAAACGTCACCTCCTGAGATGAAACTGCACGTACATGAGCCGAAGGGAGTGTTTCGCTTCATCTACTTGGATCGGGATCAGTTTATTAAGCCAAGTGAAGCGGACGTTTATCTTCCTCAAGATTCCGGCTCATATGGACCCATTGCTCTATTGTCAGATTGTGATACGATAGCAATCAATTACGCGGACCCGGCAATTCTTCGAGATCCTCCACCGAGGCCATCTGATGATCATCCGACATGGATACAATGGCTGCACGGTTGTATTGGCATTCGGTCCCATCTGCGACTATTTAACGCGGAGATGACAGGACTATCAGACGCAGCACTGTATGTGCTGTCGCATAAACCGTTTAGCTTTCTTGGTTTGCTTGAACAACTCTGGAAAAACCAGCCCCCAACACTGAAGATGACCGCTTCCTTGCGTCAGCTCATTGGTGAGATGGATGTGACGTCCATTTGCAATTTTGCATACCCTATTTCACTACAGGAAAGTTATTTCCCTCTCAGAAGCTTGCGAGAAGAGGTGGAACAATATATGGAAAACTCGGCTGCCTTTCCTTTTCTTCAAATTGAGACTGAGACGGATTCATTTCCTGAAATTCCTGGGAAGTGGATGTTTCTATATAGAGACTTCCGTGTTCGCGGGGACAATGATTTGAAGTTTTTACTCGACATTCTGTGGTGGATTTGGTCGGACAATTCTGACGACTCTGACGACTCTGACGAGTCTGGCCAGTCTGGCCAGTCTGGCCAGTCTGAAGACTACAACGACTCTGACGAGGCTGAAGACTACGACAACTCTGAAGCTTTTAGAAACTTGAACTTTTCTCAAGACTCCGAGGGCTCCGAGTACTCTTGGCAATCCGATAGCTCGGGTAGAGTTGTCATTCTATCAACAATACAACTGCAAAAACTTTGCAACTTGTACACGGCCATATATGCCAAACTTGTCCTATCGAAGGATCCGACACAGGATAGAATTAACATCGAGTCAGCCCACACTCTCTTTGCTGGACTTGACACGAGCTAACGAACCACCTAGGGAACTTTTCGACGAGGACGTGATCTATATTCCAGATGAGGACGCTCCGTACTGGGTTGGCCGTTCGCAGTGCCGCTGGCATGGGCCACCACTGACCACAATCGACGTCCTTCACAATCTTTACGGTCGCACGTTGGGTGATGAGCAAATGACGAGCCTAGGACTACTTTTCAGCAAAACACTCATGATCCCCGATGTCTCTGCTGAGGATATCATTGAGGAACTCAAACTTATCAGGGACGACTGGGTGATGGACCCTGACGAGCCAAGCCTGAACAGCATAAAAGAACTGTACCGATATCTGCATGAATCTGAAAATTGCGACTCTTCTGCCTACAGGTACAGTATTTCGTGCTATTCGGCCCTTATTCTGGCCGCTGTTTAGTTAGCTAATCTAAGTGCAGTGACGGGTTTCGGTCGGAGGGCCTTATATACGCAAGATCTGGAGGCACGTGGGGCTGGTACAAGAGCTCAGATTGCTTATGGTCGAGCAGAACCAATATCGAAGGAAAGGCTGTACTAAACACCCATTATGAAGAGTTTGAAGACTTCTTTGTGGGTTGTCTTGGCGTGAAAAGCCTTACCCTCGAAATGGTTTATGATGAGCTGAGCCGCACAAGGTCACAAGATGTCACAGACATCAAATCAAAGATTCTGGTGTTTGCCAGCCTTCTGGCGGCCGAGCCAACAGACTTGGAACCGGCACCGATATTGGAGGCTAGCGTATTCCCTCTCAAATACCCTGACAATCCGGCGGTAAAGCTTGTGAAGGGAAACATAGACTTTGCTATTGCTGACCGCGACTATCTAAGGCAGCGTTTCCAGGGCAGGGCCAAGATTCTTGATCTTACATTGGAACAAGTCCGTCGTGCGAGCCCATTTTTTGAATGGCTCAACTTCCAGGGCAGATACCTTTCGAAGCGCCTAAAAGAAATTACCTCTGTAGGTGCTGTATCAGGCGTTGTCGTTTCATCTGCCACGCAGGCCATGCAACGGAAAGCCAAGTATTTACTTCGGTATGTTGAAAAGAATGCGGCAAAGACGAATGCGTGGCTAACACGTGGGCAGGATTGCTGCAACTTTTGAAAGCCCCCGCTACGAAAACGACAATGTCGGACTACTCCAGCAGCTACATAGTGTTTCGGTTATTGAGACGGATACTTTGTCTACCACCCTCTCCATCATACAAGACAATAGACCAATTTCTGTGGAGTCGGAGACTGGCAGCGTGCACATTGCAGAAACAGCAGACAGCATGACCATCTATGTGCCGAAAGACAAGAGAGCAAGAGCAATTTGCTTTGCTTCGGTGCTGCCCGCTGCCTACGCTGACTGGCTCATGCTAGACCCGACGAATAATCGGCAAGGCATTGTTACTGAGGACATGATACCTACGCTCATGTCTGTATTTGCTTGCCCAGCATCCGCCCTTGATACTGTTCTCGATCGCTGCGGTATATGCAAGGCATCATCATTTTCGGATATAGATGATAGCTCCGAAACTGAGTATGAGGATAGCTGCGAGGATGATTATGAAGATGACGGCAAGGATGATTATGAAGATGACGGCGAGGATGATCATCAAGATGACGGCGAGGGTAGTGACGCAAGCCATACCCTTACGCCAAATACAGGGCTAGAAGCTGGGCAGCGGAACAATGCCCCTGGCTTTCCGAGAGCTTCTTCACGGCAAGATTCCCTCTCTGAGCGGTCGGAGACCGTTGGTAGAGATGCGCATGAAAACGGGGTGCAAAGCAGTTCACAAACTGTGCTTAATGTCGAGCACGCGAGCAGCAGCATTTCGCAGCAGCGCCACTCGCCATCGTTGACCGCCCGAGTTCATCAACCCGTCCTAGGCCATCCGAGTACAGCCTCAAATTCTAGGTTGTCCATGAGTCCTTATTTGGGAGCTGGACTAGATTCCCATGGGCAATACGAGATTCTCTTACAGCGCGTTGTTGACGCTGCGCGGAGTCGGAGTAGCCAGTTTCCTCAGGTCACCGCCCTCAACATGCAAGTCTTGGCAGATGCCCTTCCCGGTGGCGACGATGATGTCGACGTTGAAAGCTATGATAGAGCCGGCGTGAACATCAGGGTCGGCTCAATGAGTCGGCTCGAGCGCGACAAGAGAGTCGGGGCAGCGGGAGAGCTCTATGTAAGTTACGGACCGATACTGTTCCAGAGGTTGCATCGGGTTCACAAAGCATCTACTAACCACGTACTGTGTGTTGCTGTAGGTTTATGAGCTACTCTTCAAGGAAAACCTCCCAGGCTGGGGTCGTGACAACTGGCAGAGCCGAATCAGGACCTACGCGCGGGCACATCCTGACTATGCGCTGCTGGAGGCGTGGACTCGGAGCGAGACGTCGGACCTTGTATATGACGACTCCCAAGGCCATCTTACCGAGAAGCTCATCAACTGGGGCTATCTGGAGGCCGAAAAATGGCAGCATGCGTGTCCAAAGTATTATCTCGAGGTCAAGACAACAACTGGCCCGTGTGAGACTCCTTTTTATGCCAGCGGCAAGCAGTACCGGCTGGTAAGTCGTGCACGAGAAGACGCATACGCCAAAATCCTTACCTTTTTTTTTTTTTTTTTCTAACGCATGCACGCAGCAGAGACCACGTCGGAGATTTACATGATTCTTCGAGTGTTCTCATTGAATAGCGATAGAATCGGGATGCGTGTATACGTTAATCCTGCCCGCCTGAGAAACGAGGAAACCCTGCTATTCACGACGCAAACTTGGGCCGTGGTGCCCGGGCCGGGCAGAGCCGCCGGCGGAGGAATATTTTCGATGCAATCCAACTAATAATATGCCGGGAGTACTAGTTTCACCTCTCTGCGGGACATTTTCACAGGCTACAAGGAGTGACAAGTCCTCCGAGTACTAGAATTGACGGCTGCACATAACCCTACTGCCTCGTAGAGCAACTACCTTCCGCCTCTAGTTCAGAAATATCTTCGCATCTCGGCATCTAGACTGCCGTTGTATATATCAAAATATATTGAACAACGACCCAAGGTTTGAGTTTGAGCAAACGCAGGCATCAAGAGAAACAAATCAGTAATATACACCTGCAATGGTCCGCTGTGCCATTGCCCCCGCGGCACATCATGCCATCTTATAGGTTTGGCCTCCCCCGCATCTTTCTGCGCCGACGCGCCTCGCCTACAGTCTTGTGCAGCGTTTCTGCTTCCTCTTGGCTCAGACGATTGGGGATCTTTTGCTTGCCGGCCTTGGCGCTTTCTTCCGCCTGCTCGAACAGCTTTCGTCCGAGCTCATCGGTTAGCCGCAGCACGCGGCTACTGACAGTCGCGCCGTCTCTTCGGTTCTTACCCTCCCGGCGGCAGCTGGCAATCTTTTCCGTAAAGTCCCAGAGCTTCCCCTCTGCGAGCAAAGCACCGGTTTCAGGGTCTCGCGGTGGCCTCCAGGACGGATCTAGCTGCATGCGAGGAGGGATCTTGGAGTCCTTGGTCTTCACAACGTGCACCATTTGGTCCTCTTCGAATCTTGTATACGAGTTCTTGAGCGTTTCCTTGTTTACGGCCTCGAAATAGGATAGATCACCTTGGTGATATAGAGTTTTCCCAAGCTGAAGAATTGTTAGTTAGCAGTGCTATCACATGGGTGTCCGATGAAAATCAACTCACGAGCTGAGCACTATTTTGCGCTTTGGATTGTTCAACCCAGACGTCAGTCGCATCTCCAGGCGGGCTTAGCCCCATCAGGGACACAGCAGCCAGCCAGCTGGCTTCAATGAAGGGCCAGATCAGGAAGCAGTAGAAATCATAGTTCTCGCGTCCTGCTCTGCGCTCTTCATCTGAAAGACCAACTTGAACCACGTTGCCCTTCTCATCCCTGGTGAGCTTCACGATGCGGTCAGCCTCCAGTCCCTTGAGCGTCTTTTCCAGGTTGGCATCGAGGCCAGCACTGCCAAAGATGAACTCGCCACGGAACAGGGACGATAGGAAGAAAACTGTCGACTTGAGTTCCTCAAACTCGATAACCTGCATTGAAGGCCCTCCACCACGCTTGACACGTGTGTACATGGCGGCGCTGACAAGGGCTTCGTAAATGAAGAGATGAATGGTCATGTTGCGATAGAAAGAAAGCTGGAAGCGATCGACAGCGTAGTAGGTGGGTTCAGCGAGTCCGTCAACCACACCAACTAAGTCTTTGCCAAGAACCTCCAGGCCACGATCAATAATCTCTGAAAGCGGTGCATTACCAGGGTGCGCGACACGGCCGCCCTTTGCTCTTACGCGAGCAGTGAGCCACTCGACGCGACGAATCAGTTCTTGCTTACCAACTCCGCGACCTCGGAGTGTAAGCAAGACAGTGCCAATAAGAGCAGTAGGCATGACAACGGAAACGGCGTTGATATCTCCAAGAACTTTGTAGCCGAGAGTCCGCAGAATCTTTTCACGAACCGCCCTGACAGCCGGGTTACGATGATCTGTGTCCAGGCCGCGAGGTACATTGGGGATTCTTGTGAGTTGCTCATCGATGAATTTTCGTAGACTCCAGGGCTCGTGGAATCGCACATCAACGCGGCCAAGCTTCAAGGACAGCACCGAAGAGCCTCCGGAAAGGAAGTCGGCAAGATTCTCCTTCTTCTTGGGAACACCTAACAGTTCGGTAACGTATCCCTCCGTCTCAATAACCTTGTCATATTGAGTGCTAACAGGGCAGATAATGGTGTCTTGGACACGACCCGAAAGAATCGAGTCGAGAACGAAGCTCAGAATACCGAATTTAGGCGGCAGCAACTTTCCGGTACGCGATCGACCCCCTTCGATGAAACATTCGAAATTGTAACCCTGTTGAAGTAATGTGTCGATGTATGACTGGACCAGAGTCGAGTAAAGTGCGTCCTCGCCGAAGGAGCGTCTGATCCACATTGCGCCAGCATGCTGCAAGAAGCTTCCAACAAGAGGGAAGTTGAGGTTATCACCAGCCACCACGACGGGCAGAGTCAAACCAAGCCGGTAGCAAATGAGCTGAAGGCTCACGTAGTCAACGTGCGATCTGTGGCTGGGGAGGAAGACAATGCTTTGCTTCTTCTTGGCAGCAAGATCGGCGACTTTGCGTAGACGCAAGACTTCCTCACTGGAGACGTGAATACCCTGGTGATAGGCTCTCGTCAGAAGCTGAGTGACCATGTAGTAGGCACCTCGGATAAACGTCTTGCTCTCCATTTTGCAAATCATTTCGTCGGTTAGCTTCTCGGCAACCTCCTGCAAGGAGTTTTCCAGGGCCACACGGCGTTGTGCCCGCTTCGTCACGTAGTCCTTGTCGTTCTTATTTAGAAGTCCTTCCTTTTCCTCGACGGCAACGCGGCTCTCTGCCAGTTGCGAGATGCGCTTCTGGAGAAGCGGCGCAGACATGACCATGGACGTCATGTTTTGAGTGAATCCAGGGTAGAAGACGGGCTGCCCGATGACATTATCGTATGCGCGCCATCCCTGGCCGGAAACGTAAAGGGAGACCTCCCGAAGAAATCTGGGCCTGTTAGCATCCCTGAAGTCGCTGTGGTAGTTAGACAGGCCGGGCAACATACTGCAGAGGCTCGGACCGAAACGACGCGAATTGGTTCATCAATGCTTCTTCCCTCCCCTCCGCGACGCCCTTCTCCGGCTCCAGGTAGCCACCGGGTTGCAGAGTGATCTCATCTCCTAGAATCTGCAGATCGGGCGCCGAATTGCTGGTCGGGTCAAGAGGCTCGTCGCTGCCAGCCATGGTGGAGGGGCGGACGGGTAAGGTCGGGGCCGATGGGGCTATGCGTGTCGCAGAAGGAGTCCGGGAATCTGGTCAAGCGGCCGCGACGAGAGAAATCAGCCAGAAAGAGTCAATTCATCGAATTAGACAGATGAATGGGATGACAGTCTGAACTGGAGAAAGCTGACTGGAGCTGCCGAAGCTGGCGACAAGCCCAAGCGTCCGGGGGTGGGGCAGACTGCGATTCTGCCGAGGCCATCAGGTCCATGTGAGGCCAAACCGCCGGCTACTAACTAATAACTAGGTTAATAACCAATGTAATAAGGCTGGCCTAACTAGACTTTTTTTTTTCTCTGGGCCACCCACTTGGCCAATGGCTTCGTCTGCATATTCACCCGTCTTCCGTCCCCCTCCTCAACAATTCAACATATTTTCTAGTTAGCGACGGCTATCTTTTTCACCCGAGCCGCGGCTATCAACTCTTTTTACAAAAGATCGTCTGTCTACCATGGCGACACTGCAGCCCCTCACGCAGGAGCTACTAGCTCGCGCCCATCCACCCGAGACCATCGAGCGCATCTTCGGCGAAAAAATTCAACACCGCAAGTTACGTCTGCGACAATCATCCCCGCCACCGTCTGCCCTAAATGCGCGGAACGCACGACGAAAAGCGCGCCAGGAAAAGAAGGAAAAAGAGAGGCAGAAGCCGAAACCGCTGTCCTCCCGCCAGCGACGCGAGCTGGGCCTCCACGACGTGCCCGCCACAGGGCAGTCCTACGATATCTACGCCGGTCTGAATAAGCTGTGGATAGGCTACGCTCGCGAGCTTCTCGGTCGAGACATATACACTGGCGGTGCCGGCGCCGCTGCGAAGCTTGCCAGCGCAGAGCTCCATGGCGCCGCGGCGCAGGTTGTCCGCAGTCGCTGCCCCGGTCGGGTCGGCATCAAGGGCATTATCGTCCGCGATCGCAAATTCGTCATCGAGATCGTTACGCAGAAGCGAGGCCTCAAGGTTGTGCCCAAAGACGGGACAACGTTCAGGATTGAAGTGCCCGCGCCGCCCGAGGACGCGCCGGCGGCTGATGCAGAGCAGGGTGCACGGGGCGCGGCGCAAATATTTGCGTTCGAGGTCCATGGCGACCAGCTGATGTTGCGCTCAGCAGACCGGGCGAATCGAAAATTTAAGCAACACTTTCTCAAAGATTTGTGATGATTATTTGACGACTGCACGACTAGAACGAATTGATACCCCAAAGTGAGTTGATAGACTCGAACATGGCTAGATTGTGAGAGCAGGAGCGGCGTATTATGTGGCAGGTGCATAGATTACTGTACGATATGTAGTTACACGGTGGAATGACAACCCTTCTGTCATTGTCTAAGGTGTCTTCATCTACGCGCGTTGTGATGGCTCTGTGGGGCACTGGACGACGCAATTGCGGTGTGTTTGAAAATAATACTGTAAGTAATCCAAACTCCAGTTGCGTTGTTGACTAGTGGCCGGTTGCCCATAGCTATCGGATAGCAGCACTTGTCACTCACTACTTTGCTCAACTGTTTACAGACTCGGGTCAACTACGTAAACGTATACCAAGGCGCTCTGGGGACACAACGCGGCCATGCCAAGCTGCAGTAACACGTTGTTGCAAGTAGGGATTCGCCAAGCTTTGGTGATCGCCGCGCGGATGCAAGGCTAATAATAAGCGGCATGATTGAAACATGAAGAAGGCTGCGTAGGCGTGTCGTGTTTGTTGTTGGCAGCAAGGGGCCTAGCGAGGGGCTTGCTAGGCGCCGGCTTGGCTGCATAGCTGACTGAATGATTGCGCGTGCTCGATATAAGCGACAGACAGCAACGAGGGTCGGCATGTTCAATGTTTTTTAAATATCATCTATTGGATGCAGAGGATTGTAGAGGATTGTAGGTTTACCTACACATAGAAGGCAACTTCAGTTGAATGCCCCCATTTAGGATTCAGCCCTCGTGCCTACCAGCCGGCTAAACATCGGTCACATACCGCTTCAGGCATGGTGGACTCTGGGGGCTTCGCCTCGCCTACCGCCTGGGGGCCAATTCAAGCACCTCCAATTTTGCCTTTGCCAAAACCTTCTGGCTTTTCTTCCCAAGCGCCGCTGCTATTCACTTCACGCTCCCGTCATAACACACGAAACGCCAAACATCTGTACCATCTTACCGTTGTCATTCTCGTCCGCGCAATATCGCAATTTACGTTGCCCTAGCAAGCGTTGTCTTTGCATTTTTATTCTACATCGCCATTCCCGTCGCCCTCACCGGTGCCGTGTCGACCTTACCAAAGCTACCAGCCTCCCGAGCAGACGTGGCAACTCGCGCTTCGAGCTCCCCTTCTGGTCCAACAAGAACCACACTCAACATGCAGACCAATCTACCTTCGAGTTTCGCCTCGGCTGCCGCCGGCCAGAACGCGAATCGCGATCCCAGGACTGGCAGACCTGATGGTCGCGGTGCTGTAGGCGGCGACTGGTATGTTACCCCCCTCGTCCCTTGTCACGCGATTGCTTCATTGTGCGCTGCGTGGTTGAGGCGTTGGCACCATCTCACCTCCTGCGTGGGCTGATCACAGCGCAAATGCATCAGCCTTCAACCCATGCTGCGTGTGTCCGCCCCATCCACGACCCATTCGCGTCGCGAAAACCTTTTCCCATTTCATCCCGCGCCGCTCCCTTAAGCACAACATTTACTTACCACATCATCAGGGCACGTCGAGACGGTCGTTCCGCCAATGGGACTATGACATTTCGCCGCGCATCAACGACCCCCCTCGGCCAAACCATGCAGACCGCCCCTCCAACAGACCTCGCCGCCGCCCAGTCTACATCGGCTGAGCCTGCTCCGCCAGTCGCCAGCGTAGAGGTCGAGCCGAGCCGCTACACCAAAGATGATCTTTTGGAAGTGTTTCGCATCCAGAAAATCAGCGATGATCCCTCTCATCTCTTTATGCCCGGCTGGGACCCCAGCAACATCAATGGAAATTCTGGCAGGGGTTGGGGCAAGAGCAACGAAAACCACATCCCGCAAGAACCCGGTGCATGCTGGGATCAGAATGGCGAGACGACCCCGATGGCCTTTCAAGAATACTCTTTTGATGAGAAAGAGGTGAATAGTGCACTTATTGACCTCCCCCCAACCCAATATTCTAACAAATTAAAGGCCTTCTCGACCGACATCAATTCCCCGCTCAAGCCTCCGACTCAAAGCAAGGAAACCCACCAACCAAACGGCAGCGGTCGAAAACCATCCATCTCGCATGGAACGGGTAACGCATACGGCGTAACATCACCGTCCTCTGCGACTCGGCCGTCGACTCGGCGGCGCGAGACCGTCGATTCTAATCCCTTCAGCAGCTCTGGACTGGGCTCTCCAACCGGGCCTGGTAGATTCTCCTCCCGCGATGACCAGACATTCTGGTTCAATCGGAAGGCTGGTGAATCTAAGGACTCTGATGCCCAGGACCAGTCCGCGGACCAGGCTCGTGACCAAGCAAAGTCCACCCTGCCTGGTCTCATGCGTGCTAACACTGCAGGCACCGTGGGGATGAGCTCCATTTGGCCTCCCTCTAACCCTAGTACGCCTGGGGCGGGAGGCTTCGGGAATTTCTCAATCGGATCTTCGACTATTGGGGACAAGCGTATTGGTGGCACTACTGGCGGCAGCAGACTCGCTCATCTCATGCCAAAGGACAGCTCCGAAAACATAAGTGCGAGACCTTTTGATGCCAATGCAACTACTGCAGTGCCTGAGCAGTCATGGAGAACACGGCCACGGACTGACACGGATCCTTTTGGAGACGATGAGCTGTCAGGTAGCGCAATGCTGGGAGGATCGCAGGACACCAACCCCGGCGGCAACCGTGCTCCCGCTCTAGGTACCCCTGTCAAGGGTTCCGCCGGCGATTTCGGCATGGCAGGACTGAATCTCGATGATGGTCCTAACAGCCCCTCTGAGACCAACCCTTATCGCAGTCCGGCAAACCACAACGATGGAGATTCTACGAATGAAAACAAGCACTACTCTGGCGCGTCTCAAGAGCCTGGTGCTGGGTTTGGTGCTCTACCTAGAAGCTTTGTCGCTGGCACTTTTGATGGTAGCGATCGCAGCCAGACATCAAGCGTCGGTGCGAAGGCTTACCCCCTCGGTCACCTGTCCGGATGGCCTGCGCCTGGCCCTTCAACTGGAACCCCCGACCGCGATCGTCCCAACTTTGGAGCGGCTGCCTTTGGAAACTCTCTCTTCGGAAACATGGGCGAGCTGCAGTCTCCTGGTCTCAGCAACCTAGGCAACGTGTTTGGTCCTTCCGGCTCTGGCGGACTCGGTGCTGGCAGCATTGGACGAGGTAGCAAGCTAGGCTCCCTATTCCCTGCCGCTATGCAGGCGCAGATGCAGACCAGTGATCATGAATCCGGGGGTGATGGCGCTGATCTGCGCCAACAAGGAAATCCTCTCGGTGCCATTGGCCGCGGCAGTTTCCCGGGCCCGCCCAGAGATACGGAAAGCCCGATGCGATCCAACCGCGGTGTGTTCGAAGAACTCTTCCCATCTAATGATGCGAACAGAGGACTTGCTCATATGGCCGGGTCGGACGGCAGCCAAGTACCCGCTGGCCAGTCCTATACTCCTCTTGCCGGAGGGTTGCCTTTCGGCGCGCCTGCTCAAAGTGAATTGCCGTCTGCTCAGGCGCGCCAGATGGTAATGCCCGATCGCATGAGATGGGTCTACCTGGATCCCCAAGGTCAAGTTCAAGGACCTTTTACTGGCCTGGAGATGAATGACTGGTACAAGGCCAATTTTTTCACCCCAGATCTCCGTGTCAAAAAGGTCGAAGACCCCGAATTCGAACCGCTTGGTCAGCTCATCCGTCGCATTGGTAACTCGCGTGAGCCTTTCCTGGTTCCTCAGATTGGTATTCCTCATGGGCCTCCTGTACAAGCCGGTGGCTATAACAGCAACACCGGCGTTATTCCACCTTTAAGCGGTGTTTTCCCAAGTTTTGGCAGGACTCTCACGGCAGAGGAGCAAAACAACTTGGAGCGCCGCAAACAGGAAGAGCAGTACATCATGGCCCAACAGAGAGACTTCGTTATGCGACAGCAAGCAATGTCCAAGTTTCCGATCCACAACCCTGGCTTGCAGCACCACTCTAGCGCCCAGAGCCTTCAAAGCCAACCAAGTTTCGGAAACATCAGTAACCCAGCCCAGCAGCCACCCGCCCTAGGAGGTCTGGGTCCTTTTTTGGACTTGGGAAACGGGCCCCTGCTACACGCGAGGGCAGGTAACGAACTCTTTCGCCAAGAGGATATTGTGAATCTGAGTGGTCATGAACGCCAGATGCTGGCTGCTGTCGCGCCTGGAAGTGAAGCTGCTGCTATGGGAGAACATGCCGGGGCTGAAGACGGCCTGCGCGCTGGTCTCCCACCGATCGGCCAGCTTACCGAAGACCCCGAAGGGTTCCGTGACCGTCTTCAAGAGTTCGAAGGTCTTCGTGCCCAGCATGATGCTGAGCAGGCTGCCAAGGCTGAAGAGGAGGAGCAGGTGGTTCCAGCAGCCAGAGTTCCCGAACCTTCTGCTGCTACTAGCCGACAACCTGGCAGAGCCGGGAAGAAGAAGAGGCAGTCAGAAGACGAGTCTTTGTCTCTCACTGAACAAGTCCAGATCGCTCAAGCCGCAGCCGCGGAATTCGCCCTACCCGAGGAGCTTGCGGAACCTGGAATGCCCATGCCATTCCCCCCACCATCCTCGAGCACACCACTACCTGCTCCTACTGCCCAGCGCGCGCGGTCCAACCTCCCCGAGCAGTTCAGTAGATCCCAGACGGCCACTCCCGAAGTTGTTCAGCCGCCACCTCTGGCGCCATGGGCCAAGGAGCCTGGTCAGGAAGGACAACGAGGCCCAAGCCTAAAGGAAATTCAAGAAGCAGAAGCACGTAAGGCTGCTAAGGCCGAAGAACTTGCCGCCGCCCAGAGAAAGGCTGCGATGGAGCAAGAGGGAGCCTTGCTACGCGAACGGGAGCGAGCTGCAGCTGCGGCCGCCACAGCCGCAGCCTTGCCAGCATCTAGTACGTGGGGTCATGGCTCGCCAGCGGCCGGTGCGACCGCATGGGCCAAGCCTGGGCCGCAAAAGGGAGTTAGCATCTCAGCATCTGCCTCTGCTTCATCGTTGAGCAAGAAAACATTGGCTGAGATTCAGCGGGAGGAGGAAGTGCGGAAGCAAAAGGCAATGCAAACCGCTATACAAACCGGTCCTCCTACCAGCTCTATCAAGAGTTACGCCAATCTAGCAAGCAAAACAAATACCCCAATCACTCCGAGCCCGGCATCTCCAGCTGCTCCCCCAGGCGCTGGTTGGGCAACTGTCGGAGCTGGTGGCAAAGTCAAAGTGCCAACTGGCCCTGCTGTTCCCGCCAGATCTACCAGCGGCGCAGGTGTCAAGCCCACGCCGGTTGCAGCTCGGCCCAGTCCCAAGCCTAGCCCTGTGATTGCCACGCAACGCGTCGGACCTGTCAACAGCGGCAACACTGCTATGGACGAGTTCAATGCGTGGACACACAGAGAGCTTAAGCGTGGCATTGAAACTGATGGTAAGTGGTATAGCTTAGATGTATCGATGAAGAATCACTAACACCCGTGGCAGTTGACATCTTCCAGTCGACTCTAGAGGCGCTTCCTCTTGATATTGGTGTGATTACCGACGCCGTCTATGGCAGCTCTACCACCATGGATGCTAGGCACTTTGCAGAGGAGTACGTTCGCCGCAAGAAGCTTGCAGAGAAGGGCATCTTTGAGAAGCAGGCTTCCGACAACCGAAGCTCCTCGGGTGGTTGGAACGAGGTTGCCAAAAAGGGCAGTGGTGGCCAACAGCCTCCTCGTGAGCCCGAAGCAAGCGCCTCGGCGATGCAGGGAGCTAGCTTCAAGGTAGTCCCTGGCAGAAAAAAGGGCAAAAAATAGAGCTACTCGCCCTTTGACATGTTAAAGGAGGCTCGAGCTTAAAAGCCGAACAAGAGCTCGCCGTTGAAGCCACCTACTCGGGGCTCAGCCAGCGAAAAACCGAAAAGGTCTAACGGCCATGGGATGGGGGCATGTGTCGGGTGAAGAAGGGACAAGCCCTGTTGAGGGCATACTGATGTCGGAAATGATGTAGCATGAATAGTAGGATATGAGTGATGCGGTTGACGAAGCGATGTTTGGAGAGCAGCGAATTATCAATGTGTAATGTTTGAGGAAAACAAAAATGGGTGGTGCGCCTTGCTGGCCTACTCATGGCAAACTTGTACTATGAATTGTAACTCATGACTAAGAAAAGAAGACATGATGTGATGAGTACTACTAAAACTTCAAGTGATCTTGAGTTTCGATCCAGTCACGCACAGCAAAACGGGTCAAGATGTAAAAAGTGCATTGCTTTTCTCTATATCCCTTATATCCCTTCTGTCCCTTTCTCTTTCCCTTGACGTCGCAACTTTGTCCAACTTGAACCCCTCCTGTCCAATTGAGCCCCTACATTTCACCCACTTCACTTGTTCACCTTGAGCCCCTCCATGAGTGCCTCCAGCAGGGTCCAACCCTCGGAGCCCTCCCAGGCGGTCTTGCCGCGGCCCATGACGCTACGCACGGCGCTGCGCGCCTTGCCGCGCCACCTGGCGCCCACCTCCTCGACGCCGTCACCCCAGGTCTCGAGCGCGACCACGAGCTCGTCGGTCCGCGCGACCACGTCCAGCCAAGCGGCCTCGTCCTCCGTCCAGTCCGTCGAGGAGGCGGCGGCGTCGCTGCTTCCGGGGAGCAGGCCGCTGCCGGAGGAGCCGACGGCGGCGCGCCAGGCCTTCTCCGCGGCGTCGATGGCGCCCGCGTAGTCACGCCGCCAGGCGCGCAGCTTGCCGACCAGCGACCAGAGCTCGGCACGGCGGGTGATGAGCGGGACGATGTCCTCCTCGATGACGCGGGTGACGAGGCGCTCGGTAGTGCCGCGCGCGGGCTCGTAGACGCCCTCGGCGGCGGCGTCCTTGGGCTTGGAGAGGACTTCCTCTTGCAGCAGCGCGCCGAGGACGGTCGCGTTGACGGCGTCCTCGGTCGGGCGGATGCGCAGGATCTGGCGCGTGGCGGCGAGGATGTCGGCGACGGCGGGCGGGCGCATGCGGCACGCCAGAGTGACGACGTTTTCCCAGATGCGCCAGTTGTCGTGCGCCGCGGTGGCGCCCATCTTGTACGCGTGCAGCGCCTGGGCGAGGAGCCTCTGTGGGTCCTTGGACAGCTCGGTGTCTTGTGCCGTCTTGTTGGCGGCGGCGGCGGCGGCGGCGACGGCAACAGTTTCGTCTTCGTCATCCTCGGGCTTGGCTTGCACCTCAGTCACGGCTGCGGCCTCTGACTTCCCTTCCTTCTGGGCAGCGATGACCTCGCTGTAGAGGCTCCAGAGCGCCGTGCCCAGGTTGCTCCAGGTCTTGGCGTCCTCGCCACCGAGGTCGCCGGTGGCGCTGCCGATGGCCCGGTTAAAGGCCACGGCAGCGTCCTCAAAGCGCCCTAAGCGCAGGCTGATGTCTCCGAGGCGGCTCCACATATCCGGATCGAGTCGGTTCACAGTCGTGGCCTTCTTGTACGCTGTGTGAGCGCGCTTGAGATCCTTCTCCCGGAGGTAGTGCTCGGCGAGGGATCGCTGCGCGCGCGCGTAGCGGTGGCCGGACACCTCCCAGGCGCGCTCGTAGAAGGCGGCGTTGCCTTCCAGGTCGCCAAGGATGCACCACAGGCGTGGCGCGTTTGACGGCGCCAAAGAGCGCTCCGGGCCCGCAAAGTCATCAGCCTTGAGGGAGGCGACTTCTTGAACGGCAACCTCGTCATCTGGGTCGGAGCTAGACGTGGCGTCGGCACCTGTCTTGTTGAACAGTTGCCAGCGCACTATGCCTTTGGCTTTGGCCTCTCCTCCACTGCCGCGGCCATCTTCATCATCCATGGCATCAGCGGCCGCGAGGCAAAGAGCAACCTCAGCCCAGAGACGGAGACGCTTGAAGATTTCGAGCGCGGAGACAATGGAACCGGCACCGGCCCAAGCGTACGCCAACTCGGCCTCCAAATGCCAGCGAGGCGGGGTTGAGAGGGCGTGAATATATCGAAGGCGCACGTCAGCGGGTGCAGATTCGGACGCTTTGGGGGCAGGGAAGAACGACGTTGGTGCTCCAGTAGCAGACGCTGCCTCATCGCCCGTATGGTGCCCTGGTGCCGAGACTTGTATGGAGGGGACCTCTGGCGCACTCGTCGAGTCCTTCTCTTCTTGCTTCCCAGGCTCCACGCTGCCTTCATTCGAAAACGTAGTATCGGTAAGAACTTGGTCGGCCACAGCCTGCATTTGAAGGACGCCGCGCTCCAAGGTGCGGCTTCGGTGAACTTCAATGCGAGAGCGCACAAGAAGGGCTTGTGTATATGTTTGCCAGTTTGTTGACTTGTCGGCAAGCACCCGGGTCGCGAATGGCAGAATCTCTTCAGCGGTAAGCGTGTCTGCCGGCGAGAAGGTGTCTTTGATGGTCGCTTCGGTAAGAAGGGTAATCTGGTCGAGAGGACTGAGTTGCGGTTGCTCATCGGGCACCAAGTTTGCCAGTTTTTCGGGCAGCTCAGTGGACTTTTCGTCTCTACCATTACGTTCCTTGCTAAACTGAATCTCCTCAAGGAGAGTGTCGTCGTTTAGTTGCAGAGCTTGTGGCTTAAAATCGTCTTCCTCATCTTCGCCAGCTTCAGTAGCTGTTTCCTGCGCCTGGCTGAGGGCCAAGACGACTAGTTGACTTATACTCTTTTCCTGGAACTTTGTTCGCTTGCCGAGAGCGCCCGATAAGGCGTACAAGAAGTTGCTTGTTTTGCTGGCCTCTTGGACGAGCTCCTTTGCCTTGTCCGCCCGGCCAAGCAAGATGTTGTTGTTGGCCGCCTCGAGTAGAAATTGGACTTTTTCCTGTGTGCTCCACGTGTCTTGATCTGCCCAAACATCATCATTCAAGACAAATCTACGAACAGCGTCCATGGAATCCGTAATTTGGGTTGCTAGCGAAGGAAGCTCGATCCAGTTGGAGCTCTTGGTGAAAGTAGAGCCGCCAAGGCTGGGTTGTGCAATGAGCTTATAATGCCATACATGGACTCGTAGTCTTGTCCAAGATATGCTGTGCTTTTGAGGCTCGGGCCCAGGAAGCTGCACGACATCATGGGCTGATGTCGCGAGGGTCTTGGTGAGGATGCGTCTGGCGAGGCAAAAGAGCTCTAGCGAGGGGATATGCGAGTATGGCGAGACTCCGTCAATTTCCAGCTGTCTGACACAGTCTCTTCTCATCTTGGTTATGGGAGTAACTGCCGAGTCGGAAGAAGTCGTCACATGCGACGTTGATGCCCAGGCCTTGAGAAACAGCGCCTCGATGTCTGCTATTGGCTGGCGTGAGGGTACAGGGCCTGTGACATTGATCTGGAGGAAGATATTGAGGGCTGCTACGCCAACTTCGAAAGCCTCTTGAATCTCCTTGGGTGTTTGGGCGACGTTTGGCGCATGTTGTGCGTCGGCTGCAGACTGGAACAGCTCTTGGATGAGACTCTGGGCAACGGGACTGGCAGCAAGCTGGGTCGCGGGGTCCTGCAGCGTCAAGGCCATGGTTGCGCCGTTGTTGAGAGGAATTTGGTGAGCCCTAATTCTTTTTGTATTCCGGCAATAGGTGCATTTATGATCCAACTTGGAGAAGACTCGCGACAGTGCCAAGTCGAGGGAATCAAAATCTTGCGGGATTGTCGACGGGAGAGCTGCACTGAGCCAAAACAGCGCCTGTGGGGTGTTTCGGGACTTGAAACTTTGGCGCGGGATTCTATACCAGTATCTAGACCAGGATATTCCAAAGATCAGAGATTTGGCTAAATCAAGGCCGTGTCCCGCACATGCGAAGATGATGCAGACTTGGTGGTGAAGGTTGGTGGGATGGATTAGACATGGTGGGGCTTCCAGATTCTTCTTCTCGGTGTGCCGCCTGCCTGCGTGGACAGGAATGGAGGGGTCCTTGTTACAAACATTTGCTACAAACATACATATGAAGCCGCATTGGCGCTCGTTCGCGGGGGAGAAATGTAGGAAGCAAAATATAATCTGAAAAGACTCACAAAGCTACTTGTTCGACTCACCGCTGCTTTCAGGACAGAGGGTGCTCTCGGGTGACTATGTCGAAGGATGCAACGGGTTTCTAGTGAGCAAACACAGTGGTTGTAGGATCGACGCTGCTTCTGTCTCAGCCTCCCCAGACGTCATGTTGCAGCAAAGCCAGGCTGGGAGCGACATCTCGAACAACTCGGCGTCGAATAAAAAAAATCGTAAAAAGAAATAACAAAACAATGCTAGGTGTACAGCTCACCGCATAGGTACCATATTCTTCCCTTCTCATTGCCCGCGCTGGTCCCAGGTGCAGTCTTGTGATGCTGCGGTTACAGCTAACTGAGCTACTGACCTAGAGCTAAATCGAGGACAAACGCCACCCCCCCCCCCCCCTCACTTTTATTAACCTGGCAACTGGCAACGCGTAGCTTGAGTCTCAAGGTATATTCTTCGTAGCTACCCTTGTGAACATCGCCTTTTTATTTCTTCCCCCTCAACCTGCGCCCCTGCGCGAATTCTCTCTCACGCAACCCTCCGTTCTTGCCCAACACTGCCATTCACCCGGCCGAGTACGTTGTTGATAGCTAGGAAGGTTTCGGCCTGCGAACATCGCAAACACCACCAGCATCGCCACTTTGCCTCCCGCGACCGAGACAAAACATGGCAGCCAAAATAAATCCAGGCATCGTCTACATGACGGTACGAACAATGCATTCACACCGCCTTCATTTCCCCTTTCCCGTTCTTTCTCGCTAATCTCAACTCCTAGGCCAGCCTGGTCCTCTTTGCCGTTGCCGTGTAAGTCCCCAATGTCACACGCATACCAACCGCAACGCTGACCACCTCATCCTCTTCTCCAGAGTCCTCCATTTCCACAGCCTGCACCTGTCGCTGCCCATCCCTGCCGCCGTCACCATCTTGACCGTCATCATCCCCATCGCCGCCTTTCTCAACGCCTTTGTCTACCCGAACCTGCTACGCGACTCCTCCACCTCCTCCTCCTCCTCCTCCTCCTCCTCCCCCTCCTGGCAGCGCCTGCTCCCCGGCGCGCTCCAAGGCCTCCAGGCCATCCTTGCCGCCGTCCTCGCCACGCTCCTCGCCCAAGGCTTCGCGTCCTCCCCCGCCACCCGCGCCTGCGCCCTCGACGCCGCCTGGGACGCCCTCTACCGCGCCCGCGACGCCGACGCCGTCCGCCTCGTCCAGGACACCCTCGGCTGCTGCGGCTACTCCGACGTCGACGACCGCGCCTTCCCCTTTGCGAGCCTCATCCAGCAGACGTGCGCCCAGATTTACGGCCGCGACCGCGCCTGCGCGGCGCCCTGGCGCGCTGCCATGGAGACGCACGCCGGCATCGCGTTTGGCGTCGTCATGGCCGTGGCCCTGATGCAGGTGCGTAACCAACCATGCAAGAAAGAGGAAGGAGGATAGTGTACAGAGGGAAGAGAGAGATTGCTGACAGAACGTCTAGGTGCTCGGCCTCGTCCTCATGCGGCCCGGCACGAGCTGGTGGACCGCCCTCCGCACCCCCGAAGACGAAGAGGCCGACGACGGTTACGACGAGCGCAGCAGACTGCTGGGTGGCGAGCGAGGGTCTCAGCAAGCTACGACTTCTTCCCCAGTCGCCGGACCGTCAACCTATGCTGAGGCGGCCCGATAACGCCCACTGCATCAGCATATCCGAGAACCAAGTTGTCGAGTTACAATGTCTTGATTGCATGATTTCCGATCTGTTTTCAATATGGACGCATTTGATTTAGCTTGGCGTTTGTTCTGTGGCCATCTTTTCATACATCATTTCTAATCGACCACTTTTATTCCCCCCCTAATACACAAAGTCAAGATCCTGTCTGCCTTTTCGCTTTCCCATATAAGATCCGCGTCATCTTCCCAGCTATGCGCCTTGTAAATGATGAATTATAAAATACAACTGCTATGCTAATGCAACCGCCATCTCCCATTCCCACCTCTTGTCTACCTCTTGCGCCGATCGTGCGCTTCCTTGCCCAGCGCCTCCAGCGCCGCCTCGTACTCGCGCACGCGCTCCTCGGACATCTCCTCGACGCGCGCGCGCTCCACCTTGTGCGCGCGGCGCACGCCGGCGCCCTTGGCGATCTTGCCCCAGAACCAGCCGCTCTCGCCGTCGGCCACGAGCGTCCACGCGCGACCGTCCCGCCCGGCGCGCGCGGTGCGCCCGACGCGGTGCACGTACGCGGCCAGGCTCGGCGGCAGGTCGTAGTTGACGACGTGCGGCAGGCCGGGGATGTCGATGCCGCGCGCGACCAGATCCGACGCGACGACAAGCCGCACCGGCGACAAGGGGTCGGCGAGCGCGCGCAGGGTGCGCCGGCGCTGCGCCGTTGCGGTCATCGACGTGAGCGCGGTGCCGACGTGCGCGGCCAACGACGGGTCGAGGAGTGCGAGGAGGCGAGACAGTCGAAGAGCGGACTCGTTGGACTTGGTGAAGATGAGGGCCATGGGGAGCGACGTGGTGGCTTTCCTAGGCGCGGGGGCGGTGGGGGAGTCAGAGTCCGAGTCGGAATCGGAATCGGAGTCTGAGCTTGTGTCAGAATCTGAATCAGAGGTGTCGGGGTCGGAGTCGGAGTCGGAGCTGCTATCAGACGACGAATCCGAGTCCGAGCTGGACGTGTCTGAGCTCTTGTCCGAAGCGTCCGGCGCCGATTTGGCAGCAACCGTTTTCGTAGGCGCCGCCTCCGGCTCCTGCGCCGTCATCAGGCCTCCACGCAAGAGCTCCAATAGGTATAGCGGCTTGAGATTGGCATCATGCACGCGGGTCGCCCACTCGCGGAGCTGCTCCGGCAGCGTGTGCTCCGAGACCTGCGCCTCGCCGGTCTTGTCGTCGTCGGCATCCAGCACAATGAGTTGCGGTCGACGCAGCGCCAGCTGGCCCAGTAGGCTCAGGTCGCGCGTCAGCGTCGCCGAGAGGACCACCTTGCGCACGCTGCCGTACGCCATGCCGGGGAAGTCGCGGGCGCCGTAGTGCGATGACGCCCGGAACCGGGCCATGAGCGTGTCCAGCCAGCCCTGGAAACTCTGCGCGAGCAGCTTATCAGCCTCGTCGACGACCAGCCACCGCACATAGTCGAGGTCGAATCCAGGCGTCTGCTCCATGTGCTCCACGAGACGACCGGGCGTGCAGATGAGCACGTCCACCGTCGAGGCGAAATCGATGACCTCGCCATCCCAAGGGCCTAGTCTCGGGTCTCTGTCTTCGTCGTCGATATCGATGTCCGCTGACGTGGGCAAGCCTTTTACCTTGAGGTTCTGTTGTAGTATATCCTTGTATGTCTCCGGATCGTATCTCGACTCTCGCTCAATCAAGCTCTCTTGCTCCGTTTTTAGCTGCTGGCTACCGACCGAGATACCTATGCGCACGCGCTTCCGGTCGCTTCCTTCGTATGCTTTGGCGCAGAGCTCAAACACTTCTTGCGCCTGTCGCACGAGTTCTCGAGTGGGCAAAACCACCAGTGCCCGCAACCTCGTGACCACACCTTGGCTGATATCGTTGACAATGGGTAGTGCATAGGCTAGCGTTTTTCCAGATCCGGTCGCCGCAGATATTAACAAATCGCCGGGCAACCCTTTGTTGTTCGGTAGCAATAAGGGAATCGCAGCAGTTTGGACAGCAAACGCCTCGGCGTAGCCCTTGTTCTGTAATACCTCGGCCACCTTGGCAGGGATTCCCACGTCCGCAAAACTGGTTCGCGTCGATTGCGACACGCGGATGGGAGCCGCTAGCCATGATGGCAGGGTATCATACGTGGGTTTTGCGTCTGCCTCCTCAGGCTGTTCGGGCTGGGGCAGGGGTTCCAGGCCGTGCTGTTCGACTTCCTCCTCGGGCTCCTCAGCAGTCTGGTTTGCCGCAGCTTCGCTCGCCATTTTCAACGACTTGGCCATTTGCTCAAGAACAGATTTGTGTCTTCCATTTTGGTCGTCGTCGTCATCCTCGGCAGGTAGCTCTTCGGTTCGCTTCTTCTTTTCGCGCTTGGCCTTCTTCTTTTCGGGGGCTACGACAGCTTCTGTGCAAGTGATAGTCACATCGCCATCACCGTCGACAGTCTTGTCTATTTGGGCATCATGTTCCTCGTCCTCGTCCGACCGTTTCTTCTTCGTCTTGTCCTTCTTGTGCTTTTTCGATTTCACGGTTTTCGTCTCTTCGTCGGGTTCTCGGTCCGCGGTTTTGGACTTTTTCGACTTTCTGTCTATAGATTCGCCTGTGGCATCTGCGCCAGTCCTTTTCCTCTTCGACTTTTTCGAGTTCGACTCGTCTTTCGCAGGTGGATTCGTTTGGCCCGGGATATAGCGAGTGGACTGAGCGTCGGAGCTGGTTGGAGCAGTCTGGCTGCCTGCTGAAGGCACGTACCGCGCATACATTTTGTCGCGAGTCCCAATGGACAGTGTATGTGCCGTAATGCGACGCGGGGAGCTGTCTTGCTTCTCGACTTTTTACTGGAGATAGTCCCGCCGCCAGCTTCCTAAAAATTTGGCCGCCACTGCTTATCGTGATTTTGCCAGCATTCACCACCCAGCTTATCGGCCCACCAGCCACATCTTTGTACAGGGGCAGGACCAGCCACTGTAGCCGCTTGACACAAGCGCTGAGACGCAGACATGCCAGCGAGGCGCGGCTGCTAGAAACCCCCTGTAACATCTCAACACCATATTTCATTCATGACATGAGCCGCGCCAGAATTACAAGGCCAGAAACAGCAAATCACAGGCTGTGGTAGCTTTTTCTTCATATTTTTGCCCATCATGGGTCGCCGAAGGTACAACATCGCCATGGTCAGCGACTTCTTCTTCCCGCAGCCAGGAGGAGTCGAGGCGCACATCTACCAGGTCTCGAGCAAGCTCATCGATCGCGGACACAAGGTCATCATCATCACGCATGCCTACGGCAACCGCACGGGCGTTCGCTACCTCACCAACGGGCTCAAAGTATATTACGTGCCCTTCTTCATCATCTACCGCGAGGCGACCTTTCCCACCGTCTTCTCGTTCTTCCCCATCTTCCGCAACATCTGCATCCGCGAGCAGATTGAGATTGTCCACGGTCACGGCAGCCTGAGCAGCATGTGCAACGAGGCAATCTTGCATGCTCGTACCATGGGCCTGCGTACCGTCTTTACCGACCACTCGCTGTTTGGCTTTGCCGATGCCGCGAGCATCCTCACCAACAAGCTTCTCAAGTTCTTCCTGAGTGACGTCGACCACAGCATATGCGTGAGCCACACATGGTACGACGACACTCAGTACCTCGCCATAACTTATTCTAACCATTATACAGCAAAGAAAACACGGTGCTAAGAGCCTCGCTGGACCCTCTCATGGTCTCCGTCATCCCCAATGCCGTAGTTGCGGAAAACTTTCGCCCACGCGACCACCCCTCCCACACTGGTGGCGACGCCGGCGGCAACACGCCGTTTGGCGGCCCAGAGCGCAGCCCTACGCGCATCGGCCCCAACGACATCGTCACCATCGTCGTCATCTCGCGCCTGTTCTACAACAAGGGCACGGACCTGCTCACCGCCGCGATCCCGCGCATCCTCGAGAACCACCCCAACACGCGGTTCGTCATCGCCGGGTCCGGCCCCAAGGCTATTGACCTCGAGCAGATGATTGAGAACAACGTGCTGCAGGACCGCGTCGAGATGCTCGGCCCCATCCGCCACGAGGAGGTACGCGACGTCATGGTCCGCGGGCACATCTACCTGCACCCCAGCCTCACCGAGGCGTTCGGCACTGTCATCGTCGAGGCCGCCAGCTGCGGCCTGTACGTCGTCTGCACCCAGGTCGGCGGCATCCCCGAGGTCCTGCCCTCGCACATGACCACCTTCGCCAAGCCCGAGGAGGATGACCTCGTCCTCGCCACCGGCCGCGCCATCACCGCCGTCCGCGCCGGCAAGGTCCGCACCGACCGCTTCCACGACGAGGTCCGCCGCATGTACTCGTGGGACAACGTCGCCCAGCGCACCGAGCGCGTCTACGACGGCATCACCGGCACCATCCCCGAGGAGGAGTTTTACGGCTTCGACACCGCCGGCTACAACGGCTCCCGCGTCCGCGACTTCGCCCTCATCGACCGCCTCAAGCGCTACTACGGCTGCGGCATATGGGCCGGCAAGCTCTTCTGCCTCTGCGCCGTCATCGACTACCTCTTTTTCCTCGTCCTCGAGGTCCTCCTCCCCCGCGAGAACATCGACATCTGCCCCGACTGGCCCCGCAAGCTGCCCAAGGACCGCCCGGCCAAGGCCAGGAACCGGACCAGCTCGTCGCAGGGCGGCGCCAAGCCCGACGTGGCCGTGCCATCCTCACGAGCCGCATAAAGTTCTTCTTGTACACTAATTACTAATTACTCAATGGGAGAGCGCGGGTTTTTGTGGCGTTTTTCGGCTTGATTATTCATGCGTGCATTGTCAGTCCACGGAGCACAAGGCACATCACGATGCTGTTAGCTTCAATTTATTTTCACATGGGGTGTCAGCAGATTTAGCGATTGTCTCATGCCTTACATTGCTTGAGGTGTTGATATCAATTCAAAAATATATTCGCTAAACACGGTAAAAAGTACATATTATTGGCCTCCGCTGCTATGTAGTCCACTGCACAAGACGCGGGTTCCTTGCCCGTCGTGCTTGTCGCGTCGGCGCGGGTTGCTTCTAACCTCTCGCGGAGACGCGTCGTCTTTTCGACGTCGACGGTCCGTCACCATCTCCATCGTCATCCTCCTCCGCCGTGTCGTCGGCCGTCGCTGCCGCTGCCGCAGACGCCGTACTTGTTTCCGTCGTAGCTAGGGCTGCACCGGTACCGGCAGCGGCAGAGCCAGCCGCGGGTGGGGGCGGTGCGCGGTCCTTCTCAGCACTGCGCAAGTCGCTGAGAAGCTTCTCCACCTCTACGAACATGCCGCGCGTGTTTCGGACCACGGCGTCTTCGTCGACGCGGTAGCCGACAACTTCTTCCTCTTCGTCTCGTAGGCGATTCATGAATGTCTGACCGGGTCCGCGATGCGGGTCCGGGTTGTACATGATGGCGTTGCAGAACATGTGTACTAGTTCCCGCTCGAGCTGCGCGCTGTTGATGATGGACTGCGGTGGCGTCAAGTCTTCTGATATGGGGAGCCAGACACTGGGGCCGCCAGGGTCACCGCCGGCAAGGTTCGACGCAGCGGTAGAGGCAGCCTTATTGCCATGCTTGATTGCTGCGCGGATTTTCGTGATGTCCTGGGGCTGTAGTACGATTTGACGGTAGCCAGGCGCGTCACGCTCGCGGATACCAGTAGCGAACATATTCGCATCACGATGGCTTGAGATTTGATCCAATGCCGATGACGAGACCTTTGTGAAGCCTCGCGTCCAAAGCACATGAGTTGGTGGTGCGGGAGGCTCGTGCGGGGTATCTTGTCGTTTTCGCTTATACGCGCGTGACGAAACACTGCCGGGAGTTGCCATGTGTTTACCATGGACACTTTCATCAGCCGTAGTGTCTCCCGTTTCCTCGTGCAAACGTGGCGTTGAAACTTCTTTCTTGATCTTGGTATGATACTCCGTGGATGGCTCGTCTGTTTGGGAGACAAGCGACTGGCTTCTTCTTGTCCCAGCGACTGAAGGCGTGGAGCTAACAGCACGACCGCGTTGGCTGGTACGGTATGAACGGCCGGTACGGCTAACAGGCTCCAGCTTTCTTGGCGTTTCCTTGACTGATAAAGACCTTGATGATGCGCGTGCAATTGAGCTGGCTCGCTGCGGAGGGCTAACAGGCTCAAACGCCGGGCTCTCCGGCTCCTCCGCGACCGGCCGCGGCGTTGACGGAGTGGAGTGCGATGCCCATTTGGTGCCAAAGCCTCGAGTCAATGGTATGGAGCTGGCTTGTACGGGTGTCTGAGGCTGTGACGGGGCCGCAGATCGCTTGCCTTGTGGTGTGCTGACTGCTTGGCGGATCATGTGCTCTGGGATAGCTGGCTTTGGGGGGCCGTATGGCGCCTTATCCAGTTGCGCAGGCGAGTGTGTTCTTGAGAGGGGTTGCTGTTGTCCCGCGGCCGGCGGCGCGGGTGCCAGCTTTGGCGGAACATTCTGTGTCGCTGGAGTTGGATGAGGTGAGGCGGAAGCTAGTGGTCGAAGGTTCTGAGGGTGTGGCTGTAGAGGACGGCCGGGGAGATTGGATGGGTTGGCTGCAATTGGACGGTGCTGGGGGTGTTGTAGAGGAACACCTTGCGAGGGAAGCTGCTGGGTATGGCCCAGGCTGGGAGGATTGGGGATTGGACGTTGTTGGCCATGCGCTGCTGCTTGTGCTTGAGCGGCGGGAACTTGCGGTACACCCTGCTGCTGGGTGCCTATTTGCGGTCCTGGGTATGGCTTTGAGTTGCCGGGGGCCACTCCTGGTCTAGCATGTTGCATTGCCTGGCCGGGTCGCGCTGGCTGAAGAGGCTGCTGTGAAGGCTGTGGTGGTGGACCGGCGGGTGACTGGAAGCTATTCCCAGGCTTCGGGGATGGTGACGGCCGGATAGGTGGCGTCGCAGCTTGGAGGTGTGCATTTCCAGGTACCGTTGGTGGCGGTACACCCGACCCGGGGGCTTTTGGTGTTGGAACCACGGCGCCTCTCTTGATACCTGGCGCGATTCCTGTTGTTGGTCCTGGCGATGGGCTAGGGCTGTTGGAACCTAGAGCCGAGGCCTTGGGATCGCGAGAAGGGAGAACAGGCGCGCCGCTCTGAGATGCTGACCTAGCCAACCGTTCCTTTTCGCTCTTTTCCAACAACTGTATCTCCCTTTGAACCGTGGCGAACTTGCGCTCATCCTCTCTAATTTGCCTCACAACGTGGTCACGGTAACGACCATACAAGCGCTCCACCAAGGCCGGCACTTTGCTGACATATTTATAAGCCTCCGTCAGCGTCGGTATAGATGGCGCTGTAATTTTCCGCTTCTTAGACGGTGAAAATCCAGCCTGCGCTGCCTCTGCCCGTTCGGCGTCGCTCTTGAGCTCCTCGCGCAGCAGCAGCAAGAAGAGTTGCTGGAGCGCGTTGGAGCTCAGGCGAGCAGCGTCGTACGTTTCTCCGCCTTTGATCAGCGCATTGTTTTTGAGCGTCTCCGATATGCGTACAAACGCAGCGGGTTCGATGCCTTCATTCAGGAGGGACTGAAAGAGGAAGAGCGACTCGAGAGGCGTATATGTCGTCGGGTTACTCATGCCGGGCCTGGGCCCGCCTCGCCAATGCTCGAGGGGGCCGTTGCGCTGCGCGAGGAGTTTTAAAGGCGCCACGGTCGAGAACGGAGGTCGGTTGTCGGGGCTGGTGTTGGGTCTTGACCACGGCGGCCCAGTACGCAAACGTGGGATCGAGCTGCCACAAGGCGTCTTCGCGTCAGGGAGGTCGAAACGCGTACGAAATTGCGCGGCCGTGGACTTTTATCGAGCTCTAGATGATTTTCATTGGGTATTTGATAGAATTGCGCGTCGTTTTGCGGCAGGCGAATGTCAACTTCCGAAATCGTCGATTTTTCACGAATGCGAGCGATTGTCTATAAATCACGTGAGTCAGACGAAAAAGTGGTAAAAGTTGCGCTAGAAAGTTGAAAGCCCAAAAAGTTAGGGGGGAGCGCCTGTTGGTCCACTGCAATGTCCACTGTAATGTCCACTTGCCCGCCAAAATCAGACTAGCCTGTGGTGGTTGGAAGGCCGCTACCTCGATATCAGATCGTCAGCCGACGCGGGGCTTAATAGACAACAAGCATATTATGACTAGGATGGGCATCAACAGTTTGTTAGTTTTGTAGTTTTGCGGGCAACACTTCGCTTGTACATTAATTATACAGGATTATTTCGGAAGAGCTGCATAGAAATTTCCAGAGGGGAAAACGCCAAACCATGCTCGCTGACTGGGGAAACAAGTAAAGAACAAAGGATAAGGAAGCTGTACACGGGAATAGGAATGAACTGGCAGGTCATCTTATTCGATCGAGAATCAAGACAGTTCCATTGATTTCCAGAGTGCGATTCAGCCACCGGAGGTTTTCGGGCGGGTAGTATTCGTCAGCATCAGTGCGCGAGGCCCAAAACCAGATGAGGGTCCAACAGAGGCCCCTCGCGATGCGCGGCCCGTCCCAGGGCAGACGGAGGACAAAGGCGACCACGATGGCGGGGACGCGTAGCATGAATGCAAGCCGCTCGTCCCACGCGCCTTCCTTTTGGCTGCCACCGCCGGTGAGGACCGCGAGGGCTGTAATAACGCACGAGGCCGCGAGGGTGCCGAGCTGCGCGAGGGTGACGGCACGCGAAATGTCCGGGTCGAACATGACGATCCAGATGCTGCCGCTGACAAACGTCGATAGCACGACGGATACACTGACGTCGACCTGCACCTGCGACGTGAACTCGAAGCTGAGCATAGCGGCGCCGGGCGTCATGAGCAGCAGCCACAGCCCGAATTTCCAGAGGAAGCGCCGCAGCCTGCCGCCGCGGACGACCAGGTCAAAGAATAAGTAAACGAGGAAGAGCCCCTCGATGACGATGCTCATGAGCGCGATGCTCGGCATGATGGGCGGCGGCTGCGACGGAGAAGGCGGTGGGAGCAGAAACAGTAGTACGGCGGCTGCTCCACGGTGCGCGGGCCTATATGGAGTGACGAGATCAAGAGCATGGAGATTAAATAATGGGCGGTTTTCTGGGTAAAGAAAGCATCGGCCAATAGTTTGTGCGTAAATAGATATTAGACCTATGTATCGTGCTGATGTAATGTTGATAAGTGGTGAGGTTGAGCACAGTTAAATTGGCCGAACTGCCTACAAGGGTGTGGCAGGCGCTGCACCTTGCGCATACAGTGCTGTTACACAGTCTAACTCATTTCCTCCTTACCAAGCTTCCATCCCGGCATCAACAAGTTGCACATAGATGGACATTTCCGATTCAGGGCAGCAAAAATTACTTATCTAACAGGAATGTCTGTCCGTCGTCATCCTTTCCCAGTTTCGCAGCGATTCCGTCGTGCAGCCACCACTTGGACCAGCCACCACAACACTCATGTTGGGTAAACACTGACTACATCTATCCTGGAGTGAAACGTACAGCCCCCTTCCTGCCGTCTCATCCCCTTTTGAGAATGGCTTCCAGTCGATTCAATCGAATCTGTCGAAATCCCAGCCACCGAAGGACGCAGGGGCGCTGGCAGCTCTATATACACCTGCGTCGACCGATCCGCAGCAAGCTCGTGCCTACTTTCCTGGCTCGCACGACCGTCCACGTTGTTCCCCCGCCGCAGCGAGCCGTAGCCCGATGAGTACGGGCTCCATGGCCCTTGACTCGCACGGGGGTCAATTTTCATGTCTTGGTTATAATAGAAACTCACATCTTCCTGCGACGACGCGCGCACCGACTTTGTACCCTCCTCACTTGCTCCCCCAGCGCCGGCGTGACGACGCCGACGCCATCGCCACCGTCGCCGGAGGCACAAATACACGCCGATCCACAGGAGAGTAGCCAAAGCGAACGGCCCCAGGACGGCGCCCGCGATCCACGCTCTGGATGGCGGTGGAGGAGGCGGCGTGCCGGGTGCCGGACCGTATGTGAAAGATGGGGAGGACGACGGAGTGGTGGAGTTGCCGAAAGTCGTTCCAGATGGGCCACCCGTGGGTGGCGAAGTGATCTTGGCCGGGTCAGCGCGATACAGAGTCTTGCCAAATTTGGGCGGCGTTCCGCAAAAGTATGCCGTTGTCGTCGGTCCCTGGGCCGAGGGAACAAGCAACTGGGACTGGCAGGAAGAACCAACTTGGCTACGCCGTTGCGTTAGAAAACCACTACACCACGAGAGCAGGCATTTTCTGCTTTACCATGATGAAGTCGAAGCGACAAAGCTCAACGTCCCATCCACACACGTCGTGGCCATCGCGCAGCTGACAGAGGTAACGGGACAACAGCCGTTGTATGTGGACGAGGAGGCGAATTGGTATCCAGATGGGCACGCGTAATATGACACTAGCACAAGAGTCAGCCTGGCTTTCCGTTGCGCTCCAAGGTTCGAGCCGCTGATCGTCTCACATACCTGACAGGTTGGTCCGCTCAGACGGCGCGACGAAGCCTACGAATGCTGCATTATCAGGCCCAGCAGTCGTAGTCATCTTGCCTCTCTATCTGAAAGGCAAAATCCAGAAGCCCTATCTCCGGCCAACCAACAATTTCAAGAGGGGACCCAACGCAACGTAAAATTTCCGAAACTTGGCCTGCAGGGGTGACGGCGCCGCTGAGCATCCGTCGATCTTGAATACCCTATCTAGATCATCGTCTTCCCGTATCGGTCCAATGACTCATGCAAGCCTCTGAAGAACATTGCAAAGATAAAAAAAGGAGATTGTAAAAGTTAAGTATGAAATGGCAGATCCTCCTCTCTATAAGTCCCAGCCTCGTTGGGCTTCTTTTTTTGACAAGTACGTACCAGCCGCCCGGAAAGGGGACCGACCATCATGCAGAAATCAGGGGCCCCGATCCAAAAAAAGATCAGACTTGTCAGCTCTCACCTATCAACCCCTCCTCGCCTGCAGGCTGGCCGTCAGGCGGTGACGAAACTGAGACAGCCTTGTCGACATAACGTTCACCAGAGCCTGATTATCCAGCACATCGCAGCAGTATGATGCACCCAAACTCATAGACGGTATAAAAATAACCACAAAATGTATACATTTGCCTCGCGCCCGAAATGTAACGGATTACCATCTTTCTAATCCTTTTCTTACGCTAATAATAGCTCTAAACACGATACCCAGGACCGCTAGAAACAAGGAACTTGCTAAACTCCTTTCAAACAAATCATGTTGTTTTTATATCCAATGGCCTCGAAGCAACCAGGGAAAAGAGGCAGAACATACAGCCACGCACATTAAACAGCAAGTCCCCCCTCCAGCGACTCATCGCGCTCCAGCCTCTCCAGCCCCGTGCCTACAGCACCGTACACCTTGAGCGGGACAGACACGTCAAAGCTCTCACAGGCCAAGTTTTCCACAGCCACAAGCACAAGACCGCCTTTGTCATCCTTCGATATCTGCTCCAACAGTGTAGAACCCACCGCAGAAGTCGGCGGCGCGCTCTCCTTCTCCTCGCCGCTCTTCGCCGGCACGACAAACTCGACACGAATCTTCCACTCAAAACTAACGCCGCTGGTGACGAATTCGGGGGTGGCTGATATCGGTATCGTAGGCGTAAATACAATGCGACGCGAGTACATGGTCGTTTCGGAGGATCCCTCGTAGACCTTGCGCGTGACTCTTTGGATGCTTGAATCGGAGCGCACAGCCAGGGACGCGTCGATTTTCTCCGACGTTTCCAGCGTAGCATGGACGGCGTAGCAGGGCACTTCGGCCTCGGTAAAGTCTATGACCATAGTCACAACCTCGCCGAGTCTGTATGCCGGTCGAGGCAGCATGACGGCGCCGATCCTCTTGCCATTTCTTGCAATTTCGAATCGGTTCTGGCTTTGGCCTTCGCTGGCCAGGTTGCTCCTCATGATGGCAAGATGAATGGCCTCTTGTGTAGAGCTCACTTCATCAAACATCGATGGGCGGCGTGAATCAAGGCCGTCTGTTGGTGAGAGTAACGTACTAGGCCTGTCATCCCTTGTTTGCGTCACAAGCTCGTCGACGTATGCCAAGAACTCGCTCATGTTTCCCTTGCTTTCCACATGTATGCGGCCTTTGCTACCATGCTTGCGCTTCGTGACAGCTTTTACTAAGGCCTCATCTTTCAATAGTATGTACGGGCTCATTAAGTCGTGGCCAAGAATTTCACCATAGCTGTTGACGCTGCCAAGCACCCTGAAAGGAATCTCGACGGAACGAACCTGCTGCTCCCGGGCTCCTCCAGCTCTTTGTGTTCCAATGACCAAGCTGTATGATATTTTTAGGGCCTTTCCCTTGTGCGTTGGTGGCAGACCTCGAGGTAGACGAAGTGTATATTCGAAAGAGCGGCTCTCGCCGGGCAAAAGTTGCATGTCGACGAACAAGATGGACTGGGGAGTGCTCAGCAGCGGGACCGCCTTGGAGTTCGCCGCACCTCGCATCTCCTTCATCGTGCTCAGCTCGTTTCCTCCCAAGAAATCACCGAGAGAGTTGCTGATAGCCCCCCAGCCAAAGCCGCGCAAGAGACCGCTGTCTCTCCTATTTTGATCAAGGCCAACGACGCCCCCACCTCTCCCGCCGACGACGCCTCTTTTCTTGACTTCGTCGAACTGGCCGAGGCTGACTAGGGATCCATCGAGCAGGAAAGAGCCATGTACCTGGGCATAGCCCATCATGATGGATTCCGGCACCTTGCTTTGCGAAGAAGGCAAGCCCGAGTTCCCTCGCAGGTATGGTGGTCGGACAGTGCTCCTCACAGCAGGGTATTCGGAAGCAAGTGTTTCGGAAGAATGGTTGCTTATCGCATAAAATTCGCCGCTGCTTCGTGGCGTCGCGCTGGCCATGCTGTTGCTCGATAGGATACGGGCTGCGGGGGTGAGAGGTTTGTCGGAGTCTTTTGGTCGCAAGGCCAGACCGTTTCTTTCGGTGGGAGCGTTCTCTTCTTGTGGATTCTCGGCTGGAGGTCCGGCAGGGAAGTGAAAATCGGGCATCGGTGAGGTTCTGGGCGATCGTCGTCGCCCAATGCCGGGGGTTGAAGGCGCGGTGGAGGAGCGGCCCGGTTGGCCGTATCTATCGGGGGGGTATGAGGCAGTATATAGGGGAGATGTCATATTTCGGGGTGCTAAATCGCCGTCCTCGTTAGCATGCAGAAGGCACGTCAGTATGGAAAGACTCACAATGCTGTGGTCCAGCGCCTGGGTTTCCTTTAGACATTATTTGCAGGCTGGAGGCGCGATTATGGCCGCGATGCAGCATAGCAGGCCGACTCGGTATTTCATTTCGTTGAGTGTGGTCATCGATGGTGCCTCCCGAGCCAATTGAGACAATAGATAAGGACCGTTTATGAGCGTGTCCTGGTCGGGATTCAGAAAAGGAGCCAGCGCCTGAAGGCCATTGCACGGCCGCTGACCGAGAATTAGGTCTTGCTGATGGTATGCTCAGAGATAATGCAGATCTTCTATGCCCTCTGCCGTTGCTAGCAGGGGGAGGCGCTGTGATGGAACTGCCTCTACCGTTGCGGTTGGCTCCAAGAGGCGACGCCAGGTTCGAGAGCAGCCGCTGACGGTCCGAATTGTTTCGTCTCTGCTGGGCGGCTTGATTGGGCTGGTTTCCTCTTGCGGTATCCGATTCCCTGGCAACATTCTTGAAGGTTATGGTGCACTTGATGTCCTCGCCAGCAAAGACAGTTTGGTCTCGCCAGTGGACAAATACGCGAATGCTGCCGTTGTGACCGTCGGGAGCCATGGTTAGCAGGCGGCGTCGACGGTAGTTAGGGAACGACGAATATGGCCCGGTTGCCCTGCGAGGAGGGGCTTTTTATTAGAGACGCAATGATGGATCGAATGGACGCGGCATCTCTGAAGCGGCGATTCGCAGTGCGGACAGGTCAGCTAGTAGTCTTGGTGTCTGGGTTGGATGTAGCGCAACAAGGCTCACAGGAGACAGTTGACGTCGCTGGCGTTTGGCGGAGCCCCCACTACTGACTTCTGGGTACAGGTACCAGGTACCCACATGAGCTGACCACAGTTCTAGCTACCCTATAGCCCTTCCTGTACAATCAGACCGTTGCCCCTGGGGCACTGTGACTTGAAATCATGTATAGATGTTGCCTAGTATTTGTTTTTGAGGGTTCATGCTTTTCTCGTAAAACACTTCGGTTACTATCTCCCAGGTAGTCGTATGAAAGCCTAAAGTCTAGAACACTTCCCAAACAAAGGTTGAGCTAAATAACAGCTCTGTTGCAGCACTGAAGACACAGTCATTGGCCTAAGCAGAGCAAAGAAAAGAGGAAATTGGATAAAAACCATGATTTAAAACCCAGATACAAGAAACCCCGGCTTTCATGGAATACCTTGATCGAATTGCAGCTCCATTGTACGGAACGTCCTTGGGCACCAGGAGTCGCAGAGTTGCATTAAGATGGAGCATACTCGGCTGAGACAGTAACTAAGTGATTAATAAAGGGATGATAAAAGGCTAGCAGATGTCAATATATGCAGAGAATTATCGGTAGGCTTGCTCTAGGGTTAATGGAGCACGCCGGTCAAGGCGCAAGCTGTGGCATAGCTGCGGGACAGTGGCCCGCTGCTTGTGCGTGCCGCGTTGCATCGAGGCTAAGAATATTGATCTAGGTAGATCGAGTGGAGAGGAGCAGAGGAGAGGCAATAAGTAGGCATGGAATCGGAATCGCAGGTCGTCTCAACCAGGGGCTGGTCGGAACGGGGAACTTTGCAGGGCAGTTCCGGCGCGCAAGTGTGGATTTTGTGAAGGCGGATTATGTTATTGACCATGATTTCTGCTATCAATGCTAGATGACGGCTTGATGATGGCGTGCAGCAAGGTTTGTGAAAGAAGGGTCCTGCGAGTAAGACGAAGAGGAACGGAACGGATGTCGGTAAGGGCCTCAAGGCCGACAGGGGACCACGCGGTGGCCGGCTGTGCATTGTGTGTCCTGTCTCTAAATCAAGTTTCTGTTACGAGCTGCAGTACTCCGTCGGCTGTTATACACACACTGCATCACCTGGAGCTCCGTTTTTGTTAAAAGAGGCATGGGATTGGAGGCATGGGATTAAAGGTGCGGCGTGGATGTCTAAAGTCCGATGGCGGCGTGTAGATGGCGGCGTTAAGCAAAGTGATGCTTCTAAAACGGGCGGATACAAAGATGATTTGACAAGTACGGAGCGAGAATCGGCAAATGTAGCGGGTTAAGACAGAGAAGGTTAGCCACATTTATTGTGCGGTATTTTGAAACCAGTGGAAGGAACTTGGGTCATGCTATAAGATATGCAATAGGATGTAGCTGAAGCTGGTGGCGGTTGGTGTACATATATATGCATAGATGTGCAAACGGCGGGGCAGAAGCGGACGGTGTTTTACAAGTTGGAGAGCGGCGTTTGCAGGCAAATTGCTCAGTACAGACAGTAGGCATTACCTTGACAGCTGGAAGCCGATTGGCCTATGCAAGAGCTGCCCGCAAAATAATAGCTTCAGATGGGGCACATAGGAACGGAAACGGGCATCTCGTTTGCAAGTCTTGGATGAAGGCAGCTCGTAATCAAGGCGGCAATCGGATAACACTGGATACACACACTTGAGAGCAATCTATTGTGGAGGACCATCAAGACTGGTTGATTTCTAAGCTGCTGATAGTTTCTTGAAGTGCGGCCCTCTCAGCTCGGATTCAAGAAAAACGAGGGAAGTGAATTCCAAATTATAGATGTGATGGCACTCATAGCTTCTCACCCAACTAACAGCCAGGGAACGTGGCTGCTCGGCTCTCTGGAGAACTCTCGTTTCAACAATGCCAATCTGGCCTGAAGGTTTTTTGGAGGGGGCAGACAAGGTACTGTAAGTTATTAGGCAGTTACCTGTAATGCAAGAGACAGCTTCCGCAGTAGCGGGGTTAGCTAGCGAGGCGTGGCTGACTCCAGCTTCAGTCTCGACAACTGGGGTAATAAGGAAATAAGACAAGTTGGGCTTGGACTTGTTAGCGCAGCAGGCTGGTACTACCTAGTGGCAACCATGGGCTGGTCAGATGGGCGCCGGGCGGCTGGTCGGAGTAGAGCTGCTGCAGACGGAGTAAAAGGGCGTATACGGATGGATATTGGGAGCGGACTTGTATCGGAGGTGGGGAGAGGGAGAATAAAGAACAAAAAAGAAATAAAGCCATGTAATAAAGAACTGAGAAAGGAAAGAAAAAGGAAAGAAAAAGGAAAGAAGATCAAACAAGCCCTTGGGCCAAGGCATGCAGATCAAGGACAGCCACGCGGCACAGCTATCAAATCATCCCCGAGCTTCCTGGATGGACGGCAGTCCTGTTATAGTTGCCGTTGGGCAGAGAGGCAGGTAAGTAGGTTCATCTAGGCTCTGCCACTGCAGGGTTAAGTAAGGTCATGCGGGGGTCTTGATCTTCCTTTAATAAACTGTAGCCATTAGTAGTTGCCAAAACAAATTGGAAGTAGGAGCCGGCAGGTAGAAGGCGCCTGGGGTGCTAGCCTGCGTCCGTTCCGTACGCCCGGAGCCCGGACGCCCACCGGCGGGGGGAGAGCGAGGATCGCTGAGCAGGTTGCGCCTTGGAAGCACAGAGAGAAGAAGATGGCACAAATCATGAAACTATTTATCTTAAAGATACCGTAAAATAATGAGCAAGTCAGCTTGCACAGATTTGCAGCAAATGGCGTCCCAACCCTCATTTTGTACCTACCTACATACCTGCATACATACTACATGCGCAACCCACCAACTACTCCGCCTAGGCCCAGTGCCAGCCACACTTCGGATACCATCGCTTGAAAGCAGTGGGCCTCACGTAAGTCTCAGCAAATCACCACACAAATCAACCATCGCCAATGCATTATGTTACTTGGAATTGCTGCCACACTGTTCATTGACTGACCCCTCCTTTTTATTTTGCCTCCCTGCTACTGCTGCCGTTCCCCGCCATCCAGACATCCACAGCCCATGCACCCTTCTGGACCGGCTTTCGAGCTTCCCCCCCGCCGCCGTCCTTCGCAGACTCGGCGCCAGCCAATGCCAACCCCTCCCCCTCTCCCCGCTTTATCGTCACTCTCTTCACCTAGTACGCGACAACCATGGAAGACACATATTTAACCAGCTCCTCACCCGATTTTTTTCTCCTCTTGTCCGGTCTCTTGCTCCTTCCTTTCATCCATCTCTGCTGGTCTGAAAATTTCCACTTCAGTCCATCCTTTCTATTTCCATCTTCTACCTAGATACCCCGTTGTACTCAACAAACACATCAAAGCTCGCCACCATGACTCTGACCGTACAGCTTTCTACGCCTGTCACTGGCAAATACGACCAGCCAATTGGCCTGTAAGTTGTTACTCTTGCTGTTGTTGCTTTCCCTTACTCTACTGTTGTTGTGTTTCCTCTGACCTCCCCTGCACGACCCGTCCGATGGCCGGCCTGGGCTTGCTTATACGCCACCCCACCACCCCGCGATAACTTTGACTAACAAGAATGTCTCTTTCCCCCCTTTTAGGTTCATCAACAACGAGTGGGTTGAGGGTGTCGAGAAGAAGAAGTTCGAGGTCATCAACCCCTCTACCGAGGAGGTCATCACCTCCGTCTGCGAGGCCACCGAGAAGGATGTCGACCTCGCCGTCGCCGCCGCCCGCAAGGCCTTCAACACCACCTGGAAGGAGACTACTCCCCACCAGCGTGGCCGATACATGAACAAGCTCGCCGATATTGTCGAGAAGAACACTGACATCCTCGCCGCTGTCGAGTCCCTCGACAATGGCAAGTCCATCACCATGGCCAAAGGCGATGTCGCCGCCGTCGTTGGCTGCATTCGCTACTACGCCGGCTGGGCCGACAAGATTGAGGGCAAGACTACCGATGTCGCCCCCGACATGTTCCACTACATCAAGAAGGAGCCTGTACGTACACAGAAAGCTCAAAAAACAAGAAACAGTCGACCTCAATGCTAACCTCCATATAGATTGGTGTCTGCGGTCAGATCATCCCGTGGAACTTCCCTCTCCTCATGCTGTCCTGGAAGATTGGCCCTGCCCTGGCTACTGGCAACACCATTGTCATGAAGACGGCCGAGCAGACTCCCCTCTCTGCCCTCGTCTTTGCTAAGTTTGTCAAGGAGGCTGGGTTCCCCGCCGGTGTCTTCAACCTCATCTCCGGCTTCGGCAAGACTGCTGGTGCCGCCATCTCCTCCCACATGGACATTGACAAGGTCGCCTTCACTGGTTCTACCCTTGTCGGCCGCACCATCCTCAAGGCTGCCGCTTCTTCCAACCTCAAGAAGGTCACCCTCGAGCTCGGCGGCAAGTCCCCCAACATTGTCTTCAACGACGCCGACATTGAGGCCGCCATCTCTTGGGTCAACTTTGGCATCTACTTCAACCACGGTCAGTGCTGCTGTGCCGGTTCCCGCATCTTCGTCCAGGAGGGCATCTACGACAAGTTCCTCGAGGCCTTCAAGAAGCGCGCCGCCGCCAACGCCGTCGGTGACCCCTTTGACCCCAAGACCTTCCAGGGTCCCCAGGTCAGCCAGCTCCAGTACGACCGTATCATGAGCTACATCAAGTCCGGCAAGGAAGAGGGTGCCACCCTCGAGATCGGTGGTGAGCGCCACGGCGACAAGGGCTACTTCATCAAGCCCACCATCTTCTCCAACGTCCGCAGCGATATGAAGATTATGCAGGAAGAGATCTTCGGCCCCGTCTGCTCCATCTCCAAGTTCTCCACCGAGGAGGAGGCCATCAAGCTTGGCAACGAGACCACCTACGGTCTTGCCGCCGCCATTCACACCAAGGACCTCAACACCAGCATCCGCGTCAGCAACGCCCTCAAGGCCGGTACCGTCTGGGTCAACTGCGTAAGTCTCCGTTATTCCCCGTCTTCATCCTCGAAAGATCCACTATTGATCAAAACTAACGCGCCACGCCTAGTACAACATGATTCACTGGCAAGTCCCCTTCGGTGGGTTCAAGGAGTCCGGCATTGGCCGCGAACTTGGCGAGGCTGCACTCGACAACTACCTCCAGACCAAGTCTGTTGCCGTTCGCCTCGGCGGCCCTCTGTTCTAAGAGTTGAGGCAAACAGGCAATGAACAGCAAAGAAGAATAAGAAGAAAATGAAATAGTAATAATAAGCGAAATGTAACGAGCAACAACGGCTGGCTTTTTTTTTGTACGAGAATAATTGCCCGAAGTGGGCAGCCTCAATGTGATGATAGCAAATGATGTTTTTAGCCCAATGCTATGCCCAGGGAAGCAATTTATTAGCATTTGCGCGCAGAGCACGTAATGCTGTAAGTAGCATCTGCGTTTATCCGTAGAGTATTCTGTGAGGCTGGGGGAGCAGGACATGGTACATACGTGGTAACTAGGTTAGCGACAGACGAAGTAGAGACGTCGATTGCCAATTTGCAGAGCTCGGTGCGATCGAAAAAAGACTTGAGCAGGGTCAGATTATCAAACACATTTACTTGCTCCAGCCGGGGAACATTTACTTGCTTCAGCCGGGCAGTCTAATAAGCAGCGTTCAACAGCCAGCAAATCGACCCACTTTCTCTCATACGGCCCATATAAGGAAATTTAGTGAGCTGGAGGCGATAAGAAATACCAAGCCTCATTAGTCTAGGGGTTACGACGTTGGATTTTGACTAAAACCAGTTCTTCCAAAAGCATCAGTTCGAATCTGATATGAGGCTTACATTACTGCATTTTTTGCCCCGTCCGCTACTCGTGTTCTTGTCGCGGTGTAAGTCGGGGGTTTATCTTTTTCTTAGTAGGCGCATTTCTTCTTCCATGTTTTTTTTGTTTTAGTCAATGAGTCAATGAGCAGCGTTGATTTCTTTGATTTCTTACCATCCGAGGCCGGCCACCCTGGCCTAGAACCAACATTGTGACTTATTCTTGTTTGTAATCCGGCCCGTTGGCTTTTTGGGTACACTTGGACCATGGACACTGCGCAAGTTGTCGGCTCGTGCACGATCTTGCATGACTAGTTGACGATGGGAGGCAATAGGTGGTTGGATAACGCGCAAGGATCGCAAGGATGTTGTAAATTACCGATACAAAGGTGCGCAGCGCCGAATTGATAGTTTGAAGCATGGAGGAAGTTAACGGCGCGGGGGTCAGACGCGAATCCTCATCTGGTGCCTAATTATACGTGAACGAGTTTCCGCGCTAGGGGCGGCCATTGCAACTGTTCGATACCGAATCGGATCGCGTTGGGTGCCGGGTTCCCCTGCGGGTGCAATTTAACTTGTCGTGACAAGCGCATGGATGATGGTACCAATAGGCAGGGGGGAAGCGTGGTCTGGCTGCTTTCTACAGGCTGGATGCGACGGTTCACAAAAGTTGGTGGCACGTGAATAGATAGATCGGGATCTAGTGGAGCTTTGCGAACGAGTTGTACAAAGATGAGTTCGTGATGTCTCTGTCTCTGATGTATGCACAAAAGAAGAGAAACGGTTGACGGGCATAACTTCAATATGTACGTCTTTCTGGTGGAGGCGGGGAACACTGTCGTCCTTGTTGGCTGGCTGGGTGCCCGGGCAACAAGGGGGTACAGGTCAGTTGTACCAATCAGGCGACGGCGACGAGGTAACCCGCGGCACGGGCTCAGGGGGGCAACCGCTAATTTATTAGCTGCAGCCACAGCGTCGACCCGAGGCGAAGCACGGGGCACGCGGAACGGTCTTGTTCCCTTGATAGTTTTTGCAGCCCTGACGCGTTGAGCGTTCTGGGCTTTCAATTGCTTGTCCAAGGACGGGATTTTCGCAAAGCTATCCATGCACTTTACTTTGCCTTGCCACTTCAGGGGAGATACAGAAGGGTCTGTGGCTGCTTGGGGACATTTATAGAAGCTTTCAGTGGAGGTAGCTCTCCCCCAGCCGCCCCCCCCCACACGAGCTTCCTAGCGCTGTATTTTTTTTTCTTGTTGCCCGGCCGTATCAAAGTAAAGGTTCCCCAATCTTCGCTTCTGGGTGCACGAAATCGTCCAACGGGCAACACACACCATTCTCCCGCCACAACAAAGTTTCGTCCCGTCGCGGATTGCTTGAGCCGTCGACTTCTTCCCACACACCTGCCGCTCGTTTCTACCGTTCTCTTCAAAACCATCTTCACTAAGCTGCTGGTTTCGCCAACCCCTTCGCCACTCTCCGAGCTCCGCCTTTCTCCTCTGTAAGCCGTCTCCCCTCATGCTCTCAGTGACCCTGCTTCGGATTCTGACGACGTTTGCAGCTCTTTAATCGTATATTCTACGCTCGGTACTATTTATATCCAGGCATTGGCTTGTACAAAGCTTTTCATTTATCGCCATTCCTTTCTATCTGTTTATTTTTTGCCTGCGATCCCGACATTTCCCCCTCCATCGCCGACCTGTACACGACGCGCCCCTAGCATATACACCTCTCAAACCCCGAGTCAATGGCTGCAAAATGGCCGCTGTTACGCCATCCAACAGTCGGTTGAAGCTGACGCCCTCCAACTCTCCCTTTCTGGGACGTCCCTCGAGATCCCCTATGCGCGGTCGCCACCAGGAATCCTGGCTCTCCTTGCGGAGAGTGGTCGGTACGACTTGCCGCTCCCAAACCGGGTTCGACACCCTCGATTCTTCCTTTGCCTATGTTGCTGGAGGTGCTGTCGTGGTCGTCACTGTCGAAAATGGAAACTATACACAGCGCTTCTATCGCGCCCGACCGGCTGCCGTCCCCATCTACAATGCCGCGAACACGCTGCAAAATACTTCGAGCACGCCTAACTTGACTACTCCTAAGGCGAACGATAGCCGCGGCAGAGTCGCGCCCTCAAACCGAGACTCCATATATGGTTCGGTCGATTGGGCCGATTCCCCCACCTCCAAAACTTGGACTAGCAGAGAAAGGATCAAGGCTGCGACCTGCGTTGCGCTCAGCCGCGATGCCAAGTTTCTCGCTGTTGGCGAGACAGGCTATGCGCCTCGAGTTCTAATCTTCAACCTCCAAGAAGCCTCATCTGACACACCACTCGTTTCCATTAGCGAGCATACCTTTGGTGTAAACGCCGTGGCTTGGTCGGCAGACTCACGATATCTTGCCTCATTGGGTGCTGCTAATGATGGCTTCCTATACATCTGGAAGGTCGAGCCCCGGACCGGGCAAACGAAGCTGTTTCAGCAGAATCGATGCACTTCATATATCCGACACATGACATGGATGGGTAGCAACCTCATCACGCTTGGTGTGCGCCATGTCAAGATTTGGAGAGTCGAGGACGGGTCTTCATCCCCGACAAAGAGTCGGCACTTTAATGATTCTGCTCCTTCTACCCCGACATCTTGTCAAAAGACACTGCCTGGTCGCAATGTCTTGCTGGGGGGTCTCCTTGACGCAATTTTTACCTGTGCCGCCGTGGATGGAAATCGACTCCTCGTATGCACCGAGGCTGGGGACGTCTGCATTATGGACGACGACGACAGACAAATGAAGCTTGTTAAAGCAGTCACTTTGAATTTCGCTATTACCACTATTACCATAAAGGGAGACGTCGCCTACGTTGGGGGAAAAGATGGCTCTTTTGCCACATTGGACGTTCTAGCGGTCATGGACGGTGGTGGCGACGATTGCATCTTGACCACGGCGACTGCACCAACAGGAGTGCTGGCCCTGGGTTTTCTAAATGACAATCTCGTCACTATTGATTCGAAGCAGTCCATTGACATTTGGTCCCGCAATCATTTGCCTGGTCAAAAGCAAGACGCAATTGCCCACATCCCCATCCCTGGCCACGGCGAATCCATCAACGGGGTACATCCGCTCCGCCGCCCTAATAAGCCCAATGCGTCATTCATTACCTGGTCGGGATCAGGAAACGTCACGTTCTGGGATACAGAAGGTCGACAGAAACTGTCGGTGGACGTTCCTATCGACGCGGTTGAGATTGACTCAGAAATGGGCATCAGCAACCAGGTTACTTGCGTTGAAACACTACGCAACGGCAAGCAACTCATCGTCGGGGACCGGCTAGGAATAATGAAGATCTTTGACGTTGATACAAAGGAGTTGCTGCTTGACACCAAAGCCCACGCCATGCACTGTGTCGGCATTAGCGTCTGCGAAACCCCGAACAAATTCATAATTGCAAGCTGCGGCCGTGACAGGACCGTGCAGCTTTTCCACCAGTTGTCTGATGGGCAGATAGAACACTTCCAGACACTCGAGTTCAATGCGAGAGTCGTACAAGTTCTGATTCCCTCGGATGACAAAGTCATTACTTGTTCCCTTGACCGGTCTCTGCAGATTCATGATCTTGTCACCCGTGATGGCGAGCCTGACGTCATTGCCGCTCTGCCCTCCAAGGTTATATCTCTCAAAGCGTCTCCCACCAGCTTACTCATGGGACCGGACCGCCGCAGCATATATGTTTCACTATTAGACCGATCCGTGTTCCAGTTTGATCTTTTCACTGGCCGACAAGTCTCTTGCTTCAAGTGCATAGATGAGGGCGGCGTCGAGTCTGCCGTGCTGGATGACTTGACCCTCGGCAATTGGCCGGCCCGCGATCTCGACTTTATTATTGGCACTTCTAATACCGACAAGTCGATACGATTGTACGATGCGCGATCAGGGTCTTTCCTCGATCGTGAGTGGGGACACACTGAGGCGATTAACGGAGTGTGCATAGTGGAGGACGATGATGGATCGAAGAAAGTTGTCAGTGCCGCATCGGACGGCACTATCATGGTTTGGCTGCTGGACTTCTTCGAGTGCTCGCCGAAATCAACGAGCCGTGACCCGTCGCCCGCAAAAGAAAGCAGCATCACCGGCAGACCTACATTGAGGAAGGTGCTTTCACGGGCTGAGCTGGCAGAGTTTCAGCGCTCAACTCCGACCAACAACAGACAAAAGTCGCCGCCACGCACATTACCGCGACGAAGCTCGCGCCTGAATATGAAAAATGCCACCGGTACTCTGAATGGGCAAGGCAATGGCACAATTGCCGAAAGCACCCCATCGAGGCGCAGACCTTCTGTCAGCCAGGGAGCTAGTCCGCCACCCAGTCCGAAAGGTCGTATCAGTCGTCGCCCATCGCTACCAGCACTGGGCGCAACCGCACGCAAGAAGTCATCCGCGACAAACTTGAGAGCACAAAACACGCTGAACACGGCTACAGAGCAAGCATGTCGAACGTTGCGTGCCTACAGACGCAAGCTCTCGTCTGCAGAGCCCATCACGGCTGAATGCTTGACGGAGCTGGATCAAGAACTCCGCCTCACGGCCGCTGCTTTGGGTGATCGCGCTATCCGCAGCAAAGCCATGAATGAGACGGTCCTCAGCGGGTTATTGGACCAGTACTCCGAACGACTCGTCACGTTGCTTGACGAGAAACTACGGCTCACTACGCCGACCAAGGACCGAGAGACGGACAACTCGACAGTAGAGCGCCGTGGCAGTGCCTCGAGCAGCTCCAACACATCATCTTCGCCATGATTCTTGTATTCTTTGCTTTGTTTTACATGCGCGCGCTTCTTTCATTTGATTCTATTGCCGTATATTCTTTTTCAGTTTGTTTTCTTCAGCTCGGGATTTCCTGGAGTTTTCTGGAGTTTCATTTTTGCCTGGGCGGGATATCCTGGCTTTATTTTTCCACTGCGGCGTTTCGAAAAGAGAGGCGAACAAGCCTCGCACCCACTGTGATGATACCATTGGGCACGGCGTTTTTCTGGGTTCTTTTGTTTTTATTTTCTTGTTTGATACTTAGTGTTACTGAATCGGGTATTTGGCTGAATGGGACTCCCTCCTGGATGAGGAGAAGGGTGTAAATGTGTATTTTATAGCAAAGCAAGACAATCAACATGTCTGCCCTGAGTTTTCATACCGCACGGTGTCCTTTCTGATCCCTGACTGAACACTGTTCCATACTGCAAGTCGGATACGGTCGCCAAAACTAACTTCGCCACGCTCACGGAGCTGCAGGCGTGTTTGATGCACCAAATGTTGTGTTATTGGATAATCGAAATGCTCAGGCCTGCACTTGGTTGCACGGAGCCCAAAGAAATCAAAAAGTATCCTGACTGGATCAACGCGAGGGATTTGAGAACTTGTGGTATGGTGTTAGGGGTGTTCAGAAAGTCACGGATGTCGCGAAGTTCCTGGCGGGCTGACAGTGTGGACTGTGTGAATCCGCACCCCGTGCGATAATGATAGTATATAGTAGTTGGTATTATACATTTAAAAACTCTTTAGAAATTAATGTAGAACGAAGAGGAGTCGATAGTAGGAAACAGGCCGAAATTGAATTTCCATGCCGAACTTATTCCCAGGCTGATAAAAGAGTATCCAGTGAAGCGGCTCCACGATTGCAAGGGTGCGCCACATGGTGAGTGAAGTTGCCATTATTATGGAAGTTATGGGCCTTGGTCTACAAATAATTGTCCAGTCCAGGAACTAGAATTCTACGTCATTCGCACAGTACTACATCAAGCAGGCCGACCGTCGGCGTGAACATCGCCACGGAGAAAGCTACCATACCTTAACGGTGTTACATCCCAAGTTTAGCTCCTCAAAAGCTCGTTTGCATCCGAGCATCGGAGAGGGGTCGTCGATCAGGCAAGCCGGGTGGAATGGTTCCGCCAAACATACGGATAGCCGCGCTGAGTGTTTTATTCTTGTTTGGTCCCGTGCTCCAAGACCAATACAATAAAGTTATACCGTTGGCTCCACGAACTCGGCATCCCAGCCGCCCCCTGTTATTTGCGGTGAGTCAAGAGCACGCAAATCAACCTGTCTCGTGCCTGTCAAGCCGGGTGAAACCCCGATGGCGAGCGGGGAGCTGTAGGAGCCGGACTCCACTGAGGAGCAGGACAAGGCTAAAGCTGAAAGCTGAAGTTGGAGTGCCGCTTACAAATATCCCATTACGGCACTTGGTTGAAGATGCGAAGACGAGAACTGAGGCTGTTGTGTAAGATGGCGGTACTTCGGCGGGTGCTGTGTGCTGTGAATTGACAGCGACGACAACACGGGAGTAACTTAGTGTGGACGGCAGGAAAGGCAAACCAAGTCCTATACGGAGTAATAGGTAACGCCCTCCAAAAAGCCGTTAAAAAGCCGACTTGTAGATAAGGTAGCTTGTTTGCTTGCTAGCCGAATCGAGAGCGTCACTGAGCGTAGCCTCGAGAATCGAATTCATGTCGAGTAAGAGCCGGGCATCGTTAACGAGATCAGAGCAGCGTGCGCTAGAAGTGGCAAGAACACCGACAGAGCATCAAGATGACGATATTATTAGAGTGATAAATCGCCTTGGAGAACAAGTTACAAGTTCAACTGTGTTGGAATTCACGGCCTTTTGAATCCCGCTACCCATGTACATCATGCCTCGGAGGCCGAGCCGTTGAACCCTGCCAAGTCTCCGTCTCCACATTCTGCATCCTTACGACGACCGCTAAAACAATGCTCAGCACGCTGTAGCCCGCTAAAAGTCCACTGACGAGCCCGCTGTGAACCGATGCCGGCTCGGATTTGGCCTCGGCGTTAAGACCGATGGGGCTCGGCGCAAACTTTTCTGCGTGGTTTCTTATCAGATCAGATTGATAAAAATTGAGCCTGTCCGTTCACAGCCCCTCCGCGCAGAGCCATAGCTGGCAACGAGCCAAAAAACTTGTTCCAGTCCAAAACTCCCCCCCAGCCCTGATCTTTGCCCTCGTGCAGATTTTGCGCTCCCCCGCCGCCAAAAATCCCACCCCTTTTTTCGTCTTCACACATATGTCGTAACTCCGATTGTTTTCTTCCTCGCCCTCGTCCGCCGCAACTAGACAAAGCCTCATTCTCCCCCCGAATCGATCACCTATAACATACGTCGACGCCATGTCTGATCGCAGCGAGTCCCCGGAATCGGACGGCGACACCGGCTCCTCCCACCGCGCCGACAACCCCCCCGCCCGCAAGCGACAGCGCGTCCGTCTCAGCTGCCTCGAGTGTCGACGCCGCAAGCTATCGTGCGATCGCGGCTTCCCGTGCGAGCGGTGCATCAAGAGCGGCACGCCGGACCGGTGCTCCTACGAGTCCCGCACCGGCGAGGTCGTCAACGCCTCGGCCGGCGTGCCTCCTCAGTTTGCTCAGCTCGACTCCCGCCGCTTCGGCCTGGCCGACGCCGTCGCCGGCTTCGGCCCGCGTGACCCGGACGTCCTCCGCCAGGACCACGACCGCATCCGCCGCCTCGAGCTCGAGATCGCCCAGCTCAAGACTCAGCTCCTCCGACCCGGCGCCTCGGCCTCATTCGATGGCAGCACCGTCGCGGGGACAAACTCCCCCGCCACCCAAAAGGACGAGACCTCGCCCCATGCCGCAGCCGTCGCCGGTGCGCACAACGCAGACCCCAATGCGCCCCGGCCTGAGGTCCAGGAGTGCATCGACGCCACCAACGCGTCGGACGAAAAGGTTGAGCTCCGCTTCTTCCGCGGCAAGGGCTTCCGCACCCGCTACTTTGGCCCGCACAATGCCAGCATGGCCTTTGTTGAGCTGACCGGCCTCTGCCCCTTCATGCGCGAGACCGCTGACGAGTGGCTCCGCCCCGTCATCATCCATGACCGCAAGGATCGCAAGCGGCGCCAGGAGGAGCGTGAGCTCATGTTTGATCAGCCCGACCCCGAGCTCGAGGCGCTGCTGCCCAGCAAGGAAGAGGCCGACGCGCTCGTCAGCATCTATCTCGACCAATTCGAACAAATTCACCGAATTGTGCACATCCCAACCTTCAAGAAGGAGTACGAAGCCTACTGGACGCCTGGTGCCAACAAGCGCTATGCCGCCTTCACTGCCATGCTCCTGGCCATGATGGCCGTCACCACCACAGTCCATACTCACGAGAGCCTCAAGTTCGTGGGCATGATGTCCAGCGCCCGCCACTGTGCCGAGAAGTGGATCAAGGCCGCCGACGACTGGCACAGCAATCAGAGCCAGAAGCACCGGCGCCTCATCCACTACCAAGTAGCCTGCTTGCTGTATCTGGCGAAGCGTGTCAATACGTACAAGAAGAAGCGTTTCTGGACCAGCTCGGGCGCCCTGATCCAGAACGGCATCGCCGTCGGTCTTCACCGCGAGCCGAGCCACATGGCCAACAAGATTACGATCTACAACCAGGAGATGCGCCGCAGAATCTGGACCACGATACAGGAGTTCGACATGCAGGCATCTTTCGATCACGGCCTGCCCACGCTGCTGAGCCAGCTGCACTACGACACCAGCCCTCCTCGCAACCTCGATGATGAAGACTTTGGCGAGAACACGACGGAGCTGCCGCCCTCCAAGCCTGCCAAGGATTATACATTCTCATCCTTCCAGAACTTGGCCCGATCTAGTCTACCACTGCGCCTAGAGCTCAGCCGTCTACTGACGGGCCCAACGTCTGACATCGATTACGACCAAGTGATTCGTTACACGAATGACTTGACACAGGAGATTGACGCCCTGCCCTCCTGGGATACCAACGTGGATCCAACCAAGAGCAAGAAGAACCCCCTCATCGCATACACCCTACTACACGTGCAGCTACGGCAGTACATCATCCCCCTACATCAACCATACCTGAAGCTGCGCAAGCAAAACTCCAAGTACCAGTACTCGGAGATTATCTACTACAACGCCGCGCGAGACATTGTCTTGCTGCACGATAAGCTCTACGAGCAAGGCATCCGCGCGCTCAACTTCCTGCGCGAGGACGCGCTGACGACGGCCATCAACCTGTGCAGCGTGACGATGCTGCAGCCGAAGGGGTCGACCAACATGATCATGATCAACTCGCACCACACGCTCAAGCTCATCGAAAAGTGCCTCAACATGAAGGAGGACCGGCTTCTGCGCTGCGGCAACAACGAGCCGTGGGGTTACTCCATCATGTGCGCGGCGCTGGGCCTGCTCGAGGCGCACCTGGGCACCAAGCCCTCCGAGGTGGCCAAGTCGTCGTCGGCCGAGCGCTTCGTCAACCTGCACTACCGCCTGCTCGCCAACCAGGAGCCGCCAACGTCATCGAGCCAGCTCGCCGAGGTCGGCATGGCCATGCCCCCGCCCATGCACCCGGCGCCGCCGAGCGCCAACGGGTTGCCGCTCGACGTCCCGGACAGACCAAAGGTATGCGGAACAGGAGAGGCGTCTACGCTGCTCCCGACTACTACTACCCGTGCTAACCCGCTTCCCACTATCCAGTCTGCTACGCCATTTGCCTTTACGCCATCCATGCCATCCGCGCCGCTGGACCCTACCGCCGCGCCGTGGCTCATGAACAACGGTGATGCCACGCAGCCCTTCAACCTCGACCCGAGCCTAGAGCTGCTAGGCATCAATCTGAATGAGCTATGGGGTGAGTCTTGGGAGCTCGGCTGAAAAGCGACAGAAGCAAAATCAATCTTTCCAAATGCGACTCAAGTGGCACAAAAACCTGTCACCGCAAGAGGAGGGGAATTGAAGTTATATATATTAAGTCAGGCTGACGTTGTATATTTTTGGTGTCGGGCATAGATCGGAGAACAGACATCTGGAGAAAGGGTCTCTGCGAGATTGAAGAGCCCTTCTTTGGGTGAAATCTTTTTGCCTCACGTGTCTACGGATGCGTTGGGATCGGGGTCGGATTATTTCTATTTGAATGACAGACAAATGACTGCAACGATTGTTTACAAGAGATGGAAAGCAGAAGAAAAGGAGGCTGGATATATGGTCCTTGTTTGGGAGTCTTGTTACATTTTTCCTTTTCGTACATGCTTGATGACCTAGGAGGGTCTTTCGTTTGCTTTTGGCTTCGTTTTCGTTTCTGGCTGCTGCTCAAATTGTGTGATTTGACACGGCTTTGTACACTAGTGATACCAGAGAGGTTCGCGAGAGCTGGGAGACTGCGCCGAACAATATATGATATTCCCTACTCTTTCGGCTTGTTTAAAGTGAAGCGCACAAACTATACTTGATTCCATGTGATTCCATGTATTCCGTGTTGCGAATTCACGATAAGCATTGGGACGACCAGGCCTCACTGCGGTAATGGTGGGTGACCAAATATATCAAACAGCTTGATGGGACGGGGTCAGGGTGATACTGTGAAAGCAGAATAACCTTGTCGTCCAATGATAGCTTCTACACCATTCACGAGACTTGTGCCCAGCACAACTTATTGGTTTATACTGTAGGTTCATTGTCTACTGCTGTTTTGTGCGCTGCAGAGCTGGCTCCATAGCTACTCCTATTGAAGGGGAGACAATATCGATGCAACATGCTGGTGTCACTCAGGCGGCGCCAAGACATCGATGGCACCTCGTTCCCCTTTCAAAGAGGCGGAAGAGCAAAAGCTGGACACAATCAATGACGATTGAGTATTTGTAGAATTCAAGATATTTTTAGTTGTGTTATATAAATACGACCATCTCTGCAGGCCCTTCCATGTGTCACTGCGACCTCATGCAAAGCGAGGCGCTTTCCGGAAACTCCGACCGCTTCCCGCCCAACCCCCAAATTTCTGTCCACTTCAACATCACCAACACAACTTCTCCTCCCTCCCTCCCTAATTGACATCCAACCAACCATACAACACCTCCCAAAACGATAAAGTCTTCCTACCGTCATCATGGCCAACGCGGATGAAAATGCCGCCCGCAAAGACCGCATCATCTCCCACATGAACCGCGACCACACCCGCGAGATGAGCCACTACCTGCGCCACTACAACGGCCTCTCCGCGCGCCAGGCCGCCCGCCCCTCCCTCCGCGACCTCTCCCTCGAGGCCCTCCTCATCCGCGCCGACGGCCTCGACCACACCCTCCCCTTCGCGCCGCCCCTCGCCTCCTGGGCCGAGGTCCGCCCGCGCCTCGTCGAGATGGACGCCGTCGCCCGCGCCGCCCTCGACATCAGCGACGTCGCCGTCACCTCCTACGTCGCCCCGCGGCCCGCCGACTGGGCCGTCCTGCTCGCCGTCTCCTTCTACTTCGTCAGCGCCGCCACGCTGCCCTGGACCGGGGAGGGGTCGGCCGCCTGGCGGCTGCTCGAGGCGGCGCGGTTCCCCGGCGGCGCGGCCACGTTTAGATGGCTGGTGCGGGCGCTGTTCGTGCCGGTGCTGGGCATCCACGTGGCCGAGTGCTATTTGCTGGACCGCTGGCGCCTGAGCCGCCACGGCGTGGAGCGCTTCTCGGCAGTCTGGCTCATGTGGGAGGTGAGCTGCTTCCTCGAGGGGCTGATGGCCTGGCACCGTTTCGACGAGCTGGTGGCGGAGAAGCAGAGGCAAAAGGCCGCAAAGAAGCATTGAGTCGGCGCGGGTATTTCTCACTTGTCGCAGAGCGGGCATAGCATATGAATTTCAGGAGGAGGAGGAGGGGGGAGAGAGCAACTGGGTTCTAGTCTCAAAGCTTTAATAATCGTCATAATATCCGTCATATGTGCCTTGCATCGCCTGCGTGCTCACCCATTCCTCGCTTGCCAGCCCCTCTCTAAATCTTTCTTGTAGATCCTCCGCATCCTTGTCAAAGTCACACGCAAAATCGCACTCCGGCATTACCGCTTCGCCAAAGTATTTACAAATCTCAGCGTGTCGGCACGATTTGATGTTCTCGCAGTAGAGCGCGAGGGCTTGCAGGCTGCGCAGCCGTGATTGGTAGCTTGTGCTGTCTTTCGAGTCCCCTTTCACCATTCGCGTGATCCGCTCCAGGTCCTCACGGCTATAATACAGGAAGCAGTAGCTCGCGTTCCCGTCTCGCCCGGCACGGCCTGCTTCTTGGTAGTAGCCCTCAAAAGACTTGGGCAACCTCCAGTGCACGACGAATCGCACATTGTTCTTGTCGATGCCCATGCCGAAGGCGGTGGTGGCTACGATAATGTCGTAGCCCTGTTCATTTTTAATCCATCGGTTGAGAGTGTCCTCCTTGACGTCCTTGGGCAATTTCGCATGAAAGGGGCGTGCGCCGATCCCCTGAGCCCGCAACGCCGCCGAGAGCGTATCGCATTCGTCACGAGATATTGTGTAGATAATACCTGGCACGTTCTCGACTCTTTCGCCCGACTGCCGAAGTTCCTCTTTCCGCGGCTCCGCCCTACGGCGATCGTACACAGATTGCAGCCACGCTAGGAAGTCTGATAAACGGTTGTCGTCCTCATCCTTTGTGTATCGTATTTCTAGGTGCAAGTTGGCTCGCGAAGGGCTCATCAGAAACGCCTTGATCCTCCCCGGAGCGCCATCGAGCCGCAATACGCTGAGGATATCTTGACGCACTCGATCGTTGGCCGTAGCTGTTAAACACATGATTGGCACCGTGGGAAATGTCTCGCGGAACCAAGAAAGTCGTTTAAAGTCTTTGCGGAAATCATGGCCCCATTCTGATATACAGTGTGCCTCGTCAATGGCAATTCGGGCAAGCTCCCTCTGTTCGTGCACCTTTTGAAGGCGCTCACGAAAGCGGGAGCCGGAGCATAGCTCAGGTGTCACGTATAATAGCCGCGTCAAGGGATGGCCCGTTTCCAAGTCTCGGTGTATTCTTTCCTTTTCAGGATACGGTGTGTTGCTATTGAGCGCGCTCGCGTTGATTCCGGATGCACGCAATGCCTCAACTTGGTTGATCTGTAAATGTCAGGTTCATACCCCTGGTTGGCCAGCCCAATGAATCCTCACCATCAAAGACAAGAGTGGCGACACCACAACTGTAACTACAAGGTCTCAGCGTCCTTATCCTTTTATTGCCATGTCAGACACGTACTACCAGTGTCAATTACAGCCGGCAGCTGGAAGCATAAGCTCTTGCCAAACGATGTAGCGGCCTGCACGTAGACGTCGAAACCGGCCAAGGCTGCTTCGATGATTTCACGCTGATGGGGTCTCCATCATCAGGTTAACCTCAAATATGCGTAAGCAAGTATTTTGGCGTACCTGAAGTCTGGTTTGCCAAACTGGCGCCGCAGCGTGAACCCAATATCGGTGCATGAGTTGGTCCTCTGCAGCGTAGGCATGATTCTGTAGGTGCCAATGCCTTGGACGGCGGAATACTCTTAATAAGCACAAGTCCGCATTTCCATCGCGTCAATTGCCCCTTTGTAGGCCTTCAAGTCTCGCTGCTCTTTTGCATCGCGTCCAAGTGGTAGCGCGTTTCTGGTCCTGAAGTGTATCTGTCAAGTTAGGTAACGCACGCCTGCACCACAGCAAGAGGTCGAGGCTCCACCACTTGTATCCAGAGGTACCTATGTACCTACAGTATGTATGTACATGCCTAGTACAGGTAAGGTGATCCTGTGCCCACGTATACGAGCGTACAGTCAAGACACATGGGCGAATTTTTTTGTTTGGTCGACCAATTATCACTGTCCATTCGTGAAACAATTCTTGTACTACCTCCTTGAAAATTTTTCGGTCAAGGCAAACGAAGTTTGCTGGCATCGTGGCCCAAGGACGTCGGCGTTGGCGCGTTATAAGCAAGGATCACTGTGCCTAGTACCTATAATTAGTACCTATCCGTGTCTATACCGTATCAAAACAACTTCCAACTTGTTTCAACCGCCAGGCGACAAGGGACAAAATGTTTCCATACTATCCCCAGATACGTCATTCAAGGGGCCCTCTGACTCCCGTCTACTGTCTTTAGTTGCAAGTTGGATATTTCGCACTGTACAAACCGTGCCAAAACGGCACCGGCTCTACCGTCTTGTGGCACCAGAACGACACTGATCGCACTGTACCTCCACTCCTGCAAGGGCCTCACCTCACCTGAGCCCGCCAGACCCGACTAAATAGATAGGAGACATTGTATGTCGTGGACACGTCCAAAGAAGCAAGTCGGCCGCTGAATTCCCAACTTCATCCTTTCCCAGTACTCCCCCGGTCCATCGCACGGCCCTACCAAGGCTTCTCCCGCCACCGCCATCCTCACAAGCAGCTTCGCTTCGGGGGACACAACGACGTCCCATCTCGCCAGCCCCTCGACACCCTTCCTTTCGTTCGCAACCCAGCTGCTTGGTCCCTATCCAACTCAACCATCATGCACGGCGGTTTCCGCCCGGCTTCACTTTGGTAGCCTCATATCGGCGTTCTACGATACCTGCTGCCCTAGCATTCCTTTGCTTTTTTTTTTGCTCGCGTGTTTGAGCTTGGGCACGCTGCCGTCTGCGCGACAGAGGGGGGCTTCTCCTGAAACATTGCCGCGCCTGTCCACCGTCACCGAAACTTTTTGGCCCTCGATCCCCCGAGCCGCACTAGACCATTGCGCACTGCCTTTTTCCGCCTTGAAACGCGCTTCTAGAAGCTGCACCACTCTCGCTCGGCCGCTCAATCCATCGAGAGTTGATAGCCATGGAGCGGCCGGATCGCACAGATCGGGCACCGCCGCCCGCGACCGCCACAGCAACGGCGGCTGCGCCCACGAGCACGACCTCGACCTCCTCTGGCGTCCGTGGCCTGCCCGAGAATCCTGCTCAGGGTCGCCGGCCCGTGCCAAACTCGGCCGCCACGTCCAACGGCGCAACGGCACCGCCTCCTCCGCCCATTCCGACCGGTATAAGCGCTCCTCCGAATGGAAATCTCGCCGTCTCCAGGGCCCTCACCCCGGCACAAGTCATCAGCCTGGCCCGCGATGCCATGCGTACGGCTTTGGAGAGTGAAGGCCAGACTGTTGAAGCCAGCACCGCGGGAACTGGTCTCAAATCTGGCGTGACTGTTGACCTCAGCCGAAAGAACATCCAGAAGCTGCCTGAAGAGGTGGTAGACATTGTCAAGGATGAACTTGAGCGGTTGGTAGCTTTTTAACCACTATCACAGTGCCCTTGCTAACTTCAATCAGGCTTGCTCTTTCGCACAATCAATTATCGACTCTCCCCACTCGGTTTTCTGAATGCACGTCGTTGCGCTATCTAAACATCCGCGGTAACCTGATCAAGGAGTTTCCCATGACTGTTCGTCCTATCCTATCCTGAGACGACCATTCCCCAGCATTTACTAACCGAAACTAGCTATGCGACCTAACTTCACTAGAGATCCTCGACCTAGGCAGAAATCAACTGCGTTCCCTGCCAACCGAGATTTCAAGGCTCGTCAGTCTCAAGGTCTTGTCCGTGCCCAAGAATCACATCCGTGAGCTACCATTATGTCTTGCCGACATGGTTTCACTGCAAGTCTTGAAATTCGAAGGAAACCCGATCAGCTTCCCTCCCAAAGACGCGTTGCGGCTACAAGCAGCTAGTCCCTCCAATGAAGCTAGGGAAACCGAGGTCACTGAAGTAGCCGTGACGGCCCATATCAAGAAGTTTATGCGACAATTCGCCATCAGTGGGAGGATAGAAGCTGAAGGTACAGGCGACGAATCAAGCGAGAATGCAGAGACCCCCCGATATCCCTTGAAGCGCGCAGCCAGTGGCCGATTCCCGATCAAGGTCAATGGGTCAGATCCTCCCGACATACGATCACCAAATCCCGGCGCCAGGCCACCTCCTATTCCTTCTCGCTCCCATTATCGTGGCCTCTCACAACAAAACACTGCAATTCGTCGGCCAAGCGTAATGCCCCTCACGATTGGCAATGTCAACGAACGTTTACGAAGCAACTCTGAGAGCCTATTAAGACCCGATCGGCCTGATGGTCGTAACCGGCGTATGGGCATTCTTTCGAAGAAGACGGAGCTCGATACCCTCGAGGAGGCGGAGCCGAATAATAGATTCAGCCACTATCGCGGTTTGAGTCATGGGTCCGCGATGCAAGAGACTCCGGCAGGAACGAAGAGCCCGGCCACCCCAACCGACAGTCTCTTGCAACGTCCAATCTACGTTCGACGTTTATCGGTCCTGCCAGAGCGAAGGCGAGAATCAAAAGTTTACGACCCAGTCATTGAATCTGCCAAGGGGATCTTGTATTCTGTATTCCAAATTCACCCAATGATTCAGATGCTCATGACATTGACCAACGACGGGTCAGCCAAAAGATCGAGCCTTGAGATTGTCTTCTATAACACCAACTCTCACGTGGAAGAGCTTGAGCAAGAGATTCAAAGATACGAAAGCGCCATTCCAGAGGAAGGCGAGTATCACACCAAGGATAACCAAAACGTGCACCGTGCATGCCAGACGCTAGTCAGTGCATATGGTCATGTTTGCACGCTACTCGCAGACAACATTGATACGTTTGTTAACAATGGGGATGCACGATATATTCGGTCACTCCTCATGTTATTGTATAACAGTATAATGGAGCTGCGGGTAACCTTGTCTTCCGTATCTTCTCAATCTCCTCAGGCAATCCCGCAACTGCAATATGAGAGCAACAACGACACCATCAAGCCATACACGCAAAATGGCCAGATGCAATCGGCCCCGATGGATAGGAACGGGCAACAGCGCAGCCGCCAAGGTACCATACGGCACAGTCCTGCCAATTCGAGATCCTCTCAAGATAACCAGGGCCCATACATGAGCGGCCCTCGACGGCCCAACGCCTACATGCCCAACGATCAAATGGGCCAGATGGGCCAGATGGGCCAGATGGGCCAAATAAGCCAGATGGGCCAAATAAGCCAGATGGGACCACAAGTTCCAGTTTACAATACCGCCGAGGACGATATGCAGTTCGAGAGAATATTGGTTTCCCTACAGAAATCCGCCGACATTGTATTGCAAGTGCTGCCTAACTTCAGCATGCAATTAACTGGACGGCTTCGAAACGCGGTACAACAACGAGCCCCCGAGGGCGCCCTGCGCGACCTGAAGGGCCTTATCAACATCTGCAACGATGCTGTCCAGCAAAGCGAAGTGCTTAAGAATCAGCTGGCTGTTATGAAACGGAGAGACCCAAGCTTGCGTACTCAGCCTGGCTTTGGAGTATTGTGCCGAAACTTCTTCTCTAGCTGGGCAAGCACAGCCGGGATGGTCAAGGAGTTGACTAAGCGCCTCCCTCTACCACCAGACACTCGGGTGCGTTTGCGGCCAATTCAGCAGATGTTCAAGGACACCAGCAACTTGATCGTGCAGTCTCCGTGGCAGCATCTCATTCGAGCGCCGGGCCCTCCCGGCATGTATCCCAGCGGCATTCTCTCGCCATCGAATGTTCCGATCACGCCCCAGAGCGCCGCCCTCGGCCCCGCGATGCAAGCTACTGTGCCTGTGACGCCACAGAGTGCCTCATTTGCCAGGGCATTCCATGGCAACGTCTTTGACCGGGCGGATGCGCTGATTGCCAATCCCGGCATCTCCATTTCGAGGAGCGGTCCCATGAGCCGAGGCCACTCGAACCTCAGCTCACTATCCTCAATATCATCCATCTCTTCGGACGGGGTTCCTACGCCGTCTTCTAACTATTAAATACTTAAATGCGGTGTACTACGAAGAAGATGCGACTTTGGCTTATGTATTATGATTGTATTACCGGCAAAGGGTTCATGGCTGCCGGGCCAGCATAGCAATGGCGTTTGGAACGGGATGAATTTGGTGTTGAACATTATTTATCTTGGATGTAGCAGCATGTTTCTAGGAGGGCTTGCCGGTCATCGGGTCCCTGTAATAATATGACTGTAATGCTTGTTGTCAGTGCTTCTTGGAAGGTTGTATGCAAGGGGAGAGGGGCGAGTCCAATCACCCCACCACACCCATCAGACTGACATGATCACCTGCAGCTGCAAGGCCCCATCAGTTCATGAGACATGGAATCCTTTGTTGTAGTTTATTTGATACACCAACCCAGGGCTTTCCATCTCATCAGATGCAAACATGTCTGAAGCATCCGCGCCACCACCAGCGGCCGCTGCGCCACCAGAACAGCAACACCACAACCCGCACCAAACGCTACCTCAGGTGGCCATGAGCACCAGCGGCGCCAGCAATACCAGCGACGGCTCCTCCCGTCTTGCCACCACCACCTCATCATCCGCCGCCGCCTCCACGTCCACTCCCTCCGGCAGCCGCGCCGCGCCCGCGACCGCCCTGAACGCAGCCCCGCGCACCCAACCGCCGCCGCCACCCCTCATCCATCAACAGCAGCAGCAGTCGCCGCCGCCACTGCTCGAGACGCTGCCGTCGGTGGAGACGCAGCGGCACATCGCCGAGGCGCGCGCCGCCGTAGTCGCCTCCATCGGCAACATGCTCGACGCGGAGCTGCAGGGGCGCGCGGCCGAGGGGTCGTCGTGGGAGGGGAGCGAGTGCAGCTGCAGCGACTGCGGGCGCACGCTCGGGGAGGAGGATGAGATGGATGTGGACGGGGATGGGCATGGGCATGGAGCTGGAAAGCAAGAGGCAGCGGTGGTGGACAAGGGGAAGAAGGGGCACGAAGCTGAGGGGGGCGTGGTGATGGACGGGCTGGAGACCATGTCGGAGACGAGCCGCAGCTTGTGTGATGGAGAGTCGAGCACGACGACCGGCACCGGCAAGACCAAGAACTCGGAGACGGAGTCGCTTTCGACCACATGTTGAGGATGGATACTCGTGGCAAGTCCAATGAACAACCATGTCACGACAACATTTATGATTTATGAACTGAAGGATCGCAACGGATTTGATTACGCATTATGACACTTTCCATGAACTAGATTGACTATATTTATTATATTTTTACATTAACATCCACACGACACGACCAACCTACCTACCCACGAGCTCATTTGAGTCAACACCCTGTAGCCATGGCGAAAATTCGCGTAGACCCATAACCAGAACCCCCTGACATGATGACATCTACAAAAGACCAGGGAGCATGACGAAGCGCTTCTTCTTGTATTTGTCGCCAAACTCCTTGCGGTAGGCCTTCTCCTTGCCCTTGGCCCAGACGTACATCTGCGCGCCGCCAATTGCAATCGACAGCGTCACGGCCCAGTCGCGGCTAACTATGATGATGCCGACCCACGCGAGGACCTCGTACATGTAGTTGGGGCAGGTGACCAGGCCAAACCCGTAGCCGGCCGGGATCTTGCGCTCGGTGCTGCCGGCGGGGCGCAGCGTCGACAGGTAGTGGTGGACGAGTGCGTTGCCGGCCTCGCCGAAGAGGCAGAGGGCGGTGCCGACGGCGTCGAGGGCGGGCTCGCTTGCGGTGGCGGCGAGCGAGCGCGGCCAGTAGAGCGAGAGCGCGGCGAGGAGGCCGAACGAGGCCCAGTAGAAGAAGCTGTTCTTGAAGACGTTGGCGACGGGCATGGTGTTGGCGGAGAACTTATGCACAAAGGCCGTCTCGTACTCGCGCTTGAGGAAGTGCGCGGCGATTAGGGCGAAGCTGAGCCACTGCGTGCGCGACATGGGCGCGTCGCCGCCGGGGAAGATGTAGGGGCGGGCGGCGATGACGGCGGCGTGGATCGGGATCGGGCCAAAGTACTCGATGAGGAAGACGGTTCGCCAGGCAATCTGAGGGCCTGTATTGCGGCAAAAGTTTTTCTCTTGTCAGTCTCGCTGGTTTCGCAAGAAGAGGTATGAGGCGCTAGAAACATACCGAGGTCCTTAACGAGCACCTCGCCCGCATCGGCAACGGCGGGAATGTTCGCGATGAGGGCCTGACGGTCCTTGAGCGTCTTCTTGGTGGCCGTGTCGAACAGGCCGATGCGGTTGAAGTCGCTGATACCGGCCTGCTTGGCTACGGCCTTCTTGACGTCCTCGACGGTCGCACCCGCGGGCAGCTCGACGCTGGCCGGAAGACGCTTGATGGGTTGCTTCGGTGCTGTGGTGGGGGAACAGCAACAGCCACGTTAGCTTCGAGCAGAGCATGAGGAGCGACAATCACCAGGAAGAACCGTACAGCGGTTGGTAAGTTTGAGCGTGGTAGAGGCCGCCATGATTTCTGCGCCGTTCTGGTTTACCAGGAGAGATGAATTGGGCAGGGTGACGCGAATGGAAAGAAGGCAAAACAGGTGCTTCACAAGTTTGTTGAGAAGCTCAGCACAGCTCTGTTTTAAAGCGGGTCGATCGGGACAGGGGTTAGCACTAATACTCCGAACCCTGAAAGATGGTGACGGAGATGCCTAACAAAGACCCAATAGAGCAAGTAAATAAAAAAATTCAAATTCTTGAAAATAAAGTGTTTTGGCTAATCTTATATCTATTAGTGTATGAGTGTGGTTGTGGAAGAGATTCGGTCCCACATCTGTTGTTGAGGTAGGTATGTATGTATGTATGGATGGACACATGTATGTATGTATGTACAGCTAGCTTATTGTTTACAACAAGCGGATAAAAAGTTGTCTCAATTATTCTCGTACTGCACATTGCTTTTACTAATCGTGGTGGAATTTGCAGTTCTAATGCAGATTCCAAAAACTACACCTAGTGGGCTGTTAATTGGCAGATAAGGCTGTCGACGGAGACGTCACTTACACGACCCATTCACATGCTCAAAGTCGGGACAAAACATCAAAGTTACTTGCTAGGATATATCCGTATTTTATTTCCAAGCCTCAACATCGCGTACACCTCAAGTAATCCTTTCTCATAAGTCAATCAACTCCCCGAGCCAATCTGGTAGATCCTTCTCATCCAGCGCAGGTCCTTCGCAATCACCCTCCCTAGCGAGCCCATCTACAGGCCGAATACCAAACGACAGTCCATCCGGATCAACCCTCATCTTGCCCTGCTGACTCCAGCCGTATACCTTTTCGGGATGGGGCAGGCGTCGTGTGCCCTCGGCGCGCCGGTCTCCCTCCTCTTTGAGCTGAACAATCGTCGGCCAAGTCGCTCCATTTACCCTATCTTCCCCGCTTGCAAAGCAGCTATCTTCTAACGCGAAAAGCGAGTGTCCGTTTATGGGTATCTTGGGGGTAATTTTGCCGTACTTAGATAGCTCCGCTGTCAGACGCTCTACCTTGACCGCAATGATCCTCTGCCGCTCCTCCGCCATGGTGATCTTGAGAGCGGCCAGCTCGGCAGCATTCTGCGGCACAAACGGCGAGCCATCCGCACCGATGTAGTGAATGTTTTGCCGCATCTTCTGGTATGCCATGAGCTCCTTCTTCTCGCCGCTCGTCCATCGTCTCGAGTGAGACCACAGCGGCGTGTCGGCGCTCGCGACGCCCCTCCGCCCATCATACCCGGTTCTGTTGGCCTGTCGACGTCGGAAGCTGGCGGGTTCTATGGGTGCCTTTGGGGGTGCCCGCCTATTCGGCTGTTGAGCCTGCCCAGTCTTTTCTCCGAGGGTACCTCTCGAGGGACTAGATTTCGCAGCCGCGTACGAACTTATCGATTGTGATGGGTCCCAGGCGCTTGAGCTCCCAGGCCGCGAGCTCCGTCGCGACGTGAAATTCGAGCTGACAGGCGACTCGATGTGGCCTGAGGAGCGTGAGCTGGTAGACGAGTTGCTTTCGTGTGAATACTAGTTGCCACGACGTGACCCCCGTCTCATAGCGCTGCTTTTGATACGCGATGGCGTTTCGCGGGCTGCGATGACGATGCTGGCTGCTTTTCTGGGAAAAGCTTGGCTGCCGTAGCGCGGCAGTAGGTTGTAGTGCTGATGAAACGGGTCGGTAGACGGATGCGGCGTAGATGGATGCGGCGTCGACGGCAGCCAGGGAGGCAAAGGACCATAATAAGGAATCTCGGGGTTGTGGTTGTGTCCCAGTAAGCAACTGTTCATCGAGGAGCCAAAAGCGAAGTCTGGGAATGCATAGCACGGAGCTTGTCGATGATCCAGGGACCAGCTCACTGGATGTTGCAACACGTAGTTTGTCTCGACCTAAAAACGTATCAGCATCCATAGAATTAGAAAAACATAGATAGCTTGGAATGATTCTACAGTAGAAGTTGCAGGGGAGAATTCTGGGCCTGGACCGAGTTTGCTCGAGTCCAGCACACGTGAGTCGCCGTTGCACAGGGCGGGAGCGATACGGCACGGCTTTATGCTGGAACCGTCAAGCTTGAATACCGCGGCGCATGGGTTCATCGGCGAGTAGTCGTGATCTTCTCGTGTTCCGGGCCAGCTCTTCGGTTCTTCAAAAAAAGCCACGACGGCATTCCAGCACTTGCGGCAGTGAAGCCAGCGGGCGAATCGACCACCAAGGGAGTAAGTTCAGCGGCAGCAAAATTAAGTAATATTCCCTGGAGCAGCAAAAGACTGTGAAGATATGAGAAACAAATTGGAAAGAGATTTTTGAGCTTAGGCGTATCTGAGGGTCGCAAACGAATATCGACACTCAGTTGCGGTTGGTTTAGGGAGAAACAAGCGATCCACATCAAGTGGGTGATGAGAGATACCAGGAGAATATAGCAGCTATGCATCAATCAGGAATAGTTTGCATTCGAGAGGTTCGGAATTCCTTTAAATCAATAAGAGAGGGGGGATATCTGTGCCAGTTGTGAATGAGATACTAAAGAGCGGTGATTGACATCACGAAAGCGAATCACAGGTCCCGAAGGGTTGTACGCTATAGAAACTGAGAGGAGACTATTCTGGGCGACTACTCATCTCGTTTCAAGGACTGAGAATGGTTAGGAGTGAACTCGCCCATAGTTCCATAAGAGACAGACACGGTGAACTGCATAAGATCCTGTCTGCACATGCTTGAGTAAAGTACGTCCGTCGTATTGTACATCGAAAAGTGCCAGCCGGGGACTAGGGACGCTAGCAGGATCTCGAAGGCCCACTTTCCTATTTCAGCTTCGCTTACAACGGTGCACGTGAGTAGCTCTCAATGCCCCGGAACAACTATCTACCGGCCAAAAGACCCGAAAGCCCTGACTGCAAGGGTATGTACCGGGGGCTAGCGCAACCCCCAGCCCACAACCACAATTTTCGCTCCAATTGTGCTGTCCACCAACGGGTCCAGAGTCGAAAAGTTCACTCCTCCTACATCCGACAATTTTAGATTGCAACTGGTGAGCAGCAGAATCATCAGGTTAGTGAATCTTCTTCTTGCACGCTCGAGGAACACGCGACGAAAGACGGCGACGACGACTACATCCAACGACTACTGGCGAATCATCCTCGATACGAATACTGCAACTTTGTTGGACTCGTTTCGGTGTCGCCTGTGCCTGTTGAAGGTGTTGGTTGTTTCGCATATCCATTGCCAATCGTCGTGTCTTCCGAGGACCTTCTCTTTCTCTTCCGTCGATCCTGGAAAGCAAATTGTTTTGCTAACCTCGCATTATCCCTACAGAACTCGCAATCATGGGTATCTCTCGCGACTCCCGTCACAAGCGCTCCGCCACCGGTGCCAAGCGTGCCTACTACCGTGCGTACTGATCCTTATACCATTACAATGCGAAAACAATACATGTGTGTTTGGGAGGGGGGAGTGAGAAGGTGGGCTATCAGGCTTGTTCTCTCCAATGCGTAACAGCAGAGAGCCAACAACTCCTGACACTGTCCTGCTCGCTTCCCCCCTCCTCTACCGAAAGCCCGTATGTTTGAGCATTTGCTAAGAACATGCGTTCTGACCTTTTCCAACAGGGAAGAAGCGCGCTTTCGAGGCTGGCCGCCAGGGTGCCAACACCCGTATCGGCGCCAAGCGCGTGCACACCGTCCGCACCCGCGGCGGCAACCACAAGTACCGTGCCCTCCGCCTCGACTCGGGCAACTTCGCCTGGGCCTCCGAGGGCTGCACCCGCAAGACGCGCGTCATCGCCGTCGCCTACCACCCCTCCAACAACGAGCTGGTCCGCACCAACACCCTGACGCGCTCCGCCGTCGTCCAGGTCGACGCCGCCCCCTTCCGCCAGTGGTACGAGGCCCACTACGGCCAGCCCATCGGCCGCCGCCGCCAAAAGGCCCAGGGCATCAAGGAGGACGAGGTCAAGCGCTCCAAGTCGGTCGAGAAGAAGCAGGCCGAGCGCTTCGCCGCCCGCGGCAAGGTCGAGCACCCCGTCGAGAAGCAGTTCGAGGCCGGTCGCCTCTTCGCCATCATCTCCAGCCGCCCCGGCCAGTCCGGCCGCTGCGACGGCTACATCCTCGAGGGCGAGGAGCTCGCCTTCTACCAGAAGAAGCTCCACAAATAAATGACATGGTTTCCTCTACTTCTGGTGTGTTTAGAAAAGAGTGGAAAAAACTTGAACTGGGATTGGCAGGAGGGACACCACCGGCTGGTAGCTGTGCGCACTGTCTTGTCCGTGTCTTCCCCGGTATGGTGTTCAAGGATTTTTTGTCCCTGTCTTTTGCGCATTCCACGTTTAGGCATTTGCAGGGCATGATAAGCTTCATGTAAGCATCGGATTGGGTCCATTAGGGAGTTTGCAAAAAAGAAATAAAACAAACATGACTTCAGTCTCTGCATCCACATGCTTGTAATCACTTGACGCCTTGAAACCTTTCTACATTGCTGAATCGTTGATCAATGTCTTTTGCTTTTGCTTTTGCAGGCTCATGCTTCATGAATCTATACCTTGTACGTAACTGAAAAAAAAGCCTGTCTAGGCATAAATGTTCCTTCTTCCTCTTGCGGTATCCTGTGTTGCCACAAGGACATCGAGGCATGCTGAAAACACTGCATCCCTCTCAAACGTCATATTCTATTGCCACCATCCTGTACATCATTGAGTAGTTTCAAACGAAGCGCCTTGGGTGCGGTTTTTATCAAGGTAATATGTACAAAGTGCCCACTGTTCTACAGTTGAGATTGATTTTTCCTTGGTATGTTGGAAAGATGAGCCCAATTATGCAAACTGCCGCTTAAGATCACTCCATTTTCTGTTGAGCGTCTCATGCTGAGAGTTAATCTGTGACCGCGCGGTTAGTCAAGGCTTGAAGAAGGTGGTAAACGAAAGACGACATACCTCTGCATATTGCATCTTTGTCTTGACGAGGACTTCCTCCAATTCTGCTAGCTCTTGTTCTAGCTTTCTGTTTTCTTCATGTACATTTTCATTGCGTTTCATGAGGCTGTCTCGTTCGAGCTTCCAGGCTTCTTCGATTTCCATCGGTTGCTTCTCAATCACGACTCGAAGCTCCTGAACTTGGCCCTTGAGGCTTTCATTTTCATCCTTTAGCTCCTCGTTCTCGACCTTTGTGTGCACGAGCTCCGTCGCAAGATCGGCTTGCTCGCGATCGCAGGCCTCAACTCGTTCTTCCAGCTTGCGCAACTGGATTGCATAGCTTTGGTTAGATATCTTCAGGTCTTGCAGCTCCGTCTCCCGGTCTTTCTCGGCCTTGGTCTTTTCTTCCCATTCGGCGGTGTACATTTTCAATGTTTCGGGAGTGAGTTTGACTTCAGACGCATCTTTAACTAGCTGGTCGGCCCTGTAGACCTCTTTGTCCATGCTGGCGCTTGAGCTGCCGAAGAATCCATTCTCTAGCAAACTTCCCGCACTAGGGTCCTTGTCAATGTACACATCAAAGACCTTGTCCTTCAGATGGGTTGTGAGTTGCTGCATGTCGGAGATGGCAAGCAATAGACTCGCGTTCTTTTGCATCAAAACAATACCAAACCTCAGAATGGCAGAGAGGCCCTCGGAGAGGATGAGATCGTAGATCCGGAGGACAAGCTGTAAGGGGAAGCGGTAGGCGAAGAGAGTAAGAAACCATTGTGTAGCATAGAGGTGGGGAGAGATGCCGCGACGCTTGAGATGGCAGTACAGGGCTGGCTCAACATCCTCTAGAAGGCGTTCAAATTGATAGAGTCTCATGTGAAGGCCAGGCATGTCCTGAATGAAAAGCTCTCGAAGGTCATAATTGTGCATCAGGCGCACGAGTAAACAAAAGGCTTCTTCTTCGGGCATGTTGAATAAAAGGGGCATGATGAGGAAGTTCATCCCTTGAGCGTATCCCACGCCTTCATCATACAGGGCATATGCTTTGCAAACACCGAACAAGCCATCCTGAAGACCTGCCGAAGCAGCGTACTTGGAGTAGCTGGTTCTGGCACCAAGATCACGTCGGATAGTCTTCTCGAGCTTCTGAAGGGCTGCAGTCTCCTCTTTTTCCCTCTTCTTGCGCTCAGCTGCTGCCACAGCCTGCGCCTTTGGGCTTGGCTCAGATACCTTTTCTGCCTTGGATGACATGCTAGCATTCGTGCCCGAGCGGTCAGATTTAACTGAAGACGCCGACGAGGTAACAGCCTCGCCACTCTGAGTGATGTTGCCACTGCTTGAAGCGCTGGCAGTGGTACTGTTGCTGTGACGCTTCTCTTTGTCGGTACCTCTGACAACCAAATCCTTGTAGACTGCTTCCAGCTCGGGATTCTTGCTCTGCGCCAGCACTTGCCAGATGACACCTCGGATGGCGCTTGGAATTCCGGTGGTGATAGCACGGTTCAGTTCCTCGGCACTAGTACGCGCAACGACAGCCGGGCCCTCGTAGACAACAGACTGCCACAAGTCCCAGTCTACTTGGGACTCTGGCATCGCCGAAGGTCCTGCATTGACTCCAGATACGGTTCCAGGTGCGAGATCGATGGTGGGAGTCGGTACTGGGGCCGGCGAGGCAAGCTCGCTTGTTATCGACGCCGCATCGCCATTGACCAACCCGAGGCCAGCTCCGCTGCTACCATTGTCGTCTTCGAGCGCGTGGGGGGGGATGCCTGCCTCTTGCTGTAGACGCAGGAGCTTGAATCTGTCTTTGAGACTCATTCTGGCCTCCTTTTTCCCATTTTCAGTTTCTTCCTCCAGCTTGCCAAGCATCATTTCGGGATTGCTGGTAAGGGTGCCCACGGAGCTTGCCGTGTTTCGTCGCTGGCTAGGTTGTTGGGCGGGCACAGCATCTTTGCCAGACGAGTTTCGAGACAGCCATGAAAAGGCTCCGGTGAGTTTTCTGGTGGGTGGCGGAGGTTGTGTAGCGGCCGTTGTGGAGGGCGGCGCCGTTGTAATGGACGACGCTCCAGGGCTCTTTGCGGGCGAAGTACCGGCGGGCGGGGACCAGGGCATGGAGGGAAGAGCACTCGTGATGCTGCTAAGGGACAAGGTTTTGGGCGGCTGTTCGTTTTCAACGGATGCTTTCGATTCTCCTACGGGGTGCCGTTAGCATATCGCACTATGTTGCAGTAGGCAGCTGCATACGATCGACAGATGGAGCAGCCTCGTCATCTAGGTTGACATTGTCGAGATTTGAGGTGGAAGATAATCGTCTGGACAAGGGAGATGATTCGCGATGCGACTTGGCGTCGGCCTCTTGGGCCACTTCTGGTTCAGCTTGTTGGGGGGGTTCGCTTGCAGTCTCGGGATGTTGGGGACGGTCGCTTGCAGTCTCGGGAGCTTGCGGTTGAGGATGATGCTCTTCGGTAGGAGGAGGTTTGGAGGTTGATACGGCTCTCTTGGTCAGCGATCGTACTGACACAGAATCGACTGTATCGACGGCGTCTTCGAAAGATTCGTCGTTTTCGGCGGCCTGGAGCAAGTTAGTTGAGTGAGTGAGGCAGTGGTTCCTCGGCTCGGCCGTTGGGTGATTGCTGGGGAGGAGCTGGGGCATCGAAGTGGCGGCGGCGCAAATAAAGCACGTACGGGTTCTCCGTCAGAAGCTTCTGGAGAGCGCTTGTTCTCTACAGGCTTGTGCTCGTCGTGCTGAGCAGCGTCGTGCTGAGACATGCTTGCGTGAAGTTTGTGGGTGGGAAAAGGGCGATCCCTCAGTAGGTACTGATAGTCTGTCTTGTGACGCGGTGATGGCTCAAGACCAGGGATGCACGTGCATCTGCGGCAGTGGTATGCTAGGCCAGCTAGGCAATGGGGGCGAGAGTATGATGCTGTATAATCTGAAGGGTATCTTTGCTGTACAAGATGCGTGGTTGGAGAAGAAGGGAGCGATGGTGGAAGCGTGGAAGAGTTGGTGAGGAGGGGGCTCGAGCCTCGAGGACGGACAGTGTTTACTAGTAAGTACTTAGTAGTAGCTCAAGTATTATTAGGGTGGCGCTGGGGTGGGAGACTGGAGACTGGAGTTGGCGATGTGGCCGGCTGGCCCCTTGCGATTCCCCTTAACCGGAGCGGCTGGCACGCTACTAACCTCCTACATAAGTTAGGTAGGGTATTACCAAAGGGACAGCACAAGGACTTGCTTCTTGCGGTGAGTGATGGCGTGTTGGGGCCAGTTATATGAACATTTTTATGACCATGGATTATTTTTGCAAGGCAGAATGATTGAATATGCTCCTGCGCCTCGCCTTGCCTCGTCCATGCATTATTATTCGTAAATGCCCTGGAGCTCATAATGATTATGCGGCCTGCAATTTGTTAGCGCCGGCAAGGCTCAGGAACCAGTTCTGCAGTGGCGGCAGAGTAAAGCCAACGCCTACAGAAGGTACAGAGGTGAGCAACCTGTGAGGGGCCACTTCAGTGATCACCGACCACTGGCAAGAGCCGAGTACCGTGCAGTACAGTGGACAGAAGCCTGGTAGGCTGGCCCCCAGCACGCGCGCCAGCCGTTGTCGGTTTAGCGTCGTTTCAGGCCCTTGCGACTCTCTTTTCCTTGGAACCCTTTCGATTGTGCGCCCTGAATTTTTGACTTCATTCATGTATCGCAGCATCTCCGGGCGCTCACCTCTGTGTGTGTGCCGTTTCCGGGCGCATACTCTTTCATGTAGTGGCGGTTGCTGTAACCTGTACTCCGTACAACTGACTTGGTACCTGATGCACAATTTGACAGGTCGACGCAACCAACCAAGTCAATTCCTGCCTGCCCCTCTGCCCACTCAGCGTGGTGGTATGCACTTGAAATCTTGGCGCATGCTTTCGTGTTGCGCAAAAACTGCAATATCGTTCTTTTGATCCACCAAGTTGGCCCATCCAGATTCTCATGTCCCGGGTTGCTTATTACCAGCGTTTGGCCAAGGTAAACGCCCGTCATTGTACTCTGCCAGCGCAGTTGATGCAGTTTCGACATACCAGTACCTAGAACTAGTACCCACAACCTGCGGCTACCTGCTACCTACAGTAACTAAAATGAATAGGTACGCAGCTTCACCAATAAGCTCTGTTGTACCAGCGCTCAGTAAACTCGACGTCATCCTTATTTAAAAAGTTGTACTCGGCATGCTTGCAAATACGGCCGCGGCATTCCAATCTATCCATTCAAGCGACGGAGACAAAACAAGAATCGGATATTTAGCTCAAGTCAACTCCTTTCCTCGGAGCAGCAATCGGCCTCCTCTCCCCACTCGACCATGTGGCTAGATAGGTAGACGCGCCTCGTTCGCGTATGCTGTTTAAAGGGTATGTACATACATACATTATCTTAATTCTCGGCATCTTGCCTCTGTGCAATCAGGCAGTCTCACTGGTAAACTTTCCCCATCCTCTATCTTCTATAGGTACGCGAGCTCTCGTCACACCAACGGGGTCGAGTGCTACTGCTGAAGCCATGTTTTCTTGCATGGTAGCTACCAGTCGTGATGTCGGGTACGTGCATATCTGACGTCGGCTAGGTGACCTGCTGCGGTGGCAGCAAGCGCATGATGCTCCTACGAAAGAGCATACAAGGCACGTATGAGTGGTAGTGCACCACGCCAAGAACCCTATCAGCAGCCTTATGAATGCCAATATACTAAACATGTTAAATACCCAAAGGAAATGAACATTGCTAGAAATATGCTCTCTTCTGTCGCCAGGGTAAAGATCCAAATCAGATGGCCAACTAACTACAGGGTATGCACTTGAAGGTGCTTGTCTATCTAGCGGCAAAAGTAGAGATTTGACACGTGGGGCGGCTCTTCACCGCGCTGCTTCACCGAAATTGTCACCATTGGGCTTAGAGTCCCGTCTGGGCTCGCACTATATATGTGACCATACCTGTGAATTATGTTGTGAATTGGTTTTCATTAATAGGCGTCCAGTAGATATATTTATTTACATCGGTAGCGGTAGTTGACTAGGTAGGTCCTGTTTGTTGTGCTTTACCACGTCGCCGCTGGCACACCTTGGATGCTCCCCACCATTAATTGTACCTTTGCACGCAACTCACGCCAAAAAGATACCTACACATCCGCCTCCCCAACAACGCCTTACATTAGCACAACTCTGCTTTTGCTTGACACGCCCATTACGCAAAGGCCCACCTTATGGCACCTTGGACAGGCTTACCTGAACTTTTTTGATACCAACCACTTTCACTTCTCCCCATCACCACATTCAACATCTCGCCACAACATCATCATACCCGTTTCTCTCTTGCGCTTTCGCACACGAGCGAAGCTGGCCATTTTCCCCGACTGCAGCCTATCAACTCCGCTTCGCGGAAAATCTCTACCTAGTATTGCCTACGTCACTACTAAACTTGGGAACAGCTCTTTGCTGGCGACCTGCACCCGCCTTCAAAGTTGCGCTCGACCCGTGTTTCGAGGCCTAGCAAAAGAGTTTATTAAACCCATCTACCCCTAAAATCTCATTCGTACCGCGCCAGTCGCCGCCACTCGGTCCGAAATCCTCAACCCGATACCGTTTCCACGACTCCCACACGTCGTTCGCAATTGAAACCGGTTCCACCGTCAACCCAGCCGCACACGAACCATCAAGTCCAACAAACTCCCGACCGGCCAGGAGTTGTCCACTCGAGGACACTCCGCCAAGACGAGCGACGCTGTCGTCACGAACGACTGATTAAGAGAGTGGAGGGGACGCGCCTACATCTGTTCATGCGGCCCTGCCGCTTCCGTTTCCACAATGGGCAAAATCACAAAAGAGATGCAACTCAAGCATCGTGACACCCTGGTAAGCTCATGATTATCTCATCGACCATCTATCTCATCTCGGTACGCTAATTCCGTTTCACCACAGTCTCCATGGCTCAAGAGCTACGTCGAGGCCGCTGCCACAATCGCCCTTCCGCTCCTGCCACAGCACCTTGCCACATATCCCACGCGATGGCCCTTCGGACGAGGTGATTTGTATCACTGGATTCCCCTTCTGAATCGCTTTGATGCCATTCTAGAAGCATTTTGCACCACCTACAAGCTGAATCTTGGACCTCAAACCGATGACTTCGACTGCTTCATCCTTCGCAACCTGTCCGAACAGGGAGCGTTTGCCGATGAGAAGCAGTGGGATGACCAAGAGTTGCAAAAGCTAGGATACAGCCGGGAGGGTGATCGGGAACTTGTCGAAGCTATCCTTTCATTTTCCCGTTTGCTGCTCGAACACTGCGGAAATAGAAGCATATATGCGAGCAGCGCTTATTTGAGTGACCTCCTCAACAGCAAGCCCCTTTCGTTATTGATCTCTGCACTCGAGGTTGGCTCCGAACTTGCACAGAGATACCAAGCGTCAGTGAAGAGAATTGGCAATTCCTCTAGGCATATTAGCGCGGCACTCCTCGCCAACCACTACAACATTGACCTGGATCGCGTCCAGCAAATATCACAGGCTTTTTCCAAGACGGCGATAGTGAATCTTGCCGATCCCATCTCGGTGGCGACACCTACTCCGCGATCTAAAGACAAAATGACAACTCAGTCTAAGAGTTCCCCGAAATCTCATGCGACGGACTTGGTAGCGTTGGCCACATCACAGGATCAGCGCTGGTCAGACTGGGGCGACGTGAAGCTTCGATACTACCCCAAAGATCTTAAGGCAGTTCACAATTTGCCTGCTGAAGTCGGTCGCTCTTCTCAACCCGCTACACCAACACCTCTGCGCCGCAGTTCTACAGTAGCCGGGTCTCAGCATACCCCGAAGGCTCGCCATGCCCATACTGACGACTCCTCTCCAATGTTCCCTCGCACGCCTGGCATTGCAGATGAGGCAGACGGGTCTGCGCAAAAGCTCTTTGATCTTCCACAATCAATAGTGATCTCATCCTCTATGAAGCAACTCTTGGATAAGGTGCCCGATGACATGACCGAAGCCTCCAGATACGAAGCATTTCATCGTTTCAGAGTCGCCAAAGCTCTCACCGGATCCCAGAAAGATCGTCAGCAAATTCTTGGAGTTCGATTACTAGCCATCACCAACCTAGCTTACATCCACACCGAGTCCAACTTCATGGAGAAGGTTCTCAGACAAGACATGGATGAGACTCGCCGGTACCAGCTTGCCTCCCAGCTTGCCGAACTCATTCAGCCGTCATCAGATGGCAATACCGAGGCGCCCCTGTGGCTCCAGACAATCGCTTTCTCGTTACTCGAAGCCTTATATGGCTTCCCGTGCCGTTCTCAAGACGTCCTGTCCGCTCTCAATGCTAATGTCAACCACGGTGTTCTTCTCTACGTCATTCGCAAAGCTGTGGCTGGTATGGAAGAGACTCATTCTGAAGATGAGGGCGATCAAGTAACCGAGACTGACAATTGGCGAAACAATCTGTTCTCCCTTGCACTGAATCTGTCCATGGCCACTAAAATCGGAAGTGAGATGGCCTCTGCAGGTCTTATGGAGATTCTTGTTCATGTTTTGAACATTCGCTCACCTGTGGCTGAGCGCCATCACTCGATGGTCCTTGCCTTTTTGGATGGTTTGATCTGGGCATTCACTCCCGCGTTCACCGCCTTCTTCAGTGCCGATGGTCTGGACGCCGTCTCAAAATTGCTCATCGATACTGTGGCTGAGTCAAAACGACTGGTCTCAACCTCCAAGGGTATCACCCGAGATCAGCAGTCGAGCGCGGTTGATTTTTTCGTGCCCCATTATCAGCAACAGACTCTCAAGTGGCTATTGAAATTCATCCACCGCATCATGACCAACTCCTACAATTACAACGGCAACACAGAACGTTTACTGCGAAACTTGGCTGAGAAATCCGACCTCCTTGCTAGCCTACGCGACATTATCAGTGATAAGGCATCATTTGGCTCTATTATATGGACGAACTCGGTTCTTATTTTAAGCGACTTCATCAACAATGACCCTACCAGTTATGCAGCAATTTCGGAGTCGGGCATGATCAAGACCTATCTCGAAGCAATTACTCGTCGCAGTATTACCGACGTGCCGCAACAGAGTGAAACAAGAGATACACAAGAAGACCCTACTGACGCTTCAGAGGGCTCTGACGTGATAGCCATGATACAAAGGGATGAACGACCGCACCCGCCCACCGAAGAAATGCTCCGCACATCCAAACATGATGATGCTGTCGCCGCTGGCATTCTTGTATCTTCCGAGGCCATTAATGTTGTGCCGCAAGTACTCAACTCCATCTCCTTGAACAACTCCGGAATGAAGCTGGTGGTATCCTCGCGCGCTTTTGATAGTTTCTTGGAAATATTTGAGAGTCCTGAACATGTCAGGTGCATGGAGCTAGACATTGACCTGCCTCAAGCTATTGGCCAAAGCTTTGATGAGCTTGCTCGCCACCACCCTCCTCTCAGGACTGCAATTTCAAACGCAGTAATCGACATGGTTGCCAAGGTCCGCTATCTAGGCATCCGCAAAGCAGAACAAGATAACTGGGGTGTTCGTCTGCTCGGTACTGACAATGATGGAAAAGTTGTTTCTATTGACCAAGATGGACAGATTGCAGAGAAGAATGAGGCACTCTTACCTCCTAGGGAAGCCACTGACTCAGATGTCACCATGGGGGATCCAGTGACTCCTAGGATCGTTGGCGACAATACAGGCGAAACTCTGTCAGCCAAGACGCCTGATACGATTACGCCCTACATTTTTGTTTTGGCTACCTTTCTTTACCCATATCTTTCCAGCACCTTCATCAAGACCTACTTTATTGAAAAGGGTGGTATTGAGCTGCTTCTCGACATCTGCGAGTTGCCTAGTCTCCCTGCAAACTATAGCGAGTCACCAGCAGCCAGAGCGATGACTAGCGTAGTTACGCTTCTCACAGAACACGCCCCGGTGCGCAGCCTTCCGTCTATCTTGAAACGTGCCCAGGCTTCTATCGATATTCTCAAGCCTCTGTCAATGAGGACAGAATCAGTTCCGCCATATTTCGGCCCGTTCCTAACGTCAGACTTGAAATTACCGAGCAGCAATCTCACAGAACCTCTGCTGTCAGGTACGAGAATGGTCAAGGCTCTGCTGAACTCACAGATTTTTATTAAGATTCTCGCGGAATGTTTCAACAAATCTCGGTCGCACTCGCTCCAATTCTACCCGGTCAATGCGTTCGATTACTACTTGCGACTGGTCAAGTCAATGGGCCCACTACTTCGAGGTGTTCTTGCTGAGGAGGCTGGTGAACTGGCTGCTGTTCCCCAGCATTGGTCAATAAAGCGTGGAGGGTCGAGCCGCCAAGGAGAGTCGTCTGCCAACAATGCGCCTGCTGGAAACGATAGCACCTCTCTACCTGACGTTATGAACAGCACGGGCGCTTGGAAGCCCGTTGAAGGCGCTGAAGCTCCAAGGTCGCCTACAGAGGAGGAGCAAAAAACTCCTCGATTTCACAATTACGAGACTCTCAAGCTGCTACTGCATCCCATGATTCCTACCTCGTTTCCACTCTTCCAAAACATTGGCAAATCATTGGTCCCCAGGCGCGAGGTGACTCACGGAGATCTTTTCCCGAGACCCAGACACTTGGAACTTGCAAAGGAGCTGGCATCCACCGTGCTTGATCAATTGTCACCATCGGTTTCCACTCCTAATCCCACCGCTAAAGAGTTTCACTTTTGGATCATTATGACGCATACTATTCATGAGATGCTCATCGAGCAACAGTCTGGCAGACAACCTGACCGACCTCAAGTGCATATCATACTTCCTGTGCTCCTTGCTTTCAAGGAACAAGGGGGCATAGATGTGATCAATACCATTCTTCGAATTTTCACAAATGCTGTTCGTGAGGGTTCGGATGCCAGCCGCTCTGAGGAACGCTCCAAAGCCAAAGTTGCTGCATTTGGGCTGAACAAGGTCCTTGAACTATACACTCTTCTTGTAAATGGCAAGAACCTGGTCGAAACCAGTAATCACTTCAATCTTCAACGCCACACCGACAGAAATCAGGTTGTTTCCAACATCTACCAACAAATTGTCGTGGAATTCCGATGCGCCATTTTGCCGCCAATGCTCGAGATTTGGAACTCTTCATTTGTCGAACACGTTTCAGATGAGACAGCGAAGCGCATTTTAGATATCCTCAAGCAAATTGCCACTGCCGAAAATGAACCAGCCTCGACACCCAAGGATAAGGCCCCCTTCGCGCTTCTCAACTACGGCGATGTTCGTTTTGATTGGCGCGTTGTTCGTGTGGTCATAAATGACTTGTTGAATGCTGGGTTCGATGTAGATTTGGTCCGCGAAGGTGTTTTCCGTGCGAATGGCAACATCACTGTTGCTCGAGACTACTGCCGAGCCCACAAAGCCGGTCTTGCTGGTACGCGAAACCCCATTCCTCCAGAGGATGATGTTTTCAGCACGAACAAAACACCCGAATCATCAAGATCACGACAGCGGGCCCCATCCACTGGAAGCAATGCCTCGGAGCCAGATCGCATGTCCGTGGATACGTTCACGGAAGTCTTGGATGGCGATGGCCTTGTCGACACAGAAGCTCAAACGCTGGACCCGTGGAGGACGGCCGCGAGTGCCGACCGAAACCAAAACTCCGAGCAAGGTACCAAACAGACGACGAACGAAGCCGCCCCTGAAGCTCGATTCTCTGGAACCAAAGAAGAGCTTGATGGCTTAAGGTCCAAGATTCGATCTAATCTGATTGATCATTCGTTGGACGTTATTCGCGCGCACTCTGACTGCGCTATTGAAGTTTCGCAATTGATTCAAACAATGGCTCTACGGCACCAAGATCAAGAAACCCATGAGGAGGTTGGGACCGTACTTACATCTGCGCTCTCTTCTCTAGCTCTCGACCCCGAAGAGAAGAAGAAAAATGGCAATTGTATTGCCGCTTATTCTCACTTGCTGGGCCTACTGCTTGATGACCAAGCCTTTTTCGACAACAACGTGGATGGCTTACGGGACAAGGTTGGAGAATATGTTGATTTTCTCAAAGTTCCATCCTCTGGTGCCATTGAGGAATTGCCACCTTGGATTCCGTATATTTTACTTGTGCTGGAGCCTCTCTTGAAACATGATGAACGACCGGTTGCAGCTCAATGGTTGGCGCCACGGACTGTTGACGATCCTGTCCAGCCTGCTGTGGTCCAGCTCGGAGTTTCTCTCATCAACGATCAGCAACGGTCAGAGATTTTGGAATCACTGCTAGTCTTACTGCCGCGCGTTGGAAAGCAGGAAACTCTGGCAACATCCATTTTGCGGGTCCTGGTGATATTAACCCGTCGGCGCCAGCTTGCAAAGCACATGGGACGGAAAATGAACCTCCAACGTCTGTTTCTAATGGCCAAACAATTAGCTGGGTTCGGCTCAGAAAGATTGAAGCACAGTCGTGTCACGGCGTTCATCATTACCATTTTGAGACACGTTGTTGAAGATGAGGAGACCCTCCGGCAAATTATCCGGGCGGAGATCAAGGGTGAATTCCCCAATGTCCAACGTAACAATCGCGGACATGCAGATGTTTCTGCCTATCTCCGAGCTCTTGCCCCAATCGCGCTTCGAGCACCTGAGCTCTTTGTGGAAGTTTCCAACGAAATGCTTCGATTTTCTCGATGGTCTCCAGCTGAGAGTGAGACAGCAGGAAGGTTGAACACTGTAACACTCAAAGACGGAATCAGCGCTTCTGAAGATTCTGCACCTCCAATTGCTGTCGAAGAGAACAAAGACCTGCCCGTCAGACTAGATGCTCCCAACACCGCGGATGAAGTCAAGCCCTCCACTGAGCTAGCTGACAAGGAAATGGCCGATGCTCCCAAAGTCGCAGACAGTAAGCGTCCAGTTGTTGAGAATCCGGATGGAGTTGTGCATTTTCTTCTTTGTGAACTTGTCAACTACAGAGAAGTCGATGATAAAGAACCAGCGAACACATCGAAGGATACCCAACCGGAGCTTGATCTTAGCGATGCTGGCTCGGAACAGATGGAAAGAGAAGCAAATGTGGGAGAAGCTGGCGACAAAAAGCAGACCAAGCCACAATTCAAGTCTGAGGAGCACCCGATCTACGTGTATAGGTGTTTTCTGCTCAATTGCTTGTCCGAGCTGCTCCAAAGTTACACACGAACCAAGGTTGAATTCATCAACTTCAAGCGGAGCGCCCCCCCCGTTTCCACTGGAACTCCGATCAAACCCAGAACCGGCATTCTAAACTACCTCATTTATGATTTGCTTTGTCAGGGCAACCTCGCGGGCACCGCTGATAATATTGCCGCAAAGAAGAAACTCGCCACCTCCGCACAAACTCAACGGGTGTTGGTTGCTTTGGTCTCCAAAACAAGTGAGAAGCCTGGGAACCAGAGTCTAGAGAAGTTTGCCTATGATGATGAGCCAGATCTACTTTTTGTGCGCAAATTCGTGATTGACACAATTTTGCGGGCCTACGAAAGAGCTCCGTTATCCGATGAGCCGCTGGAAACGAGGTACTCTCGCATGCAGTCTCTTGCAGAGCTCATGATGCACATGATTGGCGATCGGGACAAAGACCAGCCTCGACAGGGTGCTAGAAGTGCGGAAAAGAACCAATCTAGCTCCCAGGCCCAAATTCGTCGCCTCATGTATGAGAAGGGCTATCTGGACAAGCTCACCGCATCCATCGCTGAACTAAGCTTGAACTACCCAGGCGTAAAGCGGGCTATTAAATATATCCTGCGAGTACTTCGAATTTTGACCGACACTGCCAAGGAGCTTAGCCATTCCAATCTTGTACCCTCTGACCCGGGGGCCGAGCAAAGCGAAGAAGAATATGACGAATCTTCGTCATCCTTGTCTGACCTTGAGGAGGATCGGGAAGAAACACCCGATCTTTATCGTAACTCTGCACTTGGCATGCTTGAGCCCCGAGATGAAGATGACGACTCGGAGTCTGAAGACGAAGACGAAGACGCTGACATGTATGGGGACGAGTATGACGAAGAGATGGACTACGGCGACGAGGAAATGTCCGATGGCGAAGATGACATTAGCGATGATGACGAGGAATTGGGCGACATGGGCGACATCGAAGGCCTGCATGGAGAGCCTGGTGTCGTAGAAGTCATTATGGACGACGAGGACGATGATGAGGACGATGAAGATGATGAAGAGAGTGACGGTGACGACGACTCTGCTGGTTCTGCTGATATGGAAGACATGGAGGACCGTGTGGAGATTGTTGATGAAGATGGAAACCCGATCGAGGACGACTCTGCGTGGGAAAGCGACAGCGACATGGATGAAAATGAAGACCATGCAGCCGAAGACGTGGACTATGAAGCAGAGGTCCAAGATGAAGAGGAAGCCCATATCCATGGCATGGGTCCCGGTGACCTTCTCGATAACATGGCGCGCGCAATTATGGGCGACGACGAAGGGTATGGACGCGAGCTTATGGACGGGCTCCATGACCACTATCTGGATGAAGATCAAGTTGATATTGAGGATGGCGAAGAGGACGAAGAGGAGCTTGAAGATGAAGAGTATTTCGATGAGGATGAGTTCTATGCTCCTGAAGACCATCTTCCTCATCTGCCTTCTGCAGGATGGGATGGGATGGGCTCAGAGATTGATGATAGACACCGGCTGCTGCTTCTCGAAAACAACCGTCGACCTGTCTTCACGAGAGTGGACAACCGAGGCGGCCACCCTGCCCGGTTCGTTGGGACGCACCGTGATGCTGGCGATTTTAGAAGTTACTTCTCTCGCATGCAACGGCCCCCTGGCCAGCATAGCCATCCCGACGATGGATCGAATCCCTTGCTTCGGCGTCATGACACCGAGATGGAGAATTCCTCGAGACAGGGCATTCTCAACTCGTTCGGGCTTCGCCTGCCGGAGACAATCTTGACCGGCGGCCGCCACCATATGATCGATGGACCGATGAATTTCATAGGGGAGCTTATGGAATTTCTACCGATGATGGGCCGCAATCATCACGGCCAAGCAATCCACGTGCAAATCGCAAGACCTGGTGGTCCTCGTGGAGAGTTTACGCCAATCCGCACTGGTAGATACGACAGCCGACGAGAAGTCAGTCAGGAGCCTCATCAAGTCGTTGCCTTTAATACGGAACCTACCATCAGCCGTTATAGCCAGGAAGCTAGCATGCTCTTTGGGCCGAACTACCTCCTTGAATCAGCCAAGCTTAGCAATGCCATCAGTGCCGCCCTTACTCCGGCAGCGGTGGAACTCCAAAAGAAGGCTATGGCTGTTGACGAAGAAAACCGCAAAAGGGCCGAGGAGATGCGTCAGAAGGTCGAAGCAGAACAGAAAGAAAAGGAGGCAAAGGAAGCGGAGGAACGCGCCGAAAAAGAGCGACAAGAGACTGAGGAGCGCCAACATCAGGCAACCCTCGATGCGGCTGCCGCGGCCGATGCAGGCTCAGCACAAGAGAGTGAGCAAGGCACTGCTATGGAAGGTGTGGAAAGCGCAAGTAGCGGCCAGCCGGCAAGCCAACCCGAAGCCAGCTCGGCGCCTAGAGTCACGACGACTATTCGAGGTGAAGAAGTCGACATCACAGAGCTAGGCATTGATGCCGACTACTTGGCTGCCCTCCCGGAGGAATTCCGCGAAGAAGTGATCGCCCAAACAGTCAGTGAACGACGGTCCCAGGCCCTCGAAACAGTCCCTGCCGGAGAGTCCACTGAAGTCTTCCAAGAGTTTCTCGATGCCCTTCCTGAGGACCTCCGCTTGGAGATTGCACAGCAGGAGCGACAAGAACGGCGGCGACGCGAGGGAAACCGAAGACAAGCCGGAAATGCTGGCATCGCGCGCGCAGTCGATATGGACGCGGCTAGCATTTTGCAAACTTTCCCGCCCGAGCTCCGCGATGAAGTTCTGCTTCAGCAAGGTCAGAGCCTGATGGACCAGCTGACTCCGGAACTGGCCGCGCAAAGTCGAGCCCTCAACCAGCATCAACCGCCCGGGCCTCTACCGCGTGCTCTGCACGGTGGTCCCCCCCCTCATGCTGAGGCCAGCAAGGAGCTGGGGAGCAAGGCACCCCGGAGGGCGGTTGTCCAAATGCTCGACAAGGCCGGTGTTGCAACTCTGCTCCGATTGATGTTTATTACACACCAAGGCTCTTTCCGAAGCTATCTTTTCTCAGTTTTCGCTGATGTGTGTGAGAACCGACAAAGCAGACTGGAAGTCATCAGCACACTGCTTCAAATTCTGCAAGATGGCAGCACGGACATCAATGCCGTCGAGCGCAGTTTTGGGCAGCTGTCCATCAAGGCCAAGCGACTCAAGGACAAGGACAGGGACGTCGAACCTCGTACACCGCTGAACCTCAAGCGAACTTTGACCTCGCTGAGCTCCTCCGACACCGCCCAGCCTAGCTCTGAGACGTCACCTTTGCTGATTGTTCAACAATGCCTAGATTTGCTTGTGGATCTTTGTGCGAGAAATCCTCATATTTCGTGGCTCTTTCTCACAGAACATGAGGCGGTTGGTGCTTCGCTTCGTAAAGCACTCGGCCGCAAGGGCAAGGGCAAGGATTCCAAGGCTAGCAAATATGCCATCAATGCCTTGTTGGCGCTTCTTGAACGCGAGCTCATCACGGAGAGCGCTTCAGTCATGACCTACCTCGCTGATCTCCTCAACCGAGTAACTCTGCCGCTCCAGAATCTCGAACGCCGTCGCAGAGAATCTCTGGACACCGCCACTGCCCCGACAAAGAGCCAAGGCGATTCGCGGGCACTAGGGAGAAAGCCGGGCACTGCAGGAGCTGCTGACGAGCCTTCGACAAATGACATTGCCCCAAAAGCTCAGAAGCAAAGCAGTGCGCCCCAGCGGCGTTCTCGGCTGTTGCAGCCTCCCATCATTCCGGAGGAGAATCTCACACTTGTTGTTAGAATTTTTGTGGCCAGAGAGTGCAGCTCCAAGACGTTCCAAAACACCATTGCTACAATCAAAAACCTCTGCGCTATTCCCGGAACGAAGGCCATCTTTGGGCAAGAGCTAATACGACAAGCTCGTGCTCTAAGCGAGAACATTGTGACAGACTTGACTGAGCTCCTGCCACACATTCTCGCAGCTAGCTCTGGAACCGAGATCCAAGGAGTTGCCCTTGCTAAATTTTCACCCGGGGCTTCCGACCAAAACAAGTTGTTGAGAGTGCTCACGGCGCTCGATCACCTCTTCGAGCCAAAGAGGAAGCCGGGCCAGCCCTCGCTGGACAAGCTTGATGATGGCCAATACGACAACTTGCTTACATCTCTTTATCACCATCAAACGTTCTTGAGTATGTGGGACAAGCTAGGTAGCTGCTTGAGTGCCATCCGGCAACGTGAGAACATGTTGAGTGTTGCAACCATCTTGTTACCACTGATTGAATCTCTCATGGTCGTCTGCAAAAACACTACCACCAAAGACGATACAGCCCCCAGCCAGCAGCCTAGCGAGGACCGTCTCTCGAACCCCATGGCCGAATCGCAAACCGCCAATTTATTCTTTTCCTTCACTGAAGAACACCGCCGTGTTCTCAACGAGCTTGTTCGCCACAGCCCCAAGCTCATGTCCGGTACATTTGCTCTGCTGGTTAGGAATCCAAAGGTCCTTGAGTTTGACAACAAGCGCAACTACTTCAATCGCACTGTCCATTCTCGCGCTGCACATGGCCAGAGCCGCCCGACGTACCCGACACTGCAGCTCAAAGTTCGCCGTGAGTCTGTTTACCGCGACTCATTTGCCAATCTCTATTACAAGGACAAAGACGAGATCAAGTATGGCAAACTGAATATCAGATTCGATGGCGAAGAAGGTGTTGATGCTGGCGGCGTTACAAGAGAATGGTTCCAGGTGCTCGCACGACAAATGTTCGACCCGAACAATGCCTTGTTTATCCCGGTGTCTTCTGACCGAACCACATTCCACCCCAATAAGCTCAGCAAGTGGCACTTGAATGACGGGACTGACGGGAATGGCGAGAGCACTGACAGCATTCATTTCAAATTTATTGGTCGGATCATCGGCAAAGCTTTGTATGAAGGCCGGCTGCTGGATTGTTTCTTCAGCCGTGCTGTGTACAAACGCATTCTCGGCAAGTCGGTGTCCGTCAAGGACATGGAATCCTTCGATCCCGACTACTACAAATCCCTCTGTTGGATGCTCGAGAACGATATCACTGATATTATCACGGAGACCTTCTCAGAAGAAGAGGATGAATTTGGCGTCACAAAGATTGTCGACCTTGTTCCTAACGGTCGCGAAATTCCAGTCACTGAGGAAAACAAGCAGGAATATGTTCGTCTGGTTGTCGAGCATCGTCTGCTGACGTCAGTTAAGGATCAGATGGAGAGCTTCTTGAACGGTTTTCATGAAATCATTCCGGCCGAGTTGATTTCCATATTCAACGAACAGGAGTTGGAACTGTTGATCTCTGGTCTTCCGGACATTGACATTGATGATTGGCGCAGTAACACCGAATACCACAACTACACGCCGTCGTCTCAGCAAGTCCAGTGGTTCTGGAGAGCGGTGCGCTCCTTTGACAAGGAAGAGCTGGCTAAGCTGCTTCAGTTTGTCACTGGAACCAGCAAAGTCCCTCTCAATGGCTTCAAGGAGCTTGAGGGCATGAATGGCATCAGTCGATTCAACATTCACCGCGACTACGGTGACAAAGATCGCCTGCCCACATCTCACACTTGCTTTAATCGTAAGTTGCTCTAACAACCACCATACTTGATTTGCATACTGACCATTCCAAAAAGAGCTCGATCTTCCGGAGTATGATAGCTACGATACACTCCGCGCTCAACTCTACAAAGCTATTACGGCTGGAAACGAATACTTTGGCTTTGCATAGACCTCACGAACTCTGGAGTTAGGAGATGCTCAGCACCCATCAATTTTCAGTGGACAAAGGATATGTAAAGCTGCTGGCAGTAGCACAACTTTAGATGATGACAAGAGGGGAGGGGGGGTGGGGGGTTTAGATACACTCAAGTACACTGCGAGCGCCAACTGCTGTGCGAAGGGGAAGTGCAGGTTCCCAGAGCCAGCAAGGTGTTCAGGCTGTGAGAGTCCGAAAGGTTCTGAATTTGTCTGTTTTTTCTTAAGCATTGTTAATTAGAGAATAACTGATTTCATTAATTCATCATAATTGAACTCGTTTGTGACTTCTCAGAAGAACAAAGAAGGCTGAATACTTTCTCTTACTTTTCCTGCATAGTGGTCCTCGCTGGAGAGGCGTGTGTGCCCCGGCGCGTCGGGGGTGAACTGTGCCTGAGGACTACAGGCTCTTTGGAATTTATTAATTTGGTTCAAATACGGTTTCTATCGATAGATTCATCGGGTGATGTGCCATGGATTTTCGCGAAGAAAGGTACGTTGTCTGTCAAATGTATAGTGGTGGTATTTTTAATTTTTCCGCATAGCTTCCCTAGTTTTATGTTTCAAAGAAGATATTCCCGTTTCGCTGAAAATGTCCTCTTTAATCCCTTCTTCATAAATCTTTGTTACAAAAGAGATGGATGTTTTAAAAAACAAGGGGCAAGGGGGGGAACCCAACGCCTTGTGAAACACTTGCACAAACAACACTGTTTTTTTCTCTACTTGCGCATGGAGGAGGCGCGACGCTTGCGGGCGTCGGCCTTGTTCGCCTTGGCCTCGGCAACACGCTTGGCGAGGATCTGAGCGTACTCGTTCTGGAGAGGGGTGTTAGTGTTACGGTTCCCTTTTTTCTTCTTTGTTGTTTTGGGCAGACTTACCGCCTCGTCCTTGACCTTCTCGGCCTGGCGGCGCTTGAGGGCGGCGCGGTGGCGCTTGTGCTGGAGACGCTGGGGGGTGACGAGTCTCTGGATCTTGGGGGCCTTGGTGTAGGCGGACTTGCCCTCGCCCTTGGGCTGGACCTCGCGGCGAATGACGTACTTGCGGACCTAGGAGGGGAAAGGAGGGTTAGTGATCATGCTGGGAATACGAACTTGCGACAGGAACTCGTTTGGCGAATCGGTCCCTTTCTGCTTTTGCCCTTCGGCTGTAGACCCTTGGATGAGACAAGCTTCTTGTCCTTCCTTGTCATCGAATTTTTCCCTTGTCCCTCTGCACCTCCCGTGGAGAGAATTGAATGAGGATAACGTCCAAATTTGAATCAAGAAGAAGGAAGCAAGATGCTCGTCTCACCCGAGGGGGCAAACTTCGGGAGCTGAAAGCAAGAAACAAGACCGATTGACCTTCTCACACTCTACCCCTACCGGGCGCGCTCGACGAGGACAAGCAGCTGTCCGCCTCGAGCGTGCCCGGTAGCAAGCGGGGTAGGCGATGACCGAGTATGATGAGAGGGAGGGCGGCGGCGAGCAACATACATCGTCATCCTTGGTGAGGCCGAAGAAGCGGCGGATCTTGGTGGCGCGCTTGGGGCCGAGGCGCTTGGGGTGGACGACGTCGGTGAGGCCGGGGATGTCGGCCTCGCCCTGCTTGACGACGGAGAGGGCGAGGACGGAGAGGTCCATGCCGGTGATGCAGCCGCGGACCGACTTGCGCTTGCGCTCGCCGGTGCGGCGGGGGCGGTAGCACGAGTGGCCGGTGGCAAGCAGGAGGCGCACACGGTTGGGGGCCATGACACCCTGCTTCATGGGGAAACCCTGCTTGTCGTTGCCGCCGGTGATGCGGAAGATGTAGCCCTTGAACTCGTCGCCGAGGGAGTCGCCGGCAACCTCAACGCCCATCTACACAGAGTTAGTATTTCGGTCGAGAAGGTGGTGTGCCGGTCAGAATGGGATCTTCCTTCGCAAGGAGCGCAATGCCCGTCTCGTCGATGAACAATTGTGATTGCCATTCCATGGCAATATAGATCAAGAGACAATCGAAACGATCGCGAGGCGGACAGAGAGCCGTGCGGAGAGAAAATCCTGATTCGACGTGGGTGTCAACGTACGCGCTTCTCCATGAAGGCATTGAGCTTGCGCTCATCTTCAACCTCGATGAGCTTCTGGCTGCCGTTGGCAGGGTAGGAAATGTTCAGCTGTTAGAAGACGAGTCAGCATTGGCGTGCCCTTTCCCCATCATTCGCTTCCGACGAAATTCGATTCCCATTTGGACAATGAGCGATCGCGATTTCCAACAGGCTCCTGCTGCTAGCCAGCATTGAAGAAACCGACAATGGAATCGTTTGTTCGAGATGGTTGTAGTCGTATCGAAGGGTCGTCGTCGAGGAGAGGGGGCTTCCTTACCTTCATCTTGCCAGTATGTGGTGGTGCAAGTTCTGTCTTGACCTGACTGGAGTGAAGTTGTCGTTAATATGGTTTGATGGGAGGAAGGTACACACGGAGGGCAGTGGACTCGAAATTGGTGCTTGCGAAATGGAAAAAATTTGTGTGTCGCTAGGGTTCGGGTGCCTCAGGGCCAATGAGAATTCACAGTACTGGAGGTATATGGGGCAAACTAAGTAGCGAGACGAAGGAAAATTAATGGGGCCTGTATGTGGCTGGCGGCTTCACTGCTGTGCCACATTTGAAGATGAGCCACAACAGCGCTCCTTGCGCCAGGCCTAAACAGGCAGGGCTTTCAGATACCGCGTGGGCACGCGTTGAATAAGAGCTTCTTCATCCCAAATCACCAAGGCATTGATCGGCACATATAGCTTACACGGAGCAAGAACATAGGTCACGCATTTTCTTTTTCAAATTCCCTCAAACTTCATAATTGTTGATTTTCCTTCTCCCTGTACCTATTGGCCACCATGTCCACGGCACGCCTCGCGCCTCCTGGCGCAGACAGGCAACCCGAAGGCGCGAACCCCCTGCCGCAGCTCATCCAGACGCCGTCCGGGCTGGCCCTCCTCGAGCTGCAGGGCACCGTCAACCTACCGCAGGGCCAGGACGGCCAGCCCCTACCAAACATGCAGATTGGGCGCATCGACTTCCCCGACTACAGCCCCGACGCGGAGGGGAGCGCGTGGATGAACCGAGTGCACATGTTCGTCGGCCAGCACCAGCGGCTGACGGGCCAGGTCCGGAAGCTGCCGCGGGCCATTGCCGTGGTGCGTCGGCGCCAGGAAGAGACGGGGCGCAGCTCGGGCGCCGGTGCTCACGCAGAGGAGGAGGGCGAGAGCCTCGAAGTGGTGGAGATTATCAAGTACAAGCTCATGTTCGGCAACCGGCCGGAACCCGTGGGCACGGAGAACGCAGTATAGCAAGTGCGGTCAAATTTTGTACGTCTAGCCTTGGGGACCGTTTCTTGGCCCATGACTTTGTCATGGCGCCGGCTCGTCACTTTCTCAGCGCCTCGCATAACTCCTGCACGCGCCTCAGCGCTCCCGCCTGCTTCTCCGGGTCCGGCGCCTCGGACGCGAACACCAGAGCCAGCACGAGCGCCGCGTCGAGCCGCAGGAAAGCCTCCTCGCGCGGTGACACCTCCTCAAGCGGCGCCCCGCGGACGCTCTCGTACCCAGCCAGGAACGGCGCGCCGCGCGCCCCCCACTCGAGGCTGCGGTACACGTCCACGACGGGCGGCCCGAGGAGCGCGTTGGTCCAGTCGAACACGGCTGACACATCGAGAACGCCCCGGTCACCCGCCGCGCGCGCCACCCGCACGTTGGCGCGCCGCAGGTCCATGTGCAGCAGCGCGGCCGGCCGCCCGCGCAGCAGCAGCAGCGGCTCCGCGACCGCGCGCAGGGTCGCCTCGTCGGGGGCCCAGTCCCGCGTCTGCGGCACCAGGCCACCGAGAACCTCGAAGCGGCGCCGCATGCGCCGCACGAACAGCGTCGGTAACTCTTCGCTGGCGCGGCAGCCCTCCATAGCCACGAGTGCAACGGGCCAGTCAGCCGGGACCTGCGTCGCATGGATCAGCGCGGCCACGCGGCCCAGAGCCACGTCGACAACATCGGCCGACACGCTGTCGTCGTCGTCGTCGTCGTCGTCGTCGTCGCCAGGCATGTACTCGCTGACCATGGCCGGGTGGCCGTCGATCTCGTAGTAGCCGTGGCATCGAGGCACGGGTACGGACGTCGCTGTGACGAGGAGCAGCTCGACTATGGTGACTTCTTGGCGGACGAGGGCGCGGGCGTCGACGTTGGGGTCGTTTGCGTTTTGGAAGACCTTGGACTTGGGCACGCGGAGGACGACGGCGCCGTGGGCGCGCGACGTCGCCTTGTAGACGTCGAATTCGAGGCCGGCGGCCAAGGGCTGCAGGTTGCTGAGGCCGGCCTTGACGGCAAATGCTTGGGCCAGTTCCATCGTGGTCTGACAGCACTCAACTTGATGACCAGAGTTTATGGCGGTGGAAGATGTGGATAAGTTGTACTGATGACGATTCTTCTTCGATATGGTTCAATATTATTGGGTTTCGATAAACATCTGCACTTTTTTTTCGTGTCGCCTAAGGAGATGAGAGACAAGATGTAGAGTTATGAAGCTGGTGGTACTTCAAGACAAGGTGAGATGCTGTTTGTCGACGTTGACTCACTCGTCAGCTAGCGCCTCTCAGCCTTGCCTCACAATGGCTGATCTGCTCTGTGCTTACCGAATTCATGGTGAAGCTGAAAGATCTACTTGCTACATGGACCGACTTGGAAATTTGAAATTTTTATATTTTGGTTTATGAATTTTACGTCTTTTTATCCCTTTCCCACGCTGGGTTACGGCGCCGCCGGAGCCGCCTCCAGCGGCTTTGCCCGGCCCAGGCCGTCCTTGCCGTAATAGTCCATCGGGTATACACCACCACCCCCCCCTCCTCCCTCACCATTGCTATTCTCCGACCAGTCCTCCGTGACGCCGAGGGCGACGAGGGCCTCGTACGGGGTCAGCAGCGGGCGGGCGAACGCGTAACCCCAGTCGATGCTGAGGCGCGGGCACGCGACCTGGACCCAGCACTCGACGTCGGCCATGGCGGCGAGCTTGCCCGGGAAGATCTCGCTGAGCAGAAGGTTGACCCAGGGGATGCCGCGGGCGCGCAGCTGGGCCTCGACGAGCGCCATCGTGTGCGGGTTGCCCTGGCGGCCGAGCGAGCCGAGGATGAGCCCCCAGCGGCGGGCGCGGCGGGCCGTGCGGATGGCCGCGCGGCGCACCGACTGCATCTCGTCGTGGCCGTACGTCTCGCGCGTCAGCTTGCGCGAGTACGGGTCGTAGCGGTACGCGGGGATGCTCGGGTTGTGGATCATGATGCTCTCGAGGTGGAAGCGGCCGTCGCCGAGGTAGAGGATGGCGTCGATGCCGTCGTCGTCGCGCAGCTGCGGCGACGTGCACCCGAGGATCTCGCCGCGGCTGAGCGGCGCGATCTGCGGCACCACGACGCGGAAGCCGGCGGCCTCGAGGCTGCCGCGCACGCCGTGGATGGTGGCGTTGAACTGGATGGTGCCGACGAGCGCGAGCGTCCGGCCGGCGGCGAAGTTGCGCTCGAGCGAGGCCAGCAGGTGCGCCGTGTCGATGCTGATGTCGACGAAGACGTAGAGCGTCTTGATCTTAGTTACGTCGACGGGGATGAGGCAGCTGTGGGCGTAGTGCACGAGCAGGTCGCAGCCGAGAGCGCGCGCCGTGTAGTCGTCGATGCAGCACGCGCCGTATGTCACGTCGCCCATGATGAGCGTCTCGATGCCCGGGCAAAACTGAGTGAGGATGTCCGAGATGGTGGTGGCGAAGAGCAGCAGGCCCTCGGGCATCTGCAGGGCCACCTTCTTGGCGCCGGACGTCTGGATGCGGTGGATCGTCTTGGGGATCTCGAAGCTGTAGTTGGCGGGCAGCAGCGCGATGGCCTCCTTTAGCTTGGGGTTCTCAGAGATTTCTGGCGGCACGCGGTTCAGCAGTCTTGGTGCGCGCCTGGGTTTGGCAGCTGTGGTGCGGGGTGTCAGTTATTGGCCGTCGTCTCATTCAACAAGTGGGAGGAAAACACTCACTCTGCAGAGCACCGCTCTCTCCCGCAGTCCCTTGCACGCCATTCTTAGCAGCAGCTTCAGCAGCCGCTCTTCTTCCCACGAAGCGCTTCTTAGGTTGCTTGACGGCCGGTTCCTGGTCGTTGAGCTGTGACGTAGTATCCTGTCTTGTCTCTGCCTGAAGCATTTGAGACTCTTCTATATCTGCGGCCAGGCCGAGGTCGACCTGTGCCCTGTCGTCCTCCATACCGCTGGAGTATATTGCTTATGTTTGAAACGTCCCTTTTCTATTCTCATGCGAGATTTTCTGCAAATTTTGCGGCTGGTTGCTGTCGAGCTCGAGTTTTTTGTCCGGTGCAATGAGGTGAGTAAAGTGGTGGTTTACATTTTGCGCCAATGGGATTGGGCGGCGTCGTCCAACTTTTGGTGGAGCGGGTCTTGCCACTGTGAAAGTAGGTAAAGCTTCAACATCGACGGACCGTAAACGAACTGAGAGAAGGAGGTCTACAAATATCTCTTCTTCTATTTTGCAGGGTTTCATTGTTTTTGTACTTCTTGCTGAATTGAAAAAAAAAAAGGTTAACCCCGAGAATGAAAACGGCGCAACAGCGGTCCCAACAGCGCAAGGGCTGGTTATCATAGAAGAATAATGAAAAATTATGTGAATTGGTATTTCATATTAACTATTCATAGCCAACGAGTATTTATATTCATAACTCATTTCGATCGCCCATGCAGCTAGTAACGGCGACGCTATGTACCATCAAGTAGCCTCACCCGTCCACCAGTGCCAACCACAGACCAATCTCCAACCACACTTGACTCGGTCAGCTACCTAGTCCTTGTCGACCTTGAATTTGTAGGTGGCCTGGAGGACGTAAGGGTCGTCGCCGGGCCCAAAGACTTGGCGGCTGTCGCGCATCCACTCCGGGTTGTTGATGCCATCAATGTAGTCCTGGACCTCCATGACGACGCAGCCGTACTTGGAAATGGTGCGGGCAAACTTATCGCTGCCCTGTGTCTGCTTTAGGGCGACGGTGCCGTCCATCCCGTTACAGCTGTAGACCTGGAAGGCCTGCTGGTCGGTGTAGACATCGATGCCGATGCCGGACCAGGGAGAGGCGAGGCGGGCGACGGGGCCCTCGGTGCGCCAGTCAAAAGGACCGAGATGGTCACGATTTACGAGGAAGCAGTTGTCTGAGATTTATTCTGTTAGCTCTTGCCATAACTGCCAGCGAAATGGAAACTCACCGTATCCGGTGCAGTTGAAGCCGCAGTTGTTGACGAGGTCCGGTTCGCCCATGGCGTGGCCAATCTGCCTGGGCTGGCTCCAGAAGTCGTTGACGGAGCCGTTCTTGTTGGCCCAGAACTCGCCGGTGGGAATGAGGATGTTGTCAACGGCGACGCGCTGGCCGCTGTAGGGCAGGTGCAGGGTGTGGTTAAGGGCCGTGTCAGTCTCGTCGTTGGCGAAGCCGTCGAGGTTCCAATACGTATGGCTGCTCAACATGATGGGCGTGCGCTTGGTCGTGGCCAGGCCGATCATCTTGATGTGCCAGTCCATGCCCTGCAGGGTGTAGGTGATGTACGAGATGACCTCGCCCGGGAAACCTTCCTTGCCGTCCGGGTCGAGGATCATAAAGGTGACGCTGTTGCGCGTGTGGGATACGACGGTGAAGTTGCGCCAGTCCCAGCCGTCGGGCCCGCCGTGCAGGGTGTCGACGCCGTCCGGGTGGCCCGGCGTCGGGTTTTCGTTGGGCAGGATGTGGTAGGTGTGGCCGTCGAGGACGAAGGAGCTGTTCTTGATGCGGTTGGCGTAGCGGCCGGGGACGCCGCCAAAGTGTGGGTGTAGCTTGTCCTCGGTGTAGTAGGTGGCGTTGTCCCAGCCGGCGACGATGTCGCGCTCCACGCCGCGACGGTCCTTGATCAGGATGTTGGACACGGACGCGCCGTAGGGGATGAAGGCGGCGCGCAGCCCGTCGCCCTCAATCCAGTACTTGCCGTCCTTGTCCGGGCCGGATGATGTCGAGTTGGCGCTGGTCACGGCCGAGGCGAGCCAGGGCAGCGCGGCGGTTGCTGCGAGGGCTGCGAGGTGAGACGCGATTCTCATGATGGGGGTGGTGTACGTCTGCCGTCTATGCGGTGACGGTGATAGTGGCAGTAAGGAGTAGAGATTCAGTCAAGAACTCTATCATGGAGAATGGGAACAAGAGAGGTAGATGACAGACAATCAGAGACAGAGACAAGGGAAAGAGACATCAGGCCGGGGAAGATGGGAGGGTGTGGGATTTAACCACCGACCGATTGACTTGCACTGACTGGCATGCGTCGCGCAAATCACGGACAAAGCTGCCGCCAGCCAGCCCCAACTCGAGCAAGAAACGAAGCTACCCCAACCTCGGGTCCGGCTAGAGAGCGAAAGAAGGCTGGATCGCCGTCAGCGCTCTGCAGCTAGCGACGTTGGACCGGGCCTTTTTCTCTCAGTCGTTTGTTTTGTTGTTCCGGCGCAAATACATGCATGACAGGGAGAAACATTGGGGTGAAGGAGGAGGGGTGAAGGAGCTAACACACCTGACCCCAAGGCTTGAAGTGGTAAAGAGCTACATTGACCAGTTCTGTTTGTTGTTGCGACCCACGAGTAAAAGAAAGAGGCATAATCGGCATGACGATCCGGGGTTGCCAGTTGGTGCAATGATACCTACTGCATAAGCAACGAAGAACAAGTAGCACTAATAAACATTCGCCGGTTTACCGTGTTTGCTGATACTCAGGCTGGTTGTCTGCCTACATACCTATGCATGTATGTAGGTAGGTACCTGCAACCTCCAAGCGTCACGACAACATGAGCACCTATCTGCCCGAACAGAGCTCTTGTCCTCCGAATTTAATTCACAGAAAATGCCATGGTCAGTATATTCATCATCGATTCACCCAAAAGAACCTTCCATCTGTTTGTTCCCAGCCACTGCACATCGCCGTCATGTCACCCGACCGTCCGCCGCTAAAAAACAGGCCGTCACCCGCCCATCGCCCGTTCTTCCCCAGAAAAGTCAACAGCGAGAACTCTCATTGATTTGCCGTCCATCTCCAGTGGCTTGCCTTGGATCGGCTGGGAATAGAATCGCCGAGCAACAGACGAGCGGCGCCGCCACCCCCGCTCACCAAATTGTTTCCCGACAAGCCACTGAGAGGGGAGGGGGGCGATCAAACTGACAACAACTTGCCAGTACCAACTTATTTCGTCTGAAAAAGATGAAAGACAATGCCAACATACATACGTACATAGGTAGCTTGGTGCTTGGCCCTTTCCCACCCCTCACCCACTTCCCGCCCGTTGTTTCCCCGCCCGCCTTGTTGCAGGCACACCCAACCTTCAACTCCCGAAATCCCGACTTACCTCAATACTTATTAGGTACCTGCAACCTTGCACCCATCTTGGTTCGCACACGTCGCAGAAACGGTTTACCCTGCAGGTCAGCTTGTATCCATTGTGGCCAACACAAAAGCAACTAGTTAGTAGCGGAGCACAAATCGAACAATGCGCCCTTGGTGTAACTAGACCAACTCCCATGCTTCTTCTCACATCTAGAAGCCGTCCAGTCACAAGCTGAACACGCTGCACCTGCACTGTACAGTTCAATTTCGGGTTCTATTCGACTGTAGAATATCAATGACATTAAAAAAACAAAAGTGTCGGCTTCGTACATGGGATCCTCGCCCGCGACAACTAGGCCACAATCTGTCGTACTGTGCCAAACAGCCTCATGCAGATACGAGCGCAGCGCCACTTGGTGTCTGAACCGAATCGCTCCCAGTCACGCAGCCCCGGATTGCCCCTCCTCGGCCTCCTATGTCCATCTCAGGCTCTATACTTCCTTCGCTACATTACACGGTCCATCTAAGCATCAATTAGGTTGCCCTCCTCTTGTTGTTGCTCAGACTCGGCCCGCGCCTTCCCCTTGGCTTTGGCATCCTTGTGCGCACGCTGGTAGTACTCATTGAGAATCTTGGCCGGGATACGGTTCAACAGATCCTTGGGGAAGATGCGCAGCAGGCTCCACGCAAGGTCCAGAGACTCGTAAATCGATCGAGACTCGTATTGTCCTTGGCTGATGAACTGGCGCTCAAACTTGTCCAAGAACTCCAGCGACAGTTTGTCCTCCGCCGAAAGAGCCTCCTCACCAACGACCGCCTTCATCGCTGCCGCGTCACGACCAATCGCATACTTGGCATACAACTGGTTGGACACATCGCCGTGGTCCTTGCGAGTCATGCCCTCGCCAATGGCAGACTTCATCAGACGGGACAGCGAGGGCAGCACGTTGATCGGAGGGTAGATACCGCGGTTATCCAGGGCTCTGTCAACAAAGATCTGACCCTCCGTAATGTAGCCAGTCAAATCGGGAATAGGGTGGGTAATGTCATCGTTGGGCAGCGTCAGAATAGGAATCTGAGTAATCGAACCGTTACGGCCGGCGACACGGCCAGCACGCTCGTAAATCGTCGACAAATCAGTGTACATGTAACCCGGGTAACCACGACGACCGGGGACTTCTTCTCTTGCCGCAGAGACTTCACGAAGCGCATCACAGTAGGCAGAGAGATCGGTAAGAATGACGAGGACGTGCTTCTCGAGCTGGTAGGCGTAGTATTCGGCAGTTGTCAGGGCAAGACGAGGAGTAATAATACGTTCGATACTATGATATATGTTAGCAGAGTAGTCAACAGCAGTTCAGCCGTGTTCGCGTACGTAGGATCGTTGGCAAGGTTAAGGAACAGCGTAGTCTTTTCCAGACTGCCGTTTTGCTCAAAATCGCGGGTGAAGAAACGGGCGGTTTCCAGGTTGACACCCATGGCACCAAAGACAATGGAGAAGTTGTCCTCATGGCCATCGTGGACACCCTTGTTCGTGATGCCCTTCTTCTGGACCAGACCAGCCTGTCTGCAAATCTGGGCAGCGATTTCGTTGTGAGGAAGACCGGAGGCGGAGAAAATGGGGATCTTTTGACCACGAGCAATCGAGTTCATGGTATCAATGGCCGAGATACCAGTGGAGATCATCTCCTCGGGGTATTCCTGCTACCAGTCAGCATTCCGGTGCTCAATCGGTCGGGGTCGTCTGAATCATACACGAGAGTATGGGTTGATGGGGCTACCGTTGATGTCGAGGTAGTCCTCGGCAAGAACCTTGGGGCCCTTGTCAATGGCGCGGCCGGAACCGTCAAAGATGCGGCCCAACATGTCCTCGGAGACACCGAGCTTCAAGCTCTCGCCAGTGAATTCGACTTTGGTCTGTTGCCGCCGTTAGTGTCTGTGGCACATAACTAAGAGTGTATTGGCCGCATACCTTCTTCACGTCGATGCCCGAAGTGCCCTCGAAAACCTATCCGTCAATTGTTAGCAACAGGTGCGGGATGGCTCGTATGACGCAATCCTTCGTACCTGAACAACAGCTCGGTCACCTGTACCTAGTTAGTCAAGTCTAGAAGCAATGAAATAGCCGCTTCTGCGTACCTCGAGCTTCCAAAACCTGGCCAGAGCGCTCCGTTCCATCGGGGAGCGTCAAGGTGACGATTTCGTTGAACTTGGGCAGTTTAACCTGCAAGCCGTTAGCGTCCGAAACCCAAAAAAGCCACGACGTTGCTCGCCGCCAATGCAACGGCTCCGGCCGGCGGGAGAAGAGCATCATACATTGTCAAGGATGACCAGAGGGCCGTTGATGCTGCCAATGGTGTTGTACCGAATTCTCGGGACAATGGAGTAGGACGACGACTCGCGCGGGTCCGACATGGTGGATGTAGTGCGTCGTTGACGAAAACGCTCGTAGGGTGGGGGGGGAGATGAAGAGGCAGCCGGCGCGGCCTCGTCGAATGGCGGTAGGGGGAGGTTGAGGTTGGGATGTTTCGTCCTGCTGTCGGAGTGCCGGTGCTGGAATCGCAGTCACGGACGATAGGGCAAGTGCAGATGGCGATTGTCGAGGGAGCCCGGAGCTGGAAGACAAGGCGAGGTTGGAGGAGGTTGAGCTTGGTTACGCCTTTGGTGGAGCCCGCTCTGGGTCGGCTTGGCCCACGGGCGTGGAGAGGCAGCTATCATTGCAACGACGTCACATGACTCCAGGCTATGAGACCGAACAGGCGAAGCATTTTGCATCATGGGGATTGCATGGAAAATTGTTAAAGAGTGTCATGTTGATTCTAATGGATCCCTACGTGCGTCGTATTTCTTTTTTGAATTATTCCGGTCATGGTGGCTAGAAGGTATGCTACCTGGAGCCACGGGCCGTAAGCTTATACTTTCACCATCATGTGTAAAAACCCCATGTCTCTCAGTTACAGTACAGAATTAAAAAAGTTTAACGGCCATTTAAAGATAACTTTCACGACCAATTTGCACTTCGGCGCGGGGCTTCTCGAGTACTTCCTACCTATGGTGTAAGCCTGCTGTTATAAAAATGGCGTAGAAACTAATACGCCCGCCAAAACTCAGATGAAAGACTGAGTACAATCACAGCAGCTTGGAAACTCGCCGTCTCTTCATTCAGCGGTCAAAATAAAGAAAACTCGAATCCTCGATATTGAACAACATGTAAAAGAGCAACTGCAAGCTCACGACTCTCCTCTGTATCCTCCCAACGCCAGCAAAGCTACTATACAGCGCTCCAACTCTCCCAGCTTTCCCATACGCCATGCCCCCGAGCTGCCTTACTCCCCCTTGGCCGCATTGGCCGCCTGCCTGGCGCGCGCGCCCAGCACCGCCTTTCCGACGCTCGAGTCGTTGGCCTTGCCCAGCTCGCCCGTGATCCACGCGCCAATGTCCGCGACGGCATCAAGGTCCACGCCCGTGTCCATGCCCAGCGTCTCCATAAAGTACACCATGTTCTCCGTCGCCACGTTGCCCGTCGCGCCGGGGCTGTACGGGCAGCCGCCGAGCCCGCCGACGCTGCTGTCGAACGTGCGCACCCCGTGCTCCAGCGACACCGCCGTGTTGACCAGCGCCTGCCCGTACGTGTCGTGGAAGTGCATCGCCACGTCCTCGGTCCGGATCCCCGCCGCCGCCATGCACTTGAGCAGGTTGCTTGTCCGCGGCGCCGTGCCCATGCCCGTCGTGTCCCCCAGCGAGATCTCGTCCGCCCCGGATTCGAGCAGGTCCGTCGCGATCTCGGCCACCTTGCGCGGGTCCACGTCGAAGCCCTCGAACGGACACCCCAGCACCACCGAGATGTACGCGCGCACCCGCAGCCCCAGCGCCTTGCTGTCCTGGATCACCGCCTTGAACCGCTCCAGCGACGTCTGGATGTCGCAGTTGAGGTTCTTCTGCGTGAAGCTCTCTGTCGCCGCCGCGAACACAGCCATCTCAACGCCCGGCTTGGGTGTCTTGTCGCCGGGCGCCGCCGGGTTCGCCTGCGTCGTGAAGGCGCCTTGGTGCTGCTTGAGCAGCGCGGCGGCGTTTTGCAGGCCCTTGGTATTGGGTGCCAGGAAGGCGTATGAGATCGGTAAGGGGGAGTGAATCTTTTGATGAAGTAGGTGCTCGAGGATCTCGCTGGAATTGGCCATCTGGAAGGGTAGTGTCAGCAAACAGACCGACTTGACGCGGCGCGGCCAAGGGCATTGTGACATACCTGAGGAACCCATTTGGGAGAGACAAAAGAACCGGCTTCGATGGTATCTAGACCAGTTCGTGCCAACCTTTCGATCAATTCAATCTTGGTGGCTAAGGGAATCGTCTTCTTCTCATTCTGGAGACCGTCTCGAGGTCCGACCTCCACCAGCTTGACCCGGTTGTCACGGGCCGAGGCACTGGCTGTAGCGAAGGCACGCTGGGCTTGGAATTGGGTTCTTCTGCAGGCCCTGCAGAGAGCCGACCGTAAAAGAGACATTTTGCGTGAGGTATGCGATGCGAATCGAAAGTGGCCAAGGTCGTGTGAGGGAGCAAGTTGAGTGATGGGGGATGGAGCTAGATCCCCCGCGGTGTGGCGCGCGTACCATCGGCCCCAGATTGATCCATCAGCGCGGCAACCAGCGGCCTTTTGCCAGCGCGAACACCAGTGCATACCAGCATTACATTCAAATGCACAATCTGAAATAACAGCCTCAATTTACAGGGGAATTTGACATTAAAAATGTTTGTGTTTATGGAACTTATAACGTAACTACACCCCCTGGGGTGTAGAGAGTGGGCAAAGCTGCCTTGAAAGAAATTAATCCCCCCAAGCAGTATATGACGTCTTGACCCGATTAATACTCAATCTCACCCTCATCCTCACCAGTAGAGTCGGCAGCAACCTCCTCGTAATCACGCTCCAGAGCAGCAAGATCCTCACGGGCCTCGGAGAACTCGCCTTCCTCCATACCCTCACCAACATACCAGTGAACGAAAGCACGCTTGGAGTGCATGAGATCGAACTTGACGGAGAGCGAGGACCAGGCCTCGGCGATGGAGGTCGTGTTGGAAAGCATGCAGCTATTGAATGTTAGTGGCGTCAAAATAGTATGCAAATTGGAAAAGCTTACACAGCACGGTTGACCTTGGCCAGATCGCCGTTGGGGACGTTCTGGGGAGCCTGGTAGCAGATACCAATCTTGAAGCCAGTGGGGCACCAGTCGACAAACTGAATGGTGCGCTTGGCCTTGAGGCTGGTAACGGCGGCGTGGGCATCGTTGGGGACGACATCACCACGGTACAGCAGACAGGTGGCCATGTACTTGCCGTTGCGGGGGTCGCACTTGACCATCTGGTTGTTGGGCTCGAAGCAAGACATGGTCATCTCCTGGACGGAGTTGGCCTCGTGGGCAGCCTTGTTGGCAGAGATGACGGGAGCGTAGGCAACCAGAGGGAAGTGAATTCTGGGGTAGGGAACCAGGTTGGTCTGGAACTCGTTGAGATCGACGTTGAGAGAACCATCGAAACGGAGCGAGGCAGTGATGGAAGAAACGACTGATTTATTGTTAGTATGGAAATCACATTTGGGACAGGGATGTATCGCATGGCTTACCCTGAGCAATGAGACGGTTCAGGTTGATATAGTCAGGACGCTCGAGACCGAGGTTGCGACGGCAGATGTCGTAGATGGCCTCGTTGTCGACCATGAAGGAGCAGTCAGAGTGCTCGAGCGTGGTGTGGGTGGTGAGGATCGAGTTGTAGGGCTCAACAACGGAGGTGGCAGTCTGGGGAGCAGGGTAGACGCAGAACTCAAGCTTGCTCTTCTTGCCGTAGTCGACGGAAAGACGCTCCATCAGGAGAGCACCGAAACCGGAACCAGTACCACCGCCGAAGGAGTGGAAGACGAGGAAGCCCTGAAGACCAACACAGTTATCGGCGACACGGCGGATCTTGTCGAGAACGCCGTCAATGAGCTCCTTGCCAACAGTGTAGTGGCCACGAGCGTAGTTGTTGGAGGCATCCTCCTTGCCGGTGATCATCATCTCGGGGTGGAAAAGGTTGCGGTAAGCACCGGTGCGGACTTCGTCGACGACATTGGGCTCAAGATCGCAGTAGATGGTACGGGGAACGTATTTGCCCTGGCCTACATAGCGACATTAGTATTTAGTAAAAAGAAAAACATCATCGTCAACGGCACGAGGACCGTCGGCGCGACAGAGCAAGGTTAGCGTACCAGTCTCGGAGAAGAAGGTGCTGAAGCCCTGGTCGGGATCCTGAGCCTTGCGCTCCTCAGTGAGGTAACCATCGGGCTGTTTAGGTCGAAAGTTAGCATTGATTATTTTGTGACGGCATTGCCGATATGGTATGCCATGTCAAGATCGGATCGAAATTACCTGGATGCCGTGCTCGAGGCAGTAGAGCTGTGAATAGGAGTTAGCGGCCGTGTTTACAAAGCAAAGGGAGGAATAGGGGACGAGCGTGAACATACCTCCCAGCAGGAATTGGCAATCTGGCAACCAGCCTGGCCGACTAAACATCACCATTGTCAGTATCACCATCACCATAAGCGTGCAGGACAGTATCGGTCGGGAGGGGGCGGATGATTTGGCGGCGGTGAGCAAAAACGCGTTGGCCTTTGCGGTGCGCGGGCAGAGGAGGGGTAAATTTCGAAGGGGGCCGGGCAGCATACCGTTGATACTGATAACCTCACGCATGGCGATGGATTTGTTGTTTGAGAGGTGGAAAATGGATTCGAAGAGTGGATGGGGAGGAGAGAAGGAGAGGAATCTGGGCAAGCAACGGAGAAGCAGAGCTAGAGTCGTGGAAGAGAGGGTCTGGCGGGTTCCGTTCGAGTGGTGAAATCTTGCTGGGAGAAGGCTTTTGCAGGTATCCAGTTGAGTTGCTGGGGTGGTGAGCCAGAGGGAAAGGACCTCCCCTAGCAGGTGGGGGAAATTGGGTGCGACAGGGGGCAGAGGGGACGACCAGAGGCTGGAGGGGGGCCAAATTTGGGCGAGGGAGCTTCTGGTTGGCTGGGGCGAGACAGTTGGTTTGGTGGTTTTAGCGTTTTGGGCAACTGGCTTTTAGTGGCCCAAGGTTGCAGTAAATGCGGCCTTGTCTGCTGTTCGTCACTGTACATTGCTCTACATTCCGGTCATTCAGTCACTGTAAGATTTGGCTAACTCCTGAACCTGCTGCAGGTACCTCTGTTGTCCTCCGCGTTGTTCATTTGTTGACTTGCCCAGGCAAGCGCGTTCTCATCACTCTGCACGATAACCACCACCGCCGGGTCCTCACCGCTCCAAACAAGGCATGTCCAGGGTCCAGCACAAGCAAATTTGCAGCTACGGATACGCTTACATGCAAGAAGTCAAGCCCATCAATGTCAACGCAGCTATGATCACGATGCAAAACGACGTTACCATATCAGTTGTCGGTGCAGATGCTCTCTTCATCTGGTATATGTATCAAGCTAAACAAAGCTACCCCTCCTCCGTTTCCTTGCTGCCACATTGGCATAAAGGGGGCCTCTAGTCACCACCGACCAGCAACGAGAGCCACATCGTCGAAAGTCATGGTCTGCTGAATAACCTTCATCAAATCTTCACCTTTTTTTTCTCTGACCTTGCTCATCTTCCCACACACCTCCTCTTCTGCAGCAGGGGATCTGTCGCCTGCATGCTGGCAAGCTGCTGGCCCGAGCCCACCTATCTCGGGAGTTCCCCCGGGGGCACCCACTTATCGGCCCAGGATGATTTCCTCGCACAAACTGTTATTTTGTTTTTCCGTCAACGCGTCGCGTGTCACTGCGAGGTACCTAATCCGCCCACACAATTCCGCGCCTTTTTTCATGTACATGTACTTGTCGCTCTGGTCAACGCCCAAAATGAGCATCTGCGCCACAGCATCAAGCTCTTGCCACAACCGAACCACAGCTCTGTAACAGAAGCCAGCGCCACTTTTTGAGGCTGCAAGACAGATAATAAGCAGGAGTGTTATCCGGATATCAATCCAACAATACGGAATTAACTAGTAGATCTCGCCACTATGAATACTCAAAGAATATCCGCGGTTCTGCTTACGCTGGCCGTGTTTGCAGTTCACGTCGCCGCCAATGCTGACAAAATCATCTTCACGGGCCCGGAGCCCGTCACCTACCCTTTAGCTTCGCCATCCCTGGCCGACCTCAACCTCGACGTCCTCGGCCCCGAGAACCTGTCCATCCGCAGAAATCTCACTCGGATCTTCCATGATGACTCGGATCTGGAGCTAAAAGGGAAGCCTCGCGGCCACGCGAGCTGGTACCTCATCGACAACCTCACACCCGGCCAGCGATATGAGCTGCGCGTTTGCTGGGCTGCCATTGTATGTCACCAACACGGGCACCTGCAGAGTCCCAACCAAGCACTGCATCGCAAAAATCACCAACAAACAACGCACAACGCATATATACGGACTTAGCTAACTGTACAATAGGAGCCCACGGCGTTCACCATGAACGTGTATGAGCTCGACACGGTCTGGGACACGCCCGACCTCATGCTGTCCCTCGCCGACTACTCCTCCGCGCGCCAGCCCGCCGCTGCCGAGGACCAGGCCCCTCAAGTCCACCGTCGGAGCTCCAGCGCAGCCAACGCGCGGGAGCGAAGGGCGTCGCTCCTGCTGCTGCAGGTCCACGCCGCCGCCGACTACTTCTCGCACCACGAGGAGCTCATGCGCGACCCGCCGCCCGTGCTCGTGGACCTGATCCTCGACCCGTACCTCCTCAACGCCGTACCGGAGTCCCTGGTGCTGACGGCCGCGTACGTGGTGCTCGTCGCCGTGGCGACCTTTTTCCTCGCGAGATGGATCGCGGACCGCATGACGGCCATTGCCACGAGCGGGCGGCGCGTATCGAAGAAGAGAGACTAATTGCAGGTTGGATGTCAGGCGTTTTTGATTTCACATTAACTTGATTTCTGCTACTAGTCCTATTGTCATGGTTTACGAACTCTGTCGCGTTCTCCTGAATGGAAAAGAATTTTGTGCCACTGATACACATTGTAGAATTGTATAGCTTCTAAAGCAAAGAAATGTATAAAAAAATGAGAAAAATAAAACAAAGTACTAGAAAGTATTTTCATGTCATTTTGATCTTATCAACATGATATTCTGAGTATCGTACGAGCCTCAATTAAAGAGAAAGCGCATGCCATTAGACGCACGTCATAATTCATTCATCCAAACGTCCCCCACCCAAAGCGCCGTATTCCTCGCCCTCATGCATAATACTGGGACACCAAGAAGCAGCTACGGGCCAAGAAACATTGTACGTGGCCAGGACTGTGGCAGACCGCCGCCGAAATAGTTCATCATGGGTTTTATGAGAAGTAGCTGTCGGCCACTTCAGTCCTTCTAGTAACGGCTGCCGCCGTAACCCTGGCCTTGGCCTTGATAACCACCGTTGCCACCACCGCCGTACTGGCCCTGGCCGCTGCCGTACTGGTTATTGGAGTGATATCCGCCACCGTGTTGCTGACCGCCGCCGTACTGCTGCCCCCCTTGGTGCTGACCCCCGTGGGAGCCGCTGTAGTTGTGTCCTTGGCTGCCGTGAGACGGCTGGTTGTAGCCTGCCTGGCTCGGGTAGTTTGAGTGGTCGCCACCGTGCGAGGGCGACTGGTTATAGCTCGGTTTGCTCGAATAGTTGGACTGGTCGCCGCCGCCACCGCCGTAGCTGTGCTGGCTGCTATGATGCGACTGGTTGCCGTAGCTGGAGGGCGGCTGCTGCGAGTAGCTGTTGTCGCTGTACTGGCTTGACTGGTGTGACGGCTTCTCCGAGAAGGACTGGCTCTGGGAGGCGCTCCCGTGTGTCGTCTGGCTGCCGTGGTTAGAGCCGCCGCCCGAGCCGTGGTTGGTATTGCTGGGGACGCTGTGGTTCGAGCCGGGCGGGGTGTAGGTCGGCGCGGGGCTGCTGGAGGAGTAGGTGCCTCCGGTGCCGGTGTTGGAGTATCCAAAGTTCTATGAGGACGTCCGTCAGTCAGCGCCTACAACTCAAACCACGGTAAGGCGACAGAGTGAGGGCGGAGGGGCGACATACCTGGTTGCTGGAGCCCTGCTGGCCGCCAAACATGCTAGCCACGCCGCCCATGACGGCACCGGCGAGGCCACCCTGTTGGTGGGTCGACGCGTTCTGGGTTTGGCCGCCGTGGTAGTTTGACGGCGCCTCGGGCTTGTCTGAGGGCGAGAAGAGGTTGGACGCGAGCTGGCCGACGAGCTTGCCACCTATGCCGGACGAGTTCTTGCCGCCACCGCCGCTGCTTCCGCCGAGGAATTGGTTCGCGAGGCTGCCGAGGGCCGAGCTGCCGCCACCACCGCTGCTTTGTTTGCCGCCGAGAAGAGCATTCATCGCGATGGACTAGAAGCACGACGAGAATACTAGGTTAGCGCAAAGCTCGGCCAGATCGTCTGCCGCAGCAGACAGCGCCATTGAAGAGGGGAGGGGATTGTTCTTACGCCGAAGCCACGGTCTCCCGAAGGACCGTCGCCAATACCTCTGCTACCGTCGGCCATGATGGGTTCCATGCGCCCGTCGGCGTGCTTGACCGTCTGGGAGCCGTCCGGGTGCGTGATAATCTCGGGTGGCGGGACGCCGTAGGGGTGATCCTCGTGCTGCGCGGGCGTGCTGCCGGTTTTGGCGGCTTCGGTGGGAATCTCCCACTGGGAGACGCCGGTAGCGAGCTGGACGTAGTAGTACTTTTTGCTGGAGGAATCCCACTGAGCGATCCAGCCGGGTGGCAGCGAGGGCGGCGCAAAGGTCGGGCCTTCTGTGCTTGGCGATGCCGGCCCAGTCATTTGGCTGCGACGAGGCGGATTCTTGGAGGGGGGATGGCTTCGAGAGAGAAGGGGAAGCACTGAGAGGAGAGGCGCGGCTGAGGTGGAGGGGAGAGGGAAGGGGAAGGGAGGGGGGAAGAGATAGAGACAAAGAGAGCGGGTTTGATTGTCGGCCGGGAGAGAAGGTTGGTCGCGCGATTGTAACTACCTGCTACCTAGGTTATAGCGATCGATGTACCCTCTTTGGAGGGGAAAAGGTGGCGTTGGCGCGCGCTGGGGTTGTTTCTTGTGGGTGAGAGAGAGGGGAAGCGAGAGAAGTGAAGCCGCGTGCGGGAAATTTGCCTGGACTGGCGACGTGAAATGGCTATTAAAACAGCAATAATAACAACAGCAATTATAGGAAGAAAAACGAAGTGAACCCAACAGGAACAAAAGAACAGCGAGGGCTGAAAGGGCAAAAGCGACATAAAGCCAATCGCAAAAGGGCACCCATGAGGTACCTGAAATGCGGGAAGCGTTGGGCTTTCTTACTCAATCAGGTAGTACTGTTAGTGCTTGCCCGACGAAGCAGGCTAGCTGCTAACGCTCTAGTCTTGAGGCGCAGCATGTCCCTAGCCACATACCTACAGCGCCACCGCGTTGTGGCCGGGCTGCCTCTCGCGAATGCAAGCTGAATGTAAGTAAGTTCTAGATTCTGGTGAGATGGGTGACTCGTAACCTTTGTGAACAATCGCAAGCGAAGGAAAAGCCAAGGTCCAGTTGCATCGCTGCTGATAAGACGTTGCAGCTAACGGCCCACCTGAGCGACAATCACACAATCACCGTGTAAGTTGCTATAAAAGCACTGGTTTCTTCGCAAAGTTGTCTCTTCTATCTGTACAAATATCTCAAAAACTCGCTCCAGGGCTTTGCTTGTTCTTTGGTGTCCCAGCGACAGTGCCAAAGAGAGGGAGTAGAAAGGTTGATATAGCCAGATATCGGTCTGCAGTCTCCCTCTCAACCGTCGAGGGGGCTAAAAAAGCAAGCATAAACAAGCCCGACCAATGCTTCCAAAGTTGTATATATAAACACACATGATGATTTTTTTCTCGAAAAAAATGGAAAGACCAAACCAAATGGGTTTCCAATGCAAAAACGTCAGTTGCCGTCGGCAAGTAAAGAAGTGAAAATAATGCTGGCAACAAGAGTCCAGAAAAAAAATGTACAACCGGCGGTGCGGGAGGAAGGAAAACTGAGTTTCCCTGTTCTGCTTTCTCGTCAAGTCATGTTTCGAATCCTTGCCTTTTTTGTTTTGTCCCTATTACCATTTCGAAACCCAGCCCCCTCTTTGTGGCGCGTGAAAGTGCGCACCTAAGCGAAGACAATGTCCTTGGCGACGCCGGGCTTGCAAGAGGTGCCGGCGGCGAGGCCCTGGGCGGGCGACCACATGTTGCCGGCACCGCAGCGCTGGAACTGGTTGCCGCCGATGCAGTTCCAGGCGCCGAGCTCGTCGCACTTTGAGTAGGCGGGGAAGCCGCCCGCGCCTCCGGTGGGCTGGGCGCCGGCGGGAGCGCTGCTGGTGCCGGCGGGAGGAGCGGCGGCGGGAGAGCTCTGGGTGGGACGGATGCTCGTCTGGATGGTGGTCGGGACGGCGCCGGGGCCGGTGGCGGAGGAGGTGGGGATGAAGACGCCGCCGGGAACGGACTTGCTGCTGCTAGGAGCGGGCACGGGCGCGGGAGAGGCGGAGGAGGGAGCGGAGGGAGCGGCGGGAGCAGGGGCGGCGGAGGAGGGAGCGGAGGGAGCGGCGGGAGCAGGGGCGGCAGAGGAGGCAGGAGGAGCGGCGGCGGCGGAAGAGGAGGCGGGAGGAGCGGGAGCCTGGGCGGGAGGCTGCTGGCTGCCGCCACCGGTGGAGCCGGGGCAGGAGCCGGTAGGGGGACCGAACTTGCCGGCCTTGGTGGTCACGTCGGGGCCGGGGTTGGGGAACTGGAGGTCGGTACCCTCGGTGGTGCCGCAGCCGTTGTTGACGTTGGCGACGAACATGGCCGGGCGGCTGCTGAACGCGGGGCCACCACCGCCACCGGAGCCGGCCTTGATGTTGACGACGGCGCAGTTCATGTACATCTCGCGGTTGCCGACCTTGTTGAACCAGGACCAGGCGAAGACGGCCTCGCCGGCGGCGGCGTCGGCGGGGACGGAGAAGTCGTAGCTGGAGGAGCCCGGGCCGACGGGGCAGCTGCCGAGCCAGGAGTGGATCACGGTCCAGGTCTTGCCCTTGTCGTAGGAGAGCGAGGCCTGGCAGCTGCCGCCGTTGTGCCAGGCGCCGCCGTCGATGCTGAGGCTCTGCTTGCTGCCGGCGGCCCACTCGGCGACGGCGGCACCCTGGGCGGTGCCGACGAGGTTGATGGAGCCGCGGCAGGGGAAGTTGCTGCCGTCGGCGGCGAGCGGGGTGGTCATGTCGTAGTCGACGTTGGTCGAGAACTTGTTCTTGGGCGAGCGCAGGGGCGCCGGGTTGGTCATGGCCATGTGCGCCTGGGCGGAGGCGGCCATGCCGAGCACGGCGGCGACGGAAGCGATGAAGTGCATGTTGTTGGTGGTGTTGTTGGTTGGTCTTGGCGAATCAATTCGAGTGAGAAAAAATCGAGCAAGTATTTCTCTTGTCAAAAGAGAAATCAAGATGTGTGTGTTATCTAGAAAACGACAGAAGAGAAGAAGAGCGTGTAAGTCGCAAGAACCAGCTTGGCAGGGGAAAGGAGTGTAAGAAAACAAGGAAGGAGAAATCGTACAGAAAAGTAAAAATAGAAGGCAGCAGTGAAGCACAGGCAGCCAACAGTTTTTATAGCAAAAAGAGGGCGTCAAAAGAAACACAGGTGAGAGAGCACAGCTCACGTTGGGTGTGTGTGAATGAACGGATTGTTGCGTAACAAGGAAACACAATGGTTGTTTTATTGGGTGAGACGGATGCCGTATTTCCGTGCTAGCACGAAAGGTGAGAAAGGAATGAAGAATCGAAAAAAAAGAATGAGAGAAAAAGGAGTGTGAGAAGCGAGTTGTGCGTGCTTCGAAAAGGAAAGTGAAGCTCAAGTACGGGCCGAGGTGAGCCTTTTGTAAGTGCCAGTCTCGAGAGGATGGGTATACGCCAAGGATGGTTGGCTATTAGTCGCCCATCCAAGGGGGGGTTGAGGGGAGTTGAGAAGCAGGTGAGGGGTTGTGTGTATTGGGTGGGTGTGGCTTTGCTGTTACAGGGGGTATCATCAGGAGACTGGCTACGACGTTTACAAGTAACCTCTAGTTTGTTATGGTGGTAGTTTCTGTTGACCTCATCACTGTGGTTGGTTGTGGGTGATTAACTATGTAGCTGGGAATGTCCCGTTACATTGACTGTGCTGTTGCTCTTACTGTCCTACATCATCCATGTACCTTGTCCTGTGCTTGAGATAGATCGGGGCGTGTGCGGTGTGCGCGGTAGAAGGACCACGGGATACCAAAAAAATAAAAATAAAAAAGAGTTATAGTTAAAAGAAATGGACTGTCAAAACGCCTCGCCGACGAATTCAAACGACGACGATAGTAGGCCGAACGAGGCAAGGCCCGTAACTACCGTACCTACATACATCCATACATCCATACATACTAAGTAGTCGGTAGCCTGTAGGGTCCAAGGCAGACGACAACGGCCCTGCAATCTCTCTATATCTGATGCATGACATCCCCACAGCACCCTCCCCCTTGACAAGCCACGATAATTATCCTACCTGTAACTAATCCGTACCCAGCAAATCAGTAGCCAACTGGGTTTGCTGGGTAATCTGTAGTTCAGGAACTTCTGGACCAGCCTCCCCACCGTTCCGGGTTATGCATTCCAGGACTCGACCTTGTCTTCCCTGTTGACATGCGTCAGTGACATTCATCTCCGGAGAAAAATCCGTGCCTGTGGGTGGCGCCTTTTTCTTCTTCTTCTTTCTTTTTCTCTCCCCTAATATGGGATGGAAATTACTACGGATGGTTGGGGGAACCCGCCGTGGTGGCTTTTGCCTTGTCTTCTGTCACTTTTTCCTTGCATCTCGCGTGGCCCCCCTTCTCTTTGTTGCGGTGAGGATGTCATAGTCATACATCCCAAGTCGATAGTCAGCCGCAGGCCCCCGATGAATCAGACCAAAAAAAAAAAAAAACCACAAAGAAATTCTTTTTTGTGCTTCGTTACACTGGGCTGTCCGGCCACGCAGGGGCCTTGGTGGCTGCCCTCGTACGGCGCGTCGTACCACATAGATGGGTGGTCTTTTTCTTTGACCTCGAGTCGCCCTGGCTTCTCGTCTCTGCGACCACCTGCCTGCACCTTGCACCCCCGAGTCTGTATATATTGTTACATTTAGAGATACAACACGTGTTGCCTCTCCCCACAGTGGTCGTGCTGGCAGCGGGCCGTGTTACCGTGAGAGGAGCAAGGTTGAGTTTCTCCTAGCGCCGGCGGCTAATAATCTATGTACGTCGGGGAACAAAGTAGTTGGTTGTGAATGAGGTTGTTCTGCGACAGCGAAGCATAAAATTAACCAGAAAAAAAAGCATTCATATCACGTTCATCACATGAGAACCAAAGAAAAAGAAAGCATAACAACAACGTAACAAAAAATAAAAAAATAAAAAAACTCCTGGCATGTTAATCCGTGTTTAGATCGACCTTGGGCTCTTGCCACTGCCCGCCAGCACGCGCCGGGCCGCAGCCAATCAACGGCCTCTGCACGGCCTCCACCGGCCACCGGCCGAAACAACCCAACCCCCAACCCCCGAAGGCCTAAAAAAAAAAAACAGGACCGGCTTGCTGCTGCTGCTGCTGCTGCTGCTGCTGCGGCCGGGTCATATTTCATTGAACTGACGATTGCCTTCTTCCCTTCCTTTTCTGAAACCATCAACGTCGGCGCCCCTGTTTCGGTTCCCGTCCAGCTCCCTCCCTGGATGCACATCAACGACGGGTGATTCGAGCATAAAAAAAAAAAAACAAGAAACGCACGACAGACAGAAATAGTAATAAATCGTACGGGTGCATTTTTGGAACAAGGGAAACAACCCGAGAGAGCGATGGCTGGCCGAGGTGCGACCGTTCCCGTCCATTCCTGCCCGGGGCTGTACGGCCGGTCGGCGCGGCCCAGTTCATGCACGTCAATAGTTACCTGATGAATACTCCGTACAATCTACAGATTACTGGGTGCATTTACTGCTAGTACTTTGACCAAAGCCATCCGCTCCCAACCGGCCGGCCGCGTACGCCGGGGTGCCATATCCATCATCACCCCATCCTGTCTAAATTAACACCGCCGCCCCCTTCCACGCGCCGGATCCTGATGAGCTTGGCATTTCCTTTTTTTTTTTTTTGCCCATCGCCGTTTGCGTGCCATGCCTGTCCCTGCCTTGTTCAGCTGGGGCTTTACTTTTCGGTCGTCGTCCTTGTTCATTCATTCACCCAACTAGTCAATGCATCCCATCTCGGCTCCTCCTGAACCCTCCCCCTCCCCTCTTTCATTTATTCCATAGACTCCGCCAACCGCAGTAGAAGACGCACGTTAATGAAAATGAAACCGGTGATATCGAAGACATATCATTATTATTATTGTTTTTCTTTCTTTCCGACTCTGCTTCTCTCTGCTTCGTCACCGTTCTCATCTCGCCAAAGTTGGGGCCTGGCCTCCGGGGCGGATGCAGCCACAAACCCTCGGGTGCCCTCGCCGTCCGCCCAAGTCCGCCCAGTCCCTCCCTCTTCCTCCCTCCTCCTCCCTCCCTCCCTCGCTAAGCCGTCCCCCCCCCGTTCCGGATGTCCGCCGCAGACATATATTTACCAAGACGCTGTCAATAGTAATATATTTCCAAAACGTCCGTCTTCTGCACCGCTCCATTATTATTCTGCCCTAATTTCTCTCTGCAAAATAACCAACCGCCTGCTAACCTCGCTCCCTCCCCTTCTGCCTTTCTCATTCGCCAACTTCATTCCCTTCGCCAACTTTCCTCCCTCTCACCTCACCTCACTCCCCCTCCCCACATCCACATCTAGCTTCTGCCAGTCTTCCTCGTCCTTCATCGCCATTCTTTGTGGCGTGTTTCACAATCCCCAACTATTCACTCTCGTCGGCATCCTCCATCACCAGTAGTCACCAACAAGTCGACTACTTACGCAACCTAGACCCTGCCACTCGGTTGCACGCCGACCATTCCGACGCACTCTCTGACCCCTGCCTCTGCCATCTCACCCCCTCACTCCTCCATCACCCGTTCCATCACCGCTTTACCACATCCAATCGAACCTCTGTCACGTTTTTCATGGTTTATTTTAATTTTCCCATCTGCTTCTGCCTGCTAATACTCCTTCTACATCTGCCGCTCTCCGCCTTCGCTGCCCACCTCCATCACCGCTACTCCTCCCCCATTTGAACAAATAAAAAAAAAAGGGACTTGGGCATGCCTCGGCCTGGTCCATGGCCTTCACCCTGTCCAACAGACCGTCCAGACTGTCCTTGCCTGTAATGCTTTGATTCCTGCCATCCATCACCTCCAACAGCGCTGGTTGTATTGATACACTTTTGTCGCTGTTTTGCCCCTACATCTTCTCGGTAAAGGGCCCCGGGCCAGTCTTCGGCGCCTTGTCCCTCACGTCTGGCTCCGAGTCGTCTCTTTGCACGGCCCGCCACCTTGGCTAGCATTTGGCTATCCAAACCTGGCCCTGCCTTTGCACTCCAGCTTCTCTCATCTCCCGTCTCATGCAGAAAGAAAGGAATTTAGTCCATGTGATGCTGTGATTCATGTAGAGCGAAGAAACAAAACAAGAAAAAAAAAACCAAAGAAAATCCCCGAAGCCCAAGGACAACCCAGTCAGGCCCATCTCTTCCCTCAACCTCGAGAGCAACTCCGTTTTTCATGCTGGATACGCAATTCCAAGTAATAATTCTTTCCTGTGCTTTGTGTATTGCTGCTGCCCTCGCGCACTGTTGGGGCGGCTCTTCCCACGGGTAGGTGTATATATGCTGCTTCATTCGTCACAGTAGTCAACACTTTGTGGGGGCTCGGCCCTGCTTGTGCAATTGCAGTGGTGTATCCGCACGTCGCAGACCGCTTCATTGATATGTCATGTCATAAGTTGTTGCTGACGCTCTCACTCTCACTGGCCGCCGCCCTGGCCTGGTCCGTAGACAGGTTGGTTGTACTGCACACTCGGACTCATGCTATACATCGGTTGGCCCTGTTGTGATCCTTGATGAGCCATAGCCGGCGCTGAAGGCCGTCCCGGGCTGGGGTATCCATTTGCTACAGGTCCTGGTTGTGGCGGGCCGGTAGGTGGCATGAACTGTCCATGGGCACCGGGATACATCAGTTGGGGACCGCCAACCATTCCCTGCGGCCCATGCATAAAGTGCGGTTGCATCATCATAGGCCCTTGGGGCGGTGCGTATTGAGGGTGGTTGTTGGAGAAACTTCGGTACTGGCCCATCTGGGGTGCACCTCCACCCATATAAACTGGTTGGTTGTACACCACCTGGCCAGGTGTGTTGTAGACCATCGGCATTTGTGTCATGCGAGGTGAAGCAAAGGATTGTTGCGAATTCGAGTGCATCATGCGGTGATCATCAGTTCCATACTGGCCATGAGGGCCCGGCCCGTGATGAGGCGTGTGCATTTGCATGGGTGGCATGGCGGGAGACTGACGCTGGCCCATGTTATGCGAACCATGCTGAAGATGGAAAGGCAGCTGGTGTTGATGAGGCATTGCAGGCGATGGATTGGGGGTCGCCATTGAGGCTTCGGAAAATGGGTTTCGTTCCAAGCGCGCCTTGTACGTAAGGTGCATCGTCGAGTCAGCCTTCTCGTCGTCTCGAAGCTGTCGCCAAGTGGGAAGAGTATCGTAAGAAGGTCGCAAGCCTCCATTGTCGTCCCAGTTGCGGCCCTGGGGCGGAGCAATTTTCTTAATGTGCGAAAGAATGCAGCACTTCTTGGCATCGACGGCTCGAGTCTTGCGTCGAATAAGTTGCCCGGTCACAGCAGCAGCAGCGCTTGAGTCGGTAACGGTGTTGGCAGCGGTGCGAGGGCTCGAGCTTGCGCTCACCTGGTTGATGGGGTTGAAAGACGGAGCAAATGGACTTGGTCGGAACTCATGGCTGTTAGGATTTAGCTTCACACTCATGTGGCCTGGAAGAGCGCTATGTCGACGGTTGAAGTTTGCATCATTTGTGCCAGCAGGCCCAGTGGGTGGTGCGCGGGTGTCTTGACTAGCGGATGGCTGCTGGACAGCGGGTGGCTGCGAGTACTTCTGCTGTTCAACATTGCGCAGCCGCTGGGCTAGGCTACCTGTCTGCTGAGTAGGCATGTTGTGTGGGCCGTTACGGTTGTTCCTGTATCCCTGGCCGTGGTATTGCTGAGGGTAGGGTTGGCGAGGTCCGGTATGCCGATTTGCCGCGCCAGCTGGCGAAGCTGTGTGCGGCCCTGCAGGAGCACGCGAGTTTCGTGGGTCGGTAACAGGAGGCATGGTCGTACCTTGCTCACTGCTTTTTGGAGGGGTATCTTTACCACTGGCGGGGGAGCTCTTGGAAGAGGAGACTGCTTTCGATCTTGCGACTTCTTCGGCGTTCTTGATGGCTCGAGCTTGAATTTCCTTTTGCTTGACGGGATCTTTTGCAATGATGGACACAAGATCGTTTGGAACGGGCGTTGAGAGCTTGAAATTTGTCGCGAATTTTCGCAACTCAGTGAGCTTGACTTCCTTGTCAGCCTTGGCCTTGCTGTTTCGAACCTTTTCAGCGTTGATTCTCTGCTGAGTAGCGAAAGTTTTGAACGAGTTCAGAACATCACGCTCAACAGTTAGCGTGGCGCTTGGCTGGGAAGTTTTCTCAGCTGCGCCAGATGCAACTTTGGGTGCGATAGCGGCAGTATAGGTAGCAGCAGAAGGGCCCTCAGCCATCTTGGTCTCTGATGTTTTGGTATCCTTTGGCTGTGCAATTGGAGAACCTGTGGGTTTCTCTTGAATTGCTTGCGAATTCACGGCTTTGGATAGATGTTGCTGGGTAGCGGTCTCGTTTTTCGGAGGAATGGAAGGTTGAGCACGAGACTGATCAGAGGGGACTGGTGTTTGTTTCTTTGGCGGAGCTTTTATCTGCGAAGAAATAATGGCAGGATCCACAGGAGCGCCTTTAACATTTGACTGCGCGGCCGGGGCTCTCTTCGCCGGAGGTGTATAGCGGTTCTCGCGCCCGCTACCAAGAGGCGGAAAGTCTTGTCGGCGGACGCCACTGTATCTATTGAAAAAGTTAATATCAAGTAGCGCAGGACGGCGCAAAAGCATACTTCTCTTCTTCGTTCTCGTCTCCGCCACTCGTGCCATTGAAGTCCATCACTCGCTCTTCGGCCACATGTGCGGTCGTGGGGACACTTCGTTCGATCTCGCGCGCCTTTCTGTCAGCGGCAGCTATTCTTTCGCGATACTGCGGGTGGCTTTTGTTGATAGCAGTCGTGTAGATATTTTCGTCGTAATCGGTCTTGAGGCCGAAAAGACGCTCGTTTGCCGCGAATTGGTCCCAAGCACCGCTCCCCGTGGGCCCTTCTAGACTGGCATCGAGACCGTCGGTAGACTCTGGGACCCAGGGCTGAAGGACTCGTTCTCCAGCGGCGGCTCGGTTCGAAATGGCTGTGTCGGTTCGAAAGCCGGGTCGATTACCTATGTGCCGCTCGTTAGAGAGAAACTTGAAAAAAGTTTAGGGGTTTGAAACACAAACCATTATGTCCGCGGCCCTCACCCTTGCCGCCAGACGAAGCAGCATCCTTTTTTGGTGGCATCGTTGAGCCTTAACCTTTCGTGAACCGAAATCAAAACAGGAGGGAGTAAAGTCCACAAGAATACGGCAATGCAGTATGTTTCTGTGATAAAGAGGCAAAGTCAGCCACAGAAACCCTAGTCTATTGAGAGCAAGCCGGTCAAAGCCAGAGAAGGATAAGTCTTGAATGTTGCGTCATGTGACAGCCAGACAAGTCTGTAGTATTCTCTGCTGCGACGGCAAGGCAGGCATAGTGCGATAAGGCCGAAAGCCGGCGTGGAAAGTGATGCGCAACAACACGAACCTGTTAGTGTGTGCGGGAAGCTCGGGTCGAATGATCGAGGGGTTAGGAGAGAGCTGTGCCGTCAATGAACGGAGAGGTTGAGAGAATACCAGGTTCTGTCGTCCACCAGGCCTGCTCGAATGAATAATTAGTTGATGTTTAAAGGTTGCGCGTAGGATCCAGACTGGGAAGAAGCAGGAAAGGACTCAGGGGTTTGGTCGGGCAGCTAGCTGTTGCAAACAAAAGAGAGAGCCAAGGCGCTGGCGACAAAGGAGTGTGCGGCAGGCGGTAGCTTACCAGGAGGGGCAATGTAGGGATGCCAAACAGGAGGATCTTCGTCACCACCGATTTCGCCCAGCTCGTCGCCGCTAGGATTGCCTCTCAATAGGCGCAGCGGGCATGGAGAGATGGGTTTGCAGGCGAGAAAGGGACTGAAGTCTCGCTGTGGAGATGGTTGATGAGGCTTTGTTTTCCCCTACCCGGTTCGCTCTTGCCCGACTAGTGGGAAAAGGGCCTGGCCGTGTCCACAATCTGGGCCGGGCAGCGGGAGCGAGCTACTTGAGGCTACCTTGTGTGCACCGTGCATATACCGTGTGCAACCCTTTTCTCAACTGTAGGCGCATAACCCTGGCGCCCTGTACTCCCCCAGCGGGCCTCAAGAGCCCTATTGGCGGCAAGCTGGCAACGCTTAAATACAGTGTGACAGCGCATGCCGCGTTGCTGGGCTGCTCTGCTTGCCATGTAGCCATTGGTACCCTTGGCCTTTCTGTGGGCAGAAGCTTCCAAAACCACCCAAAACTGCCGCGCGTGGGACGACACACGAGACCACCCTGATTCTTTGTCCGAGGGGAAGAGCTTCTCAGTGCAGACGTCGAAGAGGTTGCTGATGCCGTCGCGGACAATGACAGACCCCAGTGAAGAGTTGTGTGTAACCGCACACGCAGCTGTAGCGCCTTGTAGACTCCTAAAACAAAAATTGATTCTAGGAGGTAGTCGTGCGCCCATTGTCTCTGCATTGGGCGCCAATGGAGTCTCGTCACTCTCTTGTCACTCTCTGGTACGTCCTTAGCCGTTGGTCAACAAAGTAATCGCAGCGCTTTGAAACCTGAGAACTGCGGTCCAAGAGATGCAGATGCAAGATACCTAATACAAGCATAAATTCAACGACAAATGAGATGTCTTTCTACTACAGTTATTGACAATAAGATGTTGAAGGACTTTCAGTACTTCAACTCAAGACAACGTCTCCTTCGCGTCTAGTCCGTCCTGACTATTGTTACATGATTTTGTGTTTTCGATCCTGTCTATACACGAAGGCCAATCTCCTCAGCGTAAGGAAGCACGAAAAGGTCACCGACTGTGGAAACGGTGGCCTTGCCATCAAGGAGAGCCTTGGCAGCCTATCACAAAATCAGTTAGCAGCTTGCGGGAACGGCGGGCAGGACTTGTTGAACTTACGGTCTTCAGCTTATCAGCGGTGACGGCATTGAAAGACTGGCTAATGCTGACAATGTCAAGAGGCTTCCCGCTGTTGACAATGCCGTTACCGGCCAGCAGGATGCTGGAGTCACGGAGCTGAGCCTTGTCGAGGGCATCGAACTTGGCGTTGGCAATAGCCTTGGTAACGTCCTCCTTGCTGACGGATCCCTGAGCAATGGCATTGAGAGCCTTGACGGCATCCTCAGCGCCCTTGCGAACGGAAGCAGCGGCACCAGTGAGCTGGATAGCCAGGAGACCTGCGTCGGAGTAGGCCAGGCTGGAAGCGGTAGCGGATAGTCCAGGCGTGGTGGCGGCGGCCTTGGAGAGCAGACTGAAACCGGGAGACCACTTGATCGAGGGCTGGTTGCCCAGAAGCGAGGCAAGGACGGCAATTTCAGGCTTGGAGGCGTTGACGTCGGAGCCAGGGAAAGCAATGACCATCGAGTTGCCGGCGGGGTTGGCAGTGCGCTGCTCACCACCAAAGTACTTGGTGGCTTCAGTCTTAAGGGATTGGCCGCTCTGAGAAGAGGCAGGGACGTCCTTGAAGAACTGGCTGACCCAGCGCGACAGAGTCTCGGTATTGGCACCCTCGGCGACAATGGCGATGTTGGGCTTGGTGTAGACAGCATCGGCATAGCTGGCCACGTGCTCCTCGTTCAGGTACTTCTGGGCGGGAACAGCGGAGTAGGGAGCGAGAGCAGCTCCAAGGCCGGTGTGGAAAGCAACGGCGTGGGCGTTGTCAAGGGCAATGGCAGCAACGTTGGAGCGGTTGGCAGCCTGGCGAAGGTGTAGAACGCGCTCAACATCCTCGTGGAATTCGTGGGCTAGCGATTACTATCAGCTTAGTGTTGTAGATGATGCATTGTCTCGTCATCTTACTGGTGTACTTGGTCTGGGTGACAACCTCGGCAAGGAGCTCGGCGAAGTAGGGAAGGTCGTCCTTGAGGAAGCTGGCGCCAATGACAAGCGCTTCGCGTGTATGGCTGGCGGTCAATTGACCACCGAGGAGCTCGGATTCGCGGTTGATACGCAGGGCAGATCGTTTTTGCGTGTTCTAACGGGCCGCGGTTAGGATGAAGAACAAGTCAAGCTTACTGCTTACGGGGGAAACGCACTTTGAAGGCAAACTCCTCGAGACCAACGGTCAGGCCGGGAAGAGGCTGGTAACGGGTACCGGCCTTGGCAACGATGGCGAGCTTGGTAGTAGGGCCGTGAATGTCCCTGGAAGCTACCTTGAGGCCATTGGCATCAGTGGTTTCGAAGGCGCCCGACGAGGCGACTGCGGCGAAGCCTCGCTGTTGAGCTGGGCGAGCGCTGCAGGACCTGCGAACGGCCTGCTGCGCGTTTCTCGCGAGAACCGATCTCGAGATCATCTTCGGGTATCGTGGCGTAGGCAATTGATTAAACCTTGAGCCGTCGTCGAGGAGCAATTGAGCACCAAAAAGAAGTGCCTCGTCGAACTGCTCCCGTCTAATTTTCGGACACGGGGATCCGGCCAATCACGTGATGGCTATTATTCCGCAGAGCCTCCACTTTGGAAGAACTTGGCCTGTTGGGCAAAGTCCTGCGCTCAGGTACTAGTTACCTACTGGTAATAACTGTGGTGGGTAGGTAGTGGTTGACTGGCATTTTTTTTTTCAGCTTTTGGAGTGCCTGTGTTCAGCAGCCACTGCCAATTCGTTTGCCCGTCTTTGTACCTGATACACTCCAATCAGCCGCTTCCGGCCCCATTCAGCCCACTGTCACAAGGTGGCGGGCACGCTGGCAAAAAATTCATGAGACTCATCTTCATCTTTTGACAAGCTTTCCAAACCGCGGGCGCCCACTTGCATTTCTTTGTCGCAGGCTTTTCTTCGACACATCGGTGTCTCATTGCACACAAACTTCAATGACTTCAAGGTAGCCATTGTTTAGCTCTAGAGATAGCGAGAGGATCTCTAGGAGCGATCGCAATGCTTGTTGTTAGTCAACATTGACGCGCGTGTGATGCACCGAAGCTAACCGGCTTTCTAGACAAAGCATGCAGCTGAGCTCTGTGCTCTCCTCGTGAATGATCTGCATGGGGAGCTTCCCTCGGTATGTCTTCTTGTAGCCTTTTAAGATTTCTGCATTCACGGGTTGGGCACTCTGCTAACAGACACTTCTCGCGACAGCGTATTCTTACTGCGCTCCTCACCAAAGGCCGATCTAGCATCGCACAGATTGCACAGTATACGTCGCTGCCTCCAAGATTCCTTCGAAATGGATTGAGCGTCTTGATACAACAAAATCTTCTTTATCATCAAACCGACTCCGACAGTAGAGGTACCTACTACGAAGCGAACCCCGACGCGTGCTATTGCCTTGTTCGATCTGGCAAGATCCTTGAGGCCATTGAAAGCCAGTTTGGTACCGCAGAGCGTGACTTGGTCCAAACGCTTCTTCAACTTGGATTCGCTCGAATTGCGGACTTGACGCAAGCCTTCAAAAGTCGAGCGCCGAAAGCAAATGGCCACACAAATGGGTCAACAGACGCGTCGTCTGGCCTCATTGACTCAGAGTCGCATCTCAATGCGGTGTTAGGGAGACTGATTCAAGCCGAGATAATCGAGACGATGCGAGCCGACAGCTTTCGCAACCCGCGCGATGTCTTTCGCGACATTGAACAAGAGATGACGAGAACGGCTCCTGGGGAAAAGACGAGCAAAATCACAGTTGAGCAGCACGGTCAGATCATGTCAAAGTACCGCACGTTCAAGGAGCAGGGCAAGAGCCTAAAACGTCAACTGGACCTCACAAGAGGCACCTCGGGTAAAAGACGAAAGCTCCAAAATGGCAGTGGCCGTCAGCTGGATGATGATTTGGACGCGCCTCCGCTAAACCCCAACATTGTCGTCAGAATAAATCATGAAAAGTGCCTGGTTGAATTGCGCAATCATCGCCTGGCAACATTTGCAGCAGATATGCTTGGCGAGATTACCGGCACGGTCTACAGAGGGCTTCTAGACCTCTTGTCTGTGGACATGTCAAAATGCCGACCTGACCGACTGCTTGAAGAGGAGACTCCTGGCCATAGGCTGACTGTGACAACTATGGAGATCTTCCAGCACTTGGATGAGTCTGTCAACGTCCAAAGCGGTATTGGCAAAGCTCCAAAGGATAAGATCGATTTGCAGAGTGCTGAGAAGGTCAGAGCCGAAGCGCAAGATTCCGATAGCGATTCTGGCGCTTCCGATAGCGAAATGCCTGTACGGAGACCATCAACTGCTGCCAGGGGCTTGGATGTCGAGATGGACATTGGCTCTGGAACAGAAGAGGACCAAGAAAATGGCGTGCCTCAGACAAATGGCAATGGCAGGGCAAAGGTAAAATTTGAAGATGATGGATCGTCGAGAAACAATCGTATTGAACAAATGCGGCAGCATTTGCTTCTGCTAGCGGAGAGCCCGCACCGGTTCGTGCGGCACTGTGGCGTCCAAGGATGTGGGCAGTGGACTGTCGATTTTTCCAAGGTTGTTAAACGACTGAAGGAAACAGAGCTGGATGCGTTTATTGAGCAGTCGTTTGGTCGACACGGGCTACGTCTGACACGGATTCTGCGCGAAAAGGGCAAACTTGACGAGAAGATGCTTCCGTCGGCGGCACTCATGAAGAAGTCGGACGTGCAGCTCAAGATGGCTGCCATGCAGATGGCGGGTCTCGTTGATGTGCAAGAAGTACCAAAGGACAATAGTCGAATGGCCAACCGGACGCTCTTCTTTTGGTTCTTTGACAGAGAACAAACGGAATTGCAAGTCCTCGATGATATTTACAAGGCCATGGTGAGGTGCTTAGAGACACTGCAGGTGGAACGCCACAAGGAACGCAACATTCTTTCCTTTGTGGAGCGGAAAGATGTACAGGGCAAAGAAGAGGAAGTGATGACGACGGAGCATTACGTGAAGTACAATGAGCATCTAGCGGTGGAACAAAAACTTCTTGGTCAGGTCATGCGACTTGACGAGATGGTTGCCATTTTCCGGGATTACTGAGGGGGATTGGGGCATGATATCCAACTATGTATGTATATAGATGACGAATTCAAGCATCATGAACTAAAGGGTGGCTCTGGTTGTAGAAAGCATGAAGGGTGCGTATGACAGACGATTTAGATGAGATGAGGACAAGTGCATGTTGTATTGCATTGCATGAATATTCGCATGTCCGCCTGAGGCCATTTTTCGGTGCATATCCGAAGTCATTGATGATGAAGCTATGTATGTAGGTAGGTAGGGTACGGACTTGCGGCCCGTCATTTGCCAGGGGCAGGGGTTGCAGCCACCAATAATTAATGCAGTAGGAACAGCCGAACATGTGCTAGAGAAAGTCAAGTCGCATGCATGAGCCCAAGTTGCGAGAGCTATTTACTTGTCCAAAATATGGGCGTATTTTTATTCTCACTCACTATTCAGCATACAGTTGCTATCCTGGCAGATGATCAATTTAATATAGCGCACTCAGTGAGATCTCCCTTTGTTGCAAGCACTAATCGCTCAGCGCCTGGCCCGCATAGGTACCGCTATCGGCACCGGCTTTCCCTCTGTCTCCCGGCCCCCATCTTTTTTTTTCTCCTCGCTCTCCAAAATCAGGAGCCAGCCAGAGCAGAGTACTCGCGACATCCTCCAACCACCACAGCTAGATCTGAATTGCTCGCTCCAAAATGTCTCCCGCAGCTGGCGCAAACGAAAAGGAGTCCAACCTCGCCCGAGTGCTTGGTTCCGGTACGCTTGACACCTTCCCGGCTGTCTTTGCGCATGCCCGCGCAGCATAGCGCCGGCCGAGTCATCCCGTAGTCGCACACGACAGTCCGCTGACCGACCATGACAGGCTCTGCTGGTATCGCCGAGTTGGCCGTCTTCCACCCCGTGCGTCCGCTCCGAATCCAACTGCAGCCCCTTGCGAGTCTCAATTACTAAAACTCAGACCAGGTTGATACAATCGCCAAGCGACTGATGAGCAACCAGACCAAGGTACGCATTGCGCTCCAAACCGCCGACACCGACCGGCGCCTTTTCCTCCACCGCCCTGCTCTCTCGTACCTCGGTGTTCTAACTGCTTTTACAAACCAGATTGCCAATGCCGGCGAACTGAACAAGGTCATCTTCAAGGACAAGGCCGCTGCGCCCATCGGCCGCAAGTTCTTCTCCCTCTTCCCCGGTCTCGGCTACGCTGCCGGCTACAAGGTTCTCCAGCGTGTATACAAGTATGGCGGTCAGCCTGTGGCACGCGACTGGCTCAGCCAGCACTACGGCAAAGATTTTGAGAACACTTTCGGCAAGAAGACTGGCAAGGCTGTCATGCACTCGACGGCTGGCAGGTAAGACCAACACGGACGATCGCCACGCCAAGCCAATCGAATCCCGAAATGCTAATCTGCAATACTTTAGTTTGATTGGTATTGGTGAAATTGTCCTCCTACCCCTCGATGTCCTCAAAATCAAGCGTCAGACCAACCCCGAGGCTTTCCGTGGCCGTGGTGTCCTGAGAATTATCGGCGACGAAGGCTTCGGATTGTACCGTGGCTGGGGATGGACCGCTGCCAGAAACGCCCCTGGTTCCTTTGCTGTATGATTCTTCCCGAAGTCTGCATTGAATGACAGCTGCTAACGCCTATATCTAGCTGTTTGGTGGCTCTGCCTTCGCTAAGGAGTACCTCTTCCACCTGCAAGACTACAACAAGGCCACTTGGTTCCAGAACTTTATCGCATCCATTGCTGGTGCCTCTGCCTCGCTTGTTGTCTCTGCTCCCCTCGATGTTATCAAGACTCGTATCCAGAACCGCAACTTTGAGAACCCCGAGAGCGGTTTCCGTATCCTGTCCAACATGGCCCGCCACGAAGGCTTCTCCAGCTTCTTCAAGGGTCTTGTGCCCAAGGTAGGACTAGGCTGCCCCGTCCTTGATGGCAATTTTAGAACAGGCGCTAATCTACCACGCAGCTCCTCATGACGGGCCCCAAGCTGGTCTTCTCCTTCTGGCTGGCTCAGACCTTGATTCCGGCCTTTGATACCATGTTCCGGAAGTGATATTCTTAATCAAATCTGCGACAGAAAATTTCACGAGACGTTCTATTATTTGGAAGATTATATGAAAGCCGACATCGCAGCACGATGTTTAGTTGGGATAGCTTGGTTTATTATATGGGACATGCGAATGCAGCAGATGTAGACACGCACGGCATATAGAAAGCACAGCTCTGTAGAATACAAAGGGGCGTTTTGACTTGATTAACAAACTACCTTATTTGCTATGATGCAGGTCAGACCCGATTCATTATTTTTAATAGCCAGGGCTTTCATTGGAAGAAAGCCCTGGCAGGCGTGCTGCAGCAGTGCCTAGTGACATGGCGTCCGTTGCCGAGCAACCACCAGCGCCCATGGTCATAAACAAAGCGCGAACCTCTGTTCCCCTCAGCACATCGCTACCAAACGCTACGATTTTAACTTCCATAACGCTCAACAAACCCTTCAATTCATTGCTACGACTTGATCAATTTTCTTGTATCGTGAAGATCTCGCAATCTTCAACTGTTCTTCTGCTTTCGGAACCCTTCGCCACATCCCCTCCAGCGTCATTAACAATCATCTCTTATTGTGGATGCGGGCACCACCGTCCGCATTCTTGCCATCCGCGCTGCATTCCAACCACAACCACCACCCATAATGCCCCATACGGACTCTGAAGCCTCACGGGAGGCGGAGAGGCACGCCAGACATCAACATTCTGCCAGTGTCGACTTTCGGTCGCGGGCCCTAGTTCCCATGTATGTGCTTATTTACTTGATTTGGTCGTGGGGCTTGGATGTGTGTGTGTGTGTGTGTGTGTGTGTGTGTACCGCACTGCCGCATCATAACCTCAAACAGATCATCATCGCCATTGTCTGGCCTGGAGTCTAATACCATAGCAGGTGGGACAGTTCCGACCCAGAGCGCGCGCCTCCGCCTTTGCCACTCAACCCGCAATCCCCCAAACTCACCTCACGCACCGGCACTTCGAGCGCTATCCAGTCCGCCCATGCCGCCCTCAACGAGCGAGCCCGCGAAAGCGCCAACAGCCACAGCTCTTCGAGACGCCCAGACGGGTCGCCGGAGAGATCCCTTGTCAAAGGCGGGACGCATCGGCGAATGCAGTCCCTACAGCCGGCCAGTGTGCGAGATCTTAGCTGGATGATCGAGCAGGGCTCGAGCCGTCCTTGCACACCGACGGAATCAATTACCTCCTCCGCACCGCCTGCTCCCGGCCCCAGTCTTACCCCGATTGTTCGACCTGCCCCTCGACGCCAGGCAACCCAGAGCATCCTGGGCGAAAACACACCACCTCCTTCGTCGACTATGCTTGCACTGCAAACCATGTCGTCACCAGTGTCTCTCAAGGAGGGTGAGCCTCTGTCGAATGTCACAAATGGGTCTAGGTCGCCAGAGAGGTCCAAGAGCTCCATCGATGGCCTGTCATCTCAACTGGCGAGCCTGACAAGTATCGCCAGTGCCCTCCAAAAGGAAATGGCTGCCCTGACCCGACGTAGCAGAGACAACGCCACGGACCTTCTTAGCCTGAAAGAGGCCACTACTACCAGAGATGAAGACATTCGGAAGAGCATCCGGGATCTGGTCGGGCGTGTTGATGACACAACCAGTCGCCTCTCGATTTCCTCGCTCAACAACCTGCTCCTCGACAACAAACCCCACCCCACCTCTCCTCAGAGTCGATCAATTCACCTCCCCAGGATACCGTCCCCCAAGAGCTTCGCCGAATCTATTGATAGAGCATCAGTTAGCACCCCCTCACTGGCTGGAGGCGAAGCGTCAGCCTCCGTCGTTCTTCTCGAAAGAATCCTTCGGGGGCTTGGCACAGCTGATGGCGAAGATTCCCTTGTCGGTTTGCTTGTGCAGCTCTCAAATAAGCTCTCTGGCATGGCGACCTCAGCAAAGGTTGACGACCTAGCCCAATACGTTCGCAGCCAGACGCAGAATGGGCTGGTTCAGTCCGCAGCAAACAACACCCGGCCGATAAGCCCCAGCGGCTTAGAACTCGATATTCCCCGTGGTGCAGTGACGCAGCGCATGGAACACCTTCTCCAGAACGGTGACAGTCGTCGCTCATCTGCCCCTGGTAACAGAGGCGCCGAGCTGCTAAATGACGACCTCCTCCAGATCATTCGCTCTGTCAAAGACAGCGTTGCTCAAGGTGGCGGGCTTACTGCTGAGGTTAAGGCCTTGGTGCGTGAGCTCCGTGGCGAGGTTCTTGGTATGGGTCGAGAAATTGCCAAACGTCTTGAAACCATGGATTCTGTGCCGAGAGGAGAGGAGGAACCTGATCATGACAGGAAGGATGAAGTCTCACGCGTCATTGACCAGGGCCTGCTACAAATGAAAGAGCAGCTCAACAATGTCTTACGCGAGCACCGACGACAGTCTGCGTCGTCATCTTCCTCCCAGAAGACGGTGGTCGACTATCAGGAAATCTACAATGCCATGCGGGCTGCTCTTCGAGATAACGAGGCCACTCGCGGCGATATGCCTGACCTCAGCCGTGAGGATGTTATTGAGGCTGTCCGTGACGCCTGGGAGGCTTACAAGCCAGAGGTAGATGTCGGCAAGTCCGCCCTAGAGCGCGAGGATATCATGGCTTGTCTGAAAGAGGGTCTTCAGGACTACCAGCCTCAGGACGAGCGCCCCCCTGCTGCGACGAGAGACGAAGTATTTACCGCCGTCGTGGAGGGCCTCAAACACTTTGTGCCTCCTCAAATGGACACCCCGGCCTCCATGTCGAGAGATGAAATTATCGAGGCTGTTCGAGATTGTCTTGAAGAGTTTGAGTTCCCGGTGGCTCCCGCTGCCCTCGGTAACGGCAATGATATGACTCATCAAGATGTCGTTCATGCTGTCAAGGAGGGACTGAGCAGGTTCGAGGTCCCGCGGGGCGGAAACCTTTCCGACGAAAGCAATGAAGAGATCATGAGCCGCCTGGAGGATATCATGGAGTATATGAAGCTTGAATTCAGAGCTGTTTCCGAGGAAGCCAAGGACAACGTGGCTGCGAACGGGCGCGACACTGAACAAGTTCTTGATGCAACCAAGGACGGCCTTGAGAATCTGCGGGTTTCCATTGAGAGCTACGTTGATCGCCTGTCTGGTGAATCCGACAAGCAAGAATTATTGGACACCTTCGGCCGAACTATGGAGGAGTTCAAAGAGGACATTAGCAAACTGGTCTCTGAGGCCAACGACAGCTCGCGCAGCCAGCTCCAGAGTGAGCTGGAAAGCCTCCGTGAAATTGTCAACACCTCAATGGTCCCCGCTACACCGCAAGGATCCAATAAGGATCTGATGGAGGCCCTTCAAAATGGCATCAATGGTCTTCGCCAGGAAATTCATCGGCCACGCGCTGAGACTAGCGAAATTCTAGATGCCATCAATGATGGCCTGAATGACCTGCGTGCGGGTATTGATCGAGTTACGCACAAACCCGCGGATCTCACGGCAAACGACGAGATCTTGGATGCCCTGAAGGCTGGCCTGGACTCTGTTCGATCTGACATTGAGACGCTCCGTGACAACAACGAACGCGCAGTTGCCGCTGTCCCGCGCGAAGAAGAAGACACCACGAAAGCTATCATCCCCATGGACACGGTCAAACAAGACGACATCAAGAACCTTGAAGTTCTAATCACACAGTTGCGAATCAAGGTTGAGGCCATGGAGCCTGACGCAGAGACTGTCCATAAGGATGACATTGCTCGCTTGGAGGACATGCTTCGGAATGTGCAAGAGGGCGTAGACAATATCCACGCGCAAGAGGCTGCCGCTTCTGCCAAATCTGTCGCAGAAGAAGAGGAGTCGACCCCAGCCAATACTGACGCCGCTACCAAGGAAGACGTAGTCGCTATTGAGACTATCCTTCGCAATACCAAGGATCGTCTTGATGACCTGATTGAGGGGGAGCAAGCTGTTCGCAAGGAGCACATTGACGCCATCTCCACCTTGTTGACCGAAAACAAAGATTCCATCGCCGCCTTCTCCGGCAACTTGGAAGGCATCACTCGCAAGGAGGATGTGTCCAACTTGGAGGAACTCATTGCGCAAGTCATCATCGGAATCGACGACCTCAAGGAAGCAGCTCCCAAGGACGTTGAGGATGACGAACGTGTCAAAAAATCCGACGTTGAAGCCATCGAAGCTCGCGTGCTCGAAATTAAGTCGGCTCTTGATGGCCTGTCGGATATGGACTTCGCCGCCATTTCCAACAAAGAGGACGTATCCGGTCTCGAGGCTCTCATTAAGGAAGCCAAAGAGAAGCTCGACGAGTATGCAGACACCTCCACGAAAGCTTTGGAGGATCGCCAAACCGAGATTGCCGGAGTTAGTGAGCGTGTGGCTGAGGTCAAGACATTCCTGGAGGAATTCCAAGAAGCCATCCAGACCAAGCTCGATGACGGCGCTACTGGCGTTGAGGCTCTTGGAAAGGTTCTCGAGACAATTGGCGAGAAGATTGACAAGAATGAAAACGTCGGTGACCACCTCAAGGAAATGTTCGAAACAATGAAGTCGGAATTCGAAGTCTCGAAGGAAGTGGTCGCTGGTGCCAGGCTTGAATCTGATGAGAAGCTCCAGGAGGCCACCGATAACATTGCCTCCAAGATTGACGAAAAGATTGGTGAGCTCATCGCCAAGTACGACGAATACCAGGCTCAGCTGGATGAGAAGGCGAAGGTTGGGGAGGAACGCAATGTTGAGATTGGGGCAGCTGTCGTTTCAACCAAGACAGTCTCGGAAGAACTGAAGCTGCTGGTTGATACGCTGGGCTCCGCCGTTACAGAATCTTTGGAAAAGATGGAAGAAGCGTCCAAGACCGTCTTTGAGAAGGTCGAGGAGCTGGCCTCCAAGTCTGGAGAAGCGGAAACTGGCGGTAAACAGGAGCATCAGCAGACTCGTGACCAAGTCCAGGCTGCCGTCTCTGCTGTGGAAGGCCTGCAAGGAGAGCTGAAGGAATACCAGCCACAGATTCTCGAGGCCGTGAAGGACATTCTTCTCCTGGTTGGTGAACACTACGAGCACTCCAAGTCGTCGGCCAGTGACATTCAAGAGAAGATTGTGGACGTCAAGCCTTTCGACCAGGCTATGCTTCCACCTCCGCCTGAGAAGTACGACGATTCCGAGGTCAAGGAGAAGCTTAATCTACTTGCCGACCAGAAGTATGACGACACAGAGATACGCGAGAAGCTTGACCGTCTAGCCGAGCAAAAGTTTGATGATAGTGCTCTCCATGAGAAGCTGGATCAGCTGACGGATCATCATGCATCCACAGTTGCTGCCTTTGCTCAGTTTGAGACCCTGGACAAGGTGCACAAGACAGTCACCGACAATGCAGCCCAGCTGTCTGAGTACATCTCTGTGCAGACAAAACGCATTGCAGACGATCACGAAGACCGCGAGAAGACGCTGCAGGATACTTGTTTGGCAGTTGAACGTAAGCTTGCCGAGCAAGAGCATCTGACTGCATCCGTGGCTAGCCTACAAGAAGAGGAGGATAGAATGAGACAGAGTGTTCTCAGCTTGCGCACCGAGCAGGAGAGTCTGATCCGCCAGCGCACGCGCTTGACTGGAGACGTCTCTTCTCTGGAAACAGCTCTGCGCCTTCGAAAAGAGGAGCTTGCGGAAATGGAGGCCAGAGCAGAGCGTCTGGAGCGTCGCATCGTCGAAGGAGTCATGGACCACTCTCGCGTGCTTCTTATGAACAAGAGCGCTTCAAGTGCCCGCGACAGCATGAACAGAAAGAGAGTCAAGAAGCCGGCAGCTGCTGATGGCGAGGCTAAGTCGTCACCGAGACCAGCTGCTGTCAACATGGCGCTTTCCACTCGCCGCAGTCTTGCCCCGACCACACAGAACGGAGCCGGGCGACGTATTGCATCGCTCAGCCAGATGACACCCAGCAATTCTTCTGCCTCTGTTAGGAGAAGCCAGAGTGTGCGTACTCCTGGTGGAGCCTCTGCGCACAGGAAGAGAAGCTGGGGTGGCGGTCTGGGCAAGGAGTTCGGCATCGAGGATAAGGAGAATGTGTGCGTCGACGAGATTCTGGAAGAGGCGTCCGAGGTTGACAGTCGATCTGTGTCTCGGGAACTGGCCTTGCAGGGACGCAACAGCTTTGCAGGTACGGAGCTCTCATCATTGGTGGACTCTGCAAGAGAAGAGGATGAGGATGAAGCCAGGGAGGAGGCGGAGGATGAGGCAAGAGATGAAGATGAAGAGGAAGAGGCAGAGGCAGAGGAAGAGGAAGGGGAAGAGGAAGATGAGGCGGATGACGGACGCAGCGATGCAGACACGATGAGAAGAACTAGCGGCGGCACGACAATCGTGTCAAGCAGCGACGTGTATACCGAATCCGACATGTACAGCGACTACTCTGACACGGCGAGCGAATGGACTTCCCTTGTCGCTGGTGGGAGGAGTTCGATTGGAGCCGCCGAGGGCAACGAGCTGACTCTTCACAACGATGGCAACTGACGGAAAGATTGAAGGAATAAGAGGACAAACAAATTGTGATTTTTCTCAGCGATGTGCGTTTTTGGCTAGGAATGTCTTTGGGCGTTTTCTTTTCGATTCTCCATGGTTGCGGCCTTTGTGCCGCAGCAAAGGGTGTTTATTTCTTATGAAGTGTATAATGTATCTACACGTGTAAATGCACACATGTCTATGAGTACTACTTTTTTTACATGAATAAATTCTTGAACTAAACATGATGCAGAACAAATCATCATGTGTTGTGCTACTCACGTGTGTGGAGGTGTAAGCTGGTAGTTCAAAATACCTGGCGTCCTTCAACAAACAACAGCCCCGCCACAGTATCTTGGCCCTTTTCCATCATCAACGTTCAATTCCGCATCAGCCACCCAGCAGCCATGGCGGAGGAAACTTACCTGTCAACGCCCGAACTTTCGCCTCTTGAGCAAGAGGTGCTCGATGAATATGAACGACTGGCAAGCAACATGAAGCAGGTAAGCCCCCCCGAGCCTCCCTCCCCGATAGGTAAAACAGGACTCTGCTAACGCCCCGCGCTGGCAGCTCGCCGTGCTCCTCGACAGGCTCGCGTCGAACCCGACCACGGACATACTCGACGGCCTGCGCGACCTCGAGCGCAAGACGAGCATGGCGTTCACGCTGCTCAAGGCGAGCGTCTACAGCATCGTGCTGCAGCAGGAGATTGACTGGGGCGAGGGGGCTGGTGCCGGTGCTGGGCAGCAGGGACGCGGTGGAGGGGGGGCCGCGGCGTCGACCTCGAGCGCCGTGGGCAGCGACTATGAGCAATAAGGACGGGAGGGGGGGCAAGGCGAGATCTCTTGCCTTTTCTTTTCTAGTCCTTGCTCTGGTTTTTTCCTTTTTTTCTTTAGTTTTTTATCAGGTTTCCTGTTGATACCCGGCGCCCTAGTCACTGTTGGAGTTCATTTTACTGTATAAACAGACTATGCAAGCTACATCGAATCTTCCAAAACGGACACTTTTGTTGCGTAGATGTGTTGATTTGGGATGTAAAGGATTCTTCTTCTTTTTATGCAATTGTACAGGTTTGGAATACATGACACCAGATTGTTCAGCCCCTCGACAATGACGAGCCGAGCCTTTCCATGGTGACTTGAAACGAAAACAAAACAGCAGGTTTGGCTATATATGAGACAAGGACGAAAGCGTCCTGGGGAGGGAGAACCGCGCCGTCTCTTCTTTTCTCGTGCCTTCTTCTTCTTTTAGTGTACAGAGCCGCCGTAGTAGACCTTGCGCGCGTCGGCCAGCTTCTTGCCGCGACCCCGAGCAATCTCCTCCGGGTCGGGCTGGTTCATGAGCGCCTTGTAGGTGGCGAAGACGGAGTTCATCGGGTTCTTGGCGCGCGGCATGCGCGCGGCGATGTCATGCAGGCCGACCGCGCGGCACATCTCAAAGAGGCGATGAGGGACGCGAAGACCAAAGCCTGTTTTCAGTGTTAGCGTTCCCCTTCTTCTTCTTTTTTTCCTGTCAAGAGGTAAAGAAAACGTACCTGGTGGCCTGTTAAACAGCTCGACAACGGTGGCGCCCACCTTGGCCGTGGAGTTGCCGTAGATGGTCCTGTTCTCGTAGCGGCGGATGGCCTTCATGTTGCGGATGGCCAGCATCTGCGCCGTCACCACCGAGGTATTCTGGTCCGTCGACTTGGCCATGCCGATGCCCAGGCGGCCCGCGCCGTTGCCCGCGATGGCCACGACGCTCGTGCTGCGGATCTTGCCCATGCGCGTCTGGTTGCTCACCCACCGCAGCACCAGCACCTTGCAGTACAGCGCCTTGATCTCCGCCAGCGCCAGCCCCGTCACCCGCTTGATCTCCTGGTACTCTCCCAGATCGTCCTGCCCGCCGTCCTCCGGGTCCGCCGCCCGGTTGTACCGCCCCGCCACGCCTGGGATGCGGCCCAGCTCGGGAGCCTCCGCCGACTCCGCAGGCCCGCGCACCGAAGCCTCTGCGGGCCCGCCCTCGAGCATCTCCAGGCTTGTAGGGGAGACTTCGACGGCGGCGGCGCGGTCGTCGGCGGACGCGAGGGCTTCCAGCTCCTTCTTCCACTCGGCCTCGACCGCCTCGTCGAGCTTCTGCACCTGCGCCTCGGTCAGCTCCGCGCCCGTACCCGCGGCGGCACCCTCCTCGCCCTCCTTGACGAGGTACTTTTGCAGCATCTCCGGGTTCTTCTCCAGCTCCGCGAGCTCCTCCTCGGTCATGTCGATGACATCGGTGCCGCCTTGGGCGTCCTTGACGCGGCGCAGCGCGCGCGCCATGGCCCGCGTCAGCTGCGCGTCCGTCTTGCGGTCGACCAGCTCTGACAGCCGCGCCGAGAACTGGTCCATCCAGTCCTGCTCGCCGAGCCACTTGTGCTCGCGCGGCGGCCTCGCCTCCCCCTCCTGGGAGGGCATGATGTCGAAGCGCGGATCCAGCGTCGCGTAGTCCTCGACGTAGGTCGGCCGGTAGGGGTCGTCGCGTATGCGGCCCTGGACGAGCACGTCCTCGGCGTCGACGGCCGCCTCGCCGGCCCGGATGGCCTCGACCTGCTCGGGAGTGTACTGGCCGCGCAGCCGCTCCAGCTGCTCCTCGGTGTACTCGGGCAGGTGCTCCTGCTTGAACCGGGCCATGTCGGCGGTGACGGAGACGGTGCCCTTGCGGACCAGGCCCAGCTCCTCGGCCTTGACGTTTCGGAACCGCGGCTGTCGCTTGGTGCGGGCGACGGAGCTGTGGAATTGTCGGCAGGGGGTGGCGGCGGCGACCGGTGCTGCATTAGAAGGGGCGGCGGCGACGCACCGGCTCAGGGCGCTGCGCGCCGGCCGTACAACGCTCATGGCCGGGTATATGTGTCTGGGGATGGCAGCTTGGAAAGGTCAATTGGCTGCACAGACGGGTCACGAGTTGGTTGCTGATCAATTGAGCTTGTTTGACTTGGTGCTTGTCGCGATTCTGTTGGCAGGAAGCTTAGGAGATTTTTCTGGCCCTGAACAAGGTGTGGCTGAGATTGCATCAGCCACAGGCAATTGCAAGCCACAGTTCACTGCAAGGCATGAGGAAATGCAAGCCACGGTTGACCACGAGTGTGGCTGGTAGGCACTATTGGGGTATGCTTCTAGCGTGCTTCCAGAAAACTGCCTAAACAGGACATGCATGGGAACAAGCGTTCCGCAGGAACTTACAAGGATTCCGTCCAACCAGGTATCTCAAAAACCTAGGTACTTTCAATAGCAGATGAATTAGCCTAGCTGGGAGGTACTGGCGCAGGCATAGGTATCAATATGTGTTTTTCACGGCCTCCTGTCCATTGCCCCCGTGGATCTCGTGACCTACTTGCTCCTCCTCCACAGTCAAAGGCAGACAGCACAACACATTCGATATCCTGTGGATTTCGTGACCTGCGCTTCGCAACGACTTGCGACCAGGTTAACCCAACCTTTCCCCTCGTGTCGTGGCAATGGCTCGGGTATATGATATTGACTAATCTATCCATTATTATTTTTTGAACCAGCACATCCGTCACCAGACAGCAATGCGATGCTTTTGTCATGTCTCGATTTAAAGCTCCAGCGCAGCCCGTTGAGATGCAGGGCGTCTGGAGTTACACGGTGACAGCTGCTGGCCAAGACAATTCTAAAATCATACAATTCAGAGAAGAGCTTCACCTCTTGACTCGTCCAAGATGGACCTTGTAAAGCAAGCGGCGTCCGGGTTCGTGGCCGATATCCTGTACCTTGGGACAATCGGGGAACAAGGCCCGTTGCACATTTACGAGATGAACAGGCTTCCGGGTCAAGCGTACATCATCGCGACAGACCATTCTATCCCACCGCCGGATGCCAAAAACACGTCACGGGTGCCGCTTTTTACCAATGTTCAGGAAGGCGCAGTAGCTGCGGGAGAGCATCTCTTCTCCAAATTGTTTCGGCCGCAGGGCTGTCGCACAACTGTGCCAAAATGACCAAGCAAATACATCATAGACCGAAAAGACGCCAAGAGGAGAGTAAGATGGTGTAGAACCGAGGGCCGCTAATGCAGGTTTGCTGGCCGTTGCTGCCTAATTCTTGGCCAGTTCGGTCGGTCGGTAGAGATCGGGCTCGTGACCGTGGTGGCAGCCAGGCCAGGATGCGGGCGGCTGGAGCCCACGTTGGAGAGCCAGCGGGCGCGCGTCATCTTACATACGAATTTGAAGCTAAAAGGGTTGCCTTACGCTATTAGTTTAAGGTGATTTAATCTCATCCTGCAGGTTGGTTCGTCGGCGCAACGGCGAGGCCCAGGAAGGGTGCCCTTGGCTTGGGTAGTACAAGATGGTCCGCCCTGGGGTAGCAGCGGGCTTGTGAGGGACACGAGGGAGGAGGGCAACATCATGTGATGGAGGGCGCATGCTAGTGTTGGTTTTTACATGGAAAAACAAGAGGGGTTGAATGAGGAGGGGAAATGGAATGGAAGAGCAAGTTCTGGCCATGTACATGGGTTGTGCGGGGGTTTGATGCCCTCCCACTTACACGTCAACTCAACAGCCGGCCAACATGGAGGAGGTTTGGGGAAGGGAGCATCGTGCAAGGCCGTCATCGTGAATGCAAAAGACTGCAAGTGATGAGTAACATGCCGTATCAAATACCACAGGGAAGAATTTTCACTCTGCATCTTCCAAGAAGAGGGAACTTTTGCCATTAACGCCGGCAGTTGGCAGGTCTCAGTTTCTGCCGTCGTCCAGTTCCCCTCGGTCCAATAACAGTCGTTACCATCCAGCTGGGTTGGGTAGCAATATCAAACATGCTTTGCTCTTTGCTTTACCCGGGGAAGACATTGCGCCAAGGTGACTTCCTCTGCCCCGTCATGCAGATTGATAGAAATACGCGTATGCATATGCAAATATGCAAATGCAGGCAGCCGCGCTGCTTCCGAATGCTGCTTCCGAATGCTGCTATTCGTCCGGCAGGTTTTGCAAAGTAGAAAAAAGGAGGCAAGGAAGGAAAGAAATTGGCGCGCGGCCCGCATCATGACGGATGGGTAATGAGGCTTTGAGACAGGCTTGCAGGAAGGATCTGGACTGTGTCATGTGCGGATGTTTGTTGCTGCGTCGTGTGTGTGTGTGATCTTTTCATGTTGACTACTGCACGAGATGTGCTCTTACATGGTGGGGAAGCAACTTAGGAACAACTCTCCGAATGCGTTGTTCTCCGAAGGCGTTGTTCTCCGAAGGCTTTGTTCTCCGAAGGCTTTGTTTAGGACAAGAGGGGAAAGCAGGTGCACCGACGCATCACTTTTCCCCTCACTGCCTGCCTTTCGAATCTCATCTTCCGTGAGAAGGCTCGGAAGGAAATCCCGTAGGCCTCGCATCCTGCCGCTGTCTCAAACCTGCAGCAGCAATATCCCATGAAAGTAAGCCACCCACTCGATGCGACGACTGCAGCGCGATCTGGCCCGTCCCGGTGCGAATCAATCACATCGCACAGCCTTCGTCACAGCCCAACGGCGGAAACTTTTCTCAAACATCAAAAGGCATCAAAACTCGACCCAACGACAAAAGTCAATTGGGTCAGAGAGAGAGCAGAAGGAGGGGGGCGGGGGAGGGGCAGCGAATCGCTCATTGTGACCTTGGACGTTTGCTGCAGCAACAACAGGAGATCAAACATGACACCTTCACACATTTGTGCACAGTTCTGCTTGCCGGTGGCAGCCTGAACTATGTACTAACTGCATATGAGACAGGGGTGCCAACCTGCTGTGCCTTTGCGCCCACGCGCAGCATATGCTGGAGAAGGGGGAGGGGGGGGCGTGTGCACAGTAGGCCAAACTTCGTAAACAACGCGAAAGCGGAAGATCCTTGTCACGAGCATATGATTGAAACCTTTTTGTACGATTTCTCTCCGCTCCAATATCAGCCGCCTCCCCTTCCGTCGTATCGTAGCACAGTGGATTCGCCGCAGCCAGGCAGCAGCATCCAGACGGTTGCCTTTTTCTCGAAGTCGTCGTCTATAGTGGACACTCGGTAAGGCAAGATCGGAAACTAGAGATATCGTATGTCGGCACTTGGAATCGGGTTATCTGTACGTATTGCGGTGTGCGTGAGACACAGGAAGCGCTAGTACTGCAGATCCAATGACGTTGCAGTCAATTTCTCTCGACCATCTAATAATGCTAACCGTCTTATGTAACTACCGTCTATAGACGCCTACAGAACCTCTCAAATGCCCAGCAAGCCTAGCAGTTTCACATACCTAGCGCGCGCACAATCATGCTGTATGGTAAACTGCCCTCCTTGCTTCTGGCAATCGTCCCCGTAAATCAGTAAACCAACTAGGCGAACAATAATCCTCGGTCGCTAACTATCCAATTTAGAAGCCATGTATTCCCCAAATCCTGTTTACGAGCTACGTCTTTCAACCTTGCCCCAGTTTGATTCGTCAAGGCCATTGGCAGCCGTCCAGTAAACCGGCATCGCACCCAAACAATCAGGCTTCAACAGGCAGTCCAATGTCTCTGTCATGTGCCGAGTCGACAGTGAACCGACATGTTTTTTCGTTCCACTTGAGCCAATTCCCTAATTCGCAGATTCGACGCCCAAGCCAGAGTACACGTTGCCGTCTCTCGTCCCCAAGCGACGGCGGCTCGAACATCTTCTCTTCATCTTCGATTTGCTCGCTTGAGAACCAATCCTTAGGGAAGTAGTCCCTTGATAGCGCAAACCCTCGCATACCGTAGTCTTCTGGTAGTGGGCGTAACGGCTCGTTGGCTGGTGGTCGCGGGAAGTTTTTGTCCGCCATTCTCGGTGCCGACATCAGTGCAGGATAGGCTTCGTTGAGCAGATCAGCCACTCGGGTCCATGGGAACTCGTCCTCAATAAGCGACATGGCTTTCGGGTGTTGAGCCACGTAATACAAAAAGACTAATACCGTGTGAGAGAATGGGAGACAGTTAGGGTCCGATTTGCGTCGCAACACAATATTGCAAGTCTGCATGACGAATGTTCGTGTCGTTTCAAACTTGTCCTTGGCCATATCCCCATCGATGTCCTTTTTGTCACCTAGCGAACCGTTTGCATCACCTGCGACAGGTTGAGGTAGTGATTGCTGAAGGGGATTGGAAGGCGCGCCGTAGCCGACAAGAGAACAGATGAGAGAAATGGCAAAGCAGTGTCTATTGAGCATTAAATTAGTCAAATTCAGTAACAAAGGCAAATTGCCACTCACCCTGATTGGAGCCAGCCCTTGCTCCGCAGAGCGATGCTCCTATCCAACGTACCAAGAAACCTTGCTACTGTCTCCTGGAGTTCGTCGCGCTGGAGTCCAGAAAGGAGGATAGCATTGACTCTCACAAACAGCTCATCGTATGGATCAGTCGGCCGATATGAGGGATCTGGATGAATTGGCTTTCTCAGGATTGGGATGAAAACCGACATGATGCTATCCCAAGCACCTGGAAAAGGCACCGGAACGCATAGTGACTTGCTGTAGTAGTAAAGTTCCCACAGGGGATCGGGCTTTGCAAGTATACCCAGGTGATGATACATCCGGCCAACCTCTGGCAATCGCTCTGAGCCCGTTGAGTACCAGGACCGAGATGCCGACGTCCAAATTTCGCGTTCGAAAGCGTTTTCTTCAATAGCCATGCGGTATCTGGCCACATCCCCAAGACATTCGAGCCAGGAATCAGCAAATTCAGGGATAGTTTCGTGCTGCAGAGTCATGATTCCGTATGCAATGGCGAGGAACGTGAGCATATGTTCGCGAGAGCCGGGTAATCTCTTGCGGAGGAGCTCGAGAAATGATTGAATGCCGTAGCGCCACATCCGCCCAGGCATATTGTACTTCTTAGGAAGGTTGCGCACGGAAGGAGTCGCAGACGGAGATGAGCTGGCGAGAAAGAAATCGTGATGCTCATTTAGCAGCGTGCGATGTAGCCCAATCAAATTCTGGAGCTGCTTCGAATCGAGCTCTTGATCATCTGGGATCCGGGTTTTCGGATCAACGGTAAGTTGAATGCATTTGAATTCAACCATTATCAGGCCTTCATAGATGCCTGTGACCTCACTGACAAGCTTCTCATACGAGATGGGTTTGGTGTCAGGCTGGCGATGAAGCTTCCAACCGGGGATTGTGGTCATGTCGGGAGGGTGTACTACGGGGACCGGGAAGAGCCCCACTGATGCACTATTGCGGTTGCCAATCTTGGATCGCCTTGATGTTGAATGCTTAGGGCGGGCACTGTGGCTCTTTGACTCGCTGCGGGCCTTGGACTCGTTGCGGCTCTTTGAATCGTCGGGGGGATTCCAAAGCTGTCGACCGACCGGGTTCTTGGCGTCACCGCGATCGAAATCACTGGCTACACCGCTGTGGCGATGAGAGTGGCCAGGCGTGGTGGGGGGTGATGCGGCTGGGGCCTCGGATGAAGGTGGCGAACGTGCCTTCTTGGGCTTAGGAGGAGAGGTAGAAGGGCCGGGCTGCGCAGATTTCGTTTGCTGGTTGACTGCTTCACTGGCGATAGCATCCTCCTCCTCTGGGCTTGGCCGCTTCTTCGGACTCATGGCTGGGATCGTGGCGATAGCATCCGCCTCCTCTGCCTCCTCTGAGCTTGGCCACTTCTTCGAACTCATGGCTGGGATTGGAACCGCGGACTTTGGCGAAGTGCTGCCTGACCTATTTTTGTCAGGACTGGGTTGTAAAAGGGAAAGAGAGAGAGAGAGAGAGTGTGTGTGTGTGTGAGAGAGAGAGAGAGAGAGAGAGAGAGGGAGAGAGGACCGACTTTTGATTGGGGTGTATGGACGGCCATTTTCTTAAATGCCTCGACGACATCGGTGTCTCCAGTGAGTGTAAGGTGCCTGGGCCCATCGGCGCGAACGTGGACCCGAAAGGCGTCAATGTCGGGCAAAACGTCCTTTGAACACAAGGGACAACGGAGGTTAGGCTCTGAGGGCTCGTGTCGAGCGCTGTTTCGAAGGTGAGTGAGGCGACGTGTTTGAAAGTCAGCCATGACCTGGCTTCACGGTGTGTGCCGCACAAAGGCTGGACAGGCTGAGAAACTGGAGACGAAGACGAGCGACTCAGCTCAGCCGGGACGAGTGGCACGCCAACGTATCCGCGACTTGAGGAGGGAAGAAAACAACGGCGCGGTGCAACGCGCGTGAGAGTGCAGGTGGCTTTGTCGAGATATCGATAGGTGAGACCGAATGGCAGCTAAGGGCAGGTAGAGGTGAATAAACTTGCGGCCTAACGGGCGACTTGGAGCGTAACACTAAGGCGAGTCAGCAGACGATATACTCACAGAACAATGCAACCACGTATGGCAGTGTGTGAGCAACGACAAGGGAAAAGGGCAGAGAAGTCAAGGCGAGATGAAGTAAAATTCAAAGGTGCAAGAATGCACTGATATGTGCATTTGTCACTTTTGCACGAGTTTTGAGTGAACACCCCTTCCCCCCCGCGAATGTGGGCGATGAGTGAGTGAACCGTGTGAGCTTGTTGAGACAGGCATCCTTGAATTTGTTGGTAGGACGACGAGACAGGCATGGCTGTCTTTGTGTGGGATATTCGTAACGACCAAGTAGCATCGCACAAGCTGCGCAGACGGGGCATTCTAAGCTAGGTAGCAGGTACCCAACTAGACATTGAAGGGATATGGTGTACCAGAGTGAGGCACCAGGTAGGCAGGCTGTAGGTGGACACGGCAATGATGCGCTCACGATTGGGAGTCGCACACAACACGGGGGGCGTAGTACAGGCGAGAGCAGAGTAAGAGGCGGGCGGGGAAGGAAAGGTTGGAAGCAAAAAGGGCAATGAATGGTGAAGCTTGGAAGGGAGCGGTAAAGGCAGATTAAGAGGGCAAGGGCAGAGGATCGGATATAAAATCAAGGACTCAGGTGGGTGTGTAGGGATACGCACGTGGGATTGAACCGGGCTTGATGAAGCAGGCCACTGTTGCAGACTGACAGATTGCGTGGGACAGATGGCAACAAAGATGGGCTTGATATCTCGTAGCCACCAAGGAAGAAGAGCCAGTAGGAGACGAGGACCTTGAGGCTGCTCAAGAAGCCGAAGTAGGAGGGAAGGAGGGGCAACGGCGGCGGGTAGATGTACCTTGAGACGAAGCGGTTAATGGTGTTGTTCCAGCGTTGAATGGGCTAGTAGTTGATGGGCGGCGCGACAGGTGAAGGCGTGGTACAAGGGGAGACGAGCGCCCTGCATAGTGCGGTGGGAAATGAAGCTGGTGATGAGGGTTTGTGGTGTTTGCGCGAGTGGGAGTGTTTGCAAGCCAGAGGCCCTTTCTTGATCGAGGCTCTTGCCTTTGCCGGAGAGAGAAGGTGTGGCGTGTTGTGTGGCGAATGAGATAGTGGCTGGCGCGACGAGAGAGGCTGAAACAGCCAATTGAAAGATACCAAAGACGAGCAAAACTGGGGTGCATGGGAGTTTGTTGCAAGGGATAACGGGCTGGGATAGGCGGGCTTAGTGGTAGCATCCGCTGTAGCGGCGGCCCGGGAGGGTCTGTAGAGGCTGCTGTGTTGGCCGTTGCGTCATTGGTCCAGCCGGCACCAAGAAACAATTGAAGGTGAATGGAAGAGGAGGAGGCAGAGGCAGTGGGTGTAGGTAGGCCAGGTAAGAGCAGAAAGAGGCAAGGTAGAGGATATGTGATGGATGGGCACGCACAGCAGCGGGCGGACCAACAACAACCCGTCACTCGATGATTGACATCTGCCAGAGGTACAGTAGGTAGTGGATCGGGATTGTGTGAAAAGGGAATGCCGAACTTACTCTTTTCGGGAACCACGCTGGTCCTTCTATCACAGGTGGCAGTTCTGGGGAGATCAAGATACGGTAGGTAGTCAGACAGCAGGCAGCAAGGCGAGGCTATTAGAGTACCTAGACAGATGTGGGAAGCCTTGTTAGCCAGGATCACGGTCAGTAAGTGATAGGCGAACCAGGCGAACCATGACATGAAGGCAGGCAGGCAGGCAGGCAGGCAGCTATCGTGACTCGGCCCGCCTGGTGTTTGCTTACCAGTACTGAAGATAAATGACTATGGCAAATAATCTTCCCAGCCGTTTTCGGTTTCCAACAGTCCGTCTGTCTGTCCGTCTGTCTGTCTGTCTGCACGGTTAGCCAGGAACCGGGGTCGCATCATGCAGCCTCTGCAGCCTCCCTCCCCTCCTGGGCCTTCCCGCCCTGCCAGGGCTGGCCTGAAGGAGGGTGAGGTAGGTGGGTGTTTCGGGTGCTTCAGCCCCCACTGGTGCTGGTTCGCAAGTTGGCCGCAAAGGCGAGCCGTTCCAGACACCTTTTCTCCCAAACGGACACTGTCGTCTGCCCGGAACTCGCCGGATGCTTCAAAATCTGCCGAAATCAAGCGGGGGGAGAAATGCATTTAACCAGATGCGAAGTAAGAAATTGATTTTTCCGACTCACAAAAAAGCTGTGTTTGTTGTAAGCCGCGAGTGCACCTGCAGCAAGTTGATGGATGGCAGGCGCTTGATGCTCGTATCCACCACAGGCGGCAATATAAAAATAAGAAAGTCTTCCCAAGATCAAGAATCTTGCGCAAGACAACTTTTCAGAAATCCGACGAGGAAAATTCGTACAAGAACAAGAAAAAAATAAAGAGAAAACAGATCGAGTCAACGAGCAGTCAACATGATTGGGTTGCTTTGCTCTCAACTCCCATCACCATTCGGAGGGATTAGCTCTTTTATAGAATTCGTACCTTCTCCCCATTTTCGCCATAGACGCCCAGTTGCCTTCCTTTGGCCGCCTTCCCATCGCCAAAAACTACCATGGGGTTTTCAATCAAGACATCTTGCTATTCTATTTAGACACACACCCACCCCCCCTCCTCCCCCGCCCCTCCTTGGGGCAATCCCACACCCTCGTTCGTACCAACCACTCACGGATGTATTTAGCGTTTGAGCAATGATTTTCTGAGTCCGTTAAATTGTCTCCTTAATAAAATAATTCCAAAGGCAAGTAAGACCCTGTGGTTCGCACCCGCCTTTGTCTTTGGCGGATATACTTGTCAGTGGAAGGATCCTCGTCTTTCGTGAATATCCTTGTCAGTGGCAAGACACATAGATTTTGTCTCCTCGTTGTCATGACTACCCTGTATTGTCTGTCTCTGCCTACGTCTTTTTTTTTCAGCGATTTTTTGTTCAAAGGCAAAATGAGAGGTGGCAATTTGTGCAACATACAAAAAAAGGTATATGTGACGGTAGACTGCTAGGTCGCGATATGCACGCAACTTGACATGAAGGGCTCTGCCGAAGTGTGCCCCGTGATAGATCAAGCTGCTGCTACTAAGTTGCAAGGCAAAGAGGACCCGTGTCAATTTTGCCAGGTCCGTGAGTACAATGTGTCCAGAAATGATAGGAAATGGTGTCTTCGCGAGAGGAGCTGAGCTTATTAGCCACCCGCACGGAGCCGACCGCCTGTTTTTGCCACCGCGTAGCAGGTTGTCAGCCTGCATCAACAAATCGCCTGCTTAAGCAAGCGTGTAGACGGATTCGCCTCCTTTGATCAACTTCAATTTCGAATATCTCGCTAGAGCAGCATCACGGCGTCAGGATCTCGGCTGGACACTGTAGAACTGGGGCAGGCGCACAAGGCTGGCAAGAGGGCCACGCCCTACAATATCTGGCGGTCGTGTGAAAATCAAACGAAAAAAATAGCCGAGTTGGTAAATTTCTACATGAAGAGTAAGGCAAAGTGTCAAGCTATAATTGGTCCTCGATGCTGCCTTTTCCAAGCATTTCTAGGCCATTGACATTGTACGACTTGTGTGCCACAATGAGCCGACGGCTACACAACCGCCCCATTGCGCAGAAAGTACGCCTCATTGTACACGCGATATGCCATCCATGCTTCTTAATCAATGCTATTTGACACATCAACGGCAGCCTATACGATTATGTACTCGTTGAGCTCTACGTTCGACGGTAGATCATGTCTCCTGAGACATGTGCCAGAAGTACAGGTTTGCCTTCCTCAACAACATTCCTCTCCTCGGGAACAACCTGAGGCTATGTAAAGGTGAATCCGTGTATTATCGTGTTATATGTCGAATTACGCAACCTAGCCAGCCGAGGGGCGAAAATAGAGAAGTGCGTTGCGTCACGCGCGTACGACAACGTCATTTACAACCCGGGATGTATCAACTGTCACTCTCCCTCCCCGCCATCACTTGTTCCACAAGCCATCTATATTGACGTATAAGAACACTAGAATCTATAAATGAACACTTTAAAGAGAGGCAAATTGCCCTTTTTGTGTTTCTGCCTATTCCAAGTCTCCTGAGACTATGTGACCGTGCCGTATCACCCATGGCTGGCCACTCGAAGCGCCAACAAGAAAGGCATCCAATCAATCGGTCTGGCTGCCACGTCGTGATACCCAAATTCCGCTGCTTTTATGGCCTCTGCATTATCTCGGTATCACAAACAAGGCCTGGGCCGCTCTATGGCCGAATGTCGAGCATATATGTCTCTCCCGCCCGCTCGGAAACGGCCCGCCTCAAGGCATCAGCGCACGCGGTCGATCAGGTTCACGATACAAAACAGTGTTGCCTAAAACGGATCTCTCACTAGTCGTAAAACAGGCGAGCACGCGCCCTGGGATGCCCAGCAATGAGTCATAAGGATCATAAGGGAGAAGGGAGTGTGTAGATGAGCACGGCGACACACGTCCGGACCCAACAGCCACTGAACAAAGGGTTCTGACAGGTGCACTGAGAGCAAGGAATAATGTGAAAACGATAACTATTAAACGACAGGTCACTTTGGGTTTCTTTGTTCTCCCCCTGAATAGGCAAATCTCCTCCTGGACTGGCTTGGGGTCTCGTTTCGCCCGTTCCAAAAAGAGCAGTGTTGACCGTGGTGGTGGCCCGTAGCCCATGGTCGTCAGCGGCCTACATTTTTCAGGCTCGCCATCCAAGGAGGTTTTATAAAAATTGAGAGAAGAAAAATAACTCATAAAAGCCTTGCTCTTACCTGAATGGATGTACATCCTCTGGGTGCGCCGGCGACTGCCAGTGGCCGGTCCTGCATAAATTAGAGCCCGACTTTATGCCCAAACAACTTGAGTTTTTATGATGACGTAGCAGAAGCATCTTCTCAGCTTGGAAGAATGCATGGCATGCATGGTAGACATGATTTGAATAACAGTTTGGCTTGTACTTCTTTGTTTTACACGTGTTCACTCCACGCCACCCTCCGCGGATCTCCTTGCTCTGAGTACAGCTGAGCTCGGCATTGGCTGAGGTTATATACAAAAATCATGATCCCAATATGCAGGCCAGATATTATATACGGGGCGAATTCGAATACATTCGAAATGCAGTAGAATCTACTCGGTCCCCAAGGACCGGGATTGAGGACACAAATGGTGCTGGGCTGTCAATGCCCCTTTGTCGTACGGTGTTGTAGCACCCTCCTTTACCTGAGACTCTCCTTTTTTTTCAGCCAACAGGTCGTGGCGACTATTTGCGATGGCCACCCTATTTTGTGGTGAGTAAAAAAAAATCCCTGCGCTATGTCCGCGGTCGGTCTTCTCACTGTCTTTTCTCATTGGTCAATTGGGGAGGAAACGGCATGCAGATTACCACTCCCTCCCGATGGCGTGCCTAGTCAGCGGCGCAGAACACAGGACACATGCAGCCCTCTTCGTTTTTTCCCGTACCCCTTCTTTTCCTTGTCCATGTTCTTTCTCTTTCAATGCCTTAAATTCTCCTTCAAAGGGAAGCTCTGCAGGGTATCATTCAGGCCGGGGCCCACGGTGGCGATGTCCGGTGGCGATGTCCGGTGGCGATGTCCGGTGGCGGCGCCGGCTGCTGATGCGAAAGCAGAAGCAAATAATAAGTCAGCTCGGCGCCGAGGTCGTCTGACCACGGGCGGCGAGGACGGGAAGCCTTGTTATCAACCCTTGCAAGCTCCGCATATAAGCTGACGCTCGACGACAAGCGGTGTGACGGATAATGCAGGCGGACTCCCTCACCGGTCTTACTGGTTCTATATTTCGAATGGACGTCCGTTACCGGTGCTGTCAGGCATTCTGATTTGATGCGTGACTCGAGTGGTGGAGGCCAGATCGGCATGTTGCTTTAAGGGAAGCACGGCAGGTAGATTGATACAGATCTACGGCGCGAGGCGGCATGTCGTCCATTCGCTGAAAACACTTTTGTCTAGAAACCCTCTTGTTATACACAATATCTTGGCATTGACTCCGACCGCCTCTCACCTCGGGACGGGCCATAAATCGCCACTTTGCCTTCTTCCCCCTTTTCGCCCCCCATTGACCCTCCCCAGCCCTCGTCACCATCGGTAGCTCTCATACTCCGCCGCCTGCGCCATCTTACTCTCAACCCTGGCGATCGTTTCCGCGTCGTACAGCTTCTCCAGCTGCACTCCCGCCTTGAAGATTTGCTTCTCGTGCCGCGTAGCCTCATCCTTGGTCATGCACACCAGGTCACGCAGCCGCACTGTCGAGCACTTTTGCTCCTCGCCGCCCTCCTCGCCCCCTCCGATCACGGACACATTGATCGCGTCCGGCCGCCGCCAGCGGATCAGCGTGAGGCGCGTCGGGATGCCGGTGATGGCGCTGCGCGCGCGGTATAGCTCCTCCGTCAAGAAGGCGACATCGCCGACGGTGATAGGCGACCGGAGCCCGACGAGATCGTGCTCGAATAGCCGCGCCAGCTTCTCCTCGCAGCTCTGCACGTAGTTGACGATGCCGTCGTACATCTTGTCGCGGCCCTTGGCGGGCGCATAGTCGACGGGGTACCCAGTGACGCTCAGGATGACGTGGTTGGCGACAGTCATACCAAAGATGGCTGGCATCGTGCCCAACACGGGGAGGATCCGCACGCGAAAGTTGGGCATCACACCAAGATCGCCCACAGACCCCTTTTCGAACTCGGCTTGGTCGAGCGGCAGCAGTTCTGCCTTGCCTTCGCCGGATTGCTCTGTCGAATACACAACCGGGATGCCCTTCGTAATGCCCTGTAGTTTTAGACGCCTCCGCGTAGCTCTGGAAAGCCCGTCATCGGTGCTGTTTCCAATATCTCCAATGATAATCTTGGTAGGATCGCCTTTGCAGCCCGCGCCCATGGAGCTTATGACCGGTAATTTGTTGTCGTAGCAGTACTTGAGAAGGGCAACCTTGGTGTCGATATTGTCGATAGCATCGATGATGAAATCAGGCTTCTGTCCGTCTTCCCAGGCTCCCAGAAGCTCGTTCGCCACATCTCCATCGAACTTTTGCTGTCGCAGATCAAAGTGCACCCAGGGTGTGATGGCCATCAGCCGCCTCCGCAGACAGTGGACCTTGGGCGTGCCTACATCTGCCAGAGTCGCAACAGAATGACGGTTGAGCGAGGAGAGAGTCACCTGGTCGAAATCAATGAGTCGTAGCTTGGATACGCCTGATCTGGCTAGAGAGGCGGTGCAGTGAGACCCCACGCCACCGCAACCAACTACCACGACGAAAGAGTTGCGTAGCTTATCTAGGCCCTCGGGGGTGAGGAATACTTGATTGCGCGCAAGTTGTTCTAGAATGAGCTCTTCGTCGAAATCACCGGCCTGCGCACGCTGCGCAAGAGCGAGGTTTCGCGCATCCTCTATATCCTCCGCGTTTTCATTTGAGCCTCCGAAGCTGTTGAGCTGCAGGGGTTCGTGTAAGCGATTGGCCTCAGGTTCACGACGAGACTCCAAACAAGGATGGCTTACCTTTGTTGTATGATGCTTCCCATCAGTCACCGAAGGGATGGAATTCTTCAGGGCAGATAGCCGCTCTTCCCTTTCCAGGGCTTGAAATCCAAAAATAAGTGTGGCAACGGCGGCGCCAGAGATCACAGCCGTAGTCACAAGCTGACCCCTTGGGGAGGAGAGTAAATCTGAAATGTATCCGCTCATAATTGAGACATTATCACACCAAGCAACAAAATTAGCCGTTATCCTGCTCGCTGGTAGTCAAAGTTGAAACATTGAACATTGGCCAACTTCGCCGTGGTAGTGAAGAAAAAACTAGCTTAGTCAGCTTTTTTGAGATGATCTGTATATCCAAGAAGCAAGCTACTCAGGCGCATTTTGTCGAGGAATAATAAGACCACAGCATTTTTCAAAGCATATGAGGCGGTGACTCACTACGACTATGCTGCGCCCAAGGCTCGCGGTTCTGCGACAGGGACGTTCGGCGCTGCCGATCAACCCGATCGCCAGCTCCCAGACGAGACGGGCCGTATGCACAAGGCCCCTAACAACACAGTCACAGCTCTTTGCGGCAACGCCACGACCGAGCCTCCCTTTCCTAACTCCTCCATCATCGAATACTACATCAGTACGCTACTTCACCTCTACGCGCAGCGGCTGGATCAGACACGAGGTCAAGCTGGCCGCTCGCTACACCTTGACCCTCTGGGGCATGCTCGCCGCCGGGCTGGTCATCCTCTTCTTCGTCCAGGAGGAGCTCGTCGAGCGCGAGCACCCGACGCCGCACGAGTGGACGTACATGACGCGCAAGTTCCTGCGCGACGCCAAGAAGCTGGAGGACCCCAAGGACGGCAACATACAGTGGGCCAACGCCCTGGGGCGCGCGCGCAGCGCGCTGATGCGCCTGAGCGACCCGCGCAAGGACGGTGCCGGCCTGGTGGCCCTCTCCGACGAGGCGACCGACCCTACGCTACAAGACCCGGTTGAGTTTGTGCCCTACGACATCACCGCCAAGTCAGAGGAGTGGCGCCGCGGCTACTTTGAGGCGCTGATGATGGCAGCCAAGACAGCCGAGCACGTCGACGGCTGGGTGCTTGACGTCACCCGCAACATGGTCTCGCCGGCCAAGTTCGTGATCGGGCCCTCGAACCCGCACCCGACGCCGATCCCGCCCGGTGCGGCCCACGCGCCGCTAGAGGAGAACTGCGTCGACGCGTTTCCGCCCGCCGACAGGTGGTACATGAAGATCCTGGCGACCAAGGGCTTGACGGAGCGGCAGCGCCTCGAGGCGGCCCTCGAGTACGCGAGCTTCATGGAGTACAAGAGCCAGGCCGAGGCGGCGCGCAGTCTCCAGGAGCTCGCCCTCGCCGAGGCCACGCGGGGCATCGACGCGGCCGACCTCCCCTACGACGGCAAAACGCTCGCCCTCAAGGAGCGCGCCGGGTCCCCGTCGCTGAACCTGCTCGACGTGCTAGGCGCGATGGCGAACTCCAAGGCGCGCGGCGGCGACCTGTCGGGCGCGCTACCCATGTACGTATCGCTCCTCAAGGCCCGCCGCGGGCTCTCCGACGAGCGGCCGCCGGCGCCACCACGCACCCAGCCCCGGCATAACATCCCGGTGCACCAGCGACTGCTCAACCTGCTCAGCCCTCCCGCGTACCCACCGCCGCCGCCGGACGGCACGCGGCCGCCCTGGCGCAGCCCCGAGGAGCGCTGCCAAGAGGCGGCGCTGCAGGTCTACATCGGCGAGATCCTGTACGCCACCTCGTCGCGCGACGACGGCCTCTCGTGGACCCGCGACGGCGTGGATCTAGCCGAGGAGCAGCTCCGCGCGCTCGGCCCCGGCGCGGCGGCCAAAGACCCCGCCAAGAAGGCGTGCCGCGAATGCTTGGGCGCCGGCCTCGACAACTGGCACAACATGGTGGCGAGGCTGGCGAGGGCAGAGAGGGCCATGGAGGCGGACAAGCCGAGCATGTTCTCGTTCTGGGGAGGCGGGAGCGCGCCCGAGGGCCGGTGGGCGGCGGAGGAGGCCGTGGTGCAGGAGAGGGTTCGCCGCACCAAGGAGCTCATGGAGGACGTGGCCCCCCCGAGGGACTTCATCACCAACTGGTTCAAAGCTTGAGTAGTGGCGGTCGGGCGGCCGGGATCACTGTATTTACTTGGTTCTTTGGTAATGGCAAAGACAAGATTGTATTTCTATTGAATACCTTATACCATAGTAAGCTCAGCAACGAGCGCTTCAAAAAAAAAGCAAAAGCAAGAATGCAAGCCCTGGTGGGCTCCAAAAAATGCTTCAGATCCTGAGCCACGCGGTTTACCATGGCTTCACCGGCAATTCGCTCCCGGCCGTTTCCTCCTCCTTGTCAGACTCCTCCTCCTCCTCAGAGCTATCGGGCGCTTCCCCCGTCTCCTCGAAATATTTTAATCTGCGCATGCTCTTCAGCTGCTCCCGCAACTCGGCGTCGTCTGCTATGCTCAGGCTCGGCTTCTGATCCGCCGGGAGCGCATCCCATGCGCGCTCCGCCTCCTCAGCCGTGGCTAGCTCGTCAGGTTCGAAAACCATGACGACTGGGTTTTCGTAGTTTGGCGTTCTTGCCACCTCGTCGAGGTATGAGAGTCCGTCATCCAATGCAGTGACGAAGCAACACTCACCAAAGCACGGCTCTCCGGAGGAATAGCAAGGGAAGCCGAGCGCCGGTACTCGTGACGCTGTACTGCCTTCGGTTCCGGAGAGGGGAGTCCCGAGAGGTTGCTCGGATACGACGTAGCCTCTTGCTTTCTATCGGACCTAGGATCAGAAACAATACCAATTGCAATCTATTCAGGTATCTTACCTTTTGGAAAAAGTTCTTCAAGCCTTCTTGCTTCACTTCATGATAGAACGCAGGACTGTAGAACAGCGCACCTTGGAGGGATGCGCCCAATCTAGTCCAAGTCTTCTCTCCATCCAAGAGAGAAGTAATGACCTCGCAACTGTCTCCTAGAGCTATGATGTTGATTTTTGCTTCCTTGTTCGCGTACTGAGTAACGGCGGCGTCCAGAACTGTCCGCGCATGGCACAACGGGGTTTCGGACCCGGGAATGTCGTTCACTTGTGCATCATATTTGATGCCCATATGGACCAAGCTGGGCATTGACTGGGCGGTACTGTCCGCGGGTGTAACCGCTCTTTTGTACTCTTGGGACCAATATGACTCGCCCATATTAGCGAGGATGATACCTGCCGATTCATAGCGCTGGATGCCCTTCACTGCCCCAACCATGGTACCCTTGTTGATGCCGCCTGGGCCGCCGGCGATTCTACTAGCAACCATACCGAGCTCCTTGGCACATTCACCGAACACGACAATGATGCGTTCGGCGCTCTTGATGTTCTCTGAAACGAAAATGTTGACATGCTTGGCCTCGGATCCTAGCTCGGGTGGCGGCAACGGGGTTTTGCGAAGACCGAGAGACTCGAGTCTGTCGTGAACAATGCTCCGGAGAGCAGCTACAATACGTCAGTCCGCTCATCCAGTCGATCGACAATATTCACAACTCTGGCTCACCCTGGAACTGGGTTCGTTGACGCAGATTTACCCGCTGGTTCTTGTTTAAGAAGTGGTTGAAGTAGTAGTCTGGGTCGGCAATAGAGCGAACTTCGTCTTTGTCGTTGACAAAGTAGCTGCGTAGGGCGTCAGTAAACACCGAAATCAAGAATCTCCAACAGTTGTACACGGGACGGCCTCAACCTACCCAAGGTCTTTCAATCCGGACGGAAAATGTGCCTCGCGAGGAAGACCGCGCCAGCTGCGACGAAACATTTTTGATCGTATCCAGGTCCAGCGGAGATAAACGATGGTGAAGAGGAAGAGTTCGTTTGGTGAGGGGAGAAAAGTCTGTGTTTGCATTATGTGCAATGCGCGTGCAAAGCGTTGGCCCGATATGCAGTGATCCGACGGCAGCCAGGTGTAACCACCTCCCTCAGCACTCAGATGTGGCATGTAGCAAACGGGCCGTTTGCACTAGTTGCTACGTACACGAAAGAATCGAAGTAAAACATAAACATCCTTTTATCCCAAAACTCCAGGCTGGATTGATAACCTCATTGGCATTACGCATTATTTGTTTGACCCCGGTGTGTACCGACTGCGGAAAGCTTGGCTTATGCTGAAGCGGCTCCCAGCACCATGCATGTTGGATGCTAGAGCTTCCTCCAAAGCAGACTGTGTGACGGAAGCATCTATCCAAAAAAAATCGTTAGTGTCGAAACATTTCATCGTGAGCGAGAGTACTTACCGTCAAGATCGCTAAAACTACTTCCCATGCTTGGCGTCCCGTCGCTGCCCTCTTGTGAGGAAAGTTTGCCTTGCCCGGAAGGGCTTTGTGCCGATTGTGCAGCATTACGATTTGAGGTGTGAGATTTCAGGCGGCGAGGCTTTACTGAATCAGCACCAAGAGCGCCAGATCCTGCAGAGGAATCGGACGTTTGGGACTGGTGGATTCGCTCGCGGGCGGGATGTTTGTTGCCTCGCTTGATTGATGTCCGGTTGTCTCGCAAAGTCGATGCCAGATCCGAGGCTGAATTCTGGTCTGCAGTGGACTTGTACGGTTGAAATGCTGGCTCGGATTCGTCATCGCCATCATCATCTACCTGATATGAGCCGTCGTTTTCTTGATAACGGGGAGGGCGTCGTATAATTCGGGATTGCGCAGGGCTAGACTCATCCTCAGATGACTCTCCCGAAGTAGAGTCTGCAGGTCCTGGGGACACCACATCGTCTCGCTTGGGGTCTTGAGACACAGCTGTTTTCGGGCTTGGTGCCGCAATAGGCAGAGATGATATGCGGCGTCGATTCGCAGTTTCGACCGTAGGGCGAGAAGGCGGCTGTTTGCTCTCCAGGCGCGGCGAAGAGCCAGCAGTATCGCGAGGGATTGTGTTGCCCGAACCCCCACGGGAAATGGCAGGGCGTATCGCTCCGTTCGCTTCGTTGCGAGGCATCGGGGAATCGCGGCCGATGAGCTGTCCAATGTGGGATCGTCGATCGGCTGCGGTAGACGACTCGGCCGCGGGGATGGGCGACGGCGCGGCAGAGCCCTTTGCCGCTGCGGCCGCTTTCCGTACTTGGGCCCTAACTTGCGAAGCATGTCGTTCGGTGAGGTACGCCACCTGCTTGAGAAGGAAGTCGACTGTGACATCGAATCTAGCTGCTCTGGGATGGGTCAGTCGCTTTATCGTGAAGGCGGCGGGCAGTCGATGGTGGCCTACATATCATTCCCTAATGATATTATGTCAGCGCAGGCGAGCTATACAAGATGAAACGGTAAAACACTGACAGTCTATCTCTTTTTGTGTAGCGCTGGACAGGATGCGCCACAGCGCTTCATCCTTCTCAGGGTCCCAATCAACCTGGCAGATGGTTAGGCCGGTGCCTTGTGCACCCATCGAGCAGGCAACTTACCTGAGGGGGGTCGACAAAGTCTCCACGCGGGATTGGAACCCGGACGTAGATTGTGTACTTTGGTTCACCCATGCTAGAGAATGTGTAGATGCAGAGTGGAAGAAGCGGGCGGCTGGGCTGGGACGGCGCATGATGAAGCTGGAGTATCGATAACGGCATGTCACCGATACATTGGCAGGGCCCACAACCCCTGCTAGGGCCTTTTAGGGGTGTTGGTGGGGTCTCAGGTTCGTGATGGATGACCGTGAGCCTCCATTATTGTCTATCATGCCGTGTATAAAATAAGTTGAAAAGTCTACATAAAAATATAAATGAGGGTCAAGCTAGGCTCTATACAGAATTGTAAGAATTCTATCTACTATGCCATGTCTTGGCTTCTAGGCTCTTGAGTCCCTGGTAATTAGCACATCAGTTAGTAGGGCTCTGTCAGCCGCTGCGCATTTCCTTGATGATGCTACACAAATATTCACGAGCTAAAAATTCATTATATATTCGGGCTCACGCGCGTCTTGTTGTTGCCACTTGCTATCAGGTATTGTACGTTCGACCCCAAGTGATGGAGTACCACAGGCATTATGTAGGCAACCTGGTTAGCCGAACAAGTCGTGATAATGACATACATGGGTACTACAGGAAGCTTTTAAAGGTTAAAACATAAGAATTATTAAGGATAATAGTAGACTCTCAAACAAAGATAAAAAAATACCTTGAAAACTTTTATGTCTTTCATTGGCCTTTATTACCAAAAGTCTCGCAGGCAGCAGGGTAGCAAGCCGCAAACAGAACGCGATGCTTATCTAATCAAAGAAACATCAATACCTGCTCAAGAGCTGCCCCGCGATGCAGCCCGCACTGGGAAGCCGCGGCGGGGAGGCTCCAATTATTCCCTACCTAACTTCCCAACTCTTCCGCCGTCGACTTGCGCCAACACTTGCTTCTCGCAAAGAACTGGTGTGGCAACTTCGACGCAAATTTGGTCGGAACAGGCACGCATCTTCAGAAAAATTTCAAAATTATCTTGTACACCGGAAGCCTTAGCACATAGATACCAACGATACCAGATTCCGACACCCAACCCCTCCAAGCCCGACGATCAAGTTCACCAACCGTCAACATGGTTCTCTCAGAGCTGACGGCGTCTGCGGCAGCCATGAAATCTTTGCACATAGGGGAACGCCCGACGGATAACACCACAGCCCCCGCCTCTCCGCTGAAAAATCGCGCCGGTGCAAGTACGAACCCCTTCGTCTGTGGCTTTCAAGCGAGCCCTGTCGCGTGGCAGCCGTTAACCGACGAGACGGTGGAACGTGCAAAGAGCGAAGGAAAACTGCTGTTTTTGCACATAGGATACAAGTCATGTCATTGTAAGGTTACCGAATCAATCCATACTTCCCCGTCCGTTCTGATTATTGGTTCCAGACTGTCACCTCATGTCGATCGAGTCGTTCGCAAACACCGAATGCGCCGCCGTACTCAACGATGCCTTTATCCCTGTTCTTATTGACAGAGAGTCTCGCCCCGACTTGGATACCATCTACATGAATTATGTCCAAGCTGTCAGTAGTGTTGGCGGCTGGCCACTGAATCTTTTCGTCACACCAGAGCTTGAGCCCGTTTTTGGTGGCACATACTGGCCTGGGCCCAATGCCGCGCATCGCGCACACGACGGGAGTGCCGAAGACGCTTTGGATTTCTTGACCATTATCAAGAAAGTAAGAGACATCTGGAAGGAGCAAGAAGCAAGATGCCGCAAGGAAGCCACCGAGGTGCTTGCTCAACTGAGAGAATTTGCCGCGGAAGGGACCCTAGGGACAAGACCTATTGCGCAAACACAGACATTTGCGCCTTCAGGTTGGGCGGCACCTGTTCCAAGCGAGCCATCGAAAAACACTGATAGAACCGCCGCACTGTCGAGCGAACTTGATTTGGATCAACTTGAGGAGGCTTACACACACATCGCGGGCACCTTTGACCCCGTCTACGGAGGGTTTGGACTGGCTCCCAAGTTCCTAACTCCGCCGAAATTGCAGTTCTTGCTTGGACTTCGCACTTCTCCTAGTCCTGTTCAGGATATCGTGGGAGAGGCAGAATGCACTTATGCGACAGACATGGCGGTCGACACCCTGCGAAAGATTCGAGACGGAGCGCTACACGACCATGTCGGAGCCACCGGATTCGCTCGCTGCTCTGTTACTCCAGACTGGTCAATACCGAATTTTGAAAAACTCGTTGTCGACAATGCACAACTTCTCTCCCTCTATCTTGCGGCGTGGCAAATCGCCGGCGGGCAAGCGACAAGTGAATTCTACAACATTGTCCTGGAACTTGCAGTATACTTGACATCGGCCCCAATTCTGCGATCAGATGGACTGCTTGCATCCAGTGAAGCAGCTGACTCCTATGTACGAAATGGTGACAGAGAGATGAAGGAGGGTGCTTTCTACCTCTGGACCAGGCGAGAATTTGACAGCATTATTGAAACTGCGGAGAAGGGCGCCAGCCAAGTAGTTGCTGCCCACTGGGGCATTCTGGAAGACGGCAACGTTGATGAGCAGCATGACCCAAACGATGACTTCATGAACCTAAATATATTGCGGGTGGTCAAGACACCGGAAGAGCTGAGCAAACAGTTCAATATACCCGTGGAGAAGGTTGAGCAGTCTATCCGCACCGCACAGAAGGAGCTGAAGACGAGAAGGGAACGCGAGCGAGTGCGTCCGGATGTTGACGACAAGGCTGTCACTGGTTGGAACGCATTGGCGCTGTCTGCTCTTGCCAAGACGGCTGAGGCTTTAAAAACGATCAATCCGGAAATCAGCGCTAAATGCACTGCTGTGGCAAGTGGACTTGCCTCCTTCCTTCAAGAGCACCTGTGGGATGCTCAGGCAAAGCTGTTGTATCGAATCTGGACGGGGAAGAGAGATGTTGAAGGATTTGCTGATGACTATGCATATGCCATTCAAGGCCTTCTGGATCTATTCGACACCAATGGCGATGAAACTTTAATCGAGTTTGCTGATCAACTGCAGAGTAAGTGTTGTGTGATCGGCACGAACGGTGGAAGGAGTTATCGCTAATGCAAGGACAGAGGCACAAGTTTCGCAATTTTATGACCCTGCAGGTGGCTTCTTTACTACCACAGCTAAATCTTCCTTTGCCATCTTGCGACTGAAGGACGGCATGGACACGTCCCTGCCTTCAACAAACGCCGTTTCCGTCTCCAACTTGTACAGACTCGGCCACGTCCTCGAGGACCAGACTTTTACGGCCATGGCCCGCAGCAGTATTAACGCCTTTGAGCCGGAGATGCTGCAGCACCCGTGGCTCTTCCCGGGCCTACTTGGCGGCGTTGTCACGGCTCGCCTCGGCGTAGCTGGGGCTCGTAGTGAGGAGGTCAAGTATAAGGCGACGAGAGAAAAGGCTTAGAAGACTGGACCATCGTTGCTTGAGTGAAGAGATGAGCAAGAGATCAGCTTCATTTTTGGGCCTTGAGAATTCTTGATTTTGACCCTGGCTGTTTTTTTCAAACCTGGTCTCTGCTTTCTGAAATGTTCGATTGATATACCTTTAGTAGGGCTTTGGAGAGGCGGATGAGGGCCGAGGGAGCAAGGCGCAGTGGCTAATAACAGGGGAAGAGGAGCTTTTGTACTTGACTGTTTGATTTTCATAGAGGAAATACGAAACTCATTAGCCGTAAAGGGTGTTTTATCGCGGAAACCAAAGTGAAAGCGAGGAAACAATACTATTCCATCAAGGGTATCTAATCTACAAAGGCCGCATCGTCACGCGACCTCCATTCTAATCTTTTCTTGCAACAGACTATCACAGATTTTGGGCTCCCAAATGTCCCTGTCTTGCCATGTTTTTTTTTTAGAACTTTCTTTCATTTTGTTCATCTTTTGATATTGTCTTAATCCACGAGGTAGAGAACAATCCTCACGCATCACGGCCCCCCCTCACCGAGGCGGCTCGGCCGCACCGCCGGTGCGATTCAGGAGACCACTGAAAAAGTCGTGCAGTTGTTCGTTGTCGTACTCCTTGGTGATGTTGGGCGCGGGCGCCTCCTCCTCTTCCTCGGCGCCGTCCTCGTCGTCAGAAGCATTGTTGGTGTTGCGGTCCTAAGAGGGGAGAGATTGTGTTAGCTTGCTCACGTCTTTTCGCCACCGCGCAACCTCTCTCCAGGATTCTTCTTACCTTGAGTCGTTGCAGCATATCATCGGCGTCGACCTGGATACCGCCCATGTTGAACTGCACGGGGCCAATGTGCTCGCTAACCGTCTTCTCGTCGGCAAAGTCGCCGCCCCGTCTGGCGATGCTGGAGACGTTGTTGTCGGGGAGCTTCTCCGGCGCCTTGGCCTTGACGGCCTCGAGGATCTTGAGCTGCCGCTCGAGGAACTCTTGCGTGTCCTCGCTGTCCACGCCGACGGCAGAGCCGCGACCCATGGCGCTCTCGACGACCGCCATACCGCCGCTGTTCGGGTCGCGGCACCAGTCCTCGTAGCGCGCGATGGCGCTGTCCTCTTGCACGTACTTGCCCGTCTCGGTGGCCTCGGCTCTGGCCTCCTCGAGAGCTTCAAGGCTCTGTGGCGTCGAGCCGAGTGGGAGTTTGATGTCCTCGGACCAGCCTTTGGAAGCTACTTCTGTGTCAAAGCTGCCACCAAGCACGCGAATTTTGCCCCAGGAATCCCAGTTTGGTGGTACGACAATCTTGTCCCGGTCGATGACGTTGTGTTTTAATGGTTGACGTTTGAGTAATGATGTGATGCCAAGCGTTGAGTGGATGAGGGAAGGAAGTTGAGAAGGGGTGTTTTGGCTTGTGTAGATGAGTGAGCCGCCATCTGGGAAATATTAGCTTCGCTCTGAGAATGCATGATAATTGTTTTTGTACGTACGGCGCAGCAGGACAGTCCTTAGGTATTGAAGCACTGTGTCAAAATCGGGCTCTTTCCAGCCTTGATTTCTTTCTAGAAAGTCGATCTTCTGGGCCTGCAAGGGAGTAAGCAATGTGCTGGAAACTCGGAAAGCATACAGGAGATTGAAGACTGACATTTTGGCAGACAACGCATATAGGTACTCCCAGAGGTTCAGTCCATTCTCCAGGCCCCAGAGGCAAAGAGCCGTCGCTGTCAGCCGCTGTCGCAGATGGGGTACCGTCGAGATTTGTCGAACTGCCGCCACGGCCGCGCTCCCTCCAAGACGACATTGTTTCTTCCATCTCACTGCGCGCCTCTGGCGACGTGTGCCCCATGACCTCCTCCAGCACCTGGATCCAGCTCCAGATTTGTCTCAGCCAGAGATGGGGCTGCGCCCAGTCCAGCAGGATGACGAGGGCCGTATTCGGTATCGTCTCGGGGGTGAGAAGCGGCGAGACTAGCGAGGCGAACTCGCCCGAAGGTTGCGAAAGAAGGTAGAGCGATACACGAGCGAGGGTATCTGCTCAAATTAGCGAAGCTATCCTAATTGTAACAGTGATGGGGTGTCCCGACCGTCTTGATCTGTGTCCAGCACATCGTAGTATGTGTAACCTAGTGCGAAGTTGTTGGCGATTGGAGGAGTCTTTTGTCGGTCGGAATTGCGGCCCTCTTCGTCGGCCGAAAGCGATTCGAGAAAGTCTCTCTGCGCGTCCGTGCTGCCACCTGCGCATGCATTAGCTTGTTGTGTCGTTGAAGGGAGCGGAGAGGGAGCCTACCTAATACCAAGAGGTTCTTCTCTGGCAGGCGCTTGCCGCTCGCGACCGATTCCAGCATCGATGTCCACAGGTTCCTCTTTGGCTCGCCATTTCGAGCGTCGGCGTCACCAGACCCAGCGGTGTAGGTGGACGCCCGCTCCGTTTTTGTAGTCATTCTGCCAGAGTTGACTGGTTCTGAAAGTGCTCGTCTTGGAAACAGAAAGCGGTACGTCGAGCAGAGGAAGACAGCCTTGGGGAAACCGAAAACACGTAGGTTGACCAACTGTGTTTGTGTCGTGAGTTCTATACTTGTCAGGGGTCCTCTATGACGATGAGCCTTGCATCCTGGCCTTTGTGTACTAGGTACGGGTCGCAGCAGGTCAGTGGCTTCGTAACGCACTCGCAAGGCTCGGCAGAGCCAATCTAGGAGTCATATACCGGGCCGTGATTCCCAACCCGTCGTAATGGAGAATGCGATTTGTCGGTGCTGGAATATAGGGAGCTTTGGTTAGTTCGGTCCGGAAATTGACCCGCGCCAGGGTGTGACGCGCCAAAGAGCTTGCACCTGCATCGTGGACAGAAAAGTGGGCTGCTTTGGTGTGCGCCAAACTTGAACCTTGGAAATCACAGTTGAAGGGTAGGAGCACAGCAACATGAACCAAATACGAGCGATTCAGGCGTTGAACAAGAAAGAGATTGAAAATGGAGTGTAAGTTAATATGTCCTCAAGGCTCCTCGAACCGACGACTAACAACGCCTCTCCTCAGCTCCCCCGAAGCCTCATGGCATACCGACTACCGCGACACGGCGTACATTTATTTTGGCGGCCTACCGTACGAACTCTCCGAAGGCGATGTCATCACAATCTTCTCACAATTCGGTGAGCCTGTGTTCTTGAAACTCGTCCGCGATAAGGAAACGGGCAAGTCCAAGGGATTCGGGTGGCTCAAATATGAGAACCAAAGGAGCACCGATCTCGCCGTGGACAATCTCGGCGGCGCGGAAGTCGGCGGGCGACTTCTGCGCGTGGACCATGCAAGGTACACTATGCGCGACGACGAAGACCAGGATGAGTTCAAGGTGGGCTGGGAGGACCTCCAGCGCAAACAAGGCAGGGCAGTGTCCGAGGACGAGAGCAGCGAGGACGAAGCGCCGCAACGGCCGATGCTGCAAGAAGAGCGCGACCTCGCAAAGCTGATACACGAACATGACGACGACGACCCGATGAAGGCGTTCCTCATCGAAGAGAAGAAAAAGGAGGTGGAAGAGGCGCGCGAGAAGGCCGACAGGAAGGAGGCTAAACACAAGCACCGCTCCCACAGGTCACACAGGTCCCGGCATGGCGACGACGACAAGAGGCGCTCTCGTCGCGGTGAAGAGCATTCCGAGCGTCGTCACCGTCATCAAAGCGACTATAACAGCGACGGACGTCGTGACGATGACAGACGTCGTGACGATGATGACGAGCATCGTAGGAGCAGAAATCATGGCGACGAGCGGGGAGATCGTCGATCCCGGCGCAAGGATGACGAACACGATGACAAAAGAGACCGCAGCCGAGGCAGAGGAAAGCGCGATCGAGAACGAGACGCAGACCATCGGCACAGGAGGCACACAAGCAAGGATCGAGAGTCAGAGAGGGACTACAAACGACGAAGGCGGAGTCGTTCCCCAAGACGGCGTGAAACATGAGGAATAATACGAACAAATAGTAGAGTAATAGAAATTGTACCAGCGCCAAAAGTTATCTCTGGTTAAAAGACGTCAAAGGCTCATTTCGCATATGTACTTGATTATGTGTTTCCAAGGTATCGTTTCCAACCCTCCCTTATGCAATACCGTTTGCCATCCTCTCCTTCGGTGATGGCAAACTTTTCCCATCGAGCATCTTGCCCTGCCCCGATAACGACAAGACTGTCATTACTCGTCCAGCCAATTACGCCTTTGCAAAGCTTCGTCGTCCCCAAGGTCGAGGCCTCGGAAAAGGGAATACCGCCAATCATGCCCTCGTCGCCTGCTTCAAAAGGCGCAGAGGCAAAGGAGTAGACGTCGGAGAAGACGCGTGGCATGAGCGGAATTTTGCCCAAAATGCCCCATTTGCCAGGATCCGCCTCACTGCCGCCACCGAGCTGTTGGCTGCGATGTGGTGCTGCGCGTCGCGGGTGAGGGACATCGAAGATGTGCAGTGTGGACTTGTCAGAAGTACAAGCCAGGTAGTCTCCAGACGGAGAGAAGGCCAATGAGTAAATGGTGGCGGGGTCGATGCCGCGACGCAGCTCGGCAATTTTGGCACAGTTGCTAGTCGAGTAGACGCGGATCAGGGTGCCCGTCGCACTGGCACTGGCGAGGAGCTCACCGTCTGGGCTGAGCTGGATGGCCTTGAGGGCGGATGAGTGGGCTGGGATGATGCTGACGTTGCCGTTGGAGAGCTCGACGAGCTGGATTTGGCCGGCTGTGCGACCGGGAAAGGCAAGCTTCTTGTCCGACATGCAGCACAGCCCAGCGAGGTTGTCCGCCGTCTCATAGACGTGAAGCAAGTTTGGAGGCTTGGAAAACGAGTAGACGCGAACGCTGCTCTGAAGCACCACGGCTATGCGCTCACGGCCAAGCTGGACGCCTCGGACGGAGCTGAGGGCGGCAATTTCTAGCGCTGTCTTTCCTTTCATATCGTCCCATATTATTGCCTATTCAGGCTGATCAGCGCTGAGACAGAAAATAGTACTACAAGTCATGGGATGAAGAAAACGAACCTTGTTCATGGCGAATTTGGGAGAGCGTCCGCCACCGACAAGCGCGAGGTAGTTAGTCATGCCCATCATGCGCACCAGGCCAATACCGGCATTGAAATCTACAAGTAATCAGCTTACAAGCACAAGCGTAAGGAGCCATGCGATGAATACCTCTCGATGCCTTTAAGAGACATGACTTTGTGTGAAAGACTATGCTCGTGAGTATGTGAATACAGGGGGCGCCGTGGGTAGGTGTCGTTGCCGAGGACTTACTGCAAATGCCTGACTCTAGGCCAACGGCGAAACAGCTGGCATCGTTGTTGAATGAGACTGACAGCACAGCCGTCGGGCTTGACGATTCTATAGGCGGCCGAACATTCATTGCGGCGGGGCGGGACGATCGATCTCTAGGATAAGAGTGGATGGAGGAGAGATGTAGCTGGTGTTAGGCAGTCTCAGCAGAAGCTGGCCATGATGGCTACGCTCAGTTCGTCGCAAACGAGCAGTGATGTGGGAAAGACAGGGTGAGGAAGGGACCAGGTGTGTGCTGGTGGCTGCGGAGAGGGGGCTGTGGGAGAGATGAAGAATTAAGATGCAAAAGTATATTGAGGCGGGTTAGAAGCGCGCCGAGTGAAAGGAAGGGCGGCGGCGCTGGGTTGGAGTTGCAGTATTGGCGGGTGGTAGTGGTAGTGGTTGTGGTGATGGTGTTGGATGCCAGCTGGGTTGGTGTTTTGCGTGCGGTGGCGTTGGCGGGTCACGGCGAACTTGGGGGAGGTGAGGTCACTGTAAGCCTCAGTAGGGCGGGTTCTTAGCGCCTGTGCCCTTGCCTCTCCCTGGCCATGGGCAGGTGACGGCGCCTGGATCGGCCTGGCCACCTGGCCAACTGGCTAACCCCGCTGTAAGGCGTCCCCTGAGAGCCTGCAGCTGATGAGCCCAATGGATGAAGTGATGGCGGTCCTCCCTTCCAGCAAGTTCGTGATCCTGGACTTCCATTCCGGGCTAGCTGAAATCATCCCCGCCGGCGTCCTGCCATCGTCGTTTGTTCCGTTGAACAAGCAAGCTTCAGCCATCATCATGTTGCTCGCTGGCCACCGTCATCATTTTGCGACCGCGCCCATCAAGACCGCGCCCATCAAGACCGCGCCTATTACCTGACCCGACTCCTGGATACTGGTCCCGGATCGTCCGGTCATTGCCGCAGTTGCTTTAGTAGGGTGAATAGTGCTCCAGAATGCTGGTACTGGAACAGGTATGATGCATCGTTAGTGTCACACTAATGAGGTGTCGTCGGCTGGATATGTACCTTTTTGCTGCTGCATCTGAGACTTTGGGACAGACCGTCGCCTCCGCACGCACCGTGCCGAGCAGGCAACTGTTCCGTGGACGTCCTTGAGGACCAAGAAACAAACTTGGTGCCTTCTTGCCTTCTTGCCTGGATGCCGTGCCGTTGCTTGTTACCCGGCCGCGTGCCTTTTACAACTAGATACGCGCTTATTAGTTGTATAAACTTCGAACCCATCGGAGTACTAGTATCCCATCTTTATTTTGTCGCACTGTCCCTGCGAAAAGAGTATCCGTAGTCGAGTAAGGCTAACATTATCTAGCTTTTCTTGACCTGCCATCTACAGGCTAATGCTGGTCCCTGCACTGTAATAGTGATGGAGAGCAATTCTTCGAAATCCGCGCGGAGCCGCTTGTCCTGCAGTGAGTGCCAGCGCAGGAAGCAAAAGGTATGACGCCAGCAAACAGGCCCCGAGATGAGAGCGCCGGATCCCACGCCACCACAAACAACCATGACGGCCCTGCGCCGTGGCTTGTATAGCCGGCGGAAGCCCTCCAAATGCTAACACCTCACGCAGTGCAACAGAGAATGGCCCTGTAACCACTGTCTGAAGCGTAAGGTGGCGGACAAGTGTCGCTTTGCCCTTCCCGCAGCGAACGCACCGGTCGAGACGTGCAAGCGTCAGGCCAGCCCAGATGAAGTCGACCCGGCGGTCATTCCTCCCGCTGCCGACTTCCAACCCGGAACTTTGGGATACCATACGGCGAACCTGCTCGCCAGTCTTGGTCTCGAAGACAAGGCAAGCATGCCTGTGCTCCTCAATCAGCTGTAGAGACTAACTGCCAATACAGAAAGACGCTCCGGACGATTACCAGTACTGGACAGACGTAGCGTCATGCGCCGCATTGGGGCGGGCGTTCAAAGAACTTCCGAAGCGACATTGGGTGGGTAAGTACACGACTCTCCGGGCCTGTACCTATTTGCTGCATGCCTGATGAACCACCACAGACTCGCTCCTTCGAATTTTTTTCAACATTATCAACAATCAATTTTATATTCTATATCCAGCTGCTTTTTTCGACGAGTATCAAAGTTGGTGGACAAGGATACAAGACAACAGGCCGGTGGCGCTCCAATTTACGGCGCTCCTCTTCACAGTTTGTGCATGCTCCATTCAGCATGCCGACGAATCCCTCAAAGTTATCATTGAACGAGATTTGGGTGAGAATACGGAGAGTTTATCAGAAAAATATCATGCCTTGGCAAGAGAGCTGGGAAGCGTGGTACCGCCTGGATACAGCCATTTACATAGCTGCCAGAGCATGCTTCATTCATCGTACTGGTACATATCGCAAGCCAAGTACCCCGAAGCATGGCATGCACTCAGCGCTGCTGCTCGGGAATGTCAAATACTTGGTAAGCATGGATGTCATGAACGGATTCTACGGAAGGAATTTGTCCACTAACCATGTGTCTGCTATAGTTAGAGAGAAGGACCAGGCATTCCACCAACTTCCCTCTTTCGAACGCGAAATGAGACGCAGGTCATGGTGTATAATCCAGATCCTGGACTGGTGATTACACATTTATCCAGATATTTAACGCAACTACTAACGAAATTACAGGCAAATCTCTGCTGGTTTGGCTCGTCCCACCATTGTTAACTGGTCCGCGGTCGAAGTTGTGCTGCCTGCTCTCACAATGGAAGCATTCTCACCATCACCAATGCTGCATATGAAGATCCAATCTCAACTCATTTCGCAGTTGGCCGTTAAATTTCCGAATGACAAGGAAAATTTGGAGCCGAGCAAGATTCGCCAATACCAAACCATGGTAGAGGCCTGGGCAAAAGCTTTCCCCCAGGTCTACGCCTTTGATAACCCGGATACAGCTAAAGATGAGACGAACCCTTGGATCATCTTCAACCGTTTCTACCTCTATACAATGGCATACTTTTTGCTTCTCGCTTCTATTCGGCCCGTGATGCTCAAAGGATATACCTCTGCTCTGTCGGAAGAGGAGCAAGGCATCTGTTGTGATGGAATCAAATATTGCGCCAAAAATATCAGAGTGGCAGTTCTTTGGGCTGACCATGTCGACCGACACGGTGGTGGTTATCATTTTATGATAAGCTCGGTTTTTGATACAGTTGTCCTCCTCTGTACATGCATCATGAAGGACGTGGACAATACTATGGCGAAGAAAGATGAAATGTACGACGAACTCGACAATGCGGTGTCGTTATTTGGTCGACTGGCACATACCTCTTCAATCGCAAAGTTTGCCTTTGGTACTGCTTCTCAGCTGGTACCGAAGCTACAGCGCCCTAATACATCGCACAAACCACAAAAGAGACAAAAGACGAATGCGAATGCGGTCTTGCCAAAGCCAGCTACCTATGAGGCGAGTGGGCTTTCTACTGCTCCAAGCCCAGGGTTGGCCGAAGAAACAGGCTCAGAAACGTCACCGGAACAGCTTAGCAGAGATGACTCCACGCCGGGGAGCATGTCGGATGACTGGCAAGGCTCTACTGACAGAGGGACATCGTCTGCCGGTGACCCCAGAGCAGGCCTTGGCACCATCGACGAGTCGCTGTCCCCTTGGCCGACGGACAGCTATGATGAGCCGGCAGCTGCGGAGGATGCAAATGCTCTTGGAGTAGACTTTCAATTTATGCTGGAGCAGCAAGAAACGGATGAACCTGCGAACCAGACAGTGCAACTTGATGACTTTGCGGCGTTATGGGACTGGGAAGCTCTGGGTCTTGGGACATATCCGCTGCAAAAACACGCGGATTTTGGAGCTTAGGAATTGTTAGAAAAGGTGAAACATGGCTCGTTAAAATAGGTATGTTGGGCATGAGATAATATGGTATTGGCTGATGTGGCAGAGCATGATGTTTCTCTGCAGTATAAACGCTATTTACACCAGGTCATTCGGATATACCTGGTTGAGGCAAAACATTTTACTAAGCCTTGATAAATATGAAACAATTTCTAAAAGCCACCGTCTTCAAAAATATTACAATACCCTTCATTCACCATCTCGACATGACCGAGTCATTACTCCGTAGTAGTTATAGTTATACTTCGCATATTGCCGAGGCCCGCGACATAAAGTGGCGCTATGGCCGCACTAGCCGTGACGAGGCAGCACTTCTTCACAGGCTCTGCGGGGGGATGCGCAGCAGAATTGACCCCAAGTTCCAGGCTAAATGGAGGATGACGAGACGGCCTCGGATGAAGCAACGCACTTTTTTTTCTTTTCTACTGAGCAGCCCTCTTCCGCCCCGACACTCGACACGACCACTGCATTCGGATCCGCCTCGCCTCGCTTGACTCAGCGGCGCATCCCCGGGCAATGACACAGAACATGCCGAGCGTACAGGCAAACGGCGCAGCGCACGCCGGCGAGTCCGTCGCCGGCGGCGTGCCACCGACGCTGCCGGCCGTATGCGCCGAACTGCGGCGCAAGGTCCTGGCCTTCCTGGACACTCCTGCGGCGGACGAGACGACCAAGAGAACACAAGAACAGACACGCATATCGCTGCAGGTCGTGGAGGAGGCACTGAAGCGTTACAAGTAGGTTCAGGTTCCCGCGGTCGGCCCGCTGGTCGGCCAGAACCCCGCGCGCTCGCGCAAGGCGGGGGAGACGGCGAGGAAAGGAGTCGCGAATCTGGGCTAACATTGAGTCTTTTTTTCTCAACGGGTAGATTCGAGGAGCTGTCGCTCTCTTATAATGGCGGCAAGGACTGCCTCTGTCTGCTGGTGCTTTTGCTGGCGTGCCTGCCGACGCTGACGACGGGCAGCGGCAGCAAGGCGCCGAAGCCGGATGCCGAGGCCGCTGCCACGCCACTGCCACGGATCCAGGCCATGTACATTGCGCCGCCTGACCCGTTCCCAGAAATGGGAGAGTTCGTCGCGCACTCGACGCGGGAGTACCACCTCGATCTGAAGCAGTACACGATGGCGATGCGGCCGGCGCTGGACGCGTACCTGGCCGAGACGCCCGCGGTAAAGGCCATCTTCATGGGCACCCGGCGGACGGACCCGTACAGCGAGCACCTGGAGCACTTTAGCCCGACGGACGCCGGCTGGCCGCAGTTTATGCGCATCAATCCCATGATTGACTGGCACTACGTGGATATTTGGATTGTAAGCTGGCTTGAGGGGGCTTGAACCCTGGGTAGAAATGGTGGTGACAGAGTGCTGACAAGAAGAGAACAGTTCCTGCGCCAGCTGGAGATTCCGTACTGCAACCTATACAACCTCGGATACACGTCGCTCGGAGGCACGAGCAACACGAGACCGAACCCGAAGCTCGCTGTGGATGGCGATTGCACAAAGTTCCGCCCGGCGTACGATTTGACGCGAGACGAAGACGAGAGGCTGGGAAGAGGTCGGTAGCATGGAATTACGGGAGTGAGGGGCATGTGTGAATATAGATTATAGAGCATCGCGGAGTTGGTACAATCCAGTTTTTCAAGACAGCGAACTTGTCTGGTGAAATACGTGCTTGTTTTGCTGATGGGAAGAAGTAGCGAAAACGACTGCAATCGGGTTTGCTTTTGCGAGTCGGCCTCCCTCTTGGATTCCAGATCAGGGTCGGCACGCCGCATAGTCCTCCCTGGGCTAATGCTGCTGGAGTTACAGCCACGTTGACCTCGTTGTAATACTGGTTGCGCGACACTCTTTGGCTATCCGAACCTCCTAACTAGAAGACCTTTGGCAATAGCGTCGATAACTGACCACTGGACGAGGTTAGCTTGTACTTGTTCTGGTAATAGTTGTGCATTGCTAGCGATCAGGTAGTGGTAGTTACCGTGAAGCTTGGGAGCAGCACCACACAGCCCACTCCCCGGAAAAAATGGTGGGCTGCAGGGAAGAGGGGGGCGCCACGATTGGTGTTGGGGCGGTCAACCAAAGGCTACAGCGCGGGTCAAGAGTGGGTGGCCCCTGAGCTTTGCCTTTATTAGCGCCTGGCAGAAACCAGACGCTGTTTCCCAGCGAGATGCCCCTTGGCTGCAACCAGCAATCTAACGTGGTGGTACCTGGACAGCTTGACAGATCCGTCTTGCAGTCAGTACCTACGATTGTTAGTGCTCAATACCGCCATCACTAGTCCCCACTAACACTTTCAACGCTTGTGTGGTCCAAGCGTGAAATTGCTCCAGCCAATCCAGCTAGGTACCTCCGTAGCCTCTCTCTCATCTCTCTGCCCGCCCACGACCTTCTCTCCCCTTTTAGACAGCCAGCACGTACCGCTCTCCGCCCATCCCCTTGAGCCCTTCCTCAACCCATCATCCCGCCAACGGTTTTTTCTCTCTCCGCTTCCTCGTGACAGCAACAGCTCGAGCATTCTTCTCGATCCTATCGCAGCCCTGATCTTTCAGAAAGATCATTCTCCCTTGTTCTCGACTCGTCTCCAGCTTGTATTTTACCGCCGCCGTCGATTCGCGACTATCAGAAGCCTCAGGGGCTAGGAACCGTTTGTCAAGATGTCGTCTGCTGCTGTACGTCCCGTGTGTTGTCGATGCCCGCCTCGTCAGCTCGCCAAGCTCCCGCCCCAGATGGAGTTGCGAGCTGCGCAGAAAGAAATATTGTGCTTGCCTGATTTTCTCGAGCTTCGCCCTCTTGATGCGTTGGAAGCTGCCATGGCATTGTATCCTGCAGAGCTGACCACCCCACCCCGCCCATAGATGATCCGCCGGAAGAAGAATGTCAAGAAGGGTATTCAGTTTTGCCTGATGGTCTGCGGTGCCTCTGGAACCGGTACGTGTCGAGACTTCATGATGACGATAGAATTGGCCTACGACTATCGGCTTGGCCCCTGCCTGTGTCCTCATATTGCTAACATGGCGCCCCAGGCCGCACAACCTTTGTCAACACCCTCTGCGGCAAGGACGTTCTCCAGCACAAGGATGCTGACGATGCCCACGATGCCCACGTCGAAGAGAGCGTCAAGATCAAGCCTGTCACCGTCGGTACGAAGCGACTCGAACGATATGCTATCCGATTTCGTCTCATTCCTAACATATCATAGAACTCGAGCTTGATGAGGAAGGCACCCGTATCTCCCTGACCATTGTCGACACTCCCGGATTCGGCGACCAGATTGACAACGAGGCCAGGTGCGAACAAACCCATCACTACAACGGCTAAATTTGAAGACCGATTGCTAACGCTCCCTAGCTTCTCCGAGATTGTCGGTTATCTTGAGAGACAATATGACGATATCTTGGCTGAGGAGTCTCGAATCAAGCGTAATCCGCGATTCAGAGACAACCGCGTGCATGCCATGCTCTACTTCATCACTCCCACCGGCCACGGGTATGTTTCCTGCTGAACATTACACTCTGCAGCCGCTAACTTGTCGTAGCTTGCGCGAACTTGATATCGAGCTCATGAAGCGCCTTGCCCCCCGTGTCAATGTCATCCCGGTCATCGGACGCGCCGACTCCCTTACTCCCCAGGAGCTTGCCGAATCCAAGAAGCTCGTCATGGAGGATATTGAACACTACAGAATCCCTGTTTATAACTTCCCTTACGATGTCGATGAGGACGACGAGGACACCGTTGAAGAGAATGCTGAGCTCCGCGGCCTCATGCCTTTCGCTATTGTCGGCTCTGAGGACGTTGTTGAGATCGGCGGTAGAAAGGTTCGCGCTCGTCAGTACCCTTGGGGTGTGGTCGAGGTTGACAACCCTCGCCACTCTGATTTCCTCGCCATTCGCTCTGCTCTGCTGCACAGCCATCTTGCCGACCTCAAGGAAATCACCCACGACTTCCTTTACGAGAACTACCGTACCGAGAAGCTCTCGAAGAGCGTGGATGGTGCCGCTGGGTGAGTTTTGCACACTGATACACTGCTCCCTGTAACGACGTCATACTAACTCTAGCAATAGTGTCGACAGTTCCATGAACCCCGAGGACTTGGCTTCACAGTCTGTCCGTCTCAAGGAGGAGCAGCTCCGCCGCGAGGAGGAGAAGCTCCGCGAGATCGAGCTCAAGGTCCAGCGCGAGATCAACGAGAAGCGTCAAGAGCTCCTGGCCCGCGAGTCCCAGCTCCGCGAAATCGAGGCTCGTATGCAACGCGAGGCTTCTGCCCAAGCCAACCTGAACCCCGTCACCGAGAACGGCAAACAAGAAGAGTAAAGAACTCACCTACGGAGCCTATGTACCCCATAGGGATCTTGGTCTGTTTATGCTTGAGCCTAGGGCGTTGGTGTTTTCTGTTCTTTGATTGAGACGCAGGAATTGAGCAGACCGGCACGAACCCGCCGTGTCAGAGCTTGAATTTGAGTATTCTCCGAATATGTTACAAAAAGCTGTCTATGAATGCAACGATTTCGGGGGCCAGTGGCCAAACTATTTGCGACCAGAGCGCCGTTGATAGATGATATGGCCAACAGAGCAACATGGAAGGGCGAGGCGAATTGCGAACGACTTGGCTCCTTGACAGTTGAAAGTGGCATTGGGCTTGGTAGGGCTGGCTATGTGTGAAGGGCAACCATTATTTGAGCCACGGAAAGTGACTCGTCCAGATATTCATGCGTGTATACCCGCCCAAGTCGGCGCATGCCTAAATGGCCGTTTAATAATTTTTCTTATTAGTGTTTTTAGTGGACTTAATGCAAATATCCGATATACTTGTGCAAATTTGGAATTAGGCATACTTTGTAATTTCTCTACCTAGGTGTGGTGACTCGTGAATGAGTCGCGGTGACGTGAGATGGGAAGCAGCTGAGCTGTGACATGTGCCTTGTGGCGAGTGGTACGGATAATCAGAGCAGAATAGTGCGCAATTATAAACGAATCAAAGACAAAAACAAACGAAACAAAAAAATAAAATAAACTTTCAGAGCAACGCAAGAAACGCCCGAGAACCATCCAGTCTTCAATGCCATTAACACACCAACCACTCACTTCCGCCTGCTGATTTCCCTTTGCGAGGGCATATTTGTTCGGACTCGTGTTTAGTCGCTGGACTGGGAGTTGAGGATGCGGAGGATGGCGAGGAAGAGGTTGATGATGTCGAGGTAGAGGCTGATGGCGGCGGCGATCTCCTCCTCGACGTGATGCTTGCGGAGGACCATCTGGGTGTCGACGAGGACGTAGGCGCTGAAGATGAGGGCGGCGGCGCCGCCGTAGATGAGCTCGCCGGTGGAGCCATAGGGGAAGAACATGGACATGAAGCCGAAGAGGAGGAGGCCCCAAAGGGCGCCGAAGAGGTAGGGCATCCAGGAGGTGAAGTCGTACTTTGTCTGGCAGGCGAAGAGGGTGAGGGCGACGAAGATGCCGCCGGTGAGGACGACGGCGTTGAGGACGATGGAGGTGCGGTAGAAGGAGACGATGACGGAGATGGTGTAGGCCTCGGCGAGGGTGAAGAGGGAGAGGAAGAGCAGGTTGGTCGGGTAGGACTTGCGCTTCCAGTAGGTGAGGCCGAGGAAGATCATGGAGCCGATGAGCTGTGGTTGTGGGTTAGTGGTTGGTGGGTGGGAGGAAGGAAGGAGGTGGAGGGGACGTACGGAAATCCAGACGACGCCGGGGTGAGCCTGGATCCAGGACTTGTAGGAGGCGCTGAAGAAGGTGAGGGAGCTCACGCCGGCGGTCATGAGGAGCTGGACGGTGAGGATGGTGTAGACCTTGCGGACGAACTGGTTGCGGATGTCGACGGTGGCCTCGGCGACGGAACCGCCAAACTACAAGCCGGGTTGGTTAGCCGGGGAAAGGCGCACAAAGGAAGACGTGCGCGCGCGTCTTACCTTGAAGTCGTCCGGGATGTTGTCCTCGCTGCTGCGGGCGTGGGCGAAGAGGCCCTGGGCCTCGATGCCGGCGTTCGCGGCATCGTGGGCGGCGGCGGAGGAGGAAGAGGCGCCGTAGGCGGGCGGCGCGGTTGTGTAGTCATCGTCGAAGTCGTCCTGCCTCGCGGGCTGGTACTTGGCGCTGGAACTCATGGTTACTCTTGCTATACGATTACGATGCGGGAAGGATATCGAGATGGGATGCTCGTCGGGCGTTTTTGGTCGGGACGCTGGTGGTTCGATTCTCAGGTTTGAAATGTGGCGAAGCTGTGACAACCTTGAAGCTGGAGCTGGGAGCCTGCTGAATAAGGAAGGCTGCGTGGCGGCGGCCTTACTAGTCCACATAAGTGCGGCGGCGTGGGGCAAGATCCCGTGCTGCTGTGGCGCATGACGAATGGTGGAAGCTCATAACTACTTGTTACATGGCTGAGAGTTACTCAAGCTGCGAAGGGTTTGGGTACCCGAAAAGTAAGGCCATGGTAACATGGTATCCTGAGTTGCTGGGGCCAGTTGGACAGTTCACAATCTTGTGCTGTGGCTTGTTGGAGTTGTTATTCCATGCAACTACAGATTACACTGGCGGAAATTGATAAAATAAGGGACCATTATGTTGATGGATCCAAAAACGAGCATGCCATAAGCCCTATGCGTGCGACTCGCCAAAGACGACTGCCAAAGACGGCATACTTGTATTGGACAGGAAGACAGCTTCTGCCTGGATGGTTATCAGTGCCGCGGCGCGGCAGTTGATGCTTGTCGATAAGATAAGCTTGCAGAGTGAAAAGTGATGATCTGGCCAATGGCGATGGCGAGATGAGCCAAGTGTGATCGGGTAGCGTCCCGCATGATGCACGTAGTAGTAGGAGAGCGCGCGTTGCATGGTTGGTTGAGTTGAGTTGAAGTGCACGGCTGAGACATGAGCCGTCGCGCCAGCAGTGTTTAAGAGCATGGCGTATGGGAAAAGCGGCTTCCTTATCATTTTTGCGCAGAACTCTTTCACTTGCCGCATGGGCCAAGGTGGAGGAGAACTTCTTTGTGCATGATGGTTGGTGTTGAAGCGGTGGGGATAGAAGCCCAAGTAGCCCCTGTGCACCCTTGCGCGGGAGGGGATCCATGTGCTTCATCCGAAGCGACGGAGGATAAATGGAAGGCAGAGCTAGTTAGTAGTTGGGGCGGTGTCGTTGTGGCTCGTATAGATACATCTCAACTTGCATCTACGACGCGGGGTGGACAAGTTAGAGAGGATTTGGCGTAGTTTGGTGGGAAGCGGTGGAAACGGAAGGTGAAACCTCGTGGGGTTAAATAAATGGATATTCGTAATGATGTGCAGAATTGACCACTCTGTCTTGTTTGTTGAGGAGAGGAGACTGGAAAGAACAAGTGCGCCGTTGAAGGGAGACATGCTTATAGGCGGTGGGGAAGTCGCATGGAGCAGAGCAAGCGAGAGGGGTCTTGACGAATATTTCAAACTGATTCAAGTTGATGATTTTTACTCTTTTACCGTTGGTAAATCTGGACTTGGATGAACTACTTATTTAACTAAGGATTGTATAAAACGTTAGTACTGATAATAAACGGATAACCTTTTAAATGGTGCTCCTCCACTGAACCTGGAGGAATCGGCCTCACAGGGTCCACCACGGACGGGCAATGGCAGCTGAACAAGTAGATGCAGCCAGCTGGTACAGCCAGTCAGAGACAAGTCATTGGGGGCGGTAAATATTTAGTTGAGAATGGGTGTTAACTGAATTTGACATTTTTATAACAAATATTGTATCGAAGTTACTCGGTCTCTACGAATTAGACAACAGACCTTTCATTGGAACCTCTTGATCCATCTTGCCAAAGCAAAGGCCTGTAACCCCACCTCCTCCACTGTAATTGTCCCTACCTCCAGCAAGGTAGAGGAGGCTGGTCGCTCTGCATGTCACTTCCTCCCGTCTCCAGGCCGCAGAGATACTCGCCCACCAAGACGGATCCATTCAACTGGCTGCCAGTATATTAATGTAACCGCCCTGCATTACCTCGCCTGTGACCATCTCGCCAAAACTCTTCCCACTTTATATTTCAGAGCAGTTGTGGCTCACCCACTCATATCTCTGCTATATTCGCATCCTCCACCATCAGCCAGCCTCCTCCACCCTCCCTCAACCCTGCCGGTTCTTCTTCCTGGCCCATCTCCTCCTCCTCACGTCTACCTACCTACCCCTGCTCCTCACCACTCTGCTGGTTTCGAACGAAACAAGCTTTCCCTCCACTCAATTGCCTTCTCTTCCTTTTCTTTTCTTTTCTCATTGTCCATCTCGCCCCAATATTGTTTTCTGTCATTCGCCGTCGTCTTTGCGGTCATTCTGCGTTTGCGTCGAAGCTGCCCCTCTACCAACACTAACTGCTCCCCCCCCCCCCCCCTCAGACACTTCCTTCTCCTGAGCTCTCTTCGCAAACAACCCTCGCCCTCTGCCGCTTGGGTTGCACAAATCACAACCTCGCAGTGTCCTTTTGTTCCCTAACTACTTCTCATTGATATCAATTCGACTGCATCTTTTTGCTCGACCTTGCTCACGCCGCTTCCTCCACCGCCGCCGGGCTACCGTACCAGCTACTAGCGCCAACTCCGTTACCGCTTCTTAGCTGCATGTCGAACTCCTAAGAAGAGAAGAAAAAAGTTCACCACCCCGCCACTTCTGCCTACTTCAGCTTCCGGATTCGACTACTGCCAATATCTCTATTACCTACAACTCTCGAGCTCGTCTGTCTCGATCCTCAATTGCATCGTTCTCGCCGTCCAAGTCCGCTCCCACCCGTCGCGATGGAGAAGACCCCTTCGACGCCCGTCGAGGACCGGCCTGCCACCACCAAGCCGGCCCATCCTACAATCAAGACGGGCTCCAATGTCCCCAACATGAACGGCCCCCTCTACATGCAGACCTCGGGTTCCAGCGCTGTCCTTGTTCGCCGGCTGAAGCGAAAGGACGAGGGCACTTGGAAGCAGTTGTCGCGCTGGTTTGTCGAGAACCAAATCGGTACGGATTTATACTTTCTGCCCCTGTCCTACTCCTGAATTGGCGCCGTCTAGTGTCTACCGCCACCTAGGTCAACCCAACGGCCCAGGTACCCTCATAAACAACGGCGCAAGAGGAGAATTAGAATTATGGCTAACAACCCGTCTCCCTCTCGCTAGGTCTCTCCTTCAACCTCCTCGCCTTGCTCTTCCTCGCCCACGCCTTTATCCCCAAAGCCCGCGAGCACACCAACAAGTTCTTCCACCTCTCCTATTTCAACCCAGCGACCGGCAACTACGCAATTGGCGCCGACGATGTCCACCTCATCATCTTCTTCATCGTGCTCTTCACCGGGCTCCGCGCCAGCTGCATGGAGTACATGCTCGCACCGCTTGGCCGGTCCCGCGGCATCACTAAGCGCAAAGACTTGACGCGATTCACTGAGCAGGGCTGGCTGTTTGTCTACTACAGTGTTTTTTGGACCATGGGCGCCGTAGGTTCTGACTGCTCCGAACAAGTGCGATTCGCGGCTGATTGATCCCACACAGTACATCTACTACCAGTCTCCGTACTGGCTCAACATGCGCGAACTTTGGACCAACTGGCCCGACAGAGAGATGGACGGCCTCATGAAGGGCTACGTCTTGGCGCAATGGGCCTTCTGGCTCCAGCAGATTATCGTCATCAACATCGAAGACCGTCGCAAGGACCACTGGCAAATGTTTAGCCACCACATCATCACCACCCTCCTCATCTCCTCCTGCTACTGCTACCACTTCACCCGAGTTGGCAACCTCATCCTGGTTATCATGGATGTCGTTGATCTATTTCTCCCGGTATGTTCACTATGCGTGACACAGATGACAGTGCACATTCCCGAAGTCCCCAGTCTCTAACTCGCTACAGGCCGCCAAGTGTCTTAAGTACAGCGGCTTCACCACTGCATGTGACTACGCCTTCGGCCTGTTTATGGTATCATGGTTCGTGGCGCGACACGTTTTTTACATGATGGTCTGCTGGTCAGTCTATGCGCACCTTCCCGTGGGTGTGACCCATGGGTGCTATAGTGGTACCAAGGCCAATCTCATCGGTCCTTACGATCCTCCCGAGGGTCTGGGCTACCTTCTCGAGCCTTACTACAACAGCTCTGGCAAAGTCTGTTTCAACCGCATTGTCCAGTGGGCTTTCCTCGCTCCCCTTCTCGCCCTGCAGGTCATCACTATTGTGTGGTTCACCATGATTGTCCGTGTCGCCATGAAGGTTCTACGCGGCGACGGCGCCGAGGACTCGCGCAGCGACGATGAAGAGGAGGAAGAGGAGGAAGAGATCGAGGAGTTCATCTACGAGCAGGCCCTCGAGGAAGATGTAGGCGTCGAGGCGCTGGACTTCAAGAGCTGGGAGCGCCGCTCCGGCATCAGGCGGCAGGCTAACAGCTCTGGCGTCAGCCTGCCCGGACACAGCGACCGCAAGGAGCTTCTGGGCCGCATCGGCTGTGACAAGCAGGTCGAATGAGTGAGAAAAGCGGCGCCGTTTTTGGAGACGGCGAGACGATTTGATCTTGGGTGTTTGGGAGTTGGACTGGTTTCTTTTCATTTTGAAGGATTGAATTTGTTCTCCGTATTTTGTCCTCGGCACAGCCCTCGCTTGGCCCATGACAGCTGTGGGCTGGCACTCGGCCCTGCGCTTGCGTGTCGCTTGTCCTATTTATTCTTTTATTGCTCTTCTTCTCCATCATGAATCTGGGATACCTACGTTTAGCCTCTACCGCAAACGTTTTACATTGCGCCGTCATGACTTCCTGTTTTTGGGAAGAGAAAAATAGAAAGTACTTTGCATTCTAATCAGGAACGTCTTTTCTTCTCAGTCGGTCACCCGCCTTGCTTGATTTCAGTTGTCCATGTCTAGGTAGAACAAGGCGCCTTCCCCCACGCCCTTCCGGTTAGGGCTGGCTAGATCAAGCATAGAATTTAGCAATCAAGCTCAACTACATACCTTGCCTCTCTCCAGGCCCACGAAGTTTTTATGAATAACGCTCGATTATCAGTCGTATGCTATTACTACATGGATGTTCTACGTCTGTAACAGATCATGTCGCCGCCTGGTTCTGCCTCTCTGATCCCTGCGCCGCCAGCAGCGTCTTGGCCTGCTCCTGCAGCTTGAACTTTTGAATCTTGCCGCTCGCCGTCTTGGGGTACTCGTCGACCCAGAAGACGTGCTTGGGCACCAAGTGGCTTGAGAGCTTCGTGCGCACCCACTCGCGCACCGCCTCCGTCGTGAGCACCCCCTCGTCGCCGCCGCCGCCGCCGGCGCGGCCGCCGCCCTCGACGTCCCAGCCCTGCCGCGGGACGACAAAGGCGGCGACGCACTCACCGAGCTTGTCGTCCGGCAGGCCGACGACGCTCGCCTCCTTGACGCCGGGCATCTGGAACAGGCAGTCCTCCACCTCGAGCGGGTGAATATTCTCGCCGCCGCGGATGATCAGGTCCTTGATGCGGCCCGTGATGCGGACGTACCCCTGGGCGTCCATCTCGGCCTCGTCGCCCGAGTACATCCAGACGGTGCCGTCGCGGCGGTCGGCGACGCGCACCTCGGCGGTGCGCGCGGCGTCGCCGTAGTACCCCTTCATGACCAGGTATCCCGCGGCGGCGAGCTCGCCGCGCTCGCCGACGGGCAGCACGCGGGAGCGGTCGCGCGGGTCGACGACCTTGACGGCCGTGTGCGGCATGGGCGTGCCGACCGAGGCGCAGCGCAGGGCGAGCGCGTCCGACGGCCGCGTCATGCAGCTGACCGGGCTGGTCTCGGTCATGCCGTAGCAGATGACGAGGTCTCCGAGGCCGAGACGGTCGTAGATCCTGCGCATCAGCGACTCGGGGACGGAGCTGCCGGCGACGATGCCCTTGCGTAGGTGCTGCGGAGGCTTGCCGCCGCTGGAGTCGAGCGCCTCGAGGACGGCGACGAGCATGGTGCTGACGCCGTAGAGGCCGGTGGCGTCATGGTCGACGCACATGCGGAGGGTGGCGACGGGGTCGAAGGCAGGGCTGGGGAAGAGGATGGCGGCGCCGGTGGTGGCGGTGGCCATGTAGCCGAGGACGGAGCCGAAGCAGTGAAACAGCGGCGGGGGGACGACGATGCGGTCGCCCGGGTCGAGGCCCATGCGGTGCGCGATGAGCAGGCCGTTGTTGAGGATTCCGGTGTGCGTGAGCTGCGCGGCCTTGGGCGTCGACGTGGTGCCCGAGGTGAACTGGATGTTGATGGTGTCGTCCGCGGCGAGCGGCTCGGACGGCTTGACGGGCCGGTCCGACGCGTTGTCGAGGAGCTGGCGGTACGGCGTCAACACGCGGCGGCACGCATCCAGATCAAACTTGACGCCCGGGTGGCCGATGCGGTTGTCCACGACCAGCACCGTCTGCAACTGCGGCAGGTCCGGGTTGGCGACGCCGCGGCCGCCGCGGAGGTCGCCGCCGACGAGGGCCTCGAGGAGCGGCTCGTTGCTGCGGCCGCGGCCCGGGCGGTAGGCGGTGTCGGCGACGGCGCCGATGACGAGGACCTCGACGGCGAGGTGGCGCAGCGCGGCGGTGACCTGCTGGGCGTTGAAGCTCGGGTTCAGCGGGACGAGGACGGCGCCGAGCTTGAAGAGCGCGTAGGTGAGGGCGGCGAACTCGACGCCGTTGCCGAGGGAGACGGCGACGCGGTCGCCCTTGACGACACCGAGGGAGGCGAGGGACGAGGCGAGCCGGTTGGAGAGCAGGTCGAGCTCGTAGTAGCTGAGGGCGGTCTCGTGGGCGGAGGGCGTGGGGGAGCGGGCGATGACGGCGGGACGGTCACCATGCTGGGAGACGGTGGCGGCGAAATGCTCCGGGATGGTGCCTTTATAGAGCGGTGGCTATGGGCGGGTGGGATTAGCGGGCTTGGTCTGGTATGAGGTGTGAACGCGTGAGATGAGGCCATCGCCATGAGGCGGGCGAGGCGTAGGAGAGGCGCGGCGACGGGCGAGTGTACAGCGGGGGACTGTTTTTTTCTTTCTTGGAGGGGCAAGTAGGAGAGATGGATAAGAAACGATAGTGCAATTTGATCTGTACACACCTCACTTGCACCTGTCCGGATGCTCAATGTCTCGGTTGCCAAGTATCGTCGCTGTGCCGCACCACCGGCTATGCTTCTCCGCACGACACCACCAGCCGCGGCGATCACAGCCGGCGCCCTCCTTGAAGCGGCGACCAGCATGACGGCGCCTGAATCGGAAGCCGAAGATCGACTTTCGCAGCTCTACAGGCTCACCCAATGAATGGAAATATGGATAGAATTTCCAAGGATGAAGGCCGTTGCTATCCAAGCGTAGAGCTAGCTGAAGCTTCTCACGCGTGTTGTGGGGGTTGGAGAAGAGAGAGGGCTAGGGAGGTATCCGTACAGAGGTAGAGGAGAGGGTAGGTATGTAGGTAACTAGAGGATAACTAGAAGATAACTAGAGGGAAGAAGGAACAGGGGGGCAGAGGGCTTGCAGACCGCTGTATTCCGCTCTGCCGAGAGAGACGGGAAAGAAAGCCGGTCGACTAGTGGCAGAATGAGGGGGGACACGGCTGGGAAATGGAGATTCTGGGGCCGAGGCGGAGATTTTCTCACTAACAGCTTGGCAGGAAAACCATCTAACAATAATGAGCATCGGACAGCCGCCCGAGTTAGCGCTCTCTACAATCTGGGGTAATTTGCTTGTGGGCTGTGTCCATACGTATATTGGCGATAACAGAAGCATGCAATCACGAGTGCACTTTTTGAAGCTCTATTTGAATTGTGAAAAATGAGGTTTAAAATTTTTCAAATAGAGATCCTAAGAGACCTTTATATAATCGAGTAGATAAATAAGCATCTGGACTTGGGAGCTGAACATACTTCTCAGTACCCTCGCTCAACTTCTACGGGTATATCCACCAACGACTTGTCCTGCTTCATACTCTCACCACGCTATCTCTCGCACCTCCCCCGGAAGCCCTCGATCCAGCGCTCGTTTTGTCCAGTACGTCATGGTGCCCACGTCGTCCACGCGAAACTCGCCCGCCAGCGCCGCCACGCGATGGTCGTTGCAGATGAACCCGTCCTCCTCGCAATCGCACCCATCCTCATCACCCTCCCCCCCCTCCTCCTCCTCCTCAGCGTCCCGCCGCCGCCGCCGCCCCCGCCCCGGCGCTTCCTCAATGTCCGCCCACTCAGCCGCGATGGCGAACCCGAGCCGGCTGTTGCACAGGCCCTCGCGCGCGTCCTGCCGCCGCAGGAGCTCCCGCGCCCGCCTCCGCACCCCGCGCTCCCGGCAGCGCGTCGCCGTCAGCACCAGCACGTCCATCACCGACGACGAGAAGGAGAAGACGCGCCGCCGCCCGGCCTCCGCCCCCAGGCGGTCCGCGAGCGCCACGATCCGCGCAAAGTCCGCGTCGAACGCGTCCCACGACGTCTCCGGGCCGCCCGGGTCCCGTTGCACCTCGATGGCCATGCAGATCTGCCGCGCCTGCAGCACGAGCACCGCCTCCCTGCCGCGCGGCGTGTCCGCGACCCCGCCCGGTCGCGCCCGCATGGCGTCGAACTTGACGGTCCACGCGGCGAGCGCCGCCGCGTACGCGCTCCGTACTCGGGGTGGTGGCTGCTTCTGCGCCGGGTCGAGGATGAACTTGTTGTTCTCCCCGAGCTCAAAGTACGCCTTGCTCAGCGGCTCGAACTCGTAGTACGCGTCTTCCGGGGAGTGGAAGGGGTCTTCGGAGATGACGGGGGTCTCCAGGGCCTTGTAGTAATCCTCGGACCACGGCCTGCGGCGGATGTTGGACGACTGGCTTACCATGCGACCCATGACCGCCTCGACGCAGTTGGGAGTCAGGAGCCCGCTGGGTTCGTACCGCCCGCTCCCCGTACTTGTCGCCTGCGCAGAATCGACCTTCTTCTTCCATCTATGCAGCATGTGCTGTCCGTTGATGACGTGCATCACCGCCGCCGGCACGTCGCCCTGCAAGCTCGCAATCGCCGTGAAGAGCAGCGTCGTCGTCAGCAGCACCTCCAGATCGAGGCTAGACAGCTCTGCCGACTTCAGGACGGCGACCACGCCCGCGATGGACTCATTGTACTGCTCCAGGGCAAAGTTGCGCAGACTCTGCCGCTCGACCGCGGCCCCGTCCGCGCCGCGGCCGCCCTTGGTGGCGCCCGCGAGGGCCTCGCGCTGGTACATGGCGGCCAGCGCGCAGGAGGCGTGCCACACGATCGGGTGCAGGCTCGTCGCCTGCAGCATGTCGCGCGAGCAGAAGGTCTGGTCGAACACGCCGGCCATACTGGAGGCGGCGACCTGCCGGAGGAAGTGGAACTGCATCAGCTCCTGCTCGCTCGTCTTGACGCCTGCAGGGCTGACCGTGACGCCGGGTTGGTGCGTCAGTCCTGTTTGGCGAAACCACGACGTCAGAGCTCCTGGATCAAGGGCATCGTTGGTCTCGCCGGCCGGTACCGGGTCTGAGTATCCGACACCAACGCATTCTCTAGAGGCAACGGCGCACCTGAAAAGAGAGTATTAGCTAGCCGACTTGCTGGTCGGCAGGGGACTCGCCTGCATGGTACATAGGTGCTCACCGACGACAAGAAGGCTTTCCTTCATCACATTTCACATGACGCTTCCTGGTTGATCGAGCCGTCAGATACAAAAACATCCTGAAAAGTCACGATATTCCCGGATTGAAGAGGGTAGGAAAAGAACACCCGTAGCATGCTTACCTGCACGTTAAACAGCCCGTCCGCTTCTTTGTCGCCCACTTGCGCGTCCTCTTCTTGGGCCGCAAGGCGAGCGCCTCAGGGTCGCTCCAGAGTGTGTCATTGTCGAGAATAAACGCCGCCATGTCGTGTCTGCGCGCCGTAGCTCCAGCAATAGATTCGGCATGTGTCACAGTCAGGAATTGCGTGAGATAGATTGCCAGGTAAGGTGAATGCGTACGAGTCGGGCTGTTGTCTTTAAATAAGGCTGTAGTGGGGCTCGCGAGCTGTTGCATTTCGTCATAACAAAGCAAAGCTCGAGGCTCAGATCCAATCGGGCCGGTAGTTAAAAGATACAGATAGACCGGAGCAAAATAAAGCGTAAGGCTGTACGATTTAGCTGCGGCTGTCGCCAAGTCACTTGTTGAATCGTGCAGGGTCTACTGACGGCCTCTCTCATAGTCTATTTTTCATCGGATACCAGCAGTCTATGTATCCGTTCATACCAATCTCAAGAACGCCGGCAATCGATTCTATGATAGTATTGTACAAAATGGAACGGACTCTAATCAAAGAGCCCGGAAAAGATAATGGCATGCTGCAAATACCTTTTCCACCACAAGTGCGGCGCTGTAATGCGCCTATTCAACTCACCCTCCTCTACTGCGATCTCCAGCAGTCGCGGCCGTCATAACAAAGGGGGGAAACAAAAACGCCTGAAAAGCCCCGTCCCGGGCGGGGAGAGACAGGGCAAGCATCACAAAAAAGGCGTGAGGAGCCGGTCCTTGTCGCCCAGTTGCGACGGGAAATTATGTAATAGTCGAAGTGAAGTAAAGATAACGCCTGGTATGAAAGTCATCGCATACAGCAAGACTTGAGATGCATTTGTTTCGCGGCCTGCAAGCAAATCAAACCATAGACACAAACACACTCTATGAGTCTTGTGCTTCGCCAATGTGTCGCTCGCTTTCCGGTTTCCAAGTACCTACAAGGTCTGTTAGGGATGTTCTTGTCAACGAATAAATTTGCAGCTTACCCTCGAAATCATGCTTAACAAAAGCCATGGGGTCATCATAATCCTTGGCCCCCATCTGGCCGACGCCGGGAGAGAAGCCAGTGATGGGAAGCACGACAACGTCGCCGACGCGCTTGCTAACCTCCATGCCGGTGAAGTTACGGAAATCAATCTTTCCCTCGCTCGCAGTCATGTCAAAGAATCGAGCATCGTTAAAGTAGTCCATGATGGTGTCAGTCCAGACAGCAGGGCCAGTCAGATCGACGACACCTTCGCTGCCATGCATGCTGCTCAGCTTGCCATTCGCCTTGAGGGTAAGCGTGGCATTGGTAATGCGAGCAATAGTCTCGCGCAGAATAGGGTGGCCGGGCTTGCTCTGAATAGTCCACTGGCAGAACTGAATGCGGCGGCTATACCAATCGGCCCAGTCCGCACGATCGGGATCGGCCTCGATACCAATCACCATTCCGACACTCTCGCGGGGGATGGCCTTGGGGATCCACACGTCGGCGCTCTGTAGAGCAAAGGTATCGATGTCGGAGTAGATGCCACCACGGGCAAAGAGAATGAGGTAGCGGAAGAAATCTGCTTTCAGAACGGGTAGGGGGAGGGCCTCGTACGCCTGGAGGACTTCAGGAACGGAGGCATAGAGCATGCGCAGCAGGCTGGAAGCAACGGAGTCGGTAATAACCTCATGAACAAAGCCAGGATGCAAAATAGTCCATGAAGCCTCTTGGTCGCGGAACTGGAACTCGCCGTCCGCGGGCGTATACTTCCAAGTTTGCCAGATGTAAGCGGGGAATTTTTTCTCGATATCGTACGGGTAGGTGTAGGACAGCTTGTCGATGGTGGACATATGCGACATGTCAATCAACGGTTTTTGAGCGGCAGCACGGTTCCCTGCCCGTGCGGCAGGACCTGTCGGAGAGTTGGCGCCGCTTGAGGCTGTGGCGGTTGTTGTGGTGGCGAAGGTGTTGGATGTCGCCGACGATCGATGCGAGTGGGATACAAGGAAGAAGACGGTCAGCAAAAATGCTGCCGCTACCATGGCGCGACGCAGAGTCAGCATGTTCGTAGGTTTGCTTTATGATCGACGGGTTGATGTGAGCGGGTAGTTTCAAGCCGTTTGGCCGCTATGCGTGGCAATAGTGGTCGAGGCGAGGGCACGCCTTGCTTTATAAAGAGATCGAGTCCGTGGTGTGCTATAACAACATGGATCAAGCTGATAGTTGATATTAATAAGTTGCAGCTTCGAGTCGACAGGATCCGCGGAAGCCAGATCGAGTTTGAGAATCAGTTGCGATTCGAAAAGGCGGTGGTGGGGGGCGATGACGACGATGTCTGCTTCGTCTCAGCGGGAGGCGCAGTACTCTGCGAACAGGGTCTTTCTGTAACAGGAGGGTATACCAGTAGAGCGATTGCAATAAAAGGGGGCAAACTGTAAAAAATGGATGAGCGAAAGAAGTGATGCTTTTGAGGGTTATGAGAACACGCAAGCCCAAAGGAGCACGGGAAGAAGTGAAGACGGAAATTAGGGACGAACACGAAAAAGGACAAAAATAGGATGCAAGTAGGAACGTGGTGTTTTTTTAGTGTGGATGCGATACGGGCCAAAATGCACCAAGGGCAAAAAATAGGGGGGGAGCCAACAAGAGATGGGAGAAATGGCAGTGACGTTGTAGGCTCCCAGGGAAAAGGCAAGGCAGAAGTCTGTACCTACAGATTTGAAGGGAGCTACTTGTGAATTGGTGGGAGTTGCTACCTACAGAAGGTACCATCCGTATGGGCAACTGATAGGTGACACCAAAGTCAGTGGGGAGATGGTGGATCCCTTGGCCAAGGGTCCCCTGTAACTTGTTAGCTTGTCTCCTGAGCGTTCGCAGCTGCATGCCCACAGTGCTGTAGGTACATACATACATACAGTACATACATAGCTGTACCTGCAGCCCCAGCAGATGCAAACAGCGCTCGCGGCTGCCAACAAACAGGTCGGCTCGAAGCTGGCGGAATGCTTCCAGCTGGCAGGATTAGTACTAGAAGCTGGCAGATCGCCATACAAAACAATCGTGCGGCTCCTCCTTGGTGGATACCGAGGGTACAGAGTGCCACTGATAGACACTGATGAGCGCCCTCGGGCCCTTTGCCTGTCCAGTCGCCGCTTCCATGGTAATGCCCATCCTTGACACTTTGCTGACTCGTCCTGCCATCGACACTCTTCTCTTCTTGTTTCGCATTCGCGCTTCACGCAAGCCTCAGGGGAGCTGACTTATATTGCCTAGCCTTGAAACTTTGGGCGTGCCGGCGCGGATACCACCCGCGACGATCCTTTTCGTGCTCCCTCGTTCCCGCTTAAAGCAACATGCACGCAAACTGTGCGCCGTTGATCGACAATCGACACAAACAATCGTCATGCCAATTCCAGTCTGAAAAGCCGAGATGACCCTCAGTTCCCCATCGACCCGTCTTCAATGGAATGCTGAGCGTCATTCGCGAAGAAAAGTTCACGCCGCGTTAGTTAACGCAGCCATCCATCCAGTTCTGCCGCGAGCTCGCGTGTCCGCTGCCCATTGCGCCGAGTGATCCGGAGGATCTAACAAGGTGTCTGTAACGCATAAGAGCTGCTCGCATAGTCACTGTTGTCTATGCTAATCGTGGGCAGGTCGTATCTCGGTTTAATAGTACCCTTCGCTAATAAGTGGTTTTTCAATGCCTCGCTAGCCTGCTTGTGGCTAACCCTTGGGTTGGCATTGGCCCACGACATCATTGTCTCCCTTTACCAGCCAATACACGACCCAAATACCATCTGTGCGTGTTATTGTTGATGGGGCGAACTTCCAGGACCAACGCCGTTAACACCACCACTGTCGTATCGCAACAGTTATCGCGACAGGGTTCGAGCGCATCTTACCTGTCGGTGTACCCTACTTCGTACCTAGCCATGCAATCTCGATATTGAGGCGCCCATACCCTACGCGCAGAATATCACATTACCATCAACCAGTATTTGCGATAACCGCGAGAAAGAGTCCCCAGCCATTCCCCGTTTGTGGTATTAGAAACATTAGGCCTTGGCGCTACCAGCGTACCCCAGGATGGAATGCAGCGTTTCGCCCTGTCTCGCGCTGCTGTTCGGGTGGTCCCGCCCTCGCAGCCTAGTTTTACGCATCCGTACAGAATTTGGTTTGTTGTTTCACAGATGTGATTGCAGCTTAAAGATTGATTGCGCCACAAATAACTAGATTGCGGTGCGGATGACGGAACAATAACTTCCAAGATGCAGCGGCGACTTGACAAGCGACAAGAAGCGCAAGTCAGCGGTGGCCACTTCAGCGCAATCATATCCGGGGAAAGAACCGCCTTTTGCCTGACTTTATCTTGGACCCTGTCAATCGCAACCGCTGGAGGGAGTTGGACGGCTCCGCAGGTCAGCAACTGCACCGTAGCACCACCGCTAGGCTCAAGAGTCTCTTTGCTCGCTCTGCAATGATGTCGTGAGACCCCACCAAGCTGTCTCTAGAACACCGCAGTTAAGTTGCTAACTCTCCCTTTCCCTTCCCTTCTTTCAATCTCGATGATGGTACATGCTATCAGGCTGGTACATAATGTCTGTGTTGCATACTGTACTTTGGAGGGCGCTTCTACTTACTCCCCTTCTACTCTCGTATAATTATACGCGCCCTAGTGGTAACAGCCGTATAACTAAATCCGAGACTCGGTGTCGGCACGCACGTTATGATGTTTTGTCGCAGCACCACCACCGTGATTATCAGCTCTTCTCGAAGCAACTTTACGGACTCCGCGGAGGCCCGCCACGGCTGCATCTGCATCCCCTCGAATCCGCATCTTTTCAGTCTGCGATGCGGAGTACTGTTCTCATGAAATAGCCGGTTCTGGACGCCGTCCTTTGTGCTAACTCCACCTGCAGCTGCAAGATGTGATGGACGGGCTCACTACCAAGCCTTATTGTTGCCCGATGTTGATGTGGAGGGGCAATCTATCTTGGTTCTTATATACCTTGCGGCACCTGTTCCCTCGAATGATTCGTTAGCATGTCTTGCAACTTTTCGAAACGCCATATCTCCTTCTCAAACATTCAAGCGCAGCTGCTTGCAGACCGCCCGTGCATCAAGACCACAAAGCCTGTCCCGGTTTCTGGGCTTTCCGAGCATAATCCGTGTGCTATAAAAAGAATTCGAGATGACCGTCCCCATTGGCCCGGCCCCGCATCCGTTGGCGGAGCTATCCCAGCTTGAATTCGTCAGGGCTCGTGATGCCATTCTCAAAATACACGGTGCCAACCAGCCGCTCTTCTTCCGCGCGATCTATCTTCAAGAGCCGGTCAAGGCGGAGTTGCTGCCGTTCCTCGAGGCCGAGCATGCCGGCCGCCTGACGGCCGCCACCCCTCGTCCCGCCAGAACTGCCTTTGTTGAGTATGATGTACTTGAGGCGGGCGCCCAGCTCTTTCACCGTGCTGTAGTCAACGCTGCTACCAGTCAAATCCTTTCCAATGACCAAATTCCACGAAAGAACAATGGCTTCCCGCACTACAATGTGTAAGTTCATGTGGTCGACGAGAAAACGAGGGCTCGAGTTCTAAGCCAGTCACTAGGAATGAGTTCGAGCTCTTCGAAGGGTATTGCCTGAAGTCTGAAAAGGTAAAGGAAGCGCTCAAAGAGTACAGGATTCCCGAAGGCTTTGAGTATTGTATTGACCCTTGGCCATATGGTGGTCCTGATGAGGATGATGGCATACCTAAATTCATGCAAGGCCTCATCTTTATCCGCGATGCTCGCAAGAAGAACCCGGATACCAATCATTATGCGTACCCTATCCCGTTGATCCCCGTGATGGATTGGTCCACGAAGGAGATCATCCGCATCGATCGCCTTCCTACTGGTGGTTCTGAAGATGGGATGGAACCGTCCATTGCCTCGGCAGAGCCAAGAAACATTTTCTCCAAGTCTGTCCCCGCGGAGTATGTCCCCGAGTTACTTGACATGCCCGCCGCTAGGGACGATCTCAAACCACTCAATGTTGTTCAGCCAGAGGGTGCATCGTTCAAAGTTCACTCAGACAACCTGATTGAATGGCAAAAGTGGCGCTTCCGCCTTTCCATTAGCCCTCGTGAGGGAGCGGTGCTTCATGACATTTGCTATGACAACCGCTCCGTGCTCTACCGCCTAAGCTACAGCGAACTCACAGTTCCGTACGGTGACCCCCGCGCACCTTTTCACCGAAAGCAGGCTTTTGACTTTGGCGATGGTGGAATCGGTCGGGCCGCCAACAGCCTCAAGCTCGGCTGCGACTGTCTGGGAGCCATCCACTACATCGATGCTTGCTTTCCCGCTGCAGACGGGTCGCCTACCAAGTTGGATTCAGCTATCTGCCTCCACGAACAAGACGGGGGTATCCTGTGGAAGCATACCAACTTCCGCACCAACCGCGGGGTTGTCGCCCGCATGCGCGAGTTTGTCGTCCAGTTCATTGGCACACTGGCCAACTATGAATACATCTTCGCCTTTAAGTTCGATCAGGCCGGTGGCATCACGGTTGAGACACGCGCTACTGGTATGGTGAGCATTGTTGGTATTGAAGACGGCAAGACGAGCAAATACGGCAACGTTGTCTCGCCCGGCATCTTGGCTCAGAACCATCAGCATATTTTTGCCGTGCGCATTGACCCTGCAATTGATCTCTATGGTGGCGATAATAATGGGCATACTCAAGTGGTTGTTGAGGAGAGCCACCCTCACAAGATGAACGCGGAGACCAATCCGCACGGCAACTACTACGAAGTCCGCCGCAACCCGGTGGAGCGGGCTACTTGGATCGACTCGGAAGTGCGCCTTAACCGCACCATCAAGCTGGAAAATCCAGTCAAGAAGAACCCCATCTCGGGCAAGAGCGTCGGCTACAAGCTCGTCTCGCCTGCGACTCAGATGCTGCTGGCGGATACGGACAGCCGGGTCGCCCAGCGTGCGCGCTTTGCTCAGCACAACTACTGGGTGACTGGGCATCGAGATGGTGAGTTCTGGGCTGCAGGCGAATTCACAAATCAAAGCACCTTCGAAGAGGGTGGCGTGTCGGATATGGTCAAGCGAGGTGATACCTTTGTCGTGGATGGTGTGCAGCCCACCAGCCAGACAAGTGCTCCGGTTGTATGGAGCGTTTTTGGATTCACACACAATCCTCGTGTTGAGGATTGGCCAGTCATGTAAGTTGATGATTCATATGCCGTCGTAGTCTGCTCGCTAATGATTCATTGTAGGCCTGTTGAAGTTCATCAGCTGCACCTGCGTCCGGCTGATTTCTTCGCTGCGAACCCAGCGCTGGATGTTCCCACCAAGAAGAACGATAGCAGTGTGCTCGTGGCATGTTGCGATGTAGACGACAAGGCAAATTGAACGAACGGTGCCAACGGGGCGAACGGTGCACACTAACGGGAGATGAGCGCCAGGATGATGCTATACTAATCAGCCACGTAAATTACGACTTAAATTGAGCCTATATTTGTCAAGTTGCAAGTAGAGTGTGTGGGATGATCTATGCAGCGTGTCTAAGTCTATTGTACAGTTATGACTCGGAGTTGGTTAGTGCTCGATCTTGAGGGAAAAGTCGACATGGGGAACGCCCTGGTGAATGGAGCTTGTGGAGATGATGTCGACATCTGCAGAACAGTTAGTAATTGATAAAGAGTTTGATAAATATCTTGCGACCCCGCCAACTCCTGACTCCTGACTCCCTGACTCCCTGACTTCCTGACTCCCTGACTCCCTGACTTCCTGACTTCCTGACCCCAAAAAGAGATAAAAAGAAACAATCAAGATACGTACCGTTGCAGGCGTAGGCGGCGACGTTGTCCAACGTCAGGCCGCCCGAGACCTCGAGCAGGAAGTGCTTCTTGCCCGCCCAGCGCTCCTTGAGCCCCCTCGCCGCGACGCGCACGCCCTCCGGGTCAAAGTTGTCTAGCATGACCACGTCCGCGCCGGCGGCCACCGCCTCGTCCGCCTGCGCCTCCGACTGCACCTCCACCTCGATCTTGAGCGCGAACCCGGCCGCCGCCCTCGCCGCCGCCACCGCGTCCGCCACCCTCCCCCCCCTGCTCCAGATGTGGTTGTCCTTGAGCATCACCATGCTGCTCAGGTCCATGCGGTGTGCGTCCGCGCCCCCCATCAGCATCCCGTACTTCTCCACCAGGCGGAATCCCGGCGTGGTCTTGCGCGTGCCCGCCAGCGCGCCCGCGAAGCCCGCGGCGCGCACCGCGTCGACGAGCGCGCGGCTGCGCGAGGCGATGCCGGAGCACCGGGCGAGCGCGTTGAGCGCGACGCGCTCGCCGAGCAGGATGCCGCGGACCGGGCCGGTGACGGTGGCGACCTTGATCTTGCCGGTCTCGGAGGAGGAGGAGGAGGAGGAGGAGGAGGAGGAGGTGCGGAGGAGGGAACCTTCGCTGAGGTGCCACTCGACGAGGCAGCCGCACTCGGTAAAGACCTGGTCGAAAAAGGGCCGGCCGGCGAGGACGCCGTCGGACTTGGCCCAGAGGGTGGCGACGCGCGGGCCGTCGCCGACGACGAAGCCGCCGTAGTCGCAGGACGGCGTGTCCTCGGCGAGCCAGGCCGTGACCTGCGTCTTCCAGCTCGGCGGTAGCAGGTGGGCGAGGTTGCCGTGGGAGAGCGGCAGTTGTTGTTGGCTGTCAGACATGGTTTTGGGCCTTGGGGAGAGTATGGGAATGAGAAATGCGATGAGAGAAGGAGCCCTTGAGAGCCTGTTTGAAGAGAGAGTTGAAGGAGGTATTTAACTATGAAACTTCACGTTTGCGGCCGACAACTCAGACGCCATCGCGGGAATGGCGGGGCAGGCTAGCGGGGCTTCTCGGTAGAGGGCGGTTCACGGCACCAGAGCTGAAATACGTTTGTGGTCATTTGACCTTGCATGTTTTTTCTATTTAATGTAAGTATTTGTCAGGTTCTTGCCCGACAATTCCGGTCGATTAAATGGATGCTGAAAGTGTTGCCTCTCACAGGAATGGCTCCACTGGACTGCAGCTGCAGGAAAATAATCCTCCGACTTGACAACTACCGGCGACTGCTGAAGCTAGAACATGCCAAACATTCCCTCAAAAGTCTTTAAATAATCTGCATAAACTGTCCTTCATTATACCAATTCATTCGTTCTCTTCTTGATACTTTTCTCGTACTTTGACCGCCCACCTAAGCCGGGCTCCAGGCCACTTTTGCGAAGCTCTCAACGTCCTCAAGCAGTGCCGCGGGTTGCTCCATAGCCTACAGACTGTTAGAAAGTGACCATCATCAAAATCATGCAGAATGCCATTTCAACTTACCGCAAAGTGCCCACCCGCCTCGTGATGCTTGAAGAAGACGAGGTTGCAGGTTTTGGCGGCCCAGCTTCGGGGCACAGGAATGATCTCGTGAGCAAACATGGAGTATCCGGTTGGTTTCTCGACGAAAGGGAGCTGAATCATCGACATGGATGTCACCTTGTTCATCTAGTCAGCTTTGCGAGCTCACGAAAGCGCCACAGGTGAGGATGCGATGCGCAGAGGACTTACCACGGAAATGCGAGTCATCTTGGGCTCATCGCCGGCACCGGCCATGGCGCGGTTGTGCCAGAAGGATCGTGAGATGGTGTCCGTCATCCAGTACAGCGTAACCGTCTCAAGAATCTTTTGCAACGGAGGATCTTGGTCCGTCCACGCCAGCATCTTCTCGCCAATCCTACTAAAAGTCAGTATCAAGTAGCTGGACAGCGTCCGGGCGCTCAGGAAGGCTCACCAGCTGAGCAACGCCAGCGGGCTAGCACTCAGGGCAAGGCCAATCGTCGCGGGCCGCGTGCCCTGCTCCAGCGCAAACGCCATGCCCGTGTCGACGGCCTCGCGCGCCTTGTCGAGCGCGGCCCTCTCCGCGTCATCTTTGGGCTCCTCGCCGCCGCCGGGGATGCTCATCATGTTGACGTGCATACCCTTGCACGAGTCGGACGTCATGGCGAGGATGCGGCTGATGAAGCTGCCGAGGTCGCCGCCCTGCACGAGATAGCCGGCTTTGAAGCCGAGCCCGATCATGAGGCTGCCTATGGCGCTGGCCGCCTTGTCCAGCCCGTAGTCCTTGTCCATCGGTGGGCCGGATGAGTAGGCGTAGCCAGGAAGCGAGGGGACAATGACGTGATATGGCAGGTCCTTGGGGGAGTACTTCTCCTTGAGAAGGTCCAGAATGTCCATGAACGAGGCAAACGAGCTCGGCCATCCGTGGAGAAAGGCAATCGGGATTGCATCTTGCCTCTCAGAAAAGAGTCCCATGAAGTGCAAGTCCACGCGGTTGCCGTCTGCGTCCTCGACGTTGGCCTTGAAGTTGGGGAACGAGTTGATGCGGTTTTCATACTTGCGCCAGTCGAAGCCGCGCAGCCACTCCTCCTTGGCCTCCTTCAGCCATTCTCTCGTTACGCCGTATGCGCGCCCGTTATGCGTATTTTCATACACGGCCGGTCCGATGGGCGACAGCTCAAGCAGTTGCTTGAAGTGCTGCACCTTGTCCTCGGGCGCGTGCGCGGTGAAAGGACGGACCTCCAGCGTAGCAGCCGCAGGAAGCTTGGAGTAGTCGGACATGATGATATATGAACGAAAGAGGGGTCAAGTTGATACTGTCAGAGAAGGGATCTAGTCGGGGTAATTGGCTTGTCACAGTGCACTAAGAACGGCGCCGGGGATTCTGTCACTTATATACTTGGTGGTCGACAATAAGTCTGCCATTTCCGATATTTGACATTTCTCAAAGTAAGCTAGAAATCGGCAATCATCTAGAATCATCAAGAAGTAGCTGTCATTTGCTAGAATCGGGCAGGATGATCTGGTCGGCGGACTTCCATTTTGGGAAACTGATGGCGCCAGGCAGCAGATCGCCGCGGCTGAGATGATGAGCCGCCTCGACTAGCATGGTTGGTTCTACAGGTTGCATAGTATCAAGTCCAATGTCAGTGTACGTCGAAAAATCATACCTCTGGGTATCATACTGAGCGTTGTTCACATACCCAAAGCACCTCCGTCGGCGACCTGTTGTTAATGCCTAAACATCTATATACAGAAGGACCTCATCCGAAGCGGCGTAGACTGTCGTTTCGCAGTAGAGGGTGTTAACAGTAGAACTCGTGATATTCGTTAAAGGTATTTGCTACAGGTCGCTTAAAATATGGTCCTGCAAAAGCACGACGACCTGATGGGCACGTCGGCCAGCGCGAGCGCTGCCTCCAGCTGCCCGGCGATCGTGTCCGCCTCCTCCTTCCTCCGCAGCGTCACAAGACACTCGTGGTAGCCGTGTAGCGCCCATACGTTGTTGCGGTGCTGATGCGCGCGCGGCAGCGAATCATCCAGGCCAAGGTCAGCCCGATAGACTGCCAGGGCCTCCTCCGCGCGGCCCTGCTCGAGCAGCAGCGCGCCGTACGCATGGCGCACCGGCTGCATCCACCCCCACGGCTCGTCGTACGGCAGGTTGTCGTACAGGCCGATCGCCGCGCGCAGGTGCGTGAACGCGACCTCGTGGTTCCCGGCGCGGTACTCGACCTCGCCGCTCAGCAGCGCCGCGGCAACACCCAGGATGTCGGTGCACGTGTTGTTGAACAGCGTCCGCGACGGCTTCACATCCGCTCGCGCGGCCTCAAACAGGGCCTGCTCCGCGCGTGCTTCCCCGACGCGCCCTTGGGCGGCGTGCGCGACGCCCTTGGCGTAGTGCGTCAGGGCGGCAGTAACGCAGTAGAGCGCGGTGTCCGCGGGCAGCGGCAGCGCGAGCACCTCGTCCCAGCGACCGAAGCGCACGAGCGCGTGCACGCGCATGCCCAGAAACGCCTCGAGCCAGTCGGCCATCGGCGGGGAGCGCACGCGCAGAAGCTCCTCGGAGATGCTGGCCTCGAGCCGCGCGACCGTGTCGAGCGCGAGCGCCGACTGCCCCGCGAACAGGGCGCCGTAGAGGAGGAAGTGGTAGTCGTGGCTGCGGTAGAGCGTGTAGAACTGGAGGGCGCCCTCGCGGGCGAGGAACTTCTCGTCGGCTGCGACGGCCGCGGTGTTGGCGCGCCCGGCCGCCGCGTAGTCGCCGACCAGCACGTCGATGTGGCTCGGCATGTGCTGCAGGTGGCCGGCGTCGGGCACCAGCCCGCGGAGGGCGTGCGGACATCTCCATCAGGTGCACGTACATGTGCAGCGCGCCCGGGTGCCGCCGGCCGCCAGGCAGGTTCAGCGCGTGATCCAGGACGCGCTTGGCCTCGAGCGTGCGCGCGCCGTTGGAGGTGGCGGGCTCGCCGGTGCGAACGTCCCAGAGCGCCCACGGGGTCAAGTTCATCAGGGCGTCGGCGTACAGTGTCGCGACGTCTAGGTCGTCCGGGAAGCGCGCGGCGACGGCGCCCATGGCGTCCGCGTAGGCCGCGTTCCAGATGCTCGTCTTCTCCTCGTCTTCGGCCTCGGAGGGCGCTTCACGCTGCGGGTAGCGAAAGTGCAAGGCTTCGATCAGTCCCTCCTCGACCAGCGAGAGGGACGGAGAGGTCTCCTTTGCCAGCGCTGCCGCCTTCTCCATGGCGTCGTGGGTGCGCTGCGTGGCCGACGCGCGCTCGTCGGCCTCGAAGAGCGCCCACGGTTTGTTGTAGTTGGGACCGAGGGAGTAGGCGAGGCCCCAGTAGGCCATGGCGCATTTGGGGTCGGCCTGGATGGCATGCTCGAAGCACTTGGCCGCCTCCTCGTGGTTGAAGCCGTAGGACCAGACCAGGCCGCGGTCAAACCACGTCTGCGCCTCCTTGCTCGCGGTGGTGACGGAGCGGGAGTGAGTGCCCAGGTCGTAATATTCCATTGCTGGGCAAGTGAATCTGATATACGCCGACTTAAGTTTCAGATGAGATGGTTTGAGCAAGTTAAAGAAGCTAGCTTGGTCAGATGGGGAGGGTGTAATTGGCCGTTTGCACGTTATGTCACCCTCGCAGATGGGATGCACGCACAAACGCGGGGCTATCTAGGGGTCCGTCAACAGCAGCATTGAGTGCATGTTTGAGACACACGGTCAAAGAGAAAATCAGGGCGAAAATGGCAGAAGAAGATTTTGAAATTTATTGTTACCTTAGTTTCATTTAATAGTCTTCCCTCCACCCGTGCTCTATTTCTTCCCTTGAGTTGGCAACGGCTACAGCTGCAGAGGCGAGCTACAAATTCATCCGCCTAACATCCACAGCGCCTCAAACGGCTGACCCTAGAAGCAGAGGTGGGCAAAATAACCCGAAACAAATATTGCTTAACCTTTACTAGTGAGTACGGAGATCTGCCCTGATGCTACCAGTGATAACAAGGCCGGCCCCAAATGGGATACTTGGTTACGCATAGAACTCGACGCCTTACAACAAGTGGTCCAACGGGTATTGTGGCCACAGCCATTGTGACAGCGGATGGCACACTATGATTCACATCTTAGTGATTGTCACAAGCCTACTAGGCAGGTATTAGCTGACTTGACCATTCCAAACCTTGAGATTGGTCCAACGCCAGTCCGCGGACGTGCGACGCCCTACGCCGAACACGCCGTTCCCCACCGGCTCCGACATCCTGCAGTAAGAAAGGGCGTGCAGGTCATACGAGTATTCAAGTCGACAAGTAATTCACTTTACCCAGACTCAATTTGCAGTCTGTTATTTATAATCATCATCATCCTCATCATATACTCGTCAACACCGTCACCATGTATCTTCGAGCTGACCACGCGGATGCCGACACGGCCACGCTGCGCCGCATGGTTCGAGAGAACCCGCTGGGAATACTCACCACGGCGATTCCTTCCGACCACTTCCCCATGATCCAATGCTCGCACATTCCTTTTCTACTTGACGTGGAAGACGAGACGGACGAGGCGGAGCAAGGCATCCTACGCGGCCACATGGCCCGCGCGAACCCGCACACCAAGGCGCTGATTGAGGCCGCGCAAGCGGCGGCAGACGCGGCCGGCGGCTCCCCCGACGGGTACCTCGAGCAAGAGGTCATGGTGCTCTTCAACCTCCCCGTGCAGCACTACGTCACGCCCAAGTTCTACACCGAGACCAAGCCCGACAGCGGCAAGGTGGTGCCCACGTGGAACTACGCCGCCGCGCAGGTCTACGGCAGGATCCGGGTGTACCACGACACCAAGTCCGACGCCGCCGGCCGATTCCTGGCGCGGCAGATCTCGGACCTGAGCGACGCGAGCGAGCGCTCCATCATGGGGTACACCGGCTCGGGCTCGGCGCCGCGTGGGTGGGCGGTGACGGACGCCCCGGAGCGGTACATCGCGCTGCTTAGCAAGGCCATCGTCGGCATCGAGATCCGCGTCGACCGGTTGCACGGCAAGTTCAAGATGAGCCAGGAGATGGGCGAGGGCGACCGCGCGGGCGTCGTGGCGGGCTTCCGCGCCTTGGGCACGGAGATGGGCGCGCGCATGTCCGAGACGGTGGAGGAGCGCGCGGCGCTGAAGAAGGCGAGGAAGGCGGCCGCGCAGCTGGCGAACTGAGGGACTTGCGGTGATGCAAGGTTCGGCCATACCAGTTATGTGGTCGAGAGCACTGGGCGACGGCTCCTGGGCTTTCAACAGCTGTCCATGGGGTCTGTCTGACGGGACAGAACGTCTTCTTCTCTGCCAGTCGACAAGGTCATTTAACAAGCAGCAAATATTTTCGAATAAATAAAGAAAGAAGTGATGCCTTGACCTACACTGCTTCCTGGTGTTCTGTACATATTAGGCTACGGCGAGAGCCGCTGCAGTAACCGCGGCTATTGCATGACGGGATCGTGGACAGGGGATGCTGGGCCGCCAAGACTGTAACTTACAAGTATCTAATGCAGTAAAGCCGAGAAAGCCAATTACTGTACGACATGTTTCCTTGGGGCGAGGCATTGACTTCTTGGCGGCCCTGATCATCCGTGCGCCCGTGTGTACGCTGCACGACAACGGGTCTGACGGATTCGGTATTCCAAAATCAATTGGCAAATGACAGCAGAGGAGGACGAAGCTAGACAACTGTTCATGCATGCGCTTCGGCCAACTAGAAGGCATCCATGGTTGGGAGTAGCCTGGACATAAGCACATAAGCAGTACGCGGCGGTGGATCGGTGATCCTTCGGCGCGGCTCGGAATGCCCTGACCGAGGACGGCGAGATCGGCAAACTCGACCAACTGGGCCGGATGACCGTGATCGATGGCGAGATGAAGCGCGAGATGTTGGCAAAGATTTGCATATAATGACAACACTATAATGGGAAGAGCAAATTAACTATGGGTAGTTGTCGGGGCAGCCACATGACGGGCGGTGCCCCCCCGCAACCGCCGTGTAAGTAGGCAGCAGGCCATACACGGAGTATTACGGTACAGCCCATGGCTGATAGGTAGGAAAGTGAGCACAATTACCTCGTACTCCATAAGACTTCGAGCGAGGTGTATAACGATAAATGGAGGTGTGGAGCGTAGGACATGTAAGTTAGTAAGATGGCATTTCATTGCGTAACATGGTGAAGCGAGCGTGTGGTCAGAAGTCCTGATCAAGACCACACAAAAGTCGTGCTGCGCCAATCCTTCTTGGCATCACATCATTACCTGTCTCAGTCGGTCTCCGTAGGTACAAGGCTCGCTTGGCCTGCATATTCGTATAGAAGCCAGCTGGCTAAATACTGCAGCGAGATTGCTGGCAGAGATATTAGCGGTCAAAGTCGGTGACTCGCGGGTCCAACAGCCAGGCTTGGGTACATACACACATACAAATAGGTAGTTGGGGTACATAATAAATAGGCACAGTGCATAGTAATAGTTAGTGAGGCGGGCGGAATTTAGACTACTGAAAGAAGCTTATTACCCCCTCCCGTGGCGGAAAGCCACTGCTAGAGAATTAGAATGGGAAGAACCGTCTCCAATGAATCCACCACAGAACAATCTTCCCCCTTTCAGTGAGTTGGCCTGGCCGTATCTCGGCCTTGGCATGAGGGGATAGAATAAGAGAAAAAGGGCAATTGGCGGGAGCGAGGGCCGGAACATAAAAAAGCCAAGCATTTGAATAGATTAGCCAAGGAAGAGAAGAAACAAGAGAGCCAAGTGCCAAGAGTGAAGGGGGCTGGCTGCGCCCATCAGCCTGGGCAAGCCCGCAAAATCAAAAATCAGGCGTCTCCCCTCCCCCGGGCAGGCCAGGCCAAGCCAGCAGGGTCTTGGGTCTTGTCAAACAAACACCACCGCTTTTCCATCCATCCTCTTCAATCATCTCGTCATCCTAGAACCAACTCCTGCATCAGCACTTCGATTCACATCCCGCTACAGCATCGTCTCCATCGGGTCCCGGACACCAACACAAATCATATCCCCGTCGCCCAATGCGGCGTCTACCTGCGATACTGCATTTGTCAGCGTCTCCGCCTCTCCCTCCGCCGCCCAAGCTAGCAGCAGCACGATGGAAGTCTTTGGGTTGAAGAGCCAGTCGCTGCGGTACGAGATGGACGGCTTCGGTAGCGTCCAGATGTATCTCACGACACCCTCCGACTACTCCGGCCTCACACCTCGCACCGCCCACACTCACCACCACCACCCTGGCCGTCATTCCTTGATGCAAGCAGCCACCGCCAACAGAAACACAATGTCTGCCGTGCCTACACAATACCAGCGCCTGCAACAGCATCCCAAGACGACGCTCGTCGTCGGCGCCTCGCGCGGCGTCGGCAAGGAGCTCGTGCGGCAGCTCGCTCAGCAGCACCCAGAGGCCCGAGTCATCGCCTCCGTCCGCAGCCCCGTCGACGACGACGACGACGCGGGCGACGATGACGATGGCCACCCTGCCGGTAACGTGCGGCACATCACGCTGGACCAGTCCTGCTCCAAGTCAGTCAGCGAGGCGGCCCTCGCCGTCGGCGCGCTCGACACGCTCATCGTCAACGCCGCAGTCGGCGACGACGAGCGGCTGCTCGACACGTCCGACGAGCGCATGGCGCGCTACCTCGACGTCAATGTGACGGGCGTGCTGCGCGTCGTCCGCGCCTTCCTTCCCGCGCTCAAGGCCCGCAAGACGCGGCAGGTGGTGCTCGTCTCGTCGACGTCGGGCTCGCTCGCGCGGCAGGTCGGCGCGCGGGCGGGGTTCCGCGGCCCGTATGCCGTGTCCAAGGCCGCGCTCAACATGCTCGCCGTGCAGCTGCATAACGAGCTGCACGCGGACCACGGCTTCACGGTCGTGCCCGTCCACCCCGGCTGGGTGGCGACGGACATGGGCCGCAGAGCGGGGGATGGCGGCATGCCCGTGGCGGAGAGCGCGGCCGGCATCGTCAAGGTGGTCGTCGGGCTGACGCCGCAAAACTCGGCCACGTTTTATAGCTATGACGGGACGATCTTGCCTTGGTAGATGACGAAATCACTTACTTCCCCGAGGCACATCATGTATATATGATCAAGACTGCTTTTTGGGTAACGGATAATACAGAGCCTTCTTTTCGTGATGACCATGAATCACTTACTTTCTGCTGCATGAGAGGGAGTGCGTCCAGCCGCAGTCGGTGTTGAGACGGAACACTATCAGACGAGAATTGAGCCACGGGGTGAGCCGAACCGAGAACAGCCTCCAGCGCTGAGATATTGAATGTACCTGCGCCACGTAGCTGAGGTGTGAGCTGTAGAGTCGCGGCATCCAGCCCTTGTTTATGATCGGTTGAATTGCTTTAGTGCTTTGGCAGTCAAACAGGTGCTGCTTAACTTCAGGAGTTTGGACTCCGAGCTTGGTTGGCCATGTCCAAACCTTGAACAGCGGGTATGGCCATCTCCGGACCCGTCATGATGGGACGCCAAATCTATGACACTGCAGAACCACTGCAGCGGGCACGCCTGCAACGGGAAGCTAACAGATCCGCTAACAGCCAAGATTTGAGGGCTTGATCGAACGGCGCTGAACTCGCACGTGTGCTGGTAGCTCCATCAAATAAGGCCTTGAAAGGCTACTGTACTGGTACACTGCAACCCTCCACGCCCAGAGACACCCTGCAGCCAAGGTGACCACCACCACGATAACCCATCTTGCAGTGCTGCGCCATTTCTACACAAATCCCATCATGAGAATCCCCATCGTTGCAAACAACGCCAATCCCCAAAATAGGCCCGTAAAATGTGACGTAGATGGGCGGATTCTCCATCCCGCTAACTTGGACGGCCCTCGGCGCTCCCTATCACGGCGCTGCTCCCGTTGCGCTACAGCGCACTAACCGCCTCTAGGGAAAGCCACAGTGTGCCGGCTCGCCCGTCCAAACCAGGATCAAGCAAAACACCCGAAACTGGGCTTACCTGGAGCGGCACCCAGGCCTACAGTGCATCCGCGATCCCATAACTACCGCACCAGGTGTGGCCGAGAAAGATGGGATGCACAGCAGTAGCAGCGCGGGGAGCATTCTCTCCGCTCGGCGCCCGCCCTGTCCTTCATCTTCTCATCTCTACATCAACATCCCCGCCCGCCTCGTCTGGCTCAGAGTATTTGCCGTCAGGGATGAAGAGCACGATTCGATCAAGATTCATCATATCCCATCATGGATCCCGCTGCCCGACATCCTGAGGAGAAGACGACGACCATGACCAAGAAGCCGGTCGACGAGACGAGCCTCAGCGCGCAGCACGTGTCCCCCTCGGCGTCCGACGCGGGGGGGCGCGAGGACGGGAAGCCGCCCATCGGCATCGCGGCCTCTGACGAGCTGAGGGGGTCCGTCAGCGCCGAGCAGCCTGGACTGGTGATGCCCGCGCTCACCGACACCGCCCAGATCCCGATGACCACGACGGCCGAGATCTGGTCCTGGTACACGTACTATATCGGCGCCAACGGCCTCGCGCTCTTCAACTTTGGCCCGACGGCCTTCCAGAACCTACTCAGCCAGGCGGCCGGCGGCGACGACGGGCTGCTGCACTTCGCTGGCGCCGACCGCGACGTCAACAGCATCGTGCTGCTCGCCAACGGCATCTCGTTCGCGCTGCAGGCCGTGCTGTTCCTCGCCATCGGCGCCTGGGCCGACTTTGGCGCCGCCGGCCGCCGCGGCGTGCTGCTCGTCTGGTCGCTCGTCGCCTACGCCGTCGGCTTCGCCTGGCTGGCCGTCCACGAGCCGCACCAGTGGCAGGGCTCATCGCGTACCAGCTGACGCTGACCTACTGGACGGCCGCGTTCCCGTCGCTCGCGCGCAACACCCGCTGGATCCGGGACTCGCGCGAGGCGCTCGCCACGGGGGAGATCTCGCTGCCGGAGATGGACCGCCGCGACGAGATGGAGCGCAGCCGCCTGAGCAACGTCGCCTTCTACGTGCAGTCGGTCGCCGAGATTGCCATCCTCGCCGTCATCGTCGGCATCATGTACGCGGTGCACGTGCGCCGCAGCGTCGAGGACAACAACTGGGGGCTCTCGGTGCTCATCGCCTTCGCCACCGGCGTGTGGCTGCTGCTGTCGCTGCCGTGGTTCGTCGTCGAGAAGACGCGGCCGGGGATGCGGATCCCCGCGGGGCTCAACATCGTCACCGTCGGCTTCTGGCAGCTGCGCGAGGCGGCCGTCCAGATCTGGCAGCTGCGGCAGAGCCTCATCTTCCTCGCCGGCTACTTTTTGCTCGGCGACTCCCTCAACACCACCGTGACCGTCATCGCCACGCTGCAGAACCAGGTCATCGCCTACGACACGCTCAAGCTGACGTACCTGCTCATCGTCGGCATCGCCGCGCAGGCGGTCGGCATCGGCCTCTTCTGGCTGGTGCAGAAGCGCATGCGGCTCGGCGCCAAGACCATGTTCAACGCCGTCATGGTGTCCATCCTGCTGCTCGACGGCTGGGGCATGGTGGGCAACTGGACGGGCCGGTTCGGCTTCAAGAACGAGTGGGAGATTTGGCTGTACCAGGCCTTCTACGGGCTCGCCGTGTGCCCGTGGTACAGCTACTCGCAGATCATGATCTCGTCGGTGACGCCGCGCGGCCACGAGTTCCTCTTCTTCTCCGTCTTCAACATCATCGGCAAGGCGTCGAGCTTCATTGGGCCGCTCATCAGCAGCCGCATCATCGACGCGACGCCGGGCGGCACCAACAACAGCGCACCCTTTTACTTCCTGTTCGGCCTGAGCCTGCTCAGCGCCGTGGGGCTGTGGGCGTTTCTGGACCTCGAGAAGAGTGCGCGCGAGCAGGAGGTGTTTTTGGCAAAGGAAAAGGCCAAGATGGGAGATGACGGAAGTGATGTAACGACGGCGTGAACAGAAGGCGGGGGACTAGTTCTATTTGTAAATTTACGTCATATTTTGACCGGCGACGCTGTCTGTCATTCGCTTTAATCCGGAAGCATAAGTACATGTCTCCTGCCACTCCAGATTCAGATCTATCTCACCAGATGGGGCGCAAATGATAACCAATTACGGATAGCATCACCGTATTAACAAAATCACCGCTGTAGATCCTGTTTGGTACGAACGGTCCATAGAACCGGGGGGGGGGTGTACGGATACTTACTGGTACCTGGCCTTCGTCTTTTGACTAGCCTCCGGCAGCCACGGCAGCCGTTCCGGCCGCTGCTAGTTGGACGCTGGGTCAAGCCAGAGTTAATAAATTATTATTAGTGCCGCAGGTTCTCCTGCATTGAGACAGGGAGGGATGATAGGATAATAATCAAAGCTGAGCCTCCTTCCCTGTGGCTGTATGTGGACAGAGAGGGCTCCTGCTCGAGAGGGTTCGCCTGCCTGGCTGACAAGCAAGGTCATGAAAGCGGTCGCAATACCCGTACAAGAAATTCTATAAATAAAACTGAATTAATGAATCATATACCATTCGTGCGGAATTTGCGGCCATGGGTCATGGTCGCCAGTCGCCGTCGCACAGTAAGTACACTTGCCTATCTTCCATATCAAGCTACATAGGCACAGAAGGACTCACCAACAACATCACCTTAGGCAGTCTCGTGAGCAGCCTATACTATACCTTCCCCATGCCGTACTATGTTGTGCGCCTCTCGGAAATTATTTGACGATGGGATGAACGAGCAAAGCTTGGACCCCTTGTCAGATCGGCACAGGGATTCTGAGGCTGCAACGGCAGCCGAAGTTTTCCAAGCAAACGAGCCGCCCAGGAAGGACACGACTCCCGGAATTCACATCACATGCACTCGCATACAATAAATAACCCAATTGCACCGCGCCGGAGGAAAATTGCCACGTTGTCCCTGTGACAACGGTGGCTTCCCTTTTCTTGGCTTGCCTTGCCGTATTGACAACATTTGAGGCGGGATTCCGCCTCAGGTCAGCGGTCTGTCCGGGGAGCAAAGCCGTTTCCCGCCAGAATCTTTTTGCTCGCGGCTCATTGGCTCGAGACCGACATTTCTGCTTACCCGCAGGTAAATCTTATTCTCCCTCCTTCTTCTACAGGACCAATTTACAACGTCATGAGACTTGCTTTCGACCCGGGACTTGCAGAAGCGGCCTGCCTACCGACCTAATTCATGGCCTCCTTGGCGCTGATATCGCTCCTAGTACAACATCCAGCTGATCGCGTTACTTGTACGGGCAAGTCGCGTTCCTTACTCTGCAGGAGCTTTGCTGCAGCTAGAGCAGACGCAGACGTAAGAGCTGTGCTGCAAGAGAAGCAGAAGCAGAAGCAGAAGCAGACGCAGAAGCAGAAGCAGAAGCAGAAGCAGAAGCAGAAGCAGAAGCAGCAACCAGCCACATCCTCGTCCTCTCCCCCGTCGGTCCCAGAAGGAGGATCTGCCCCCTGCGGCATCCGCTTGCTGCAAACGCTCTCCAACAAATGATTACAGACGCAACGCGAAGTTATGCATACAAGACGATCTGCCGAGAGCACCGGATTAAGGATCAAGGATCAAGGAGCAGGCCGGTTAATAACGGGACACTGCGAATATGAAGTGCTTAAGCAACAAGGGTGCGCCCATGTGCGTGGTGCGTGGTGCATGGTGTGACGCCAATTTCTGCCCGACCTTGAGGCTTGACACCATCTGCCCGCCAACCCCGTGCCTTGTGGCATACCAGAAAGGGATATTTCCCCTCTGGAGAAAATCATAGCTGGACGGAACGCAGCACTCGGCGCCACCCTTTTTGCCACTAGCACCAAGTATGTATGTACGTCCTCAAATCCCTTGCTCCCCACGTTGCCGCCAGAGACGGAGGAGGAAGAAGAAGATAGTTTCCTCACCGATGTGGAACTCGGCTGTTTATGCCGCAAGCGTATTGACTGATGGTCGGGCAGCTTCTACGGCTTCTATCATGCGAGTGCGGTGTATGAGGGATGAGGGATCCGCGGGATCTCGCAAACGTGCGCTGCGAGACGAAGAGTACATACAGTACATGCTCCGCCGACGTCATTTCGCGGGGTCATGTACGTCGCATCAAGAGTACTTCCACATGTACGGCAGGCAACCAGGGCCGCATGTCATTACCGCCTCTCATCCCATGAATCTACTTTTCCAAGGCTCTGCAGCCGCAGAAAGGTACTCTCTCGCTCTGTCCGTCTACCTCTCTGCAGCATCAGGCTGGTTCGAATACAACCTCGCAGCTTCAGCCACGCTGGACTCTTGAAAGTTCGGTCAAGCAAAAACTGCTCTTCCAGCACACGTCAAGTACACACACCTTCCCTACTCTGTCGCAAAAATGAGACAGGTCAATGCATGTGAGCTTGTTGATATAAGTTTGACCGCTAGTTCTTGTGCATAGTCAAAGAAATCTCATCACGGGCTGGACCGTGGACGCGGATTCATTGGCAGTCTCGTTGCAGTTCTTGGCCACTTATCCGGTCTGTGTGACACATCTATGTAGTTGATCATACGTGGCTCGTGGTGCTAGACGAGGAGGCGAGCCTTGGTGAGTATTCGTGTTCTCGATCCGCAGCTAATAGAGTTGCCAACAGCGTCAAGTCTACGCGCAGAGAAATCAACTCATTGTCCTACACCGCGTGTCACACGACTCTTTCTTGTGCTCTCCGCGGCCGGGGAAGGCGGCCCAACCAATCACACAGAGCAAAGTTTTTCGTTCCTTGCTGCTACTTTCGGCGCCCAAGAAGCAGTTGTGTTTGGGTAGTTAACCATGAACAAATTTACCGCTAGAATATGGCCACCGCAAATTGGCGGTTGTCGATGGAAGCCTGTGATTTGAATGGCAGCCATCAGGCCGCAATCCCATACACCCAGCACGTTTTATATATAACTCGCCTTGCTCCCGAGCTTTTTACCATGCCATCACCAAGAAGCAAACCTGGCACAATATTGGATACTCATCATCTTCACGTTCATCAGAGACACTAAGTGTTGAGCATATTCCATTTCCATACAGTATGTATACATGCACTCTCAAGGTGCCTTATCCTTCCCGCTAACGTCAGTCCCGCATGCAAGACCTTATCACCATGCCTGGCTCCCCGACACAAAAGACACCTTCCAACGACGAGAAGTCGAGCTCTGCGGGGGGACAAGCCACCACCGCAGCCTCGGCAGCCACTACAGCGCAAGAGCCTACTGTCGCTGCAGGAAGGGCCCAAGACGCGCAGAGACAGGCCACATGCGAGGCCCAAGTCGGTGGCAAATCTACCGAGCAAAATGGCCGACAGCATGACGACGCCCTGGGTACCGACCAGCAGACGAATGACGACGGGCTGTCGCAAATAGTCGGCCTAAGGTAAATCCCATCCTACTTTTCCATCGTTTGATGCCCAAGGTCAAGTACTCACCGACCATGTTAGCCAGACGGAGGGTGCAGAGGAAGAAGACTCGGCGCGACGAGAGGCAGTCCAGGCGGAACGGAACTCTGAAGTACCTTGGGGAATCCGTCAATTTTGGGAGGACGACGACAATGTGCCAGTTTGGGCACGACCGCCACATGCATCCCAAAGGGCGGCGCATAAATTTTACAAGGACAGAGCGGCGAGAGTCATCCGTAACGTCAACGTCTATTTCCCCCTCCCGCACCAATGATGGTTTCTGCTGTCCTATTCTTCAATCTGTTAGATTTCTGTTTCATGTTTGGACGATTTACGTTTGAACTTGTTGAGCGGCATGAGCACTTATATATACCCCCTTAGCTTAGACATTTCGCAAGTGGTTCACAGTTGTGCTACCACGCAAAAGCCTTGAATCACATTTTCCCTTCCCACGCATATGACTGACTCATTCGCCATGAATGCGTGATTGAGTGACGAAGCTGTACCGCCCACGTACTGGACCACCCGCGTTTTGGCAACGTAATCCTTTCCTCTGATTGTGGCATGTTCAGGGCAAGGGCATGGTCAACCCGCCGTCCATGCCGCTTAGTGTAGGGCTGAGACGGCGGGCGAGTCGAGAGCCATCCATTCTCAATGGCCCGTCTCGACCTCTGCAAGCACTTCCTCGTCGCATCCCCATTGGCGGCATTCAACGAGAGAGAGTAGTAGCCCAATAGCATCGCAGCTGCGAGCGTGCCCAACGCCGGCGTTCCAGAATAGGAAATCCAGGGGATCGATGGCCCACCTGGGGGGGGGGAGGGTTCCATGGTGATCTCGGCGCCCCCCGGGCCCCCCGGTTTTTTCGTATTCCCTTGGGCGCGCCGTGTGAAGCGAGCCATCCAGAGGCCGGGCATTAGTGGTCAGCTCGGTGCTAGGTTCCGGCGCATGGTCGGACGACCGAATTGCAGAGGGGAAATACGCCCCAACTCCGAGCGGTGATGGGAAATGATGGCGGAAACCGATACGAAGCAATCTTGAGCGTAGAATAGAAGCGTCATGGTGTAGTTTCCAGAAATATCGGATGGGCGCGTGAATGCATGCTCAGGTGAGTGAAGGCAGTCGCGAGGCAGAATGTCGCCCCACCAGTGAGCCCTGGTGGTCGCTGTTGACTCACACCGTTGAACATATAAAGCGAGCTCTGCCGTGAAATGGTGACTTGGGATTCGTAATATTCAACTGCAAAAGAAAACAAGTTATCCTACAATGAAGGTAAAACCTATTGACCTCGACGGACGGACGGGCGAAGGCGGTGGCCAGCTAGTACGTGTGGCCGTCGGCCTCGCAGCTCTTACTTCACAGCCCGTCAGAATCACCCACGTTCGAGGCAACAGAGAGGGCCCCCGCGGTGGCGGTGAGTTCTGGCGTGTTTCTTTGATACGGGCAAAGCTAACTATCCGCCAAAGGCCTCAAGGCTCAGCACGTTACCTCCATTCAATGGCTGGCAGACGTCACCGGTGCCCACGTGGAAGGCCTCTGCGTTGGCTCCAAGACGCTCACCTTTATCCCCAAGACCGGTCCGGCAGACCTCGCCGGTCGCTCGTTCGAGATCAAGGCAGATACGGACGCGGCCAGTGCGCTGCTCATCCTGCAGGCGATACTCCCGTTCGTCCTGTTCGCCGCCGGCAGCGACGACAAGCGCGGGCCGCTCAGTATCACAATCCACGGCGGCACCAACGTGCAGTGGTCGCCGAGCTACGAGTACTTTGACCAGGTCCTGATGCCGGCGCTGGAGAGCCACTTCGCCATCCGGATAGACAGGAAGCTCAGCGGGCGCAGTTGGAGCCAGGGCAGGTCGTCGCCAGGGTCCATCGCGCTCACGGTGCACCCGGTAGCGAAGGGCGGGCGGCTGCGCTGCGCTCCCCCGCCCAAGCACCCCGCATGCTGTGAGGTCAAGACGGTCGACATCAGCGTGCTCGCGCCCGGCCACGCGCACGAGCAGCTCCAAGGCGAGCTCTTCCGGAACCTGGGCGAGCTGTACCCCGAGGCGGAGCTGCGGGTGAGGCTAGTCGAGGACTCGGGCTCCGATCAGAAGTGGAACGTGCTGCTCGTCGCAGAGTCCCACGACGGCATCCGCTGGGGCAGGGACGTGCTGCGCGGCATGCCTAAGAAGATGAAGCCATCGGCGTCGGCGTCGGACGCCTTTGCGAGGCAGGTGGCGAGCGCGGTGTGCCGCGACCTGCACGAGGAGACGGAGCTGGGCGGCCAGGTGGACGAGCACCTGCAGGACCAGCTGGTGGTCCTGCAGGCGCTCTGCGAGGGTTACTCGTCCTTTCCGCGAGGCGGCGAGAGTCCGCCGGGGGAATCGGGGCCGGAGGCGAGCCTGTCAGGCGCGTTGGAGAGCCTCTCGCTGGAGGGGGATCGCCTGCGGAAGGACAAGACGCGAGATCCGTTTGGCCATGGGTCGATGCATACGCAGACGGCGCGCTGGGTGGCCAGCCAACTGCTGCCAGCGGCCGAGTTTTATAACAAGGGGAATTTTGTCAAGGGGGTAGGATTCTCACTGTAGATGGCACGAAGGGAAGGGCGACAGAGTACATATACAGAGTACGGTTCTGAGCATCATGTAGGATCGACATGAAAGTGGTGGTGCTTCACGGTCATTAAGGTTGCTTTGATTTCAGGGAGAAGTACGGATACAGTGCAGCCATCAGTATTAGTAGCACCTATAAAGTACAGCGCCAGAACTCCCACACAGCGCTGAGGCTTGGTCGTTTCACCGAGCTCCAGTGGAGTTCGGGGCCGGAGAAACCCAGCTCCCCAGATTAGCGAAGTACCAGGGTCCCTGGGAAAGCAAGCTGGTTGCTGTGGCAGAAGTTAGAACGGCCCCAAAGAAATTTAGACGACGGAGACCTTCCAGCTTCCAACTAGATTCATTCAGTAATCCATCCATCACCCGTCGCCTCTCACACATTTTCACGGTCCCTCGCACCGATACACATCCATCTTGGCACGACGATGCCTTTAATTCTTCACAATGTCCCCGACGAGGAGCGCTACGTCGGCGACGACGGCCTAACGCGCCCTTATGCCATGATCTTTGGCCAGTATGTCCGCCAGCTCTACCCATCAAGTATCATCGCTAACATCGACGCGGCAGGAACGAAGGCGGTCCCGCGACGGGTATGCGTGCGCGACGAGCGGTAGCGGAAACAGGTTCCTTTGGCAAGTCGACGCGGCGCTCGCGCTCTCGCACCGGCACACCTGCCAGAGGCGCCAAGGAGAATCCGACGCTCGCCGCGGCCGACAAAGTCTTCGGCGACTGGCTATCGAAGCAGAATAACAAAGAGAGCAGCAGCAACGGAAACAACAATAACTCAGCCGGCGGTGGCGGCAGCTCCGCCGCAGCCCGAAAATCAAGCCAGCAGGAGGACGCGGTGCCGCAGCGCGGCGCGGCGCAGTCGACGCCCGTCGAGCTCGTCCTCCGGGGGTACCGCTCCGCGGCGCAGCAGTACGCGGCCATCTGCCACTACGAGGAGCTGGCCGGGTCGGTGCTCGAGGACTACCCGCGGGACCCGCCGACGGCGCAGCGGCGGTACAAGTCGGACCTGCGCGACCCCGCGTACACGCGTCGGCGGCGGCACCTGACGCCCGACGAGCGCGCGCTGGTCAACCGCGCCGACGGCGGCGACCACTGGGTCAAGGTGACGTTTGAGAGCGCCGAGGCAGCCAACGCCGCCCTCTACGCGAGCCCCCAGCGCATCCTCGGCCACCTCGTCCACGCCGAGCCCTACCGCGGCCTGCCGCTCGCCCGCGACGAGGCCTGCCCCGACACGGGCGACCAGCCCTTCTTCGCCGCTGGTGGGGATCTTCCTGGCGTCGGTGGCCTGACTAGGTCCCAGAGCGTCCCCGCCAACGTCGGCGACGCTGCCGGCGGCATCCGACGCGCCGGAGGCCTGCCGCAGTCGTTTGGCAGCCGGCTGCTTGACCTCAGCACCGCGACGCCCGACTCCCGCCGGACCAGCGAGACCCTCGACACCGCCACGCTCTCGACGTCCCGGGCGTCGACGTCCACGCTCATCGACCCCTTTGGCGCCCACGCCGTCTTCACCCCCGTGACGGAGCAGCCACCGATCGAGATCCCGCCCGAGGACAGCATCTTCTGCCGCCGGATACCCACCGCGCGCCGCGCCCGCCTGCTGCCCGCTGAGCAGGCGCTGCTGCCGCAGCAGTCGGTCGTGCAGCGCCTCGTCGCCGCGGTGCCGTTCATCAACTGGTTCGGCGGCAGCATGATCGGCAACGAGCTGCCGCGCACCGAGGCGGGCGAGTTCGACTGGAACCGCGCGAGCCTGTACTGGAAGTTCATCTGGTGGCTGGACGCCACCTTTGGCCTGTTCCGCGGCGACGTCTACAGTGTCGACAAGGACGAGTAAGGGAGGGGAAGCGTGCATTTTCAGCGGTTCGTGGCCCTCCGGGTGGTTTGCATTCACGGCGACAAAGTCAACATAACTTTTTTAGATTGTTTTTTTCTGCATGCGCATGGTGGTCAGGGATGGATAACGAGGGATTGAGGACTGCATTAGGCGTTTGTTGTATTATCTCTGTTCTATATTGCTAGATGAGTGGGCTTCATCTCTTTTCCTCTGCGGCAGTGTTTTGCCACAAAACACACAACAAGAATGTCAACCTTTTTGCGCACGTTTTGCGCAACTTAATCACAGCGAAAGCAGTCGCATTAATTCTATGGTGTACATGTAGTAAAAACTCTAGTACTAACTATACAAGATGTAAGAAAAGGTCGCCCATCAATGTCTTCAAGTCCCCGCGTGAAGACATGATGCAAATAGTAAATCAGACGAAAAAGGCCAGCTCCCGAAAATCATGAAAAGAGTGAGACACAAAACTGAACAAGTGCAATATGCCAGTAGCTCATCGAACGTGCAACACTTGCAGGTGAGCAATGGCGCTGAAATAACAGAAAACAGAACCAAAACAGAAGCACAGTGGTGGGTTTGAAAGTAAGATGCAGACTTGGAGTTTCCCACCTCCGATGAGACGATAATTTGTGACGCTCAAGAGCCCCATCCACTTCCAGGGGAGCTTTCATATGCCAGGATGTTTCCATTGTCTCGAGGCTCCGGTGTTCTCGACCCCGATCGCCTCCCACGGGAGTCGCTGTCGCTCTGTTCCTCATCTTTAGACGAGTCAGCCACGGGTGTGGCGGCGGTCGTTGCACCACCATTCTCACCAGGCACGCTGCCGTCCTCACCGGTTTCCTGCTGCTGCTGCGTATCACTGTTGGTGAACGCGCCCAGTGAGTCCTCCGTAATCTCCATGGGGGCTCGACGGATGGGCTGTGGCGAAAACGGGCGCGCGTTGCGCGGCTTGTTGAAGTCGGCCGGCGCTTCGGCCTCGGCAGCAGCGGCTGGGCGCGCATCCGAGGCCAGCGCCGTCAGAGACTGGTACCGGTCCGGGTCGGTGAGGAGGCTGTCGCTCCTAGCGTGGCCGCCCGCGCGCGAACCCGAGTCTGATCCGGCCGCGTCCGCCAAGATGCTCTTTGGCGGAAGGATGGAGAAGAGCTTGACGCCGTCACTTCCGCTGCCACCGCCACCACCGCCTGCGTAGCCCGCGTGCGCGTCCGCCGCGAACAGGTCCTGGCCCTTCTCCAGCAGGTCCTCCAGCCCACCACCGGTCCAGCCCTTCTTGGCGAGGCTTTCGAAAATGTCCACCTCTGCGCGGACAAGGCTGCAGCTGGCGTCGACGATGCGGGCGCTCGTCTCCTGGCTCTCGCGCAGCATGGTGCGGGCGTGGTCGGCATGCAGCGTGGACATGCCGTCGAGCTTGCCGGTGAGCTCGACGAGGTGGGCGCGGAAGCGGGCGACGTCGCGGCGGCGCTGGCGGTGCAGCCGCAGGCCGTCCTTCTCGAGGCGGCGCACCTCGCGCGCCTGCGCCGTGATCTGCTGCTGGTAGGTGGCCTCCTCGTCGTCGATGACGGAGCGCCACCGGTCGAGGTCGTGCAGCAGCGGCACCTCGAAGGAGCGGTACACCGTCTCGGAGAGGATCTGCTGGTGGTTGGCGACGAGGTGCTGCAGGCCCGAGGCGGCCATGAGCGTGTCGGCGGTGCAGGTGCCGCGCGTCGCGACGAAGCTGGCCGTCATGCTGGCGACGCCGCCGGCCCCGGCCCCGGCTGCGGTTCTCCCCCCGGCACGGCTACCACCGATGGGCTCGGCACGGGCCTCTTTGAGGCGCGCGCACGACTCAAGCGCCGTGCCAAAGGCAGACGCCGCCGTCGAGAGCGTCGCTAGTGCCTGCCGGTACGCCTTGGCCGATGCGACGAGGTCCGCGTAGGCCGCCTGCGAGCGCTCTAGGTCTGCCTTGGTCAGCACCGCGTGCGCGGGCCGTGGCGGAGGTGGCAGCGGCAGGCCGTACTGCGATATGGGGTTGGCTGTGGACGCTATCGAGTAGACTGGCGATGAGGGCACTGGTGGGAGCTGCGACGGCGACGGCGACACCGGCCGCGACTCTTGGGCGGATGGCATCAAGGCACTGAGATCACCGGTCACGGTGAGCGGTTTGTGTTTGTTTTATATTGTAGTCTTCGTCTCGTCTCGTCCCAGCTCTGTCGTCGTTCGTCTCCCCTCCCGTCTCGGTCGCGGGCGTGGGGCCGGAAGTTCCTTTGTTTTGGTTGAGGGTGTTTTAATTGACAATGGGGCGACGTTTTTATGGAGCGAGGGGAATGCCCGTAGGATAGGTAGTAACCGCGAGTGTAGTGACAACCGCCCCTTTTGTTGTCACTGACAGCAGTTTGAATTTCGTAATCAGATGAAGTGCTTCAGAAAGGAACAATGTCCTTGTTTCCTTGAACAAAGACGTCAAGGGAATCGTTCAGCACCTTTGGCAAACTCCTGGACCGCGGATGGAATTTGGCCGTTGCTGTGGTTCTTGCGGGTCTGGAGGCGGTACGTCACCTGGTGGCTGCTACTGCATTAGTGGGAAGTCTTCGAAATGCAGGTGACTTGCATCCAAGACCAGCAGCATGCATGACATATATTGTCAATGAGAAAGGCCTATTTATGAAATAACGTATGATCTTCCTTTCTTTCTGGGTTTCCCCGCGTGCCGGTAGTTGAATTACCCCTGTTGTACTCTAAGGCACATGCAAATGGGCATGTCGCCAATACTATGCGAATAACCCTACCACCGGGCAAAAATTTGCTGTCTATGCCCCGAAGCAAAGGCAAAGGAGACGGTCCCAAGAGACGAAGAACAAAGGCAGAAATATACAGCTCGATACAAACCACCGACCCAAGTTATGCACTGCCCCAGGGGGTCCTAAAAATGAGGCTATCGCTTCCGGGTAGTCGTGGCATGTGCGAACTCACGAAAGCTTGAACAATCACTGGTACTTAGCCCAGGCGGGACTATTGGGTGATACATATAAAAACACTTGTCGAGTATAGCTCATTGTTACACTAGAAGTGACGGCATGTATAATTAGTGCCAACACGCCGCACAAATGGTCCCAATCATGGTGTATTAAGAATAAATCGAAACAAGCTCGCCAATATGAATCCAGCAACTATACCCGCTTGCAATGCTCCTGTAATGCAGTAAAAATCCATGCTCATTGTTTTAGAATTTTAATATCAAAATCACGACTCCATCCCAGGTCGACCGCCCTGCCCATCGGACCACACAGCCAAGAGCACGCACGATGCAAGAACGGCACGGCAATCTCCCCGTCCGCCCTGCTCAGAGGGATCAATCTCGCCGCGATGTGGCCTGGCTCGACGTCACGGCCACCGCCTGCCTGCAGCCAATAGCAAGTACGCAGGTCGCGCCATTCAACCCACTCGACGGCCGGCATCACCATGTGCTTTCGGCAAGTGCTGCACACAAGGCCACCCGAGTGCTTCTGTTCTCCTGCCAGTGTCACCAAATCGCGCAGTTGATACATCTCATCGGGAATGTACTGTGCCAGGCTCTCTGGCTTTGGGATGCGGTAGCAGGACCGAAGAGCCGCTTCGACTAGGCTGGGTACACGGCTCTGCTTCTCGGCAACCGCGTCGTCGCTGCCTTCAAGTATCACTTCCTCGCCGCTAGCTTCCAGCTCCTGTCTGGCGAACTCAACAGGGAGCTTCCCAGCGTCAAATGACAGCTTGAACTTCGATGTTTGTCGACCCTTCGAGGTCGTGAGCTGCAGTGGAGTCTGACCCAGGAATCTCGCCAGAACTGAAGGTCGCATTGAACCAATGGGCATGGTCACGACATAATCGTGAGCATCCATTTCACCATCGCCTGAAACATCACCAATTGCTCTGTCTGGTTGCGCAAATGGGTTTGGAAACAGCATCAACTTCTTCAAGCGCCCAGTGGGGCCGATGAGGTCCAAAAGTTGCAGCGGCAGTGTGCGTAGCTTATTCTGCGCAAGGTTGAGCTCTCTCAGATTGGTCAGCTTTGCGATGGATGCTGGAATATCCGAAAGCTTGTTGTCGCGAAGGCTTAGCACTGTGAGGAATGCTAGATCAAAGAGGCTTCCCGGCAAACGGCGCAGCCTGTTCCGTGCGAGGTAGATCTTGAGTTCTGGGTCTTTTTGCTCAAATGCGACGTCGCGAGCGACTTGCGGAATGCACGAGAGCTGCGCCAACGGCATTAGAGTCTCGTTGGAGATATCGTCCAGGCCCATGGACCAAAAGTCAATGGATTCGTTTCCCTGCTCCAGGCATTCGCGAATCTTCTCCTGAGCCACGAGCTCAGGCTCCGAAAATGTAGGAACTGGCGGACGCTCGATGCGCGGGAACTTGGAATGGATGGGTAGGTCAATCACGCCGGGTACACTCTCATTATCCGTTGCGCCATCGCTCCCCAGAAACACACCACTGTCCAGTTGTCGCCTCAAAGCTCGCTTGGGCCGCGGTAGAACCTGCTGGACCTCGCTGAAAGTTGAGTCCGAAGATGTCGGGAACTGCTGATACCAAGATCCAACGTATTTTCGCTTGCGGCGACCGCCAACGTAGTTGTCTAGGCCAGGATCGTCGTCGCTGGAGAACACCGCGGGGTCACTCGAGTTGTATAGACCTGGCGCTGTGGTGCCCGTGTTCGGATGCACTGGCCTCAAGCGCTTCCGGGAGCCCTTGGTGAAGGTTTCGGACTGCCCATTCCAGGAAACGGCCGGGAGCGCCGGGAGCGATGGTTCCTCTGCCATGGCCGCAAAAATATCCAAATTGCTTAAAATAGAGAGGTAAGGAAGTCAACCCTCCTGCTCCTTGTCAATATAATATTATACGTTGGGTGACGCGTTGAGACGCGATAAAGTGACCACGCGACGTAGCTCTGACTGCCCCACTACGATGCGGGGCTTCAACGGTGTCGACATTTCAGGGTCTTCGGGTTCCTGGTCGTGAACCTGCATTAATTTGGCTGTCGGACCTCCTTGGGTGCGTTGGACGCGACCGGAGCTTTATTCGTCTTGGGATATTCCAATAATTCGGGTGGACAGGAGCCCTGAATATTGCGACTGCATATCTGTAAGGTGAGCAACATCACTCCGAGGATCGGCAGCGAATGAGTGTCTTGGAAGGGGTTGTTTCATTGTGTCAAAACGCCATTCTATAATGCTTAATCCCAATCGTCGTCGTCGTCGTCGCCTCTGGACCGACCAGCAGTCCCCGTCTTGATGGTTTTGCTGCCTCCTGCAAGCCGCTCTTCTTCCGCATCCTCAGCAGCTTGCCGCCTCTTGATGATGCGCATGTCGGATTCCGGTACGGCGCCAACCTCCACCAGCATGTTGTCAATATTGCGCATTGTCGCGCGCACGCCGCCCATGGTCATGAGCGTGACGACCTGCTTCAAGATGTCGCCCTTGTTGTACACCAATATGGTGGGACAATTTCGATCGGGGTAGTTCTCGATGGCTTGGTTGGCTCGAATCTCGCAAAATTTGATGTCGCCGTATTCTTGCGCCGCCTGCCTCCAGAGGTCGGACAGCACCCGCGACTCAACGTTGGTGCCCATGCCCGAGGTGAGGTTGACAAAAACCGGACCCTTCTCAGAAGCTTCTGTGACCTCGCGCTGGTAATCTGGCTTCGATATCGGGTAAACGCTGCCGTGGATGGACTTCTTTTGCAAGCTGTTGAGCTCCGCCATGCGCTTTTTGCGATATTCTTCGAGGAAATCGTCGTCTTCTTCGTCTTCGAGCTCGTCGAGTTCATCTAGGTCTTTGCCTTCGAGTCTGTTCTCGTGTGCAAGTCGTCTGCCTTCGAGAATTGCTTCCTCGATCATCGGTGTAGGACTCGGCGGTTTTTCCGGAATGACTCCATGTTTACGAAGAATATCATTCCTTTTGCACCTGTTAGAGTGTATCGAATTGGAGCTTGTCGCATTTGCAAGAGCTTACCATTCTGTGTCTGCGTTGGGATCGTCGATTGGTACAGCGATTCTCTGTTCCGAAGGCGCTGCCATTGTGGTTGTTTATTTGGAGAGAGGCAGTAGTTTTTGTAAGAATCTGCTCTCTTGAATGAGGTTCGTTCAAAAAGCTGCAGCCTGGAGCTCACGTCACTGCCAAAGCTCTTCCCCTCGTTGTAGAGTTAGCCCCACCAAGAACTGAGAAGTCTTGGGTGCCTGGCAAAGCTGTCTCGCCGGAGCCAGGCTTGCACAATTTGCCCCATAAGTCCTTGCTGCATAAAATTTCCCAATCTCCGCCACGACGAGTAACCTAGGTGGGTCAATATGCCCAATCACTGGCGACAAAATCTCCGTCACGTGTGCGTGGGCAGCAAAACCCTATGACACTAATCTGCTTTGGACAAAATTTTGGACTGGAGGCGAACCAGAAGGCCCCCTTGAGTCCACTGAACTTTTCCTCGCTTAACTCTTCTCACCCATCTTGCGAGCCTCTGAATCGTCCTAGATTTCGTCAAGCATCTCGACCCTCGCAAGAACACCGATATTTTCTCGAGATAATCCGTCAAGATGGTAAGCGACTCTCCAGACCATGCGAATTATGGAACATGAACCCGGCCGGAAGGATGGAATGAACGGGCGAGAAGGGACGGAGGGGATGGACTCGAAAAACGGAAGCCGACTTGATCGCGAAACGTCACATTCGATACACACCTACGGCCCGACGACCATGCTCGATGCTGAGGGACACATGTTTCATGATTCAGCAAGGATTCTGCGCTTGGTTGGGGATAATTACTGATGGCCCGTCTAGGTTCTCGCCGTTGATCTTCTGAACCCCTCCGCGGCCACCGAGGCCAAGAAGCACAAGCTCAAGGTACGACGCAGACCGACAATGCACCGACAATCCCGACCACGACGAATTGGCTCCTAACATATATCTCTCTTCGCAGACTCTGGTCCCCGCCCCCCGATCCTTCTTCATGGACGTCAAGTGCCCCGGCTGCTTCGTCATCACCACCGTCTTCTCCCACGCTCAGACCGTCGTCATCTGCCAGGGCTGCACCACCGTCCTGTGCCAGCCTACCGGTGGCAAGGCCAGACTCACCGAGGGCTGCTCTTTCCGAAGAAAGTAAACGTGCTCGCATTTCGGGGGCATGTTTCTTTTCCTTGGGTAAATTGATGACTATTTATGGCACAAAACAACAATGGTGATTCATCTCGGATCTGCAAAAACAATCACATTTTCTCGCGGGCGATGGGGCGATAGACGACAATCTAGTCACCTGCGATCATAATCAATCTCTCTTTGCAGATAGAAGATGGGACACCCAGAACAAGGGGCGTTTGGGTTCTCCGGATATCTTGCATGGCACATCTTTCATCTCGTTTTTGCGACGTTAAAAAACACGGCCTTTTTTGTACCAAGGAAGTCGTTTCTTGAGGCAGGAACAATCAAAAAAGCACTGCATGGGTGGACAGCTGGAGAAAAAGCGTTCTTCACATTGAGTGTCTGGCGCCTGGGTTCATGACGGCCCTGCTTTTTGCACTGGATACGAGGACGTGGTACTGCTGATTTTGAGGATCGCTACATACCCGGGTGCAGTGTATTGTGGTAGAAGGGCACTGTGCTTTGCGAAATTCAAAATGTTTCCACGATTAAATCTGCAGACCCCATGTCTTCCTGTGATGGAGTGTATGTTGATTCTTTGTGTGACTGTATGACTATCGACGACTTAGATTCCAATTTTAGATGGAGGACGAGACATATCTTCACGTACAGTGACTTGCTCAGCATCGACAACTATGACCGCATTATGTTCATTCTCCCAACAAGACCAGGTAAACCTGCTATTCTTGCTGCCACTAAACCCATGACTCTCGTTGTTCTCATCATTCCCATCATTCTTTCACCTTGTATCTTATTTATATGTCTCTTCATTTTTGTGATTCTTATGATTTATGTATTTGTCTAGCCGCCTATCTATGCCTAATGTAGTCGAGCGGAAACCTGTTTCGTAGCGCCAATGGTGATAATTTTAACATAGAACTCTTGTAAAAGGTCACCTCATCTTGAAGTAGCCGGTCTATTGTTCTTGCAAAGACTCCAGTATTGGGGTCACAAAGTGGAAGGCTAGCTGAGGATGCATAAAACGAAGATACAAATTGCCCTTTCGGCGGTGATGCTAGCCCTCGAAAGGCAATTAGAACATGGTGAGGCAAAAAGGATGGTAAACTTTTTTTAACAGATAAACCTCGTTTATTAAATTGAGATTGGCTGCTACCCTCGTAAAATGTTTGGCAATATACTTTTCGGGATCGGTGATGCCTGCTTGCTCTTCAATGAGACACTACATTCGAGGTGCCAACATGAAATCGGCGAATCGTGCACATTCAGCAGCCTTGATCTAGGACATGGCCCTAATTGATGAAGATATCTCGATCAGCTCTTCTAGGAGTGTGTCATCTGCTTGGCGTGCTCGTGACGTCGTTTACACATGACTTGACAAGTGCTGGACCGTGTCATGTCCGCTGCCAGACCACGTAGGAGATTCCGCGAAACCACCCCGGTGCAACTTGGCCCCTTCAAAGGTCTCATCCGCTCCTCGACCCATCAGCCCTCCTCCATGTGCAATGACCATATCGCGCTGATGAAAGCAGTATCAATAGCAAGGGTATTGTTAGCCGTGTCCAAGCTAGCAGCTGCCTCCTCGGCACTTCGAGAGGAATGTCATGGCATCCTTTGAGGCCCTCTCGGTGACAGACAGGAGCCCCTGCGAATCAGTGACGGTGGTCAATCTCTGTTCTTCGGCCACCTTCTCAGGATGGAGCGGTGCGCTTAGGCCATTTACTTCTTCTACGCCAGTGCGGACTTTGACGACTCGGATGGTGGGAACATTTGCCTTGTGATGTTGAAGGCCGAAAAGCAGATCGCGATGGTGATGCCCCTAAGAAAAGGCCGTATAGCATAAAGGCGCTGGCTGGCTTGCTCCTCGTCGGCATCCACGCCACGCGACCGCGTGTACGTAACCCGCGTACACAGGTCGGCATTTTATGTCATCATGTAGTCAATCATCTCCCGTGAGCAGGTGTTTTTTAGGGGAGCCGGCATCTATCAGCGTCGCTCTTGTAGGGATGGGACTAGCGTATGTATGTGTGTAGGATAGAAGCCTACGGACTCATGGGCTGTGAGGGCTCAAGGTGGCGCTTCCGCTCGCTCAGTTGAAGAGGTGCTGAGAGATAGATATAGGGTATGTCAATTGGATATGGATTTAAAGCAGTAGGAAATATAGTTCCACTCCAGATTATACTCATGATAAAGAGAAGCCACGGGAGCGCACTTTTGGTGATTGATTTTGCTTGCTGGTGAGGAAGCTGGCGCATAGTGTAAACCCCAACTAGAGAGGTTCGCCAGCCCAATATCTGTTCACGCTGCTGGTGAAAATAGCATACTTTTTCCGTCGCCGTATTAAAGCGACCACATTCGCATATTCAGCATGAAACAAATACATACTCGGTTTCTTTGCTCGCTGACAATGAAACTCGTGATGATTGGAGGACAAGGGCCACTTTACGCGAAAAGTCGCGATGCGACGCGTCTCTGCCGCTGACGAATGGCCCCGCTTTTCTCACCCCAGCAACCAAGGTCTCCCTTTGTCGTACCTGGTAGCCGGTTTTTTGCCAGGTTCAGAGGACTGAAACCCTCGTCCTGCCAACTTGCCAGGTTTCTGCAGCTGTGACGCAACATCCCTCACTCTTTCACCCCTCTCAGACCATCTCCACTCCTCATTGCTGCTTTTCTTTTCTTCTTCATTAACAAGACTTGTGTTTCGGTTTGCGCGCAATTGAAGCTTCTATCCGGGAAGCTACACCACCCTTGAAACGCTTAATCGACGCATCGTTCCCTCTTACGAACGAATAATTTTCGCCGCCTGTTGCTGCAGGCCAGCTCCGACGACGCGTCAACCCGTCAGCTTTTCATCCCACCGCACTGCATCCACCCATCAACTCATCGAACCCAGGCACAATGTCCAGCACAGCCCGTGTGAAGCGCCCCTTTGCCGGCGCCTCGGCCGATCCGTCCCAGCGCCAAATCACTTCCTTCTTCGGGGCGCCGCAGTCCGGTGCCGCGCCGCACGCCGCCGAGTCCGCACGCCAGCAGCCCGTCCTACCGGCCAACGTCCAGTCGAACCTGCTAAGCGTCGGCATGCGCATCCGCAAGTCCGTCCCCGAGGGCTATAAGACCGAAGGCCACAGTGCCTTCAAGCTCTGGACCGACAACACGACCCCCGACGCCCGCAAGGTTCGCGCCAGCGCCAGGGTCGCCTCGCGCGAGCTCCTTCCATTCTGCGGCATCAACAAGGTCGGCGGGTTCGAGTCGCAGCCCGCCTTCCGGCCCGACGATGACGACGTGCCCGATGAGGATGCCGTTCCTGAGCTGACCATGTCCCAAGAGACGGTCGACGGCAGCGAGACTGCTACCCCTTCCCGCAAGCGCATCCTCGACGACGACGAGGACGCGCAGCAGCTCAACGGGGAGCTCAGCCCCGGCGGCCGCGTCAACGCTCGGCCCCTGGCCGTTCCCCGCTCTCGCATGAAGAAGGGCGCCGCAGCCTATCGAGGTGCTGGGCAGGAGAATGTAAAAGCCGATGGAGACTTTGAAGATGCCGAGTTTCTTGTCTTTGATGAAGAGCAAGACTTGAACATGGTAGTTTAGAGCCGCGACGACAACTGCATGGCGAGATGATGTACGCTACGTTGGGAACTGTGTAAGAGTGCGGACCTTCTTTTCTTGCAATTGCTTTCATTGGGATGGCGCACGGCGTTGGGACTCGCGAATCCGGAAGGGCTGCAGATATCATGCAGTGGCTATACCTTTTCGGCTTTCAGGTTTTCGTTTTTTAAAAATAGGCTTTGGCTTTTTCGCCAGGGTATCTTAGATAATTGACTTTCAAAACAAATTGATCAAGATGCGACAGCAGCAATGCACCAATGTGCAAACCCCCTCCCCCCATCCAATCTACATGCCGACGAAAGGCTCCCGGAACTCAAGCAAGTCTCTTTGCCCGTAAAACTCGCCTGCGACTGTAAGGATCATGTTGAGCGTGGCACGCATGTTCATCCGAGAACGCTCCCTAACAGCGTCAAACTGGTCTTCCTCTGCGTCGTCCTCACCATCCGTAGCTTGCTCTTCTAGCCGAGCAAGAATGGCAAGTTTGGCCGCTTCCAATGACCCGTTCTTCTCGGAGGAATGCCCCTCCTTGTCCTCATGAATCTCCCCTTCATCAGAATCCGACTCGAGGTCCATCGCCACGTCCTCTTCCTCCTCCGCCTTCTCGTCTTCTTTCGGCGACTCTTCCTCCTCTGCCTTGGCCGCTCCCTCCCCCGCGCACTCTTCTGGCTTTTCACTTGCCTCTGTGTTTGGCGAACCAGCCTCTCCCCGGCCGGACGGCGGCTCGTCCGCGACGACCTCTTCATCGCTGCTGCTGGCGTCGACGGCGTCGTTAACCCCCAGGCCGCCCTCCGCGAGCTCTTCGCGGAGCACCGCCATTTCCGACAGGCTCCTGCCGAGCAGCACGGCCCTCCGACCGAGGTCCCGCACCCACCCGACCTCCGAGTGGTTGAGCTCCCCGCGCTCGGGCAGCCGGGCCAGCAGGGCCCAAATCCAGCGGCTGGTGCGCTCGGGCACCGGGTAGCCCTGGCGCAGGAACTTGCCCCCGAGCAGGATGCGCAGTATCCGGATGATGGTGTCCTTGGACATGAGGGACACTTGGAGTGGGGTGGGATCGGTGTTGCGGAGGAGCGGAGGCCAGATCTTGACGGCCGTCGAGCCTGGGCCGAGGGCGGTGGCGTATGTGGGCTGCGAAGATACGGCCGAGTTTGGGGGAGGTTTGTTGAGAATTACTCGCAGGCGGAGATATTGATGCATGATGGCGCCAAAGTATGCGTCCGTTACGGCGGATTGCGAAACCTCTCCGTCTTCGTCTTCCGTCTCGTCCCAGTCATCACTTCCCTCGCCCTCCCAGTCGTCGTCTCGACCGATATATGCGCCGTCTTCGTAGAAGCCTCTGGTGTCGCTAACGCCAGTATTGTATATGCTTCTATCAACTTGGTCGTCATCATCGTCGTCTGAACTCCTACGTTTGACGAGGTCGCGGGGAAGTTGCGGACCGATTGGCTGTTTAGGCGCTGCAAGAACGTGCGGTATTCCAGAGGCTTGGGTCCTAAAAGTTATGCCACCACATTAGCGGAAGGCATGGAGGAGGCGCACTGCAAGGCAGGTACTTACCTCACGGACATGAGATATGCCATGGCGTCCTTGTCATCCTCGAAATCCGATTCTTCACCAACGGGAATCGTTGTAGCATTGTGATAGTTGGCGAAGACATATTTCTGGCCAGAGTTGGGGTCTACGGAGAAGCTCTGTTTCGGTCGCGACGTGCGCGCGCGTTTGCTGTCTGGCTCTGAGGACTCCGTATCGTCCACATCTTGGTAGTCGCGCTTGAAAGACATAAATTCGATTGTCGAAGCAAACAATCGCAGAATTTGCCAGCCGAAAGAATGGCTGATTGCTGGGTGTTGCAAACTTTAGGAGCTGGCTGCCTAACGTGGAGCACACAAGATGCAGGACCATTTGGTGGCACACATCTTAAAAGATACCTACAGGGTAGGTAGCTCAGCGCCTTTTGCCTTGGCACGGTGATCATTCTAAACCTATTTTCCTACAGGACTTTTCTATAAAAAGCTTTTTGTTTAGAACTACTACATGAATGAAGGCAAAGCACGACTTAAAGCTGCTCATAGCAAATTTGGTGTAGTATATTTGAGTTGGGAAAACTAGAGGTCCGTCCTGCCTCTCTCCCTTTGCCTTGATCTCTTTTCAAGATAATTTGTTCTACTGTAGGGAAGTTGTCTGGAATATCCTGCAATCAGCCTCACTTGACCACGAAACAGCTGTATCGTCCTAAATCGCCATGAATGTAAGCTCCCGTATTGGTTGACCTCATAGTTTGGCCAAGTCCAACGTAACCAAAGTCATTAGGCGAACTTTGCGTACAAAGCGCTGCCAAGCGAGAGCCCAGTCTCTGAAGATGAGTTTTTCAAGCAACCTCACGGTGAGTCTGGGGATCCAGAGCTCCAGCTACAGCCTGACCAATGACTAAGTGTGTACTGCAGAGAGACCTTGCGGCAACAGGGTCATAGTCGCAAATCTGGCCTTGTTCTTGTCATCGCTCGTCTGCTTGGGCTTTTCTATTCTGTTGAGCAGGCCAAGAACGATTGACTCTCGAGAACTTCTGCGACAGACGACCTTCTACTGTGTGTGCAGCTCACAGCCTTGCAGAGAGACGGCTTCATTGACTGTCAACCAACTGTGCAGCGCCCTTGATCGAAACCATGTCTCCGACCTTTGCGGCCACGCATCTCGCCTCGGACCCGATACTGGCGAGCGAGTCCATCCTCCGCCAGCCCCCGAGCCCCGTAGTTGACGCGTACTGGAACCGCATATCGGATTCAGGCATGATGCCCATCACCAAGAGGCAAGTCCGCGAGGGTCAAGAAAGGACCCCTCCACAGTGGTCAAGGCGGCCCCAGGCTGGGACATGGGCGACGACGCCTACCTCGTGCAGCTAGACGGCCTGCACCTGCTGCACTGTCTGAACTCGATGCAGCAGAGCCTGCACCACAACCTCGCCTATTATTATAGGGATTGGCAGCCGCCGGCGTACGCGGCGCACCTATCGCACTGCCAGGAGGCGCTGGCGCGGTGGCTGATGTGCCGCCCGAGTATGGACCTGATTAAGTTCGACTGGGTGGAGGATCACTCGCGGCCGTTCCTGGACTTTGAAATCACGCGGAGATGTATGGACTTTGAGGCCTTGCTGGCCTGACAGGAGGAGCACCGCCTGCCGGAGGCGTGGCTGCAGTGGCAGGTCATGGAGCGGCCGATGGGGATGTTGCCGCAGAAGTCGCCGATTCTCGATCAAGAAGCACGGATGGTCGGGTGGGTTAGCCTGCCAGACACCTTCAAGGATCCGGGAATGCCAAAGTGCGACTGCGAAGGCCGGCCAACGGAGTTGCCGTGGTTGGTAGGTAGACGTAGTCCAAAGGAATCGCTAGGGACTTTTGGAGCACCCGAGCCTGATTATTACCAGCGAGCTGTATTTAATCTGTATGGGTTTGCATATTAGTTATCGAGGAACGGAAACGGGCGTGTTTTATGGAAACTTGAAACTCTCATCCGCAGCTTCTGCAAGCCACAGAGGCCTCATACATAGGCTGATGCATCTTCAGTTGACTCTCAGTGATTGCCCTGCAACTCCACAGTCCGATGTCTAACCAATCCGATCTTCACCGTCTTCATCTCGCTTGAAACAGATAAAGAGGCTTGATCCTCCCGCTGGGCAGCCGAGACCATTTGCTTCCTGCTTCTCGTCATTTTCCCATGGACCTCCCCCGCGCGGATCAACGGGCGGATTGGCTGCCCCTGCCGGCCGTTGCTGGCGGGACCGCCCTCTTCGCCCTGTCCGTGCTGGCTCTCTGCTCTGTTGGACCTCTGTATCGGAGATGTCACCGATCGGAACTTCCATACCAAGACCAAGATGGATCTGCAACGGCCGAGTCGGAGAGAGAAGCGCAGACAGCGGGGAGAAATGCTAGCTCTAATCGTCAGCTCCGTGGGGCTCGCCGCCAGTGCCAGTGCCAGTGCCAAAGGGGGATTAAAAGGATGACGAGAATCTCGACTTGAACTTGACAGAGAGGTGGTGGATTTTATTCTCCTTGTGGTTCAATGCCATTCCTTTACCCCCCCACTCTCATCCAAATCATGTCTAACACCTCGCTAGGTCCTGATTTCGATTCAGGTAGCCTCCACCTACTTCGCCAAGGCCTGCTCTGAGCGCTATAGATGAGCGTGCGCAACAGTGCTGAGTTCCGCCATCGCCCTCATCCACGCCCTATACGCGGCTTCTACCAAGGAGACTGGCCTTGATCCTCACGAGTTGGCCAAAATCAGTAGTCTGGCAGTGCTTGCCATTACGCTGTCATGTGTGCCGAGCAAACCCCAGGTCTACCAGCAAAATTCTGCAGTTGTGAATCGCAATGGCGCCTGCCTCTTGTCATGGATCACCTTCTCGCATGGCTTCCTGCATCAAAAGTCTACCGATCGCCTCCCGCAAGACCTCAGTCTAGACCATGTTCCCGCTGTAGACTCTTCGTTTCGCACCCAAACTCTGAGTCGGCGATTCGGTCATGTCAAACCCGGTGATAGAATCTGGCTTCGCTTGCTTCGATTCTGCAAAGGCCTTCTTGTACTCCAGTGGTCGTTTGTGCTGCTCAAGGCCATGGCTGAGTTCGGAAGCCGGTATGCACTGTTCAATCTGCTTCAAGGCATGGAAAGAAATGATGAGCCAGGCAACAAGTCTGAACTCTGGAAATGGGTCGGCTTTTTGCTTCTGGGCATGCTATCAGCTGCAGTCGCAGATACGTGGCTATACTGGGTCACTACTGGTGTGCTGCATTCGACGGTCGTCTCGGCACTCGACGCATTGGTAATGGGGAAAATGATGCGGAGAGAAAATACGAACGATTCCAGCGAGAAGCCCGATAAATCGTCCGGTGGCGGGGAGATGTTCAGAGATACATACGTATGCAGGCGGCCTCGTGTTCCGAGTATCGCCACCCTTCTAACAAGTTTCCCAGATACTCCATCGCGAAAGCCGTCTTGGATAACTACCAGTTCCCTTTGGCCGTACTGAAAATATTCCTCGACATTTCTTATCTTTCCCGTCTGCTCAGCGTGAGAAGCCTCCTCATCGGCAGCTTCTTCCCTGTCGCTACCACACTTCCAAACGCTTCAAAGAGGTCAAGTCGCATCACAACGCAAAAGCACCAACTCTACCATCGAAATGCTCCAGACGCTCCACCTTATCCGTCTCTCATCCCTGGAGAACTTCTGGAATCGTAGGCTCCTCGACTCCATCGCGGACATGTAGCGCCATCGCTGGGCGACCACCGTCGCTCTGGAGAAGCTCAACCTTGTCTCCAATCTCGGCCCTATTCTTCTGGCTTCCGTTGCCATATCGGTCCATGCACCTGAAAGCGGCCAACTGAGTCCTTCCGTGGCGTTTACAGCACTGAGCTTCTTTAGCAACCTGCAAGGCATCTTCGCAGAGCTTCCTGCCAAGGCCGCGACACTTCACAAGTCGTGCATAAGCATCTAGGAGCTGCAACCGTTCAATGACCAGCCGGACCAGATCAAATCAGCAGTTGTCACCAACCAGGTTTTTTTGGAAGCGGCCTCTTTGGCGTGGCCAGGACAAACTGGCAGCGACAATAAGGCGGCGCCCTTTGAGCTTACGAATGTTGACCTCTGCTTTCCGAAATCCGAACTTAGCGTTATTGTAGGGCCGACCGGGTCTGGAAAAAGCCTTTTATTTTCTGCGATGCTCGATGAGGCTTCCATTACTTCTGGGCGGCTGGGGAGACCCAGCGTTGGCGAAGCTGTTCAGGATGGCCTAGTACCAGGGTCGACTGCCTACGTTGCGCAGCCGCCGTGGACTGACAACTGCTCAATCAGAGACAACATCGTGTTTGGATTTTCCTTTGAACAGGAACGCTATGAGGGAGTTCTAAAAGCTTGTGCTCTCAACCAAGATTTCGAGTTCCTCGCAGATGGCGACGCAACCATCGCAGGTGCCGGGGGTTCCTCCTTGAGCGGCGGCCAGAAGTGGCGCGTGGCTCTGGCAAGAGCCTTATACTCCTTAGGAGAAATTGTAATTCTTGAAGACGTTCTCGGAGCGGTCGATACACCGATAGCGAGTTGGATCTGCAGTCACGCGCTCACAGGTGACGTCGCGGCAGGGAGGACCGTCATTCTCGCCACGCACCGTCCTGAGTTCTGCATCGAGGCGGCCCGATACGTCGTCACCGTCGAAAACGGAACTGCTGTTGGCAATTCTTAAGTTCCCGACTTTTCAAAGATGAAGCTTTCGGCAGCTGTGTCTCCAGATGCGCACACTACCAAGGCCAAAGAAACTCCTACCAAGCCACCTGGCGAGAAGAGCTCCAAGAAGCCACAGCCGCAAACTCAGGCTGTGCCAGCGACGACTCAAATCCTCATGCATTACTTGAGTGTGTCCGGCGTGCGACTTTATCTGGCCGGTGCTTTCATCACAGTATGCTACCAATGCTTGAATGCGGCGCATTCGTGGTGGCTGACACAGTGGACATCGGATGACAGCAGCAATTCGGCCCCGAGCACAGCCGCCCTCTGGAACGTGTCGCTCTACCTTTTAATCACCATCTTTAATGTCGTGTCTCTCGCTTCTCAAGCTCTGGTGTTCGCTACGGTCGGGATGGCTGCCTCGAGGGCTATCTACGGGAGCTTGATCCGAAGCGTCTTGACAGCCACTGTATCCTGGATCGACTCGACCCCCTTTGGACGGCTTTATCAGATAATTGATACGGATATGCATCTAATTGATGACCTGATTGCACCTGCATTCAATGGCATCCTAGGCACAGTTATCAATCTTGGAAACATCATTGCGGTCAGGTACGATAGCCCGAGGACCTCACTTTTAACCATGTTAAGCTGACCGGTGACCGCAGTCTCTACTCCAATCGTTTTACAGCCATCAGCGCGGTTGCAATATTAGTGGTGTATGCGTAAATAGGGCCCAAGATGATCGAGTCGGGCAGAAGGTTGCGACCACTTCTCGGGCCGGCCGCTCATCCAGTCTCGGACCACACCAACGCCATGATTCTCGGACGGGCTACTATTCGCGCATTCAGCCGAGTTCCACTGTTCATAGAGCGCTATTCTGACTTGGCTGACAATTCTTCCAAGGTCGGGGTACACATCATAATCGGAAACAGCTGGTCGGTCATACGATCAGGCGCTCTGGGCTGCGCCTTTGTGGTTACGACGGCGGCGGCCATGGTCCACAGCAACATCGATGCGGCGACGGCTGGATTCACCATTACCTTGGCTCTTCAGATGAAAAGCACCCTGTCCAAGCTCTTGGGCCAGGTTTCTACAATTCGCATGGGCATCACGGCCGCCTACCGGGTGATTGCCGTGACAGAGGTGCCGACGGAGCCAGGCACGGGAAGACGTGTCGCGGACTGGCCCTCTCAGGGGACTGTGGAGATCAAGGGAATCACAATGGAGTACGGACAGGATCTGCCACCGGCGCTCTCTCTTTGCACCGTCTCGGCAGCGCATCGGCATCGTTGGACGGACCGGTGCTGGAAAGTCTAGTCTCACCAATGCGCTCTTGCGATTTGTCCCCGTCACAGGCGGACGGATCCTCATTGACGGCGTGAACATTGCCGAAGTCTACTTGCATCAGCTCCGCAGCACCGTCAGGCTCATTCCCCAGGACCCCGTGCTTTTTTCCGGCACGCTCCGCGCCAACATTGATCCCTTCACGGAGAAGACGGACGCGCAGGTCCAGTCCGTCCTGGAACGCGTGCGCCTCGTCCATGCCAATCAGACGTCCGAGAAGTCGGCGCCAGCGCTTAGCCTGAAGACGAACATCGAGTCCGGCGGCAACAGTCTGTCGCACGGCCAGCGCCAGCTGGTCTGCCTCGCGCGCGCCATCCTGGCGCGGTGCCGCGTGCTCGTCCTCGACGAGGCCACGAGCGGGATGGACGAGGCCACCGACGAGGCCATACAGGAAATCATCGGCGAGGATTTCGGCGACGCGACGGTGATTGTCGTCGCGCACAAGCTGCTGACGGTGGCCGGCTTCGACAAGATCGTGGTCATGAGCGAGGGCCGAGTGGTCGAGTCGAGGTCTCCGGCGGAGCTGCTAGAAAAGAAGTGCCTTTTTTGGGAGATGGTGACTTGTAGCGGTGAACAGGCAAAGATTGAGGCTGCGGCGAGGAGAGCATAGCGTTTTGTAAGGATTGTGCCCGGTCCTGGCTACCACCCGGCACGCGAGATGGTTTGCCTGAACACACCTCGGTACAAGAGTCTTGTGCAGAAAATGGTATTGCAGCTTCAGCGTTTACACGCTCCTCGAAGTCGATCTCGGGGTTGATGTGAGAGAAAAGGGCACAGTGCAGTGCAGTGCAGTGCAGTGCAGTGCAGGATCAAAAGATGATATTTTAGTTTGGGGAGTGGTCAGAATTCGAGTCGATTTGTGAGATATACCAAGTAAGGCAGGTCTGAAATGTAATTGGAGGTTTCAGATTTGTTTTGTAATTTCTCATTCTCTTCTGTGTCTGGATTGGATGTATGTATGTATGTAGTCTTCAGCAGGTTCCTGTAGGCTGTCAGGTGAAGTCTCTGGAAGTGTTGCCTGGAAATTGTAACCTCCAGCGGTGGAGTTCCGCACCACAGCGGAACTGAAGACGCTACCTACACCAGGGCCAACCCCCGATCCAACGTCTTCCAACAAAAACAGGTCCAGAGGTGTCATGACGGTCACAACGATGCGCCGCTTGGCAAAATGTCCTGTATCTACCAAACGAATAGCTTTAGGGAGCCGAGAAGCGCTGCAGCGCTCGTTCACGTCAACGCAACTTGTGCAGCTACGCGCCTGCAACCACTTTGTTTCCAGAGGTGGGCAGCCAGCCAAGAGCAGCTCTGTGAAGCAAATTGCTGACAAGAAGCCCATAGATGATTTGATATCTGACCAGACCGATGCGAGCACGAAATTTCGATTAGCTGTCAAGGACAACATTGCCACGGCCGGCCTTCCGACGCAATGCGCCTCCAGCATACTCGCCGCGCACGCATCACCCTTTGAGGCGACCATTGTGAGGCAGCTCCGCGATCGAGGCGCCCGCGTCGTCGGCAAGACCAATATGGACGAGTTCGGCATGGGTTCGCACTCAATGAACTCGATCCACGGCGCGGTCCGCAACCCACTCTCGGAGGAGGGCGAGCCGCTCTCTGCCGGGGGCAGCTCTGGCGGCAGCGCCGTCGCGGTGCGGCTTGGCGACGCGGACGTCGCGCTGGGCACGGACACGGGCGGCTCCGTCCGACTGCCAGCCGCCTACACGGGCGTGGTTGGTTACAAGCCCAGCTACGGCATGCTGTCCAGGTTCGGCGTGGTGCCGTACGCCAACTCGCTCGACACCGTCGGGCTCCTGGCTAAGGATGTGCTGACGATTCAAGGCGTCGTGTTCGCTACGAACCTCTACACGGAGCATGACCCGAACGATCCTACGTCGCTGAGCGCAGAGACGCGGCGACGATGCGCCGAGGTGTCGCCCTCGCAGCTGCCGCCGCTGCGAGACATTACAATCGGCATCCCGACCGAATACAACATCGAAGAGCTTGAACCTGCGGTCCGCGAAGCTTGGGCATCCACGGCTGCCAAGTTGGAAGCGCAAGGCGTCCGGATCGTCTCCGTGTCGCTGCCCTCCACGAAAGAAGCCCTCTGCGCTTACTACGTGCTCGCGCCGGCCGAGGCGACCTCGAACCTGGCCAAGTACGACGGCGTGCGGTACGGCGTGCGCGGCGGCGACGGGGACGCCGCGGGCGACACGCTCTACTCCGAGGCGCGCGGCGCCGGCTTCGGCGCGGAGGTGCGGCGGCGCATCCTGCTCGGCACCTACAGCCTAAGCTCCGAGGCGATCGACAACTACTTCCTGCAGGCGCAGCGGGTGCGCCGGCGCGTGCGGCAAGACTTTGACGAGGTGTTTCGCGCGGAGAACCCGCTGTGCGAGCCGCGCCAGTTTGACCTCTGCGAGATGCCGGAGGAGCTGGCTCTGGCGGACAAGCAGGGGCCGGCGCAGGTGGACTTTTTGCTCTGCCCGACGGCACCGTCGCTGCCGCCGGCGCTGAGGGAGCTGGAGACGAGGAACAGCGTCGACGCGTACACGAGTGATGTCTTTACGGTGCCGGCTAGCTTGGCGGGGCTGCCAGCGGTCAGCGTGCCGGTGTGGCCGGAGGAGAATCGCTTCCCAGTGGGCATGCAGCTGATTGCGCAGTACTGGGATGATCAGAGGTTATTACACATGGCAGCCAAGTTGCAAGAGGCGATGAGCTCATGATTGAGCCCGGGGTATCATATTATGTATATACATTGCAAAAAAAATCACAAAACTTTTCCACTAGAGCCTGCTCAAGGACTTTGGCTCTGGCTTCTGCTACCCTCTTCCTCCTCCTCCTCCTCATCAATGTCGTCGCCGAGCAGATTGGCGCGGGGCTCCAGCACCTCCAGGTCCTCGAGCGTCTCACGCTTCGGCATCTTCCACAGACTCGTCGCGCACACGCGGTCCTTGGTCAGCAAATCATCCACAAACTCATCCACGTACGTCAGCACCACCGCCTCGCGCCCGCGTCTCCGCAGCTTCCTGCGATCCGCCAGGTACGGCTCCAGCGCGCGGTACACGTCCTCCGCGCGGCGCGTCAGCCGCAGATAGAAGCACGCGAGCGCGCGCAGGTACTTGAAGTGGTCGCCGCCGTAGGCCAGGTACTCTGCCAGCACCTCGTCCGACGGCGCGAGCTCGAGCAGCTTGAAGGCGAGGCACAGGAAGGGGCTGGGTCGCTGGGCGGCGCCGGAGGTGCCGCCGATGAAGCGCACGTGCTCGACGACGCGGTCGACGATGTCGGCCTCGTTGAGGGCGAAGCACTGCTCCTTGTAGAAGTAGCTGTCGGCGATGCGGTCCTTGACGGCCTTCTCCATGATGTTGGCGGGGTTCAGCCCGTTGGGCGCGAGGCCGACGTTGCTGCCGCGCTCGTCGAGGAAGCGCCGCGCGTCGGCCTGGACGGTGTCGGGTTTTGGCATTTCGGGGGCTGGAGGATCGGGGTGATTTGTTCGCGAGGGCTGGATGGGATTCGGTTTTGGTGGTGTTTGAGGGTTGCTGACGCGTATCTGGATCGTATTTCTATTGGTGAAGTACAACGTTTGTAGTAGCGTTGGTGGATGAATAGGCTCTCATAACTTTTCACACTCGGCGCGATAAGATTGTTGCTGTGCCAACGTGGGGCTGTGACGACACCTGCGTTGAGCTCTCGATCATCAACTCGAATGAAACGACATGAATGCATGAATGAATGAATGAATCTTCAGTACCTTTGTTTAAAATATTATATTTTGCTTCATCCTAGCATCTAAAGATCCCTACTTCCGACATCATGAAGCGGGTTCTCCTCACGTCGTCTCAGGTCTCCATCATCTTGACGGGCATTGTCAGTAAGTTGCATTCCATCCAGCCGCGTGCCAGCGGTCCCGAGTCTCAGATTCAGTCATCCACAAAACACGAATTAAGACTAATTTCACTACGTATTACAGTCTTCTTGTGTACCTTGGCGCTCTTCCTCAGCGGCTACGTGATACAGCAACGAACAGTCAACGACCTGCGCGAGGCCATCCGACCGCGGCCTCGGCCCGTGACGAAGCCGCACCTGCCGGCGCGCTTCAAGTCACGCATCACCGAGCTCGACGACGGCTCCATCGTCTTCTACGAGAGCGAGGCGGACGAGGAGGCACGGCAGGAGCGGCAGCACATTGAGATCCGCGAGACCAAGCCCGAGCCCGGGCCTGAGCCCGAAGAGGTGCGCGCCCGCCAAGAGGAGGAGATGAGCAGGGCGACGCAGAAACAGCGGCAGATGCTGCGGGACATCCAGAGCAAGGTCGCGCAGCAGTCGTGGGCGGTGGAGAACCCAGACCCGTGGGCGAAGAGCAAGGTGCCCGTGGATGCGGTAGAGCGCCGTCAAATGATTAGGGATGAATTGAAGCGCCTCTCTACGAGCGACGGGCCGGTTCCCTGGTCGAAGCGCATTTGGTACTAAATATCTGGTACTAATTGGGTTGGAAGTTGCGGGGAATGAGTTTAGATGTACATGCTAAGAACGACTTTACCGATGTAGGATATGGGATATAGGATATGCACAAATTGATGAATACAGAATGAGATAGTTTGATAACAGTTAGCCTCCATGAAAATTAGCACATTTGTGTGATGCGTAGGCCGCAAATTCGTCCACGACATACATGTCTCAATGTAGTGTGAGCACCTGTGACAAATCCAAGACTTTTGCGGAGGATTTCTGTGATGGAGCTCAGACCTCATGTCCGTCCTATCATGCCAAGCATTTTATCCCAACGGACCTGGCCAGCCAAGAGCAATATTCCCCGCGCTACTGCACGGTGATGATCATTTGTGCGTGTCGTCGCAGCGCCAAGGTTTGCTCTGGAATGACTCTCGTTCTGGGTCGAGTATCTCCGCTCTGATTTCCAAATGCTGCTCTCTATTGGTGCGCGCAATACAGACCAGAGCAAATGAATATGAAGAACTGGATATGACTGGTAGTATGCGTGCTGCACGAGGGCGAGACAAGAGTGCGTCGCGAGTCGGGGCCAAGCAGATCGTTTTATGGCGACAGTCGCTTGCCAGTACGGGCACAGGTACACCTTCTAATAAGCATAAGTAATCGCCCATGCATGTATCACCCGAGGGAGCTGCCAGGTCTTGCCAACGCCTGGAGCTGAGGATGAGCAAGACTTGATTAAAGAACCCGCATTGCGAAGTCGTATGCAGCCAAGCCGTGAGATGGATCTTCATGTCTCTCTCCCCAGTATTTGTAATTCAACTGCAGCCACAGCAATTTCCATTACAGTGGCTGATCCATAAACGAACTCGAAACTACACATCTAGTTGAAATCTAGTGATCGGATCGAGAATTCTAATGCAGCGGTGGTTCAGTGAGCCGGGCAGCCGAAGAAGGGGCTGTGCGACCGCCAGTCCCTGTCACAAAAGCTTCTTGATTGCTTTATAAAAGACACATATCTCTCTCCCCTCACTTCATGCCGTGAGTATTGGGGCTAAGACAAGAAAGCTGCTTTTCCCGCAAATCACAAACTCTCTTGTACTCATAATCATGGTTCGATTCTCTACCATTTCAGGTGCTCTCTGCGCAATTGGTCTCGCCAGCGCCCAGTGTCCATATGCGAATCCTGGATCTTTATCTGCAAGAGATGATTCAGCTGAGGCTACGACTAAAGGCGGCTCTCGAGGCCACATGAAGGGGTACGAGTTGGACGACTCCTCCGGATACCTGACCTCGGACGTGGGCGGCCCATTTAGCGATCAGGAGAGCCTGAAGGCCGGCGACCGCGGCCCGACGCTGCTCGAGGACTTCATCTTCCGCCAAAAGATCACCCACTTTGACCACGAGCGTGTAAGTTTCTCTCCGTGCCTATCCCGGCCGCACCAAAGTTGAAGCCACGGCTGCTGACGGCGGGATACATGGCAGGTGCCTGAGCGAGCCGTCCATGCCCGCGGCGCCGGTGCATACGGGACATTCACGAGCTACGGCGACTTTAGCAACATCACAGCCGCTTCGTTTCTCGCCGCCAAGGAGAAGAAGACGCCCATGTTTGTCCGCTTCTCCACCGTGCTCGGCTCGCGAGGCAGCACAGACACGGCCCGGGACATTCGCGGCTTTGCCACACGATTGTAAGTACAGTATGATGAACAACTCGGGAATTGCTCCTCGATGTATTGACTGCAGTATTGCTAGCTATACTGACGAGGGCAACTTTGACATTGTCGGCAACAACGCGCCCGTCTTCTTCATCCAGGACGCCATCCAATTCCCCGACCTTGTTCACTCTCTGAAGCCCGAATCCAACAACGAGATTCCGCAGGCTTCCACGGCACATAACACCGCCTGGGACTTTTTCAGCCAGCAGACGACCTCGCTGCATGCGCTATTTTGGGCACTCTCCGGCCACGGCGTCCCGCGAAGCTTCCGTCACATGGTATGTCCACTCCCTGGATCAACTTTTCGAGGTGGTTAGCTAAATCTAGGTACAAGGACGGCTTTGGCGTTCACACATACCGTCTTGTGACAGACAAGGGCGACTCGAAGCTGGTCAAGTGGCACTGGCGATCGAAGCAGGGTCTGGCTTCGCTCTTCCAGGAGGAATCGCAACACGTCAGCGGCAAGGGCGCCGACTTTCACCGACAGGATCTCTACGACGCCATCGAGGCTGGAAACTACCCCGAGTGGGAGCTGAGCGTCCAGATGGTTGACGAGGAAAAGGCGCTTGCCTTTGGATTTGATCTGTTGGACCCTACGAAGCTGCTTCCCGAAGAGTTGGCCCCTCTACATCCTCTTGGAGTCATGAGACTGGACGCCAACCCCGTCAATTACTTTGCGGAAACGGAGCAAGTCATGGTACGCGAGATGCGAGGAAGCGACCTTGATTTTGGCTAAATCTTTTTCAGTTTCAACCTGGGCACATCGTTCGTGGAGTCGACTTTTCAGACGATCCGCTGCTTCAGGGCCGCATCTTCTCGTACCTGGACACGCAGATCAATCGCCACGGCGGTCCCAACTTTGAGCAGCTTCCCATCAACAGGCCGATTGTTCCGGTGCACAACAACAACCGTGACGGCGCAGGTCAAGTCTTGATTCACAAGAATGCTGCCCCGTGTATGGCTACTCTCCCCATCCCACAACCAACAAACGCCCTCCCTTTGCTGACTCGCTGTACACAGACTCGCCCAACACACTCAACAAGGGATACCCCCAGCAGGCAGACCAGTCGAGGGGACGCGGCTTCTTCACCGCGCCGCGCCGGCGCGCCGACGGCCACCTCGTTCGGAAGCGCTCCCAGGCCTTCTCCGACCACTGGAGCCAGCCGCGGCTCTTCTACAACTCGCTCGGCAAGGCCGAGCAGCAGATGCTCATCGACGTGCTGCGTCTTGAGCTGAGCGGCCTGCGAACCGCCATCCAGACCAACGTGCTCGCGCAGCTCAACAAGATCAGCCACGAGATCGCCGTCCGCGTCGGCCGGGCGCTCGGCGTGGAGGCGCCGGCGGCCGACGACGCGCACTACCACGACAACAAGACGGCGCACATGTCCGCCTACGGCGCGAAGCTGCCCACCATCGCCTCGATGCGCGTGGGCGTCCTCGTCGACGGCGGGTCGGAGGAGTCTGTCAGGGAGGGCGCGGCGCTGCGGGATGGGCTGAAGCACGCGCGGGTGTTTGCGAGCACGGTCGGGGAGAGGATGGCGCCGGGCGTGGACAGGGCGCTCACGGCGACGGACGCGACCGTCTTCGACGCCGTCGTCGTTACCGAGGGCGCCGCCGCAGCGCTGTTCGACCCTGCTGCGAGGCGGTCGACGCTCTACCCCTCGGGACGGCCGAGCCGGATCATCACGGACAGCTTCCGCTGGGGTAAGCCCCTGGGATTCCTCGGCAGGGCCGCGGATGTGATTGGCAGGACGGGCATCAAGGCCGGCCCGGGCGTCTACGTGGGCGGCGACGTTGCGTCCATGGTCGAGGATATCAAGGAGGGGCTGGCGACGTTTAAGTTTCTCGACCGTGTTGCCTTGGATGAGGACGAGTAATTTGTGCCTACGGGAATTCTGATATAATAATGATAATCATCTGACCGCTTGACGATGGATCATTACTCATAGCTAATTGATATCATTACAAAACACCGATCCCGGTCTAGATGCGATGCCTTGTTGAAGCCGAGTCACACATGCTACCCCGGAAAACATGATCTTCGTTCCGTAACAGATACATATCAGCGTATAGATGATTTCGAATACGCAACCTTGTTAATTGCTGGCTTACTTTGCCGATGTATATAGCAGGCGTGTATAGCCCGAGTCTATCATTGGCACTCTTCTCGGCTCCAGCAAAGCCACTCCAGAAAGACAGTAGGAGCTCAAACGGTAGCGTAGGGCAAGCAGACACCATTAGAAATCCCGAGGGTGTGGAACTTCGGAGAATCACCGAAGTCTGTGTCTGTGCCCGTGCCGTGTGCCGCCTCTCATCATCCGACGGCTCCCCCACGCCGGACGTGTAAGCGGGAGGAGGCTGCTCACGTCACCATCACCGCCCCCAAAATGCAAGTTGCGATATGGTGTACATATATATTCAACTAGCGTTAATGCGCAGTTTCATCTACGGCGAGCCACGTTGTATCGCCGAGGGCATCATGGCCGCGGTGCCGCGGTGCCGGGGAGGGGGGGCTTGGTATCTTAGGATCTACGTGTAAGCCAAACGTGGCTTGATGGCGCCGAGAGAGTACACGTAGAAGGCCTGCTCTGCGAGAGTAAGAGCACATTTTCTTCTCTGGTTCTTCCAGTTCTACGATACAGAACATGCAAAGTAGATAGCCTGAAACGCTGACGAAGTTGAAGAGGTGGCTGAGCGGCAAACCCGGCTCCGATTGCTAGCGCAACGGCCGTGCGGTAGAGTCAGGCGAGCTGCTTGCGTACTCTGGGTTGGATAGGCTACCCTTGACTCCGTATTGCTGGAAAATGATGCAATGGTCCGCAAAAGCCGGTTATTTGCGTACTCGGGTTTCCCGACTCGGCGCTGAGGACATAAAGCGGGAGGTCCTCTGTTGGATGGCAACTCGCACTTCGGCAACTGACGATTTTCTCAGCAAGACTGCTATTGCGAAAAGGAAAAGACGTTTTTTTCATGCATTATTCGTTAGAGGCAGTTATTGAGAAGGATAAAACACTGTGGAAATGGATTGCTTTGGGTGAATGCTATGACCATCTCACAAGAGCTCACAGGCTAAACCAAGGTATCATGGCAGATGAAGAGAGCGACTGAGTGGTGCATATAGCTGGTTTGAATTGTCCAATATGAAGTAATACCTCTCCACATGGGTCACCCATTCGTGGGGAAGCGACGTGGTTGGTCAACGTCCGAGAGCCAGCTTGGCGATGCAGGCGCCAACAGAGTCTTTACAATAGAATACCAGTTTTAGAGTTTACAATTTACTCCACCCGGTTCAGCTTTTCTCAGCAGATTCGCCGAGCCAATAGCTAGTCTATTCACAAGTTTGGAAGTTTTGTGGACAGACAGAGTGACTGAAGATGGGTCCCGATACGACAACCTTGCAGTAAAGGGTAGGTAGCAAAGCGGCATCGTCGTTTGATGCGAGTTCAAAGCCCGGGAAGTTTTCCAATGATTTGCCTTGGGGTTTTCCCTCTCACGTAATATGAGTTTATCCTGAAGATCTTAGTAACCACGTGTTTCAGTTTGGCACGTATCTGGGGCAAGTAAATGCAAGTTGTCAAGCGCTACTCTATACAGGCTGTTCGCATTCCTGCCCGAGTGACTTATTCAGCAGTTACCAATTAGTTAATTCCTTAAAGCGAAATCGAAGCGGTAAAGGTGTTTCACCGTGCCTGCATGCTTGTTCCTGATCTAACACCTTTCCCCTCTATGCAGGAGGACGGCGGCGGCGGCTGCATGATGGAGATATGCATCCAGCCTGACTGCACCCTCTACGGTGGCAGAGCCCCAAGTTGTGACCAGTCGGCCAAGAGAATCCTCGGGAACTGGGTTGGTCCCGTTCAACTAGTCATGTACGGATACACACACATATCTTCCTTCGTACACCGCCAGAGGCCGTGCGCTGTGCACGCAGAGGCCCAACAGCGACGATTGGCGAGAGGGTGGAGGAGGGTGTTTGAAACCCACTGATGCGTGAATGAACACACGCCCGTCCAAAGTTGTCCTGGATGCGCTGGTGTGTGTTTTGTTGTTATGGCGCAGAGTCTGGGCCAAGGGCAGCCAGCCGCGGATGCAAGAGACGGCTATGAAGGAGGGGGAGGGGTTTGAAAGAGGGGAAAGGTTGTGAGATGCAGCAGAAGCCGAGCCGAGAGGCGTGGCTCTGCTAGCTCTGATTAGAAGCCGAAATGGCTGGGGAATGGGTTAAGAGGTTGCAGTGGCTGGACTACGTGCATCGCTCATGTCCGTTGTCCGTCATATTGAGATATATTGCCCTTGGCCGTACATTTCGAGGAGGGGTAGGTAAGGCAAGGCAAGGCTAACTAACTAACTTTGTGGCAAATGCGCTCGCAAGTCCGATTGAGTTGAGTTCGCATCGATGAGGGCATGGAACAATGCAAGCACAAACTGTAAAGTTAACAAGCCCTCGATGCTGGGAATAGTGTGGCGCACCTAGAAGCGTAAGCAAGTGTAAGTTGAGAGTGGCGGATGGCTTGCTTGAGGCGCGGATTTCATTCGTTGTGAAGAAAAGTCAACGTTGTGCAGTACTTCACAGGCAGTGTCGTTTTCATAATCTAATCATCCTGTCCTGCTGACCCTGAGCAAATGCAAGGAGAGAAGGAAGGCAAGGTGTATGCATGACAGACGCTGCTAGTTGCATAACTACCAAGTTGTATACTGTTTGCTATTGTCCAACGGGCACGGCACACTACATCTGATGCGGGGAAAACGAGCGAAGCAGGGCCAACAAGAGCGGAAACCAGGCACTATGCAAATGCACGGCGGCGCATTTGGGTAGGATCCAAAGCCACCTGGCATGCGCGACAGTTGACCTTGAGGTGTTAGCGTTGAGACTGAATCACTTATGGATGGATGTGTGCAGTGTCCACATGACCAGCAGGCAATGCCCGCAGAGTTTACAAGGAAACACAGATCTCGGAGCAGTGTTTCGATCAGGACAAGATAACTATCTGTACATTGAGGCGGTCAAAGTTGCACGTCCTAATAATTAGCCAGAGGGGAAGAAGCAAATACCGTGGGGTTTGCAAAGGCTCTAGAAGAGGACTAGGAACAATAGCGGCAAAAGGTTGGGAATAAAAAGCAACGGAGGCGGGGGGGGGAGTGTTGAGCTCGGCAGGGATATGGCGGTGACGAGTGGAAAGGAAAGGCCCTTGCCGCCCGCTGAAGAGCAAAAAGGAAAAAGAAAGAAAAGAGAGTGCAAGTTCAATATTTTGCGCCATTCTCTCGGGGGAGGGGTAGTTGCTGAGTCAATGAGTTGTTGTACATGCAGAGTAAAGTTGGTTGGGCTCCAAGTCTTTGTGAGGTCGACTCACCGCCACAGCAAAGACGTGGCTGAGAGACATGGACGCCTGCAGGAGAAACAGATGATAATCTGCAACTACTCTTGTGCAGGTTTCCAGTCATGGGATCTCTTGATTCAGTGAAGTGATGCACTGAAAGTTGGGGCCACTTAAACTTGGTGTAGTTACTCAGAGACTCTCAGCTTCTACTTGGCACAGCGACAACCGGAGCAATCAAAAACGGTTCGTGAATTTGGAATTGAAGAGTTTGCCGGAGAGACATGTCACACGGTAAATGGTTTGTAATGAACATCTCAACATCTCAGACCCGAAAGGCCACGGTAGTATCTCGAGTATTAATGAAGCCTCATCGCTAGCGGCCGCCATCGACAAACCTCGCCGCAATGAGATCCCTGCCTGCCTGCGCGTGCGGGGAAAACTTACTCTGTTAAACTAGTACTTGACGAGTTAGTCTTTCAGGTCAGGTCAGCTGGACAGCGGCATCATGTCAGGGCCAGGAACCGACAGGCACAGCACCAAGCTCAAAGCGGGCAAGCCAGGGAGGGTATTTTAATGTTGTGGTACCTGAGAGAAGGTGGTGGCCCGTTTGCAGTAATTTCCGCACTTTTTCGATGACTCGATATGCTACCTGCATCTAACTAATAGTTAGACGAGGCCAGGGTCAGGCAAGCAAGCAGATGATGATAATGACCGGGGGCGGAAAAACGACAGATCGCCTTTTGACGCAGCGGTGATGTAACCGCAGCCTCTTCCGTCGTTTTTTTTTAGACGATGGCTCTCCCCCTCCTGGCCAGATGCGGAGTTACTCACAATTTGCGGTGAATGCGAACTAATTGATGTAGCCATGCGAACGGGTTCCTATGCGAGAGTCGGGCGAGCCCACCACTAGTTCGTCCTGATGAGAAGCCCAACTGGCGCAACTCTTGACCAAGTCTCAGCCAAGAGTTGCGGGGTGATAGACCAAGGTTGCGAGACTAAAACTGGCGATGGCACTGATGGGCAGCGATGAATGCAACTTTTCTTGCGACGAACACCATGGAGGGAGGGGGGGGGGGAAGCCTCACGTCCTCCCCTCCACTCGCGTAATCGGTTGGCTGGCTGATGGGCCGATGTGCGATAAAAACCATGGAAGGCGGTGGGCTGAATAGCACGATGGTCTGAACACGATGATTATGGGCGATGATCGCTCATGCTAATTCGAGTTGGGCAGCGCAAGCAAGTCACTACGTTTCAAGTTGGCTATTAATCACCTATTGGAGGGTAATAGTAATAGAATACGGAGCAGTGTTAACTTTGCAGCCGCCATGCATCGCGATTGTTTCCCCTCTCCTTCGAAACTCGAGTCATCGCCGTCCCTTTGGACACCGCTTGGCGAGGTACTGACCGCTGTCCAATCGGCGGACTCAATGCGGCTGACTGGTCGATTCTGCTGCTTTTTTTGGATGCAACAAAAAAAGAGGGGAAGCCGAAGACGAGGCTTGCGTGGATACCATGACGACGATAAATCGTGTTTCCAAAGCGGACGAATTGTGCAGGCATTCGCTCGCTGCCTGATAGACGGGCTCGGGCTTGCGAGCTTCACGATAAATGTATACGAGCCAGGATCCTCTGCCTCTCAGCCCTTTCTTGAGTTGCTTGCCCGTTCGCGGCTAGTGCTCTCGTTACTGTGCAGCTCGCCTCATCGCCGTTTGTTAGCCCGTGAGCGGTGACTGGCTGGGTTGAAACGAGTTTTTTGTGCGTCTTTCAGACTAGCGGTGCGCTAACGTGCGGGATGGTGTGAGCGAGTAACTGAAATAACTAGAGGCCCGTCGCAGAGGCGGGGGTTGCACTGCGGCGCAAGCCTGGTTTAGAAGTGCGGAAACATGGCCAAGAAGCCTCGTTGATGAGAGGCGCAGTTGGCAAAGTTTCAACTCGTACACAACCCTCTGGATGAGGCTCGCTCATTGGTTCCTTGCCCCTCCCTGCCGTTGATCACAGAGTTGCACAGAGCCGCAACGTAACCAGTTGTCAGAGACGTGTAGATCAAGCGTCATACATGCGTTTATACTTTAGCTACTATCCCTTCGGTTCGCTGACATCTTGATATTGGCGCTGTCATCGGGCAGCAGCGTATTAGCAGTCGCGGACATTTATAGCATAAAATTAATGCTTGACAGCTTTGTTGGATTGAAACAAGGGCAGAATACTCCGTACTGAGCTGGGCATTGATCAACAAGACCTCTTTGACCTATCATGAAACTTTCTCGGCGGTTGCTTCCCGACTTGGTCCTATTAGTGAGTTGCAAAAGCCCAAGGGCTACACGTGCCTTGACGATTTCAGAGCACCCGCGCATGCCGCAAGTCTTAGAAGCGGGAGAGAGTTTCAAAGTACAAGGCATAAGACATGATTCTTAATATAGCGTTGGGAAGGGGGATTAAGGCAGCTGAGAGTAAAATCACCGACTCATGAGAAGCGTCATTCACGCTGACAAGTAAAACTAGCCTGTAGACTAGGAACAGACCGCTTCCTGACAGCTACGCAGAGCAGGGTCGGGAACGCGCCGAAGAGTTCAATTAAAAAGAGCGAAAGCAACCACTGTAAAATTACTTTACGCGCCAGCGAGAAATGTCTCGGAGCTTGGGCGGTGGCCATCGTCAGGTACAAGTCAGGAACGGAACGAGAGTCAGACAAAGTGGAACTTGGCCGAGGCCGGAAAAAGCAATTCGCAAGAGAAAGGCTGTAGCCACGGCTGAAGGCTGAGAGCGACGGAAATTAATAAGCACTGACGAGTGTATTTTGCTTTACGAGATTGGACAATTTGAAATATAGTCAATCACCGAGGAGAAAAAAAAAAACAACGTGCGAGTTATAATAGCATCGTGCTATTGCTCGGGGGTTTAATGAAAATGATGAAAGAAAAATCTGTTCACGATCCAGGTACCGATGGTGAGCTCCGAACAGGAACAGGAACAGAAGCAGAGTACGAGAGCGAGCTCAGCCAAGAGAAATGAACTTGGTGCTCCACTATACCCCACTAAGTGAGTGCATCGCCCTTCACAAGGCCCCGCTCATTCGTCTATTCGGACGCAAACAGCGACGGTGGACAGCTGGCAGCGCTGGCAGCTGGCAGGTCAAACGCCGCAACTGGCGGTCCGCCGCCCACTGCAAACGATTTGTCTGCCAATTGCCAGGTGTTGCCAGCTGCCACACACACACCTCAACGCACACTCCCCACACCCCCCTTCCGGCTGTTGCGGATTCCACACTCACTCGGGTGTGCGTGTTGAGCCTGCTCCTTCCTGGTCGCTCGCCCTGCTGACCGCCCAGGCTACCTCCGTTTGCCTTGCCCAGCCCAAGACTAGCCCGGAAACAGCGAGCAGCCTGGCCCAGCTGGCCTGCCACGAGCCATCGTCATCCAACTCCACTCCTCATCATACCAAGACAACCACTCCTCCACCACTTCCGCCCCATCGCCATACATATATGTAATCGAGCCTGCCCGCCTCATTCGCAGCCTCTCCTCCAGTTCCCGACAACCTCAATCCGCCCTACAGTTCTTGCATACTTGCTTAACATAGAAATAGGCATCACCATATTGCCATCACTATTCAACCTTACCATACTACGGCATCAACCAACACGTCTTACAAGGAAGGCTACTTCCACTTGCAGCACTCCAAACGTCACCACCACCGCCACATTCGATCGAGCCGCTTTCCGCCGACTGCTCCGTCAAATAAACCGGCCATCCGGCAAGTAGCTCTGTGTATATATCATTATATATACACGAGCTTCTTCCCATTGCCTTTCCAAACTCACCTTTCAATCGACTTACACAACACCCACAATGCACGTACTCAACGGCTTCAGCTCACGGCGCAAGACGCCCAAGCCCAGAGACTTGCACATTCGCAAGGTTTCATTCTCTGGCTGCTCACTCTCCTCCGGCTGCTCCATCGATTCATCCTCATCAACATCAACCACCCGTGGTCCCAGCCACCACCGCTCCGACAGCAACTCCAGCTACGACCCTCTCCGCCTACACCCCGTTGTGCAACCACCCCCGCGCCTGCATGAGCGCGCCTACATTGCCTCGCCCCGGCGCCGGCCAGAGGACTCGCCACGCACGTTGTGCAATGACCGGGCCCCCGGCAGCGCCGGTCAGTGGTCTGCGTATGGTGTCAGCGTCTTCGAGTACGACGACAGCGACACCGAGGTTGACGAGGACGACGAGACACCCGCCTTGGAGCCGGTGCACAGCAACAGCATGCCGCCCATGACGAGTCCGCTTGATATCGAGGACGACGAGTCAGACGATGAGGACTACTTCTTCATGCGGCTGGCCAAGCGCCCGCAACTGCCGCGCTCGCACTGGTCCGAGTCGACGATCCAAACGCTCGCGCAACTCACACCGGCGCCGAGCAACACTTCCACCACGCCGGCCGAGCGCCTCGAGGATCCCATCGAGCAGGCGCGCATGATGCTTCCCAACTTCAGCTGGAAGCACCACACCGTGCCCGCCCGCCCGCGCATGAGGGCCATGGACAGCGTCGAGCACATGGCCAAGCTGGGCGGGTGGAAGCGCAAGGCGGTTGTGCTCGACAACCAAGACAGCCTTGTTGCTACCGAGACGAACTAATACGTTCCTCGACATACACTCTCAACACATTCATATTACGCACTACAACTACTCTCCCTGACGTCACGTCGTATTTCTTTTTGATCCTTCTTGGAGTTGGCCAGCATTGTGTTTTGGGATATTTTTGGATACACACAACACCGGCGCATTTATAATACCACTTATTTGTTATTTATTACTTATTTATTGGGCTTCCGGCTTTTTCACGGATATCATTATTGTCCCAGTCACCATATCTGGAATTTTCTGTTATATCATTATTTTATTACATAGCTTCTCTTCCGGTTCGCAACACAGTTGCAAACTCTTGATACCAGCGCGCCACAGGCCCGCCTCAGCAAAACAATGCTACTCTTTTTTTTCTCGTCGAACCAAAAATTTTCCTTTTTCTTTCACATGTGCAATCTCGCTTGTCAGGCACCCGAAAATCGCCGCCCTGCCCGCCCGACCAGGCATATCCAGCTGAAGGACCCTTGCTCGAGTGGTGGATAAAATCATAATAGTCCCAACAGTCCTTCTAGATTGAATCGTACGCGTGGGCTCAGCCCTTTTTTTCCCTTTGGAGCCGGGGCACCTGTGGAGTAGAGTAATTTCGCCCTGTCCGCTCAATGTCCACTCAAGCATTCCCGAATGACAGTCCGGTCTGGTCAGTCAGCCAGCAAACTTTTTTTTTTTTCTTTCAAAGTATTGATTTTTTTTTTCTTGGCCGGGGAGAAGACCCTGGAAATCGTAAACCCCCGCTCTCGGGCAAAGGACTCGCACTCGCTCCGGCACTCTCAAAACGGCTCGCTGTCCTCGCGTCATCGGTTGGATTTGTCAGTCACCACTGCACTCTCACCCTCTCCCTTGGCTCAACACAGTGTTTATTTTTGCGCTTATGCCTATTTCTGTAAATGGCTACTTTTCCGCGGAGGGGGCCATCTTCCGTCCCTTTCTTCCAGCCTAGCCAATGAATGTTTCAATAAGCTTAGCTCAGGGCAAGTCCAGCGAGCGACTCGTGTCGAAACAAAAAAAAAAAAAAAAAAAAAAATGGCGGATAAAACTTGACCGCTATAAACTAATAACATCACTATCGCGGACTCAACTCGTACTCGGCGCGCACGGATTCGAAAATAGATTGGCTCGCTCTAAATTTTTTTCGTACGGATACTGATTATCAAGAAGCCCTGCCCCCCAACAACGCGTATCGCGCCAAAAAAAATTTTGACTCACCTTCGCTCTCTCGGTGTGGCGCCGCGGCGTTGTGGCTTTTGTCTCCTTCACAGCTCGACAAGGTCAATAAAAAAGAAGTAGAACTCGATATTATCAAGCTGTTTTTGATGCCGCGTCCACTTTCCTTTCCCTTTGTTCCTCTTTTCCGCGGCGATGCTCGGCATGTTAGTTCATGCATGCATCCTACCTATGTACCTGCACACAGACTTGTCCTGCACGCTCTATAACCCCATGACCCCGTGGTCTCACCGTCCCCGCTCATCCGCATTCCAAATCGCCATCACAATGTCTTGGACCGTTCGTGAGAAAATGTGAGCGAAAGTCCAAGCCCGTTCAGGGGGTTCATGTATGTACACCTCGGTGGGCCGAAGGACCGTGGGGGATTGCGTGAATTGGGGGCGAACTATTCCGCGACTAAGGAGGGAAGAAGCAAAACGAGGCCGGGGGCTCACGAGATCTTTCGGCCCTGCGTTGCCTACACGCACATTTGCTTTTTTTGCATGATTCTCGTCAAGGTTCAGTGAACCCCTGGCCGTCACCGACTTTTTGAAAAGCTGTATTTGCGCGCACGCCCCCTTTTGCAAATCAACAAAACAACCGGGAGCGGCCGAGGCCGTCGCTTGCCCTGTCTCATCCTCCAACAAGTGATTGACATTGGCAAGGATTCATGCATGGAATGAGCTGCTCTGTCCGATCATGCATGCTTGTTCCCCCCAGGGGCGTCATCAACCTGCCACGACTTACTGATGGATGGACACTTTACGCGCTTCCCACCACGACCCCGTCCTCAGCCCTCTGGAATGGACACCCTGAACTCTCCAGAGAGGAATTTGACTCATATTTTTTTTTGTCATCCTGAAACCGTAGTGTCGTATACCTCATTGGGTTTCTTTCTCCTGCCAACGTTCCACGTGCAATGGGGACTGCTGGCCAACATTCGGAACCTTGAACAAGTTCTCTAGTGAGGGAGAGAAGGCAACTTGAACACACCGCTAAGAAGAGCAGTGTTTACCATGGCATGTAATCGGGTGTTCAGAAACGCGCGTCATAGTGCCCCGTATGTGTTTCCCACTGCTTATTTGATAGTCTTCCCAGGCACGCGGTTGCTCAATCACTGGCCGTAGTGGCCAGCCCGGCGTTCCATCAGAGGGATGCTATTCATCATTCATCAAGTGCTGGCTTTCACTCTGTACCTATGAAACGCTACGCAAACTACAAGAGTTAGTGTTGAAAGCATCAGAGGAGCGACCGGGTAATTCCTCATCCGCAGGCCCGGCAACTTCGTGCCTGTCCATGCCATAGGTTTGCATCACGTAGTCATGCTGTTCAAGGCCAACCTCGGCATCATAGGTGTGATTCGGCGCTATCTCGTGGGTCATTGTCTTGTTATGCTCCTGCGGTGTCTACAAAGCATCGCAGACCTCATCCGCGCCGCTGTCGCAGGAGTGCAATGTTCGGCAGCCTGCGTTGCGGCTGCGTCTCGAGCGTCTCGGGTCGTCTGGCTGGGTCCCAGCAGAGCATGGTGCCATGGCCTTTGTAGAGGGCACCTGCAAGGCTGCTGGCAGGCGGACGAGTTGCCAGTTAGACTACGACTATATGATATAGCACATATTGTTGCAGACATCTCAAGGAGGATGTTAGCCATAGTATTCGGGGAGACTCTCTGAGGAAGTGACCACAATAAGGCGGACTAGAACTGGTATTACAAAAAGTATATTGGTAGAATGGCGTTTGAATACTGATGGAACTGGTGTTGGAATGCCCTGTTTATCACAACCCCTTGGACGGATCGCAAGGAGATTTATACACGCAAAGAATCGCCTACACAAAGCGCTGGCAGACGTCATCACCAAACTCACACGCGTCCCCCAGCTTCCTTCCTCCGCATCATCGCAGCCTTTTCGACATGTTTCATTCCCGTTTTCCTGTTTATTCGAACTTCAATAGAATAGTGACTTCGATTTGTGCTTCAAAATTCGACGTCAGCTGCTTTGAATGCATCCGAGGTCTTTGGTGAGGACGCAGCTACAACCCCACAGCGTCATCCTCGCATATGGCTTCCAAGGAATCACGTCCGAAGGCCTCTCAGGAAACTTTACGACAGTGCGACGGAATCGTACGCGGGAAAGCTTTCGAACTGGCCGAATGGGAGACTCGTACACCCCGACATCTTCGGCGCCGCCCACCTCGGCGTCCGAGTCGAAAGATGCAGAGCGGCTTGCGAAGCCTTTCGTGCAAGATCTCGGCAGGCTCCATCAATCACAGCCAGGCAAGGAAATTTTGACAAATCCGCTTGCGTCCGTGGTCGTTGGGGAAGCAACAACTACCAGAAAACGCAACAGCGGTCATGGCATATCAGGAGAATGGAGCTTGGCGCTTAGGGAGGAGAAACTGATCGCCGTCGACGCTCAATCAGGCCGGTCCCTGGAGAGCCTGCGCAGAGAAGACGTTTTGCAACAGGATATATTGAACGAGTCCAGAGCTGGAGAGCCGAAAATGTCTCCAAAAAGGGGGGACTACGCTACGAGCCACCAGCAGATGGCGAGCGCGTCTTTCCAGTGCTCAGCACTTGGTCTCACGTCTGCGCTTCCCCTGCCTGCGCTCAATGACCTGACGACAGACATGGTGAACAAGAATGCATTCATCTGCTGCGACAATAATGGCCCCGAAAGAAGAGGTGTTTTTGATGAGGCATGGACTGGGATGGAGACGCAGATCAGGATGACAAGACACTGAAGGGTATTGGGAGTGAGGCTCGCTGACAGAGAAAATAGGGCTGGGTACAAGGAAGAACTGCCAAACTGTATTAAGATAGCAGATGAACTGTAGAGCATCTTCAACGCAACTACTAGAAAGAAATATTTACAACAGCTCGCGCTTCTCGGAGCTAGGAGCTGACGGCGGCTCATCGATGGTCCCAGGCTCGTCAGCGTCAGCGTCAGTACAGCACAGCGCAGCATCGTGAAGGGGATAGCATGATTGAGTCTGCCTTTGCTTTAAAGAAGTTTCGGCGTACTTGAAGAAGTCGGCGAAGTGATTGCTTTGCGGAGACGGGAGGGACGACTGCAGCGAGGCGGACCGCGAGCCAGGCACACAGTTGAGCTCAACAAACAGGCAAGTTGTGTAGTGAGTTGGCAAGGCTCTCTAGAGTCCATGAGCAAACATGGCGTGAATGCAGTAGACGAGTCTCACAGTTTGAAGTGTTCTCCGGCTTCGAGGTTACGCGGGCGGAGAGCTGATGGTGTGGTGATGTGGTGATGCTGACTGCGCAGTGGTTGAGACGTGGGCGAACTCGGGCGAACGTTGAGACATGATCCTAGAGGATCTGAATCATGTTCAAAATCTGACGTGAGATGGAAAAAAGAAAAAGAAGGCAATATTTTGTTGAGACATGCATGACCTGATATAGTGAGGCGTAAAGGCGCACAAGCGCCAGGTGGTACATTCACAGCACACAAACGCCACGGCATGCGGGACGGCTGGGGCCAGATTTTCAGCTCTGATACATTATTCATCGGGGTCGTCCATACTTGTCGGAATATTCTCATCCAGTCCACAGTCACGCCAGGCTATGCGTCCCGCCGCCGTGGCGCTGTGCAGAGTCGCACAGCGTGGTGAAGATGTCAGAATAGCCGGCATGCCGGGATGACAGAGTGCAAGTAGACATTTTGACTACGGAGAGTATGCTGAATACAATGAGCGCTTTGGTAACGCATGTCCTCCGTCGTCGTGCGATTCTGTTGGCGCTTGGACTCGACGGTTGAGGTTAAAAGAGCTGGGCTAATAAGCGCTGTATGAGGTATATTGGGCAATAAAAAGCTATTTTGTTTGTCTGCAATGGAAGCTCATAGGTCGAGCACAAATATAATATTTTTTTTTTTTTTGGCTTGGGCGAATTCCGGCAATTGCGAATAGAAAGAGTTGTTGCTCTGCTTGCTTGCAAATTATCGCGCGGCGTCATGCGCTCGCTGTACGGTAATCTCGCGGCTATTCTATCATTTCGCCCACGAAGTGATTGGGCATGAAATATTTAAAAGTAAAGTAAAATAAAAGCTCTCGTAGTAGTAACAGAAATAATCTTGTTTTTTTTTTTCTCGGAAGCTGCGGGGTTCAAGTCGTCGCCGTAATCTGTGCCAGCTAATAACAAGGTAATTTGGCCTCAATTCTTCCAGGTTGGCCGTTGACGCAGCCCGTCTTGCGCAACATCTAGTGCCGAGAATGAATGGGCCTGTCAGTGAGCCGAGGCAACACACGGTCCGTTCCTGTGTTACGATTCCGAAACTGACAGACAGGCTGAGCACAACATCGAGGAGAAGGGGGGGGGGAGGGGATAGGAGGAAGCTCTAAGGTGGTGTCCGAGCCCTACAGTGCGGTGTTTCCGTTTGTCTCAACTTGACAACTTGTCACATTTTCTTTTTGCGGTTGGATGCCAAGGTCCGCTCGGAATCTGCAAATGACAGAATTAACTGCACTGCCTGGCAAATTCTAGTTATTTCATAATGAGTTCCTGGTGGCTCAGTTGTTGGAACGGCCGGTGAGCATCTTCCTCTGCTCGCTTATAGCCTTTTACGAAAAGAAGCCACTTGCAGATAAGTTAATATACGTGTGCAATTTCCGAGCAGCTGTACCGGGAAGTCCGGCCGAGTAAATTGATCTGATGAGTAGTTACTAGTAGTAGCCCGAAGCGGAGGGTTTGTCCAGTCTGGCCATTCCATGTCCGTGCACAGGTTCCCAGTCATCCGTTCACAGAGTGGCTTGCTGCGAGTTTGCTGCTCATGTACATACTACAGTACATGGTGGCATCTGTTGTGACTTGAGTTACCAAACTACAGGGATCCGGGGGCGTTTTTGAGAGTCTGTGACTGGCTATCCCAATCCTTGCAGATCCTGGTTGGTACTTGGCGTCGGCGATTCATTGTCTGCAACCTGCAGCGCGCATCATCTAACTAGTTAGTTCCCATCCCCTCTTTCTCTTTCTGGGGATCCGAAATGAGACCCCGAACAAGACACCACACAACCAGGTCTTGGGTAAAAGTAGTGCCAGGGGGAACTCGCAGACTTGAAAGGGCCAACCCGAGTCAACTCAATCAGTAGTCCCAGGTCAGCTCTCGCAACCATCTCTTTTATTAGCTTCCCATCAGTAGTTCGGCTTCGGCTTCGTCTTCAAGGGAGCAAGCAAACTGCAACTGGTTGGGCACGGGCCGCGTGATGGGAAACTTTGGCCGGTTCCAGACTCGATCACATACTGGAGCGTACCTTTCTTGTCAGGGCTGCTTTTATCCGTATTTACTTACCAGTATTGGCATTAGCCTCCTGCCAGGCTGTGGGTGGTAAATCGAGTGATGTGCGCTCTGACCCCTCTGACCTTTCCTTCCCTTTCTTTCCCTTCCCTCTCATCCTCCTCCTCAGCCAGTTGCTGACGAGTTTTCAGCCCACCATATTGCTTGTTCCAGAGCGCCACCAACTTTTTGGCGGCCGCGAATTCGACAGGATTTGTAAAAGCCTCGTTTGTTTTTTCCGTTTTTTTTTTCCTTTTGTTTTTTGCCCACATTTTTTTTTTTCTTTGACAATGCAACGATGGGAGCCTGATTCACCAACTTTGCCCGTCTGTACTGCCCGTCTGTACTGCCCGTCTGTACTGCCCGCCATGTCCTCTGCTAGTAGCGGTTGTGACTTGTTATTATAGCCACCGTTATGTGCGTGTCTGTGCGCCGGGCGTCGTGTTGAAGAGGCTCCTCATCAAAGCCCACAGTTACTTATTATGTGTGTGCACTACGCTGCACTACACCACAACTCAACTGCCAACCTGCCAACCTGCCAACCTTGTCAGATCCCCCGCAGTCTGTCTGGATGATTAAAAGGAGAGGGGGTAGCCTCGCAGTAGTCACTCCTGGGAATATTTTAATACATCTCAAACTTCCATCTATCTGATTTCATCTCATCTTGCTTCTTCAAAAACTGCTCCGAGACCCCAAAAGACTGACTGACCCTTCAAGACCAACAACTATCTATACCTTGTGTGTAGGGGGTCACTTACACCCAACAACCTCACCAACATGAAGATTCTCTTCTTCTGCACCGCCTTCAACTCATTATCACAGCGTACCTACCTCGCACTCTCAGAACACCACTATGTCACCATAGAATACGCCCTCTCCCAGGAGCTCATGGTCGAGGCCGCCGAGCTCGTCAAGCCCGACCTCATCATCTGCCCCTTCCTCACCACCCTGGTGCCCGCCCAGGTCTACTCCAAGTACCTCACCCTCATCGTCCACCCGGGCCCGCCGGGCGACGCCGGCCCCAGCGCCCTCGACTGGCTCCTCATGGGCGACGACGGCACCGAGCCCGACAGCAAGAAGCTCCTCAAGCGGACGTCCCTGAGCGAACACGGCCGCCCCTACTGGGGCGTCACCGTCCTGCAGGCCACCGCCGACTTCGACATGGGCCCCGTCTGGGCCTTTGAGCAGTTCGCCGTCGACGTTGACCAGCCCAGCGTCACCAAGTCGAGCCTCTACCGGGGGCCCGTCACCCGCGCCGCCGTAGCCGCCGTGCTCAAGGCCGTCGACCGCATCACCCTCGCCTCCAAGACCTCCTCCGCCACCAGCTCTCGCAAATCCTTCTCCTCCGCCAACTCCCGGCCCAACACCGCAGCCTCAGCCGTGCACCCGGACCTCGTCGCCAACCCCGTCTTCGCACAGCTCTCCGTCACAGCCGGCCAGCCCTTCCAGGGCGGCCAGACCCGCCACCGGCCGCTCCTCCGCGCCGCTGACCGCGACTTTAACCCAACCACCCACACCGCCGCCGAGATCTCCCGCCGCATACGTTGCGCCGACTCGCAGCCCGGCTGCCTCAGCGGGCTCTTCGGGCCACGGCTGTACCTCTACGGCGGCGTCGTCGACGGCGGCCGGCAGGCAACCGGCGCGGTGCCGGGATCCGTCATCGCCAGCCGCGACGACGCCGTCTGCGTTGCCACGTGCGACGGCAAGGGCGTCTGGATCACCCACGTCCGCCGCGTCAAGGCCAAGACGGACGCCGCGCTGTGGCCCAAGGTGCCCGCCGTCCAGGGCCTCACCGAGCTCGCGGAGCACTGCATGGGCCGCCACGACCTGCAGCGCGTCGTCTCGGTGCGCGACAGCCGGCGACGACCCGACGGCGGGGACGAGTGGTCCCGCGCGACGCGCAGCACGCTGCAGGACCTCTGGATCGACTTTGAGCCCGCGGGCGACGACGACGGGGGCAGCGTCGCGTACGTCTTCTTCGACTTCTACAACGGCGCCATGAGCACCAAGCAGTGCCGACGCCTTCTTCGCGCCCTGCAGCACGTCCTCTCCGTCGCCTCGGAGCGCCGCGTCCGCGCCGTCGTCCTCATGGGCGGCTCCTACTTCAGCAACGGCATCCACCTCAACGTCATCGAGGCCGCCGCCGACCCGGCCCTCGAGTCGTGGTTCAACATCAACGCCATCGACGACCTCGTCCACTGCCTCCTGCACGACCTGCCCGCCCGCAACATCCGCACCGTCGCCGCCGTGCGGGGCAACGCGGCCGCCGGCGGCGTGGCGCTGGCCACCGCGTGCGACGTGGTGCTCGCCGGCGAGGACGTGGTGCTCAACCCGGCGTACCGCGCCATGGGCCTGCACGGCTCCGAGTTCCACAGCCTGACCTACCACGCGCGCTGCCGCGGGGACAACGGCCGCCGCGTGCTGCGCGAGATGCTCCCGCTGAGCGCGCGCGCCGCCGCGCACCTCGGGCTGGTCGACCGCGTGCTGCCCGGCTGGGGCGCCGCCCTCGACTCCGCCGTCAAGGCGCAGGTCAGGACCGAGCTCCTCTCCTCCGCCGCGGGCGACCTTGCCGAGTGGAAGCGCGGGCTGGACATGTCGGCGGCGGCGCTGGCGCGGGTCCGCGCGGAGGAGCTCGCGGAGATGGCAAAGGACTTCTGGAGCCCCCGCGCGCTGCGATACCACCCGCGGCGCGCCGACTTCGTCCGCAAGGCCAAGGCCGGCGCGACGCCCCGCCGGTTCGCGCTGCACCGCAAGGCGGACGGCCTGGTGGACGAGGAGGATGACGAGCGCTTCGACTCGGTGGAGTGGTTCGCGATGAAGGGCAGCGGCGCGGCCAGGAATGCCGCCGTCGCGGAAGGGGAGTCTTCAGTGGCCGCGCCGAAGCAGCCGGAGAAGGTGTACGCGCGCAGCAGGACTGCGCCATCGTCTAGCTGCGACATGAACGAGGAGAAGAGCTGGGGCCGCGCGGAGGCGGTGCCCAAGGCCAAGACTCGGGGGACTATATTTTGCTGCTATTATGATGCAGACTAAAAGCGTGCCGCGTTGTTTATATGAGTTTTCCATGTTTCAATTCTTTGGTTGTCGAAGCAACTACATTAATCAGCACAGGTGGGCGCAGGCGTCAGGTTACGGACAAGGACAATCCTTTTAGCTATACTGGTAGCGATAATCTCCTATTAGTGATTATGATCGATACTTGATCCAAATTCCAAGGCAAAGCTTGCCTTCTGAGCGGATTTTGTGAACTAGATCAAGGTATGGGTACATCCTAGAGCTCTCATGTACCATCCTAAGCTTTGTGATGCCCCATGTCCCACGTTCCATCCTACGGCTTCTGCCACGTCCCATCCTTGAGCGACGACACGATGGCCTCCGCCTTGTACTTGAGGTTCGACAGCGTCGTCCCCTGGCGCGGCTCCTGGCTCGGACCGGGATCGTTCCACACCGACACCTTCCTGGTGGAGTGCGCGCCGACCTCCAGCACCGTGCCGCCCGCGTACTCCTCCGACTCGACCAGCAGCAGCATCGCCTCCGCGACCTCGCGCACCGGGATCAGCACGTCCTGTTCGGCGTCGTAGACGCCGTCCTTGTCCGGGTGCTCGTGGATCATCGGCGTGCTGACGGTGCCTGGCGCCACCGCGCACACGCGCACGCCCGCGGCCGCCTCGAGCGGCGCCAGCGAGCGCGTGAAGCCGACCACGCCAAACTTGGCCGCCGCGTACAGCGGGCACGGGAACACGGGCGTGTAGCCGGCGATGGACGCGATGTTGACGACGCGCTTAGGAGCCGGTTCCGTCGCCGCCGCCGGCCCTCCGCGCATCCAATACTGCAGCGCCAACTGCGTGGCGCGGATCGGGTGCGTCAGGTTAATGTCGAGCGCCGTGTAGTGGTTCGCGTCGACAAAGTCCCGGCTCTTGCTGGAGCCGGGAGGGTGCCAAAAGTTGGACGCGTCCGGCTCGAAGACGCCCGCGCCGGGGCAGACGATGTCGAAGCCGCCAAACTCGGCGACGGCCCGGTCAAACATGTTGCGCAGGTCCTCCCACGCGGTCACGTCCGTCTTGACGAAGACGGCGCGCGCGGAACCTGGGCCGCCGCCGCCGCCGCCGCTGTGCTCGCTCACCACGGCCTCGGCCTCGGGCCGCAGCTTGATGTCGGCGATGACGACATTGCAACCCTTGCTAAGAAGCAGCTGCGCAAAGGCAAAGTTGATGCCTGGAGGGACCAATGTTAGTTGGGTGCTCACTTGAGAGATTTGCACAGAGTCTCTGCTTGCCTGAACCTGCACCAGTGATGACGGCCGTCTTGCCTTTGACAGAAAACGGCGCCATTCTTTGCTAGACTGAAGATGACTTGATCGTTAGTCTGGAGCTAGGACATGGAAACCACAGATTGACCTCTCTATTTATACAGGAGTCGTCTGTTAATAAATGCCGGGGGATGGGGAGTCCTCGTGTAAACACCAGCTGAGATGTAAGCGAGTATTTATCGCCACCGTCGACGCAAGCCACTATCCAATCTCTTTGATGCACATGGCCCCTCCCCAACCATCATCCATCCATCTCGTTTGCTAGCGTCACAGCCAACGGACACGGACTTTTGGTTCGGGCTCCGCACACCAAACATCAATTCGGCGACTGAGGCCGCGGGGTATCTTTTTCTTGCCAAGAATCAATAAATAGCTTGATCGATCCGTACATTCAACTGTCTGGGTCCCTTCCCCATGGGGTATTGTACCGAGCCTCGGTTCAAGGCTGGGTGGTAATAGTACAGGTAATATACATGAGATATGCATTCCCGCGGCGCAGGGTACATGCAGGGCCTTTTCTGAGCCGACTTTATCGTGCCCTTTCCAAAACAAAAGTCGACGCCTGCAGCGACATGTTTCGGGCCCCGGTTGTAATAGTCGGCAGTTGTAACATCGGTATCATCTCCATACTTGTTGTCCATCCAGTATTCCAGAGAAGCTGTAGAGTAACAAGGTCCTCATCGTAGGATACCGTCGCTTTCGCCTGGCAGTCGTTCCACGCGCTTCTGCTCCCAGTTGTCCAAGTCTTTGCTGCCAGCCAGCCTCTGCGTCCCAACGATTAGCAAAAAAGAACCTTGCCAAAACAGCCAGGGCAGGAAAAAGAAGCAAAGTAAACTCCCATCTCTGCGCATGCTTGTCAGTCTCCCTCACGTACATAGTATTCCTCGCGCATGTCCACCTTGCGCGCCGAGCGCCGCACGTTGAGCTCCTCGTCGCGCGTCATCTGGCGCACGCGGCGGTCGTGCCGCTCGTATCGGATCGCCGTCGCGGGCGTCAGCACGAAGGAGCCGGCGACGATGACGGCCAGGAACGGCAGGCCGAACATGAGGAATGGCCGCTTGCTCAGGATGGCGCGGTACCGGGCGCCAAAGGCGTTGGCCTCGCCGGCGGACCGGAACTTTTTGCTCTGAAAGGTCGGCATGCTTCGCGGGGGTCGTCAGAGAGATTGTGCGATATGCGACTTTGAAGGGTCGATCCACGTTCGAGCATCGATTAGATGGACTGCTGCTGCTTTGGCGCGACCAATGCAGCAAAGAGAAAGAATCAGGCCATCCCGCAAAATTATGGCGATGCTATGTCAGTGGCTGCACATGTGGAGCCAGCCACCTGCTTGCACAGGAAGACAAGTTAGACTTTCGTAAACACATTATCAGTATAGGCATAATGCAGGTTGCATAGGAATTGAATGTCGTAATTTATTCAGAATCAACACTCCGATACTATGTATTTACAGTGGCTTGCAAAGTGCCGTCGCTAATAACATGCCTCTGATCGCTTTCTCAGCTATGCAAAAACCCCCCGACAAAATAGACATGATGCCAGCTTCCAAACCAGCCCGCCGCATCCCCGTCTTCAGGTTCCCTAAGTTAGTCGTAACAAAAGTTGTAAAATAAGAAAATATTCGAGCTCATCATAAGTTCCGCGCCCGCGCAAAGTGCAAATTCCATGCCTAGTCCCAAAATGCAAGCTCAGCATATATATGAAACTTGGTACCAGTACAAAAAACAGTCAATGAAATAAACCCGCTCAACTTGTACACAGGAAATGGATCGTGGGAGACGGCCACGGCCGTTGCATATCGGCAACTTCATTACTGTGCTGTTGCAGAGCACGTTTCGTAGTCGCTGCTCACCAAGACTGGACCTGGTGCAGCTTCGCTTCCCACTATCTTTCGAGTCGTGGCGGAGAAGATTGCCACCCATTGATCACCGCCATCATCCCCATACCAATCAAGACAACCCCAAGCATCGATGCATATGGCAGCCCGCTGTAGAGACTGTCATCTTGCAACGACCCTCGTCTGGGTGCGTTCAGAGGCGTGATGGTATTGGCCCTTGACAACGTCGGGCTTTCTTCGAGTTGCTCTGGCTCATCAGCCTTGGTGCTCTCGTTCTTGATCGCTTTGGTTAAAGCGGAGCTGGCTATGGGGGCTTTCCCTTCGGTAGATGCAGCCCGGCTCCCTTCTTCGGTCGAGTGTGGGGAGGTGGAGAGAGCCTTCTCTTCCGCTGCGACTCTGCGGGCCTCTTCCTCTCGCAATTTGATAACCATCTCGGCAAGTGACTTCCGGCCGGAATCTCGCTCAGTCTCCGCAGCTTCGCAGCGTGTCTTCCACTGCTCCATTTGGCCCCGAAGCTCATCGACTTGTGTCTCCATAGTGCTGAGGCGGATTTGCAAAGTGCTGTCCACCTCATAGGTCCCATCAGCCTGATCACCACTTTCATCATGTGGTTGATCGACGATGTCATCTGCGCTGTTTGAGAGGACGGTAGTCTCTAGCAATGTCTCCTCGACCTCCTTCGCAGGCGTTACGGCAGAGCCATTCAATTGAGTCTTTGCCGACTCTTCCAGCCTCATTGCCAGATCTTCAGCCAGAACTCTCGCTTCTCTCTCTCTCTCCAGCATTGCTTCAAGCTCACGCATCCTTGCCGTTTGCGTATCCATATCGCGCTTGGCATTGTTGAGTGCTTCTGTCAGCTGGATGATCTGGCTGACGTTATCTTGTCGACCGGGAGACGACACTGTAGGGCCCGATTTTGAACGTTCTCCGGCTGCGCGTTTTAGCCCCGGCACATCAGGCTTCTCTGGCAGTGGTTGCTGTGGTGGTGGCGCCGGAGGATCAGAGAATCGCGTCTTTGCATCTGTCCTCAATGGAATGCCGTTACCGTTGACCATAGGGGAAGGTTTCGGAGCCTCCTGAGATTCGGCCTTCTCCAGGTCCTTTATATCCTCCTTCGACAGCAACGTTGTAATAAATTGGTTTGTCCGGCCCAGATCCTGTGCTTGCAGCTTTGCATTTCGCATTTCCGTTGCTAAACGCTTCATGATCTGATCTGTTGCGATGGGAGGGACAAAAAATGGTCGCTGTTGCATCATACCATTTGGCTGTGGGTTTTGTATAGGCCCGTTCTGCATCATACGCCCATTGGGGCCCATACCAGCATTGTTGTTTGCTTGTCGACCTCGCATTTGCATTTGCCCTGTGGCCATCATCATTGAGCCATTAGCGGGATCTAAATCGCCAAAGCTCATATCCATGACGTTGTTCGAGGCGGTCAAGAACCCAGCATGCTCAACTTTTGCTGCCACTTTGTGGTGAACGACTGTCTTTTGATCTTCGCTAACAATGTCAATGCCAAGTTCCAGTTGGTCCGCAGTCTGCAATTCGTGGGGTTCAGACTCGCGATTTTCCTGTGATAGGCGTATGCCATTGACAAATGTGCCGTTGGAAGATTTTACATCGCGGATGAAGATTTTGCCATTGCGTTCAGCAAAAATCTCGGCGTGCTGCCTCGATAGAACCTTGCTGTCAAAAAATCCATTTGTGGGAGTCGGTAAGGTTTTCTGGTTCGTTTGGCGGCCTATCCGCAGGTTTTCGGGGGCAAAGGGTACGACTATCGTCTTGCGTTCAAATGTTCCATTCATAGAAAGGAGGTATAGGACAGGTTGACCCCCTTGGGATTGATCTTGCCCGGGGGGTCGCATCATGCCCTGCTGCGTCAGTTGAGATTGTCCACCGCCGCCGACGGGCGACTGCTGCAGGACGCCATGAGGTAGCATGCCATTCGGTCGGCCGTTGGCTACTCTGGAAAACTCGCTTGGCATGTCTCCTTTCCCTGTGGGCCACGGATTCTTGGGTTGTGGTCGTTTTCGCTGTGGACCATTGGCTGACCATTGGCTGCCCTCGGACGTGCTCGACAGAGAAGTGCCGTTTGAGTGAGAGCCGTTGGTGGCAACGGAAGTGTTTGAGGAGTCGGAGGATATCGACGACGATGAGCTGCTTCGCGCCAGGTTCTTGCGAGGAGCAAACATGCCTCGCACTTCGTCAGGGTTCATGGGGCTATTCCCATTAATGGTACCCCATGATGAACGCGACACTTGAGGAAACGCTAAAGGATTGACGACTGCAGTCATGAGGAAGGTTCGAGGTGGGTGATGTCAGGTAGGGTCGTCGTTGGGGGTAGTACGTGGATCGCTCCCGCCAAAGGCTGTATTGCGAGACTCTATGACCTAAGCCGACGAGCGACCATTCAGTCGGAGCCGCAGTGGGCTATTCAGGCGTCTCTCTTGAAAAGGGCTCCACAATATGACGGATTCGATGATATTCAAGGGGTATAACGACGCGATCGATTGTTCTATGATGCACAAGATTCGGTCAGAAGGATTGAAACATCAACCAAAGAAAGCGTGGAGCTGGAGAAATTGCATGGAGCGCTCGAGATCATGGAGGATCATAGAGTGCAGCGACAACGGCACAATGCGAAGACTTACCAAGAGGATTGCAGCAGGTTGGCGTGACTATAGACTTTGACGACGTTGATTAAGAGCACGGGGGCTTTAGCCGGAGTGAAAGATAGGATGGACACCACCCCCGTCTTGCCAGAAGCGCTCCTGAAGGTCGCACAGTGGACCACGCATCAAGCTGCTTGTGGCATGTACGTCACGCCACAGCTACCTGCTCCGAGAATAGAAGATATTCTGTACAACAAGCACAGAAACATTATTTAGTAATTATCATTCAAACTACCTAGCTTTTTTTCGAGCCCCGAAGCCGAATCCTTTTCCCTCTCACATTTGCTTCACGTGAGGCCACGATACAGTGCGTCAACCGAGCAGCTAGGCTCAAAATTACTGTGAGGGGCGTTGACGGCTCGGACTATTATTCCCCCGGCTAGCTCCTTGGCTCCCAATCAACGCCCGCGATTTCGAGGCGAGCTCCGCGAAACTCGGTGCAAGTGCTAGATTACCATCGATTCTGTGACGGCGCAATTCTTCCCTGTGCAAGCGACGAGCCAGACGGCGTTAAACAATACAGCCAACAATGCCTCCTGTTGCCAACGTTCCTATGGGCGGCCAGCATGGCCCGTCCAACTTTGACAAGTGTAGGATCACACTTACAATTCCTCGTACTTCCTACTAATGAACTTTATAGTCAAAATGGGCGCCATGATGGGAGGAAGTATGCTTTGCCCTCCGACACACTGATTTGGATGAATATAACTAACAATGCATCCAAGCTGTCGGTGTCATCATTGGCTTTATTTACGGTACGTCGCGGCGCCGGGGTGGTTTGCACCAGAACAAGGACTAACAATGCGCAGGCACAGTCAGCATCTTCAGACACGGCGCAGGGTCACAAGGCGTCTTTAGAACTCTGGGACAGTTCATGGGCGCTTCTGGTGCTACTTTTGGGTGAGTGATACCTTGCCTGCTATTCGGTAGCGTCGCTAATCGTCACCAGCTTCTTCATGTCTATCGGTAGCGTTATTCGATCCGACGCCGACCCCAAGCTTCGCGAAGCGTACATGCGAGCGCACCGAAGACCGATCCTCCTGATGGCGAGCCCGGCGTGGAGGAAGAGCTCATAGGCCGCGGCGTGTGACACAAGGAGGAAGATCCCGGTGCAAAACCCACGGCGTCCTCTTCTATTGTAACTATGTGAAAAAGAGATGGAAACATCATGTGTACAATAGCGAATTGTATTCGCACCACTCAGTCGAGCTGTATAAGCCAATCCTAATGAAATGGATAGACACCAGAGCTTTGTTAGTTCCACGAAGTGACAAGAGAGAGGAGAAGCGCCATGACGGGCTGCCAGCCCAGCTACGGCCACCATCCAGAGAGTGTACATAATGAAGCCTAATTATTTGAGTCATCTATGAGTGTAGATGGAAGTGTTCTTGTTAGGTCTATATTCGTGATTCATCATTATGTGACTGTTCAAAATCGAGATCTGGCAATGTTGACTCAGCAAATCTCCAATGTGCGGCTATGTGCTGCATATTCCCTTCGAGAACTTCAAAGAGCTGGTTGAGGATCGCTATCCCTCCTCTCTGTAAGGGCTTCTTGTGAATCCACCGCTTTGTCTTGTGCAGCGGTTTCCCCTGCCGGTGGTGGCGTTTCGATGCGCTTTGCAGAATCCACGGTTCCTTCAGCCGCGTCTGTTTCGTACTTCAAGATGTTGTCATTGCTGGGCCCTGTTTCCTCGGATTGGTGAGATTTGGAGGCCACGGCCTCATTGCTAGCAGATTCTTCGTCATGGATCCTCAACGCCGTCTCGATATCCTCGGTGAGTCTCTGCACCTCTTCATCGACCTCTTTAGTGCGCTCCTGTTGACTTCTCAGCTGCCTCTCAGCCTCCTCATCTCCAACGATGCCGCGCCACATCTTCTCCAGCTCTTCGCCCCAGCCAAGGTCCGCAGCCAGCTGGCGGATCCCGTCGTCGCAGGGCCCCAGTGACAGGACATCATCTGGCCTGGTGCCAATCTGACCAACTTTTTCCAAGTTGAACAAGACACGAGGGATTGACTCTCGCACCATCTTTGGTAGGCCGGCGAAGGGATACACCTGCAGACTCGTGCCAATGATGAGGACGAGGTCAGCCATGACTACCTTGTAGCTCTGCTCAGAAAACTCCCGCGGCAATGCTTCCCCAAAGAATACAATGTCCGGTTTTACAAGACCGTTGCAACTCATATCCACGCACCGAGGTACGTCTCCATTGTGGACATGGGTCCTCATTTCGTCGTCAGGGAATTCTTTCTTGCACTCAACGCATCGCTGGGTCGCAAAACTCCCGTGAGCCTCTATTATCTTTTCCGGCGGGACACCAGCGCTTCTCTCCAGACAGTCAATGTTCTGCGTGAACAACATTTGCAGCAGACCCTTTTTCTCCAGGAGTGATAGGAACACATGCGAGACGGTGGGGTGAAATTTGCCAGGATACAGCTCCTTTGCGAGCACGTAAAATGGCTCAGGGTTCTCCTTGAAGTACGAAATTTCGAACACAGCCTCAGCATGGGGCAGGTTCAAGCGGGCCAGGTTGTTGTACAGCCCGGTCTTTGGCGATCTGAAATCGGGAACTGCAGGGTAGGCGTTAACGGTGAGAATTCAGGAGGCTTTGGGGGTCGTCCTACTGCCTGCGGCGGTGGAAATTCCAGCACCGGTCATGACAACAATGCGCTTGACATCGCCACTCTTGATGTAGTCGGCAATGGCTGAAATGCTGCGTTCTGAAAGTGTGGTTGGAGGTGTAGACTCGTCTACCATTGCTGATTCTTCTTGACCCATTTTGAAGCGAGCCCAGCGTGGGACCTGGGAGTGCTGCTGGTGCTTTTGACGACGTCTTCGCCCTATCTTGGTGATTCAGGTAGGCAGGTAGGGCAGGTGGGCATGAATCAAAAGTGAAAGATGCTTCGTGTGGTCCTTTGTGCTGATGCATGCAGGAGGCTTCAGCAGTTGCTTGGCACCCTCAGGTTACATCATTTTCACCTCGCTTATCGATAAGAGTAACAGTAGTATCCAACCGGACGGAAATTGAAAACACGTCAGGGACAATGTAGTGCATTATGTAACAATAGGTAGCTAGTAATTGATGAAGAGATCGCGATTATTTTGAGAATGCACAATGGGATGTAGCAGTGCAAATGCTGTGGTGGCAAGGCCTCGGGACTCAATCCTCTCTGTTCAGGGCGCAGCTACCAGTCCGTGATGGAGAGTGCTGACGCGACGCGTCTACATTTAAAAAGTGAAAAGAAAAGATACTGATTTTAAGCCCTCTATAAACGCCAAACGCATGAGACTATAAGCGAACATTATAAAAACCCGAGTGAAATCATCAGCCGTGGCGCTCTCTCGCCTGAGCAAACTGCTCTTCCTGGAGTCGAGCCAGCTCCTCCATTGACATGCCACTGTTAGCAAACTTGTCTGATTTTTTCTCTCGGCCCTATTGTAGAGTTAGAAATTCAACTTCAAAAGTGACAGATGCGATGCATGGTGTGTCTCCATGGGCAAGTTGCCCCGTCAGGTGGTTACATACCTTCTGAACTTCTTTGTGCTCTGCGGCCGCCTCTTGGACGGCCGGTACATAGTCAGAGAAGCCGAGTTGCTCGAGAGCCTTGGTAATGTGGTCGCAGGCTATCGTTTTTTTGGCCTCCTTCTCGGAAATCTCGTTGGCCTCTGATGAGATTAGGGTGATGAACTCGACGCAACATTCTATGAGTAGGTCGCGACTCTCCCTTGCAAACGCGATGCCTTCAGAGGGCGGTAGGATTTCTGTGACAATTTTTTGGACGGTAGCTTTTGTGAAAGTCAGTTGCTATGCTGTGCGGCGTGTGACGAGCTTGAACGGCGAGCGATGAGGTGTACAGAGTCCGGGGGTGAGTGTGTGTCCTCATGTTTTGTTTGCCGCGCGCGCATTGTTTTCAAACATACCTTTTGGCAAGGAGAGATCGTCATTGCCTAGATGCAGGGTCAGTATTTCATGTGCAGTTGTATTATTGGGGATGGAAAAAAGGCAGACACAGCCGCAACTCTTGGTGGCGCGGAAACGTGGCATGCTTTTTGGTGGCTTGTTTATGTTGACGGGCGTCTCACCTCCAAACTCGTGGTCCGACATATCGCTTGCAACGCGCAAATGGTGAAGTGGAAGGTGGGAGCTGAATAAGAACTGAGATAAGAAAGAAGAAAAGCCAAATAGCGGGGATGTGGGCGTAAAAGTAGATGAAGCGTGTTCGAGATGCAGGTGACGAGGCTCCGGAATGAAGCAAAATCTAGCGTTTAGTCGATGATACCTTAGTAGGTCCGTCACTTCCTGCGGTCTGGTGGATGTTCGATGAGAGAGCGTTTGAAGTGAGTTTGGTGGGATGGTGGGTACTTCGGTCAGTTATACTGGCGCCTGGAATGAGAAGTGGTGGCGAGTCAAGCCGCTAAAACAGACGGGGAGCCCTTTTTATCTTAAATGTTTTAGGGGGAAGGACGCGTGCTGCACCAGCCTCAGCGCTTCGAGTTAGCCATCTCGTCAGTCACAAGGGTCGCACTCAGGGCCTCTAGCACCAGCCTCAAACAGCCACACCAGGTCGTCAGTGCCTCCTCACGCGCTAAATCCAACCAGCCACAAGGCCAGCAGGGGTTTTGCTGTGGTACTGGCAAACTGGTAATAAGGCAGCTCCAACAGCTGTCGTGCACGGACCAGCCCCACGCTACACCTTTTCCCCAAGAAAATTTGGCTCAGAAAATTTCCTGACTTCTCTTCTTTCCTCCATCACCACCGCAACACGTTCACTTTCATTCTCTTTGAATGTGAAATTTTGCCCGTGCACGGCGTGTGATGGCATGTGATGCCAGTACTTCTCTACTCTGGAAGTAATTTTTCCGAACAGGTAAGCTCCCGCCTCTCGAGCATCCTCCCCGTTCTGCCACCTTTGTCCGGTCCTCTATGATGAGATATGTTGTCGCCCCAGGCTTAGGAGGTTCGACAAGCTTCCAATGCCGAATGACCAAGTCAAGCCAAATGACACTTTGCTGAATACCCACAACCGTGGTTACGGCTACTCTGCTGCTGCAGCCTGCTTGCCTGTCAATCCAAATTGAGGCTAACAAATCAGTGGTTAGGAGTGCTTGCGTGTGCTGATCCAAGCTCGACCGCAACGATCGATTCCCTTCGACGGCATCCCTTGATTCGACCCTCTAAATGGTAAGGACTATATTTTCTCGCTGCCGTGATACCTTGCTGTGATGATACAATCTTATATTCCATGCTAATACTGAATTACCATGTGGAGTAAAATAAGAGCTTTTCATCTTTCGACTGATTGCAAACCATTTTTCATCTATTTGTCTTGCCATCTATATGATTGAAACTAGGCTAATATGTCTTCAATAGTATCCTATCCAAAATTTCGACGCCGGTACTCCTACTCTTGATAGGCAGCCAGTTCAGGTGAGTTCCAACTGCTTTCATGTTAGCCGCAACTTTTCGACTCTGGATGCGAACGCCCTTACGCTGTAAACTTGCCGCTGAGCTCCTGGGACGGGGAAGCTACAAATCGTGCAATGACGTTGCCAGGCTGCTCCGGCTTGAGAAGCGATCCCGTGTCCTTTGCTTGCACGAATGTTTTGTAGACGGCTTTGTCCATTGTGTCGGATCCTGTATCACGAATGAGCTGCTGCATGTCGGTGTCGACGCGACCAGGTTGGATGGCAATGCTTGTGATGTCCTTTTCTTCAACAGCAAGGTGGCCCGACAAGGAATTGATGGCCGCCTTGGAAGAGCCGTAGCCCCCCCAGGCCTGGTACGTCTTGGTTGCAGCACCCGACGAAACCCAGACGATGCAGCCTCTGCTCTTGCGTAGTTCCGGCAATGCCGCTTTGGCCTATGGTGTCTGATGAGCTCTCTGGCGGGGCATATCGTTTTGGGTGCTTCTCAGCCTACCATTGCGAAGCAGCTGACGACATTAATCTCGTACATGCTTCTGAAGTCCTCCACGCTCATGTCCGCCAGCGCCGTGTTCTCCAGGATGCTGTGGTTGATCACAACGCCGTCGATGCGACCAAACTTGTCGACGGCGATCTCGGCTAGCCTGGGTGCAACCTAAACCCGCAGAACACAAGAAGAAGAAGAGGTTAGCTCCCTGACCGCGACCCATCACCGACCGTAACGCACCGAAGAATCCGTCATGTCGCCTGCTAAGTATTCCACCTGGCCTGGGTGCGCCGTCTGTGTGCCCTTGAGTAGCTTCTCTGACCTTGCCGTTAGCACAACCTTGTGGCCCTGCCCGAGGAGATGGCGCGTGACGGCGGCGCCAATGCCCTTGCTGGCACCGCTGACGATGAAGACCTTGGACATGTTGTAGTTGCTTTTGCGGTTTCTGGTATGTAGATGGTGGTTGTAGGAGTTTTTTCCGTCGATATGTGTTGGCGCGGATCTGTGGTGGTTCAAATGTGGGGTGGATTTGTCTCATATTGCATCACAGTGCATTTCACAGCTCACAACCCAACTCTCTAGTACACGAGCATAAGATGGATGGATTGGCCATTACGCCAATGTCGCTCAAAGAGCATCCACTTAATCTAAATTGGCACATCGTGCCCCTGAAGTAGCCTCATTTACATATATAAAATGCCGTGGCTTGTCTTACAGCAGCTCCGCCCGCAGCGCCGCAATGTCCTCCGCGCCGGCCCTGCAGCATCCGCCGACCACGATCTGCGCCCACCGGCCTCTCGCCCGCGTCCTCCTCACCGTCTCCGCGAGCTGCTGCGCCCACGACACCCCCCTCCCCTCCCCCATCTCCTCGGCCATCACCCACGTCCGCGTGACCGTGTCGTAGACCTCGCCATTCGTGCCGTCTGGGTAGAGGACCAACGCCGGCCACCGCTCCGCCACCCCCTCGCGCAGCAGCCCCGCCACCGCCTCCTCGTACCTCTCCAGCAGCACGTCCAGCCTGCGCCCGACCCTCGTGCAGTTGATACCCACGCCCCCGGACGGCGCCGCCACCGAAGGGTCCAGCATCGCCCGCAGCGCGGCCGCGGCGTCGCTGCCGTCCGGCATCCGCGGGTCCTCGTCCGTGCCGGCCGGGAACAGACAGGACGTCCAGGAGGGGATCGCGGCGAGCGCCGGGGTGGCCGCCAGCGCGCGCCGCATGGCGCGCAGCTCGTCGACGCGCGGCACCGTCTCGAGCGCCACGAAGCTGATGTCCGGGCCCGCGGCGGCGGCGGCGGCGAGCAGCTGTAGGCGGTCGCGGTGCCACGCGAAGAGCGCCGCCTCGGAGGACAAGTCCGCGTCGTAGGCGCCCGTGTACTCCTGACTGGACGGCAGCATGCACGCGCCGTACGGACCGACGCTGAGCGCGAGGCGCGTCGTCGGCGCCGGCGCCGCTTCTCGGGCGATGCGCACGGCGGCGTCCACGTAGTGCGGGATGCGCTCGCGCGGGATGCCTTGCTGCTGGTCGGCGGCAGCCTCGGGGTCGCGGGTCTTGGCGAAGCCGGCCACGGAGACTTGGTAGGTCGCCGTCTGCAGGATGTCGACGGGCACGCGGCCAAAGTCGGCCTGGCACTGGCGGAGCCGCGCCGGTTCGGAGACGAGCAGGTCCGAGGACCACAGAGGCGTGGTGTGGTCAAAGGTGCAGCCGTACTTTTGCTCGAGGGACGTGCCTAGGCCGCCGTCTAGGATGAGGATGGGAGATTCCATGCTGAAAGATAAGACAAAAAAGAGAGGACTAATAACAAAGGAGAAAAAGAAAAGTGGTTGAGCAGTGGAGGAATGGTCTAATTGTAAGAGGGGTCGTTACAAGACGATTATGGCAGCGCGCCCTACAGTCTGAATTTGCTTGTCGATGGAGGGGCTCCGTGTGCCGCGGGGCTGTCCATTTGCAACACCTCAAACTACGCAAGTTGAAAGAGACGACAAAAAAGAAGGTAAAAATATGACAGGAGAAAATATAACAGAATAGTATAACATAGCTAGAGGCGAGTCACTTTGCTTGTTTCTGTACTAGTACATCCAAGCTGCTATTCAAAGCCAAGCCAAGGCGTTCTGCAACAGGTGGCGCTCCCCCCCCTTGATATCCGAGAAGTGCAAGTAAACCCATAAATCCATAACCAATCAGAGGAAGAATTAGTGCAAGGGGATTGTTGGTAAAACAGCGTAAAAAGCACAAGAAGAAAGAAGAACAAGAAGCAAGGATAGCTAAGCAAGCTAGTGCACGCCCTTCCGGAGGACCCTTTCTTTGCTTCCGAGCGGAAAAGTTGTACATGAGAGAAGAGGACAAAGCTAATACATATTCTTAATTCGTTTGTGTTGGTTCTTTCCGCGGTTGACAGGTCAGAGTGCTCTCTCGAGCATCTTTGCATGCATCGGGCGGAAACGTATCGTTTTTATCGGTTAGACTTGGCCGAGGTAAATTTCGTCCCGGGAGGATGCTGATCCATCTCGAATTTGCAATAAGGATGGGTGCAGACGCCATCTCTAATACTCGGGCACTGTAAACGGGGCGTCAGTCACTTGAGCTTAGCAGAAAAAAGACGAAGCGGCTCCGGGGGCAAGGCAAGAACTCACGTGGTGTCCGTATATACACTCCCAGTTCTCGCAGTCCTGGCCATGCGTGCACGGGTTCTGGCGGGCGAGGACGGCGATGGCGTGGATCTCCTCCGAGTTGGGCTTGTAGTCGTGGACAAAGTTGCAGCCGTCGCCCTTGGCGCAGGGGCCACGGAGGAAGTGATTGTTGCAGAGCTTGTCCGTATCCTTGCGGCGCTTGACGGCCTCCATAACGGCGACGTTGACGACGATGGGCTCGTCGAGGCCGCGCGGGCCCGGGTTCCAGTCCGGCTGCTGCGGCGGGATCTTTTGAAACTGCGGGGAGCCGGCGCGGGAGGGCGTCGAGGACGAGGAGCCGACGGCGCCGGGGTTGGTGCGGGCGGGGCGCGGGCTGGGCTTGCTGCTGGGCGCGAGCGGGATGCTCATCGTTGGCGGCGGCGTGCCGTTTGTGATGGCGCTGGCGTACGAGAATGTCGTCGAGCTGGTCGCGCCAGCGGCGCCGCCGCTCGAGGCGACGCTATCGGAGGGGCTCGCGGTGCGACCGGTGGCGGCAACAGCGTAGGCAGAGGTGCGCTCGACGAGCCTCTCGGAGCGGAAAAGCTCCTTGTCGAGACGTATCGTGCCAGCGCCGGTGGCCTTGAGGTCCGCGGTGTTGCCGGCGGCACCCTCGATGATGCTGATGCGGTCACGAGCCGCAGGGTCAGCGTGGAAGAGATCATCGAGGAAGGTGGCATAGCCGGCGTCGTGGCCCACGCCAAGGAAGATCTGCCGGCAGTTACCGTTCTGGAGGTGCCAGAGGGTGTTGTCTGCGCTCGTGTGTTAGCAAAAAGTTGTCCTCCGGCCGGCAGGGTGTTTGTTGGGGTTTGGGACTGACCGCGGATCTTGGGCTCGGCGCGCCGCTCCCTGCCACCGCCGACGTCGACAAAGTCAAAGGCAGTATGGGCCTGGCTGAATCCGACGGCAAAGTCGCGAAACTCGTGGCTGTTGAGGGTGCGGGCAAGGCCGGCCGAGTTGGCGACCACCTTGGCGACAATCCGCGTTTCTTGGCCCTTATCTGTCCATTGCCGGGCAACGGAGCTGCGAAGGGCTTGGGCTGCTTTTTTGCCACCCTCTGCACCCTGTCGTATCAAAGAATCTTGAAACTGGGAGACGGTGTTAGTCCTTTGTCTGAGGTTACTCTCGCACACGCGCAAGGAGGACACATGTGAGAGTTTTCTGTCTGGATGGGCTCACCAAAAGTCCGTCGCCGTCAATCAAGACGACGATATATGGATTTTGATTCTGTGCCTGCGTCCATGTTAGAACCCAGGTGCCTCTCAATCTTCAAAGGTTCCTGTCGATTTGGTATTGTCACACAAAACGACTGCCACAGCATCGCTGCGCAAGCCGCTCGATGTGCAACAACGACAGGAAACCAGCATGCCACCACCAATGCCCACCTTGTATGTGTCATTTTCCTTATATAGAGAGTTGATTTGGGATTCGTAACTTGACAGCTGCTTTTCGAGATCACGGCGGGAGGCGAGGACTTCAGCTAGGCGAAGCTGGGACTTATGCAGCTCGTTTTCCAGTCGCCCGGTTTCTTGTTGTAGGGCACGCTCGAGGCCTTGGCAGTATAATAAGGTATCCTGCCGGAGAAGAAGTCATGTCAGTGGCATTTCTCCAAAGTCTGACAATATCGCCTGATTTGTGCAGCTAGTCATGGTAGGTTAAATACCTCAATGAGCTTATCCGTACTGTCACGGACGCCCATCAGTTCGTTATATCGGTTGACGAAGCTAAGAATATGGTCTTGGCTCGAGGCCGGCTCATTTGGTAATGACATTCTTTTTGCTCTCGGCCGTAGAGATGCTGCTATATGGTGCTTCGGGTAAAGTATTCGTCCTATGTGGAGGTGTTGGGTATAGAGATGTATCGAACGCGGAGGAGGAGGGTGCCAGGGCAGCAAATATTCGTCGTGGGTTTCGGTCGTCGTATGGGCAGGGCAGGACAAGAAAGTTTTGTACGAGGTAAGAGAGTGAAAGAACCGAGCCGCAGGTGAGGTTTGCGAGACCAATTAAGCGGGACAGGAACAGCCAGCTCAGGAATCTGCGGGCTTCTGTGGTGTGCAGGTGTTGCGTTAAGCGCCGACGTAGGAATTGCCAATCATGAGGAGTGAATTTGATGGGCTGGCGATTTTTTTGGCCTTCTCTTTTTTTTTTTTTTTTTTTTTTTTGGCCGAATCGACATAACTAGTTTACTAGCGCGCGCCTCGTTCTGCCCCAGAAAAGTGAGAAGAAAAGGAAAACCCGCCCCAGTTCTGTTAAAGTGCCCCGGTTTATTTTATTGCTCAGGATACATTGAGTCTATTGATGAATTACGAGCTCTTGTCATAACCTACCCAGGCACCTATGTACACTGTGTAGGTACCATATTAGTAGGTGCGGAGTAGGGAGGGATACGGATGGATGTCTCTGATTCCTTGCTGGTAGTGGCTTAAAATAAGCTGCATATGTACATTTACGACTATTGGGCTGCAACACTCATGTCTGGCGCAGCTGCCGAAGAAACAGAAAACGAAAGCATTTCTAAATAATAAAGACCCAACACAGGGTATCGCCCTGTTTTTGATTGGAGCACCGACCCTGCAGCAAGCCGCCACGCCAAACTCTTCCGAGCTCGCTCGCTGCCAATCAACTGGATTGCAGCCCTAGAATCCAAGTACTTGGGCGCTTAAAAGGCAATGTGTCACAAACTTGTGCTCATTGTCCTGGCCCTCCCTTTTGTACTCTTGCTGCAATAAATAATAATGAGCGCTGAGCCGAGATATCCCGACCTGCTTCTGGCACCAACGCTGCTTAATTCATATCGAATTATAGGCCGGCAGCTGTGACTGTCCAGTGAGGACTTCCTCTATCACTTGCTCGCGTACATAGCTTCACTGCCTTGTCATAAATGAGCGCTTTGTGTTCCCTGATCATATCGAGCTTTACAAGATACCCTTAAGAGATGGGCTTAGGGTTTTGATTCGTCTCTTTCTCTCTTAGGTAGCTTCATGTGTCGCCTAAAACTGATGGCCTCAAAACAAGGTTTCTGGCACATGAAAGCTATCGATTTCCTTCTACAAAGCGTTGGGCGAAACAGCCTTCCGAAGAAACTGTCATGCCGTAGAAAGACATGCACGCTCAGCCCGTAAAGTCCGGGTTGAACTGATTCATAAACTGCCAAAACGTGTTGTCCGCCGCAAAGTCGCCGTCGAACTGGTACAATGAGCCGAACCCGTCGCCAGACAGCTGCTGCTGCGCGTCAACCGGGTCTAACGCGCAGTTTGCCGGGTTCGAGTCGCCATACTTTGCCACCAGGTCGTTGAAGAGCAGGTCGGACGTGGGATATATGGGCGCCAGCGAGGACAGGCTACCTTCCGGAAGCACCCACGCACCAGCACCATCCGCGCCGGTGCCGGTCTCACCCCAGGGCTCCGCCGCGCTGCTGCTGCCGTCGCTCGGCGAAATGTCCAAGGACAAGCCATTCGTCGATGCGCCGCTGCTCCCGCCACCCGAGGCTACCGTCGCCGGACCCGTCGCTGCCTTGTCGCTGCCCGGCGTCACCTCACCCTCGGCGTCCGGACTCGTCGTCGCCCCGCCTTCGCCGACCGCCTTGACGAACCGCGACCGGATCGCGGTGAGCACGCCCTGCGCGGCGCGCGCCACCGCGTTGTGCTCACGGATGGCCTCGAACTTGGCGATCGTCCAGTGGAGGCGGCGCGCGGCGCTGTCCCGCAGCGCCGGGCTCTCGCGCGGGAACAGGATGAAGATGGACGCGACGACGACGACGGCGTCGAAGCTGCCGAAGAAGAGGTGGAAGCTGCGCCACTGCACGAGCGGCAGGCCGTCGAACGTCTGCCGCTGCACGCCCAGCATGTCGACGGCCGCGCGCAGCGCCGCCGCGCGGCTCGCGCGCCGGTGGAAGATGTACGGCCGGTGCAGCGCCATGACGCCAAAGTGGTGCAGCTGCCGCAGGTACAGCCGCGTCTGCCGGATCCACCCGGAGCAAGCCGGGTGCGCGTCCCACCGCCGGTCCGGGTTCTCGAGGCGGAAGGCGGGCGGCACCTCGGCGCGCAGCGCGTCCATGAGCCGGTGCACGTGGTCCACCTTGGAGAAGTCCTTGGGGTGCGAGCCGTCGGGCTCGAGGTCGAGCACGAAGCGCACCGCGTTGGCCAGCTTGAACAGGAACAGCTGCCGCGTGATGAGCGTCGGCGGGTCGACCGCCTCGTCGCGCGACTCGATCGGCGTCTTGGAGCAGTCTGTGGGAGCCGGCGCGTCGACCGGTAAAGAGGGCAGCCCATGCGCCCAAACGACGCTGCCCGGGCGGCCCAAGAATACTGCCATGTTGATGTCCCTACGCAGCAAACAGTTAGCTCGGCGGTGAGTGTGGTGGAGGAATGGCAGCTGTACCATGATACCAGCATCATGTACATCTTCCTTCTGTGTAATATGCGCCACTGGTTTTTTAGAATGCTTTCCACGCTCGAGTCCTCAGGTTTCGGATCTAGAGCATCGCGGTGCATGCCTAGTTCTTGCGCATCCCGGATGGCCGCCGCAATACCATGCCACTATTTAAGCGTCAGTCTCATGTATCAACAAAAGCCACTACCCAAACCGCTTAAAAAAGAAATAGTACGCACACATTCAATCACATGCGCCGTGTACTTTTGAAACAGCGCGCGTATAAATTGCGCCTGCACCGTCACCTCGTCCAGCGCACTCTTGCCAAACAGGTTGACGATGGCGGCGCCAGAGTCGCTGTAGTCGGTCGCGAGGTCCTCAAACGTCATACCGCCGGCGTACTTGAGCGCGTCGAAGACGGGGTCCGGCGTGCCCGGGGGCAGAAGCAGCAGCGCCGTGGCGAGGATCTGGAAGAGCAGCGCGGGGAAGAAGCGCATCGCCGGGCGCAGCGCCTCAGGCGACGAGAGCAGCGCAAAGGGCAGCTGGTCCCACTCGGCCAGCTGCTCGAAGAAGATCGCCTGGTCGACGAAGTTGTACTGTTGATGCAGGTCCGCAAAGTACATGCCGACAAGTCGGTCAATGTACGTCTTGGCTGGCAGCTGCCGCACCAGGCTCTTGTACTTTTCGCGGATTGGCGCGAGCTCGCTCTGATGCGTGCCGAGGAGCTGCAACGACGCACCGCCGGGTCGACGGCCGCCGCCGGGTTGCTGGTCGGCTGTCTCGATGGTGCGCAGGAGGCTCATAGTCGAGGGCCGCGTTTGCGAGTAGCCGAGCGCTGCGGCCATGGACGTCAGCGTCGGATCGTCGGTGCTGCCGCGTCCGGCGGGGCGACCGCCGGCCATTCCACGGGGAGGGCTCTGCGTCCGCTGTGAGTCGTCCACACAAGTGCTCTCTTTCAGGCTTTTAGAGGTCGGGGCGCCGGCCTCATAGGCGCAGCTCGCTTCTCGATTTCGGGTGACGCAGTTCCCACACGGTAGCTCTCTGTCGCACTGAATTACCGCAACGAACAAACGGGGACACGTTAGCGAAGTTTTTCTGGGGGAAACTCGAATGGTCAAATAGATCACAAACCGGGTAGGAGGATTCTGTACCTTTTGTTTGCGCCGGTGGCACTCGAAGCAGGATATGACGATTCGCCTTCTCTTCCTCGCCGGCGGCCGGGGCTCGACCATCAACCCAATCAGGTCGGCCATGATGAGCCGGCGGGTGATTTGCGAGAGTGATATATGGCGAGCTGCTAGAACCTGGAGTAAAATCCCTCGACACACGACAGTGATGGCAAGCTAGAAAAAGAGTCGTAGAAAGGGTCGGTGAAGGAAGAGGTGGGATGGAGGCAGTGGGCTGTGCTAGCGGATTGCTACTGGGCTACGAGGCTGTTCGAGACGTCGACGGTGAGGGAGGAATGAGATGCAAGAGCAACGAGACAAACGTTGATTGATGTAGAGAGCAGCTAGCCCATGATGTATTATTAATGACGTGACAATCGCAGAGGCGACCGGGGAAACGAATTGCTTGAAGAACCTCAAAAAGGGTGGATCTGGGTCGACTACAGCCGTTAAGTCCGCGGAATGGGTGGGGCAGATCAAGAGCCGCTTAACTCGTCCTGGCGGGATTCAGCCAATGCTCTTTACACTTTGGAAGGGCAAGAAGTGAGCTACTGAACACTAAATACTGGATGCCTAGTAGATGCCAGTGCAATCATGTGTGTATGTGTATATACAGAAGATGGACGCCTACTGTAACTGTGGGAGGAGTTGTGGGATACACCAAAAAGGTCATGGTTCTCTTTCAATTCGTTCCCATCTTATCTGCCTAGCGCATCATCATGCTTTTCCCTTCCAATGCTCCTTTCCTTTGTAACAAAAGTCTTCAGCCTTGTCTGAAGAGAGGATGTAGAAAAAAGACGAACAAGCGACTTGTAGCCCGAGATAAATCCCTCCCGGGCAAGCTAATTCATACGACATTGTGAATGTAAAAGGAACAAGAGTTGTCGTAGCCCAAAACAAAGAATAATCAAAGCAAGCCGAATATGCAAAAAAAAAAAGGAAAAACGAAAAAGAAAAGAAATTTATGCAATCATCGCAATCTTTCCGTGTATGCTTTCCAAGCGGCTGATCGGTACCGCTCAGCCTCCTCATAGGGATCGCTAGCCTTGAGAATGCCGCGCCCGACAATGGCAATATCGGAGCCAGCAACGCCAATGATGTCGGCTGGCGTGTTGTACTGTTGGCCCTTGCCGTCGCCCTTGAGGGCGCCGTTTGCCTCGCCTTCGGGGGGCAATTGACAGCCGGGAGTCATGTGCACAAATATGTCATCGTCTTGGGTGTTGAGGCACTCTTGAGATACGAAACCCATGACAAAGCCCTTGTGCTCGCGAGCAGCCTCAACACAGGCTTGCGTGTACTCCTTGTTCATGAAGTTGCCTTGACTCGACATCTGTGCGAGGATGAGCAGTCCACGTTCCAGAGGGGCCTCCTCGATGCCGGCGAACAGCATCTCGTCGCCTTCACTGATGCCCTTGTTCATACGCGGTGACAGAGCGGACTCGTATTTCTGTGTGACGGTGGTAACGGAAACAATGCTGCCCTTGCGGCCATCTTCTCGTCGAGACGCGGCTGGCGTTTCTTGGGTGTCTGGGGCGGCATCCTGCTCTTCCTCCTCCTGATCAAACTGGTCAGTGGTCGGGGTGCCGACGGTAACGGAAGTGTGCACTTCGCACGGGTAGCGCTCAAGCCACCTGGAGGCGGCATTGGCTAGGGAAGTGACGGAGGCTTTGCCGGGAACCATGTTGACGTTGACGATGTGAGCCCATTCAATAATGCGGGCGGAGCCGCTGGTGTACTGCAGCTCAACCGTGTTGCCGATATCTCCAAACTTGCGATCCTCGAAGATGAGGAAGCCATGGCGGCGGGCCAGAGCGGCGAGCTTTGCGCCGGTGCCGTGCTGAGGGTGAAAGTCCCATCCTGAGACCATGTCATGATGAGTCTTGAGGACGACAATGGCGGGTCCGATCCTGTCGGCAAAGTAGAGAAGCTCGTGGGCGGTTGCGACATCGGCACTAAGGCAGAGATTTGAGGCTTTGAGATCCATCAACTTGAAGAGATAGGCGTTGAGAGGGTGAGTGGCTGTGGCAGCCCTCGAGGCAAAGGTAGCCTTGAGAGTCGGATGAGACGCCATGTCTGGGATGGCAAATTCCGGCTCGACTGCTTGAAGGTTTCAAACGGCGAAAAAGGTCAATCGAGAGAGAGAGGGAGCCCTGGTTCAGTCGCAAGGCTGGTGCAGTGAATGAATCGACAAGGCGACGCTGAGGTGAGATTTCGACTGAGAGTAGCGGAGGGATGAGGATGGGGACAAGTTGCTAGAGCCAAGCAGCAAAGCAAAGCTGAGATAAAGCAGATAATGTTCAAGACGAGAAGATATCGTGAGAGGACAAGGTAATAAATAAGAGAGGGCGGAGAGCTTCAAAGGATAGAGTTTGGCAAGGCTGGTGGGCGTTTTTTTTTTCGACGCCTTTGTTGGTCTAAGCGAGTGGGCCTAGATATACTCTGTAGGTAACTGAGAACTGGGGACGACGAGAGACAAACCGGGGTTAGTCGAGGGGGCCAGGATGATGGTGCAAGCTGGGGTATCGCAGGAGGCAGAGCGGGAAGTAGAAAAAGAAACGGCAGCCTGGTGAGGGTGTGTGTGACAAAGGGTCGGCCAAGGGGTCTTTTTTTTCCTTCTTGCTGCTTGCAGGGTTGGTGAAAAGGAACGCGGCTAATTAAGATGGTACGAGGCGCGCACAAAAAGTGGACGAGGATAAGGCAGTGGAGGGGGTTTTCGACGACGGGTGGTGTCAGCGATGGATGGGGGGAACTCGGGAGGGATGGGGGGGAGGACGGGGAGGCCGGTGTAAGGGTTCGAGCAATGGGCAGCGGCTGGACAAAGCTTTTTGGTCTGGGGCCTGGATGCCAACTTGATAAATGCCAACTAGGGGGATGAAACTTGAACTTGGTCATGGGTTGGTTGTTGAATGAGTGTATGTAAGGTGGTACGCGTGGTGTTGAAGAGAGAGGAAAGAGAGGACGGATAAATGGTGACAGAGAGGGCTTGTGAGATGCAATTGATCAACTTACGACGAACGAGCTGTCTTTCGGCGGCCCCGAGCAAGTTTAATTTCGAAGAAAAAGAAAAGAAAACTGCGCAAAAAGAAAGGGCAAAATTGGGTATTGTATGGAGGTAGGTACATACATAGGTATGGTGGGCAAATTCTTGCGAGCGGTGGTGGTGCAGGGCCGAACTCTATGTATGTATGTATGTATGTATGTATGTATGTATGTATGTATGTA